CCCTTTGGGGGGAGAGGCCATTGGCCTATAAAGTTCTATATGACTTTTCCCTACTGTTAATTGTGTACGGCACACAACTACCAAGTAGTATAGGCCTTATATTTTATTTTATTGAGAAACAAGTAAGTTAAAGAATACGCGACAAAAGTTATAAGTTGTATGACATGATCTCTAACTTCATCCTGTTTTTTCTAATTAGACTAGGAGCTTTGCTCCTCCCTTCCTCTCAAAGGGTGAACCCATTGGCCTATGTTAAGCTCTATATGACCTTTCCTTACTGTTAATTGTGTGCCGTACACAATTACCAAGTAGTATAGGTCTTATATTTTATTTTATTGAGAAACAAGTAAGTTAAAGAATACGTGACAAAAGTTATAAGTTATATGACATGATCTCTAACTTCATCCTGTTTTTTGAGGCGAAGATTGTGAGGGGGCAGTGATCCAAGATCAATAGTATTCAAAAATTCAATTGGATATGTCAATAGATCATCTTCACTATTGCCTCGATCAACACTCTTGAATTCATGGACTGCATCTGGGAATATATCAAGAAGGATATTGTTGATTGTTGTAATATCATGATTTTTGGGTATAAGTATTGCACAACACATGAGGAAATCGGCACTTTCTGCATTTGCATTGAGATCAGAGAATACTGCATTAGTCAGGTTGAGTATATTACTGCCAGGGATTAGCATATCTTGAGGAATGGGTATGGTGTCTTCCCCGCCAGAACTGAGAATAGTACCCTCGCCAACTTTTAATAGAAATTCAGCAAAGTCTCTGAGTTCATTTGCTTCCTCTGGTATAGTAGCTTGGGAAATACGCATATTGATTATCAACTTTAATGGAGTAACGCATTGCCAATCACAGGCCTTATTTATACATTGCTCCACAATATAAGCTTTTGATGCTCTTGGAATTACAGGAAGAACCTGCCAAAAATCACCACCAAATACAACCAATTTTTTACCAAATGGCACTGCTTCGAGTAAGGAGTTTATGGTCTTCATAATGTCTTGCATTGAACAGTTGACTGCATTAAATATATCTTTACTAATTATTGACGCCTCGTCCCAAATGATCAGTTCAGTTGCTTTGAGTAAGTTGGCTATTTGCAAGTTGACTGATATAGAGCACATAGAGTTATAATGTATTTCAAGTGAAATCTTGAATCTTGAATGTGCAGTTCGTCCACCATCAAGAAGCAATGCAGCAATACCACTGGTAGCAACTGCAAGAGCAAATTTTCCTTGTTGATGGACATGACACAAAAGAGCATTAAATACAAATGTCTTGCCTGTCCTACAAACATCTGTTATACATCTCTTGCGTAGGCTCCAAGAACTGGTCTTGATGTTGAAGTCATTCTGAATGTAAATAGTCTTCTATCATTGAATCTTGGTAGGACATCCAAAGAGAGAATGGATCAGATAGTCCATAGAAAACCAAAAGAATTGCAAATAGTCGCCTTAGTGAATATGGGAGCTCATATGATTTAGCCTCTTCCATGCATTCCTCTCATTTCTTGTCATCCATTAACAGTCCTAAAGCTCGACACGCAGCTTGATTTGTTTCATATAGGTGCCCCTCTACTGTCCAAAGATTCTGGAAGCTTGTAGCACCTGGAACATTAAGAAGCAGTACTCTTAAGAAATATTTTTCTGGGTCTCTTGGAGATATGTTATATATTCTGCCAATTGTTTCTCTGTTAGATGTTTTGCGTTTTGTCCATTTTTTGTTTTTCTTTGACCAAACGAAGTGAGTTGGAAAATCTATATACAGATATTCCCGTGCTGTTATATTATATGTGTTATATGAGAACCACCCTGTCAATGTTGTGTTTGTGCTTGCGTTTGATAATTGATGTCGATTTGTAGAATCATAGAAATATACTGGCTGAGAGTTTTCAAGATGGATTGCTAGTCTTTGGTGGGTTGGGTGCTCTTGGTGCAGTTTAAATGAGAAAATTCTCCAGCATGCTTCAGAGGCTGGTACATAGTGAGCATCCAGAAACTCATTGACTTCATTTACAGCTTCTTGCTGAATATTAGTCATATTGATGCTGGTATTGGTGGTGGTACTGGTACTGGTACTGACTGATTGAATTTTTGCCATAGCTCGATCATAGCCTTTGTATACATATTTGTATAGATATTTTACAGCTGATACAGAAGTGCAGATTTCAACATTGATGTGGGCATCATATTTTGCACACAGATATAAATTGTGCAGAACCACCCATCTGTTGTCCAGTGATGCTGAGCCTCTGACTACTGTTATCCCATTATTTCTTCTTTTATACTTTGGATATCTAGATCCATCATCGACTGTTTCATCACAAAAATCTTTTGGAAAATTCTTTTTGCATTTACCATTTTCCATGCATGGTGCCTTTGGGTACCTTATACCACATGAACTGTGTAGCATACTACGGCAGACAGTTCTATAGGCCAAGGGTTTTGTGACTGGATCAGGAAATTCAGCAGAAACTATAAGGTCATAGTCTTCTGTTGTCATTGGTTTGTCATAGCTAGATAGGATCAGAAGAATGTGTGTGTGAGGGAGTCCTTGTTTTTGAAACTCTATGACATATATAAAGGCTTTGACTTTCCCCAAAACATCTTTCTTTGTCAAGTCGTTCATTAGCTCTTTAAGCTTCATATTGAAAACATAGGAGCAAAGATCTGGTCTGTCTGCTGCTTTTTGGCCTGCTACAAGTGCATTTGTAATTTCAGGCCAATGCGTATTGTAGGTGAATGTGATGAAAAGATCTGGTTTGCCAAAACGGCGTACGATACTCATTGCATCCTGGTAGAGCTGGCCCATGTGACGGGGGCTACCAATAAAAGTAGAAGGAAGGATGACACGTCTTCCAATGTTGGCAAAATTGTTATCCTCAACGTTAATAGCATCTTGTATTCTACTGTAAAGGTCTACTCGAAGGCAGTTCTGATTACTGGCAAGAAAGTCTATTCTGTTATGTTCAATCTTTGCATATATATCTACAACAAATTGCTGGAAAAGTCGGCCAAAGAGATGGAGGAGATGGAGAGAATGAGGACAGTATGTAAGTCGGTTGGAATACCAATGCATAGCACTAACGGTTTTTCCTGACAAAGATTTTGATTCGATTGTCCATCCGTCCTCACCAGAAAGGAAGAGCAAGACATAATGAAGAGCATCATATGATCTATGATACTCATTTATTTTTTGTAGCTGGTTGGTTTGTGTGTGCAGTACGATGTCTCTATAAGAACCTCTTTTATTATTTGTAATTAGAATAACAACCTCGTCAGCAATTGGTGCATTATATCTTCTTTGATCTTGGGGACCTTTAGCAACCAAGCATATAGCAACATCTTCTACATGTTCATTCTTCTGTGATACTTGATCCATTGATCTGAACAGAGAAACAAAAGGATTTGTCTCTATGAGAATCGATCAAATTTTCTCCAGAATATCTGCTTTCAAGTATGGAGCATGATGGCAATGGTGCTGGGCTTGCGATGCTGGATCATGTATGTATACTTGAGCAAGTTGAGGGTGATCAATATCTTGGGCTCTTGATGGACGAATAGACCCAATTCTGTGACATATAGTGCCATGTATTCTGAAGCAGTACGCACCACCTTGGTTATTTGCCACAGAGTTGTCAATTTTAGCTCCCAGCGATGTGAAGCTTAAGGTGCTGTTGTAGCCTCTGATTTTACTGAGAAAATTTTTCCCATTGGATGTTCTGTAATTTAGAAGCTCAGAAATTCCAGGTGGTGTTGGCTCAAGAGAAGGAAGAACATATTTTCCCTTGCCACAGCACATGTTAAATTTCGATCTGCGGATAGACAAATCAGTGTCCTTCTCTTTCAACCACATCAATGCTCCACAAAATCTACAGACAACATCCATATTCCCTCTGCTATCGATTTCTGGCTCAGATATATTTTGGAGTCTGGCAATGTTGGCAACGTTCTGGTTTTGAGGATTCTGATTTTGTACCAGTATCTGTACATTGTTAGGACACATCAGGCTAGTTATTCGAAGATGATTTGTTCTCAAACAGCTTGGACAATGACGGGTAGCAGTGCTTTCATTTATTGTCATGGTTTCTTCCTCATGCTCAATGGTAGGTTCTTCAGCAAGGATAATAGTTGGATCAACAACTGTGTCCACAATTATTTGTTGCTCTTTAACTGGATTTATTTTTACTCTGGATGACGCAGCTAAATATATGAATAGTAGATCAATTGAATTAGACTCTTATAATTCTTATTCTTTTTTTTTAATTCTTTAGTATTATATCCACTACTCTTTGCAGGAAATTCTTCTTCAATTGAAATATTCTCATTTGTTCTTTTCTGAGGGATATAAAGTGTATTTTGTTTCTTATACAAAGGATAAAGGACACTGGATTTACGACTATGACCCATAAGCTTGCATGAAGCACAATGTTTCTCAGTAGAAGACATTTTTGATTATTTTATTATTGAAATTTGAGGTTATAGATTATTTAAAATATGTGTAAAAAGTTTTTTGAAATTTGAAATTCACTGTAGTTTTAATAAAATGGCCCCTTAAAAGATATCATGCATGCCTTTCTCCAAATGAAAATATATTACCAGATTAAATTGCATGGCAGATATCAGAACACAGTGCAAATAGCCTCATAAAATAATTAGACTGAGTATTGTATGCTTATTTATCATGTCTTGTCTTAACTATCTATTAGACTAAATGATATTTTGTATGCTGAACATTATTTATTTATTTATTTTTAATTTTTAATTTATATTTAATATGAAGACTTATAAATATTTATATTATAATTATAATTAATTTTATATTTTTATATTTTTCTATGCTCTTAAGAAGAGTAATATGAAAATATTAGTTAGAGAATAGAATAATAAATTCAAAGACAGACTCTAAGTCACGTGCTTGTATTCCAACTTTTTAAAGATATAGATACCTTTGGATTGAAAAGCCAGCATTAACTATGCTATGTCTACAGCACAAGTGCAAGTAGAGATGGAGTTTGGTAAGGTAGGACAGTATTTCAAATACTATAAATTCAGCCCAGAGATGAAGATAAAGTCAAAAACATTGCCTGCGACAATATACATATTATTTACTACGTTCAAAAACTTCCATACTTGTATCAATGGGTCCGCAACGTCAGAAATGTTTGGTATTCAACCACCAAACATACAAGATTATATCAGGGGTCTTGCATGTGATCCCGTATTAGAAGACACAGTTGATACTGTAGACACTACTCTACATAATGCTCCCAGATTGGTAGAGTCTATTCTACTTGATACATAGAATATATCACTTGTTGTTAATGACTATAAAGCAAATAAGTTTAATAATGATAATAAAGTGACATTCTTATACAATTATAACTCTGTGTAATTATTGCATTTTCATTTGTTTTTAGCTTGGTATGTTTAATTAATTAAATATCATCTCATTTACCTTATCTATTCAAGTACAACACTATACTATCTTAAAAGACTTCTACTTTATAGTAGCATAATTAATTAATTTAGCTCTTAAAACTATATATGTATTACTTCTCTACCTGTATAATAAAAAAAGGTATCAGCAATTCAAAACTAAATATAAAATGAAAGAGGTATAAATTGAACTTTTATTTTTTATGATTTTTGGCAAAGAGAGAGAGAGTCAGCAATGATGGTCTGAGACTTGCTACTCTCTCCAATATGCTTCTCCAAGCTTTGCAGTACCAGGAGAACCCCCTCATTTGTCTCTGCTTGTCTTTTCAAGATCTCCATCTGTTTCTCCAACAGCTCAACCAATTGCTGCTGCCCCTTGGCTGGCATTGGCTTTACCTCAGGAACTTTATCTACTTCAGTGTTTTTTTTCTCGTTCTTTGAAGGTGTTTCCTGGACGTACTTGGCAAAAGACATGAGCTTATCATTAAGTAATCTCATATCTTTTGTCTTTCCGGCCTTCACAAGATCTTTGAGCTCTTTGATGCTCTTGGCATCTTCTTCCTGAATATTAAAAGAAAATTGTTAAATCGATTGAATGATTATATGTTTTATTGTTATTATTTAAAAAAAACATACTGTCTTCATTGCGGAATAAATAGCTCTTCCAAGATGAGTTGGGATATCCATATTAACCTCAGAAAACTTCTTATTTGAATGCTGGTCAAAAAGGGACTGGAACTTGCTAAAGAGTACGTCTTTTTTATTCTGCACACTTCTGCTGGTAAGTGCTTGTTTGTAGTTAAGGTAAACAGCATTGACCGCAGCAGTTACTTGTTCCCACGCTTCTTCTACTTGTCTATGAGAGACTGCAAATAGGCAATAATGATTGTAGGCCTCCATTAATACCAGCTCTCTTTCCTGGTCCCATGTCCCCTGTTTTCTTTTCTTGATCAGCACCGAGTCTATTCTGGTACTTTCTTCAGACTTCTGGATAGTTGGGCCATATACAATAAACTTCGGGCCATCTTTGCTTGAATCAGAAGAAGTTGACAGCTTCTTTGACTTGGTAGGCTTGGGTTGAGAGAATGTGTTGCGCTTCATGTGTGTAAGAAAAAAAGAAAAGATATGGATATTGAACTTAAATTACATACAAGCAGTAATGTATTATATATCAAATAAAAATTTCAATTCTATTATTGATTTATCCAAAATGCTTATACATTTGAATATACACCTCTATGTGTTTGTGTGACAAAGAAGTGTCTTGTTTACTTATCAAAAATGCTTATACATCTGAATGTACATTACTGTGTGCTTGTAGAATAAATAAATATATTGTTTACTTATCAAAAATGCTTGTACACTTGAATATACATCTCTATTTGCTTGTAGAATAAATAAGTATATTGTTCACTTATCAAAAATGCTAACACGTTTCCATATTCAACTCTATTTGTTTACATGATAAAGAAGTATTAAAATATGTATTACCATTATTAGCCTATTCAAAATTGGGTTGAAAAATTACATCTTTTCCTTCAAAATTGAGCTTATTTATAAATAAGAATTGAGTAAATTTGAAGCAATCTAAAATAGAATGTGCAGAATATCAAAAATTAAAACCCCATTTGTATGATTTTTGAGTACTGTTATTTCTCTAATCAGAAAAGAAAGTCACAACTTAAAAGATTTTTTGATTTTGATTTTTTATAGACAATTTTAAAAAAAAATAACAATTAAAAATAAAATAAAAAAAGATAGTAGTTGATAATATATAATTGATAATTGAAAATAAAAAAAATAATAAAAAAAATTATGTTTGTCAAGGTGTACGGGATTGAGAGAGGAAGCCATGTTCTTTCAGCTTGTTGTATGCAAACTTCAATGTATCTAAGAACTGGCTCATATCTTCTGGGATTCTCTTATACTCGGCTATCTTGGTGTCAAGTTCAACAGAGTATAATTGAAAATACTTCATGATATCAGCTTCTATCTCGTCAGAAAGAAGGGAAGTGTCAACTACTACTTTAGTATCAGTATTAGATATATAGACAGCAGAGGAGGAGGAGGAAAGACTTTGGCGCAAAGAGTAGGGAATGTCTAGCATACGATTGATGAGAAAGATACGCTTGCAAAGCTTGGAAGTATCAGGGCAAGTGCAGTTTTGCAGAAAACCATTCTATAGCTCAATGTTATATATAACAAGATCAACTGTGAATGATCTGCAAGTGAATGCAGTATCACTCAATTTCTCAACCATTTCTATAGCAGTATTGCTATCTAACATGTATACATTTCGCCTTTTTTGCTCTTTTTAGTGTGTAAGGCATACTGATTGGAATCCATATAACGTCTTGACACTCTCTTGTCTGTAGTCAAGAGTCAAGACTTTGGCTAGAAGATAAATAAGTCTATCTACTCGAAGAGATCTTACACGTTCAAGATAGAAAGTCTTCAGCTGATTGTAATAAGACTCTATCAAATTATTGGTATGAAAGGTTGCAACCTATTGTTTATATTACATATTAGAAAAGGGCTAATAATCAATAAAGTTTCATATCAATCTCCATGCTTTGCACTATAATTCTTTTTTTGGCACCCACATTCTGTTAAAGTACAAAATAAAGTTCTCGTATTCCCCAAATTTCATAAGAAATTCATTATACAATGTATCATAGGCAACAGAAGTTGTTGCATGCATCATATTACTCAATACAGCACAAACACTGTTACAAGCTATGTTCGAAGCATGTGTTGAGTTTTGCACTTTAATCTATATTATAGTGTTATATGAGATATACATAATTTTAAATAAATATGCTACTTACATGCTTCTTTATATTAACTTCCCATGCTCTTTTAATATGCCAATGATATAACAAGATATTAACACTATTGCCAAAGACTTCTTTAATTGCACTAATTTCGATGGGGCTGCAGTCAATCATTATTCTTTTCCCCTTTAATGTAAAGGTGTTCTTTACCCATGCTAACTATTGACTCAAGGTTGAGGTATATTCATAATCAGTTATAAAGAAGCAGACAGGCAATCCCTTATTGGTGATAGAGTTTCGCACAACAATTGTAAACAGAAAGCAATCTTCAGGTTCTTTACCAGCTACAGTATTGAATGACTTGCTTGTTTTGTGTGTTGAGTCAATGCATCACTCTTCCAAATTCTCCAGAAACTAATATAATAATAAGATGTATAAATAGGTGTATAAAATAAAATATAAATAATACATGTTATTTATTTCTTTCTGCCACTCAGAAACCCACAAAACAAGGAAGAGGCCATTCTTATGAACTGTGAAAAGAGTAGTATTTTCACTTTCATTCAACTCTTGAACCCACAGTTTGACACTTTCATAATGATCCACATGTTTTCTTGAGAGTTTCATCATTCGAGCATTGATAACATTTCTCACATATTGATAATCAATGAGAAGAGAAGAAGGGAAGGAAGATCTATCACCAGCTTGTTCAAGCTATGTAATTTTAAATAAGCAAAGTCTCTCAAAATATACTATATGATATTTACTTCAAGAAGTCTGTCTTCACTCATTCTAAGCATGTTTTTAATGGATTTCCAATCCATGTTTTGGCTGACAAGCCCTTCTACCCATTGTTTTAATTCATCAGGCAATTTTGACGAACTGATCTCTTCAATCTTAAATGGATCATGGTTTGGATGCTGCCAGTTGTATTTGATACAAACAGTACCATCAGTCATGATATGCTTATAGATACTAGCAGGATAACCAATCTTGATGGACTTGGTTGTTCTGACGTGTTTCTGAGCAGACTGAGAAGTTTTTTTCACTTGTGGTTTTCCAGCATGATAACACAAGTAAACTACTGTCTTTACTTTGAGAGGATTTTCAAGAGACTTCCCAACGAAGACCATGTTCTTCTCATGCCTGTAAGATCGATAGTAAACCCAATTGGCATGTTTTTTAGCTATATCATTTAACCAATTTGTAAATTCATTTTCAGATGAAAGGTCAAAGGAGTTGACAGCTTCTATATAATCGGGAATTATGCAATTGTCGTAATTAGCAGCAATATCAAAGGTTGACATTTTGAGATTTGGTAAAAAAAAGGTGTGTTTGGAAAAAAAATATTAAGGGGTAAGTCCGTAATAAAAGTTTGCCCAAATGAAACAAATGAAAATAAATGTGTGACGTGCTTTTCTGATTGGGGAATTACTATCACCAATGATTTTCATAAACTTATTCAAAAATGAACAAGTAGTCACCCTCTCTAATAACAAAATCTGTTGTGGTGGTTGAAGTTGAAGAAGTTTTTAAGAGGAAGAATTGAAGATTTGAGATTAGGAACAAAGATTCGTGAGAACTTGTGTAGGTTTTGTTTATTGAGAAAGGATTTTGTATCAAAGTTTGACCAGGTTCCTACATTGAACTACTACTGCTATTTATATTGTTTTGAATTGGGAAAATTATATGACTGGGGTCAGGTAATCGATCCTATCTGAGCCTTAATCAGAGCAACGTGATCTTGGGATAATTAATGTATGATTAATTATATAAATGTGTGTAGTCCCAATGAAGTATTAACATCGAAAGTAAATGTGTTTATGAGTTATAATTATGCTTATAATAATCCACTGATGTATCCCATATTATGGTGATATCATCATATGAAATATAATCACTATCATGCATGCTAAACCTGTGTGTTAAATAATAAAGTAATCGGTAGACACCTTTGACTGGAATAGCTGAGGCCTTATATTATTTCCTTCAGACTTATTCTCAATTACAGCAGTAGTCAATACTCATTTACAACAAAATCAAAATAAACTCAGACGAATGGTTTTTTCTTTCTTTTCATAGTATGATTATTTCTTCTCAATGCAGTCTCACTGGAGACGCTGGTCTACCTCATCAAATTATATAATATCCTAGAGAGATATCTCTGCACGTAACTTATGTTCGCACTTTTAAATCACTAACACACCCACTGAAGTTTCTCCTAAACATGGAAATTTCTTGTCAAAACCAAATTTTCTACTGGCTTAGAGTATGAATTGAGATTAAACATGAAAAGCTTCAGATTTTGGGGGGCAAAATGATGAGACATATGCCAGAAAAGAATGAAATAATATTTTCGTGTACGATAAATAAAGTTCAGATGATATAAATGTATGAAATGAATAGATAATGACAGAGAGTTAGAAAACAAAAGATTTAATTGGATAAAATTTATTAGAAAACATAATTTTTCTCAAAGTCATTTTCATCATTTGTGTTTTTTTGCCATGTCATTGAATATCCTCAACTGCATGCCATAATATACAGCATTAAAAAATATTTTTCTATTATTTTTTGAGTAATAGAAGTAAATAACAATGGTCTAGCTAATGTCAACATTACTATAGTATATTTTAATGAGAACTATATTATATAGGTTTGCAATGTCACAGTAATTATCAGCAATAATGACAAAAGTTTACATTAATTTTGTTGCTGTTATATTATTTTTAATATACCATTAAAATTATTATATTCTTCTATAATCATTTAGACTTTCTTTAATAGTAATACTGCTAAAAATAAAACAAAAAAGTACTCATATACACTGATTCTTGGCATAGTGCCATCACTCATAAGATCCCAAGACTGATAAAAAACAAAGGGACATAATAGACTTTAGACTAATTTTCCAATTGTTTACTTGTCTCTTTTTTTCATTATTTTCACATCATTGTTTAAAGGTAAACCACAAGTGTAATCTAGCCAGATAATACTACATCATGAAAGTTTATTAAAGTGAGTACTATTTCTATTATGTATCTCTTTGAATTCTTACTAAATTATAATCTTGCTAGACTTCAAAGGCGATGCAAAGATGAGATTATAGAACTAAATCTTATCAGCAGAGCAATGATATTTATCCAGATACATAATCGGCTTTTTTGCCATAGAAGTATTAGGTATGGACTAAATATATATATTAAAACAGTACACCGTCTATACTCCATATTCTAATTATTTCTTTACTTCTCTTAGGTAAGCTTTTAATGATAGCTAGTAGATATACACGCAGTATAAAAAAATATTTTCTGCTTAAATAAACATTCTGTAAATTGTTATATTAATATGCTTTCTTATTTATTAGCTTTCTCATACCTGTAAAAGCTGCTTTCATTGAGAAACGGCTTGTAGCTTATAAAATACTTAGTAGAATTATTTTTTTTGAAACAAAATAAAATATATCTTTTTTGAGCCCAAAAAATAATTTCCAACGTTTGCACCCCCCTCCCTCCCAATTCTACTATTTGAGGAAGACCCCCCTCAAAACTTGTCTGAGTTTCCTAAAAAGAAAACCCTTATCGACACTTTTTTTTTTATTGTTGAGATTAAAAAAACTTCAGTGGGTGTGAAGAACATAGGAAGTTACTAAATCACATGACTTACATTTGTAATGTGCGAGAAGTCACACAATAAGAGAATATGAATAAAACAAATATGAAGATAAAGATAATGTTTATTTGTTGGAATATTTGAGATATTTATATGTTTTGGAATATATGATATAATTGGTAAATGACTAAGAGACGATATTTGCTAAGTAGTTATTACTAAGTAATTTATTACTAACTACTTCTTTGTCATTGCTTAGTCTACTAGTCATTACTTATTAACATTTTTAATAAGGCAATGCCTTACGATTTGATAATACTGGGACTGAATGTCAATTACAATCCAGTTCTGACATCCCCCTTGTTGACTTCTGCTGTGTGTTGGAAGTATGGCTTGAGTCTGGAGATATGTATGTTGCTGAGTTGCCTCTTCTGATTACTGATTGTGAAGATTGTTTTGCTTTCGATCTTGACAACTCTAAATGGTCCAATCCAGTTTGGAAGAAGTTTTCTTGATATGGTCTTGCTAGCATTAGACAATTGTTCATTGAATAGTAATACGCAATTGCCAATTGCATATGAAGTTCAGGTTTGTTCTTCTAGGCCTGGCAGCTGCTATGCTTGTACTATGCTATGTGCTTTTTGTGTTGCATTGACAAGATCTTTGGTGAAGAGACTGAGATGCAAACCTGAAGAGAGAGTACTGACTTCAGTGTTGAGTAGTCTTGAAGTTGGAGTCTGCGCATCCCTCCAGTGAACCAAAAAAAGGGAGTATTCTGAATGCTAGGATGGAAGGCTATATTATAGGCAAAAGCAAAGTGTGGCAAGTTCTGGTCTCAAGTGCGTGCCAATGGTCCTTGCTGATTGGCAAAAGCCAGGATCATTTGGCAAAGAGTGGCCATGAATTGTTCTATTATGCCATTGCTTTGGGGATGATACGCAGGGGAGTAAGCATGGTGGACCCCAGTTCGAATGGCCAGGGCTTGAGTGAATGAGGAATTGAAAGGGGGACCATTATCAGACAACTATTCGTGAGGCAATCTATGTTGAGGAACAAATTGGCTGTATAGAACAGCCACCAGCTGGTCTTGATTGCTTGCTGAGAGAGAGTACAGATTAACATATCAGGTGAAGGTATCTTGAGCCACCAGAATTTACTTGTTTCCCATGGCAGAAATTGGAAGCAGACCAAAAAAATCAAGAGCTACATGCGCAAATAGATAGTCATCTTGAGTAGACCCAAACTGATAATCCGAGGTCTTGCTTCCTTTTGTGCGCTGGCATATATCACAGTGGCAAACAAAGGCTTTGACATTGGAGGACAGAAAGGCCCAATAAAAATGTTGGGCGATTCTAGTGATAGTTTTTCGCACTCCAAAGTGACCAGCCAAAAGGTTACTATGATGAGCCTGTAGGATTTGGTCTTGTATTTGTTGTGGGACGACCAATCGGTTACTGTAATGGTTGCTGCAAGTGTTATAAACTAATCAGACCAGTATACCTTTGACCATTTCGTATGTGCGGGAAGCCCCAGAGATTGCCTTGTCAGTAGCTTCCATCCGGAAGCGGTCCAAAGAGGTATCCTTAAGCTGTTTGAGCAACCAGTCAATATCTGAAGCAAGGTATACATTGTTTATAGCAGGCAACGGGTTGCGGGAGAGCACATCAGCAGCCTTGTTTTGTGGTCCTGGTATGTAGCAGATGTCAAAAGAGTAGCCTTGCAATGTGATGGCCCAACATGCCAAGCGTCCTTGACGTTCTTCCTTGCTGTTCAAGAGCCCCTGCAAAGAAGCATGGTCAGTGTAAATAGTAAACTTAGCTCCCTCAAGAAATGGACAAAACTTGCGAACAGCCCAGACAATAGCAAGAGCTTTGAGTTCTTGAATGAAGTAGTTGACCTCCGCAGGAGTTAGCAAACGGCTTGCAAAGCTGAGAGGATATGGCTGGCCATTGTGTTTTTGGGATAATACTATCACAATTCTGGATTTGGAGGCAGCATCCGTGAACAGATCAAACAGCGATCTTAGAGGATGGGGGGTAATGGCACCACACAATTTAAGGTGACTGTGAGTCCGAGGCCTGGCTATAAAGTGTCTTGAAGAACCCCCCGTCCCCATTCTTTATAAGTACATCTTGCTCCATCGTTATAAGCATACCCCTGTCCCCATCTTTAGATCATTCCAATTTTCCAGGAAAAATAAAAACACCCCCTTTCTTAAAGTCATTAAAATTTAGTTGTAAGAATAAAAAATAATATTTCCAAATAACAAGATATGATGCCTTTTTTATGTTATGTACATTGCATACATTACATACATTGCGTACATTGCGTACATGAATCAATAAAAATCCGTATATAACTACAGTGCTCTTTTATTAAATATGAACACCAACTTCAATACCCCTATTGAAAAGATGTACTTGCTTAAAACAACTCTCTCATTCCCCGAGAATAATTATCCTGACAAGCAGAGTGTTCTTCAAGCCGTAAACAATTATGCCATTTCTAATAACTTCACCATTAAGATTAAGGATGGAAAATTCCCTATTCTTCACATTGCTTGTTCAAAGGCTGGTGGTTATTGTGACAAGCGCAATATAAGTGATGAGAAAAGAAAGAAGACGCCTAACTCTTCTCTTACTGAATGCCCCTATCTCTTAAGATTTTCTTATAAGAAGAAGAGCAAAAGATATCTTCCTTTGCTCACCTATGGGGAAAACGAACATTGCCACAACCACCCTGTCACCCCTAAAAATTTGGCTTCTTCTCATCAAGGAAGAATGTCTCTTTTGACTGCTGAAGATGCCACTATTGCAAAGACAATGTTGGAGAGTCACGCCAAGTCCCGTGATGTTCAGAAGGCAACAAGTGACAAGGTGACAGGAATGAGAAAGCTGAGGATCAGCGATATCAACAATCTCAAGTACAGTGCTACTCGTGGTGATGAGGAGTCTGCTCATGGCGCTACTGAGCTTATCAGAACAATGGAAGCAAAGGGATTTTCCATTCTCTACGAGTTTAATGAGAGAAATAGACTCACTTATATATTTTTTACGAATGATATAATGATCAAGAGAGCTCAACGTTTCCCCAATGTCTTTATTGTGGATGCTACATACAAGACAAACTGCGCGAAGATGTCATTGGTTTGCGTAGAGGGTGTCAGTAATCTAGGTGAAGAAAGGTTGAAGAGCTTTCCTGTGGCCTTTGCATGGGTAGCCAATGAGACAGAGAAGAGCTATGTTTGGTTTGTGAAGTCTCTGAAAGCAAATATTTTGGAGGGGGTTGATAAAGCCCCTATATTTGTTACAGACAAATGTAAAGCATTGATGAATGTGCTTGATTCCGAGTTTCCCTTGGCCAAGAAGCTTCTGTGTGGTTGACATATGATCAACAACATTGCCAAAATGGAAAAAAAAAACAATGAAGCCAGGAAAAGAAAAAGAGTTGTGCACACATTTAGTCAACAAAATGATCTTCAGAGATAAACACAATATCTTTGATGAAAATCTTGAGCTTTTCAAATCGCTGTCATCTCAGAAAGATTTCCAAAGTAAAGAGCAGCTGGAAGACAATAATGATGATTCTACAAAGGTTGTAGAAAAAAGAACTCTGGAAAAGTACTTTGAAGATGAGTGGATGCCGTGCAAGGAAAAGTGGGCTGGCTACCTCACTAGTCAATTAAAACATTTTGACTATGTGACAACACAATGTGCTGAGAGTGGCCATAATGCTCTGAAAAGAAAAATCTCGGCTCTTCAGTCATTGAACTCTTAATTTGAGCAAATTTGCTCCTATCTTCTCCAGTTCGAGGGCGACTATCAGGACCTTGAGTTGAATGAGACAACTATCACAGATGCCAGAATATACCATGAACCTCGCCTCTGTGGATTGATTCACTACGTCTCTAGAATTGGTTTGATCACCATCTGTGCTGAGCTTCTAGAAGAGGTTATACCTGGTGAGCTTTGCAATTGCAGAGTAAAAGTGGTGTTTGGTCTTTCTTGTCGCCATGATCTGCCAAGAGATTGTATGCTGCTATTATCAGACATTCCTGAAAGATGGATTCTGTCTTCTTCTTTGGGTGAACGTTTGAAGCAACTGGAATGTGACGTTTCTTTACAGAAAATCGACGTTGAAAAGCCTGCCCCATGAGTGAAATGTATAACAAAGCTTGAACAATTGTTTTGTCAGTGTGAAGGGAATCAACAAGTCCAGAATCTTATGGCAATGGTTGATGAACTTGTTGACAATGCCAGTGAAATAATTGACCATTCAAATGTTGTATTTCCTTTGGCAAGTGAGGTCAAAGCTCCTGGAAGACCTAAGCACGTCAAAAGGAAAACTGCTCTCCCAAACGACTTTGTCCGTCACAAGCACAGACATCTCCTTGTGCAAAAGAACAAAGTAAGCATACAACATACACAAACATGATTTCACAATCTAATACATATTTATTCTTTATTTTTTTAGAATGATATCAGAAGTATTTTGAAAGAAGGACTTAAAGAAGTGATGAAGGAGTTCTTAGAGGAGGAGCCTCTCAAAAAAAAGTACTTTATAATTGTTTTTTTTTGTGAAATTACAATGTAATATCTAATGCTTACTATTTCTAGTCATAAAAGAAATAAAAAAAGAAACCCAATTTGCTGAAAAACAAGAGCCTCTCAAAGAAGGTAATTTTTGATAACTTATAAATGAATCACAAAATATTTTGTATGGTTTGCTCACACATTGCATGTTTTCTCTATAGCTAAAACAACCAATTTCGCTAAAAAGCAAGAGCCTCTCGAAGAAGGTAACCGATAAGATATTTTACTAAAATTAAATACTAAATGTTACATTGTTTTTTGTTTCTTCTTAGCTGAAAAATATTCCTCTGGAATTAAAAGACCTAAACATCTCCAAGACGACTACTGGCACAATTTGCCTAGTCCAAAAAAACAAAACAAAAATGTGCATGACTTTGCTCTGCCTGCTCAAATCGATCAAGCCACTATTTCGTTGACGTTTAACCCCAAGTCTGATGGTTGGTGCGGTTTCCGTGTATTTGCACACCTGAAAGAGGGTGGAGAGGATCAGTTTCCTTTGGTGAAGAAGAAGATATTGGCCACGATGGCAACCCATGGTAAACTTTACGAGCACAACTTTGGCATGGATGTTGCCAAAGTGACAGAGGTCATTGCCTTTGGCTCCGAGATTGACCCTGCTCTTGGGGAAAATATCCCATCTTGCCCTTCCTCTGTGTGGTTCTCTGCACCAGACTGTGCTCAGATAATAGCTGACATCTATAATGAGCCTGTTTGTGTGTACTCAGACGATCAGAGCGTCTTGCCTGTAACTTTCCTTCCCCTCCATGATTGGAAGCCTCTCAAAAGAAAGTCATTGCCGATGGTCTTGCACCATGTACATGGGTGCCACTAGACAACAATTAAAGTGAAGCCTCATGTACATCGGTCCTGGCCTGAGGTAAATGCACTGTATTTTGATGCTATCCGTAGAGGGAGTATCATTGACTGCTTTTCCACAAGTTGGAATCATTGGGGTCAGTTCCCAAAGAACAAGTCTTATCTTTTACTCTCTACTACTACAACTACTACAATTACTACTACTGCCACTAACTCTCCTACAAATTCTCCCAAAATTCTTCTAATATTATTGACCTCACACATATATAACTTATCTATCTTTCTATCTTTTAATATACTTTACTCCTATTTTTTTCTTTAATTTTTTAACAAACACAATTGTACCCAGTCTGTCTTTAATTTTAATGTTACATGTAAAACCCAGATACGAATATTATTGGCATCCAACTAATTGGAAGACTATATAATTAGCTTTTATTTTTTGGAGTACAAAGTCTGTGCATTTATAAGCAATCTGATTAAGATCTTCATCCAATCACAGACGTGAATTTTACCATAAAAGATGTAAAACAGAAATGACGCATAGCTTTTGATAGATTTCTGTCTTAATTCGAATGCTAAAGCTTGGATATTTTGCCGTATTGCTGAAAAAATACGTACATCTCTATATCCAAAATTTGAAGTTAATTTATTATGTTTTGGTTGAATAAACAAGCAAAATATACACTTTTTTTTCACGCTTTTAACCATTTGAGATAGATTGTTTTTGCTAATAAATATCTTTTCTACATAATAATATGATCTAAAACTTTTACTGAAACGATTTTTTACTATTTTCTATTGATATAAAGCATTTGCAAGTGATTTTTACTAATATTTTCAAATTGTTGTTTTTTTGTTTAATCTTTCACAAATGAAATGTACAGAACTTTTGTAATTCACTCATTAAACGTGATTCAAAAAATATTACAAAACAAACAAATACTCACTTTATGCAGAAGGAATCAACGAAACCAACCATCTTACTCTCATACTTCTATTTATTTTTTTGAACGAGTTATGAATTTTTTAAAAATAAATAAAAATGAAAATGAAAAGTTACAGACAAATGTTCTTCCACTTTTGCATGAATTTTCTTAGTGAATAAAGACAAGTGATTATACTGGATGGGGACAGGGGGTGACTGTTTTTTGGGGGACAGGGTGTTACACACAGAAACGATGGATGTCTGCCGGACAAGTTAAAAGTAGTCACGCCTCTAATTATCTGCTGGACTACTCACTATAAGCTTGTGTAACACCCTGTCCCCATCATCCAAAAACCCCCTGTCCCCTAAGATTTATGCAGGTCAAATGGCTTGCCAAAATTGGGTTGTTTGAGCGTTGGAAGATCGGCCAGGATGAGTTTAAGAGATCAAAAAGATTTTTCTTGGTCCTTGCCCCATATAAAGGGTGTTGTGGTATTTCAGGTACGAAACAATAGAAAAATAAAATATTTGATAATAGGGACGTATAGAAATACTTTGAGACTGTATATAAGTTGTCTTTATTCATAAATAAAAAGTGTCCCTTTTTATAAGAAAACACAATCTGCTCTTGTCATTACGTCTTAGTTTCTTAAGGCTTTCTTCCTTTACTATATTTGGTTATTAGAGTGTATTTACTGCTTAACTAGTGTCGGTGTTACAATTATGACATCAAGTCATAAATCGTACTTCTTTAGCTCTTAGCTATTATTTTCTCTTTTATACTAGAGCTTTAGGACTTCCTACTAAATTAGCTCCATATCGATCTGACACAGTTTACCCGGCAGTATGATATAATTATCTTAACAATCTTTAAGATATTATCTACAGTACTAACTGTAATAATTATTGGGCTGATTACTTAATCGTTTATATATATTTTATACTGACAAGATGATAGCTACTACGCTATCCCAATATGAATATGTTCTTATATGTGATAAATCCAACATCCGAGTGTCTGGATCACCACAGGTGTGTCCTTGCATAGCAGCAAACGAAGAGGTTCCGAAATGATAACATACTGTGAGATGAACGTATGGTAAGCACCCACAATACCAAGAAAGCGCTTGATACCATGGTAGTCAGTGAGAGCTGAGAGGGTCTTGATAGCAGCAGTCTTGAGTGGATCAGCCTTGATGCCTTTGTTGAATGCAATGAAATCCAGGTATTGGATGGAGGGTTTGCAGAACTGGTATTTAGACAACTTGATAGACAGGCTGACATTACTCAGATGGTAGAGAACAGTGTCAAGATCGTAGAGGTGTTGTTTGAGATTTGGTGAAAAAATGATAATATCATCAAGATAAGCAAGTGCACACTTCCAGCAAAGGTCCGAGAGAACATGATCCATAAGGGCTTGAAAGAAGGTGGGTGCATTTTTCAATCCGAATGGCATGACAGTAAATTGAAAAATACCCTTCCTGCAAGTGATGGCTGTCTTAGATCTGTCAATTTTTGCAACGGAAATCTGCCAGTAGCCAGCAGCCAGATCCAAGGTGGAAAAAATGGTGGCAGAGTCAAGTGAATAGAGAGCTTCATGGAGGGGTACAAAGGTATGAGTGAAGGAGACCATTCGCTTGTTAAGTTCACAATAATCAACAACAACACAGATAGAGCCATCGGGCTTTGGAATGGCTTGAATTGGTGCACCCCATTGGGGAAAAGGACATGGTTCCAGGACGCCGTTAGCAAGCATTTCATCAACTTCAGTATCGAGAGCAACATCGACTTCCGGACGACCACAGCAAGGAGGAATAAAAACAGGTTTATTATCAGCGGTGTCAATAGTAAATTCCAATAAGTGAGTTGGCATTGGTCGTTTCGGGTTAGATGTTATAGCAGCCTCGTTCTTGCAAAGAATATCTTGAATAGCTGGGTCAAGAGACAATGCAAGTGCCAATGGAGTAGACTGCTTGGTATGAAGAACGGCTTGATATTCCTGAGGGTTAGCCAGTGGGAGAGACATAATCTCGCCGGTAGATTGCTTGAGAGAGATACGATTGGTTGTAGAATCGATGATTCCTCTGAGGATCTTGATGTTGTCCCAACCAAAGAGGATTTCATGGTGGACCTGGTCAACGACATGAAACCCAAGGGTGTGGCCGAAAACCAAGATGAAAACCTTGCCAAGCATCAGGTGGCGTTCTTTCTTAAAAGTCAAAAAAGAAAGAGCCAAAGAGCTGTCAACAGAGAGGTTCATTTTCTGGGCAATGTTGGCACGAATAGTCGAAATGTCAGCACCCATATCAACAAGAGCGGTAAGGGTCCCATCACCAACTCGGAGATACGCAGTTGGGGACACCTCTTGATGGTGGTCGATGTCGGCCACTATGACTTGGTTGATAGTTCCAGTGGACGAAGGCTCCGAGGTAGTGGTGGGGTGCAAGAATTGTGATTGCAGTGAAAAAAGACCATCAAGCTCGTTATCAAACATTTCGCCTTCAGGAACTTGGGGGGCCTCCTGAGTTGCTGTGGAGGTTATGTTACGGACTTGCCAACGTGAGGGTTGGTTGCGAGATCCTCTTGAATTCCCGTTGTAAGGCAGCTTCGAGTATGACGACGTCCCAGAGTTCTTGCTACAGTCGATGGTTCGGTGACTGGCAGTCCAGCAGAGATTGCAAATCGGTTTGCCATCTTTAGTGTATGCCCTGAGATGTGGACGTGGCTGCGTTGTTTGTACTGCATCGATTTCCATTGGAACAGGTCCAGTGGCCAGTGTTCGTTCTGCCCGTAGTTCTGTAGGAGAATAATCAATGAGGCGTGCCCTGCGTTCTACCTTGATAGCCACGTTGACAGTATCTGAAATGTCTTTGAGGACGCCATGAGCAAGGGTGGAACGGAGAGGCTCCAAATACAATGACTGTAGGAACTCAGCCACCTGTTCTTCCACAGTGAAAGGTGTAGTAAGGAAGGTGTGAAGGTGTTCCCATTCAGCGGCATATTTGGCAATTGACTGGTCAGCGCGTTGGCGCAGCTTACGGAGCTTGGTGATGATGAGGCGGTCGTCCACAGTTGCTGGAGAAGCAAAACGCTGGAGCAACTCGGCTTCAACAAGGTTCCAGAAGGATCTAGTCGTTGTGGGTAGCGTGGAAAGCCAGTTTCAAATAGCGGGTGGCATGCACTTTCTCAGGACCTTAACACAAGCATCCAAAGAAGCATCAACTGCTGCTGCTTCTTGCTTGAACTCATGGAGCCAGAAACGGAGATCGTGCGAGTTGGACAAAGGATTAACGTCAATACTCTTTACATTCTCGGACATGTGCCATGTAGAGAATTCAGACTGCTCTGTGGGAGGAGGAGTCGCGGTTTTTGATTTTCCAGAAGCCATAGAGGATACAGAGGATTCGGATTCGGATGGGATTAAAGGAATCGGTGTACGCCAATTATCAAAGGAAGCCAGGGCAACCACAAAGAGAACAACGGGTTCTGAAGATCAGAATCCCAAGAAAGATAGAGAGAGAGTCCGGGAAGAATGAACCAGAAGAAGAAGAAGTCTTTGGAGAACGATGTCCAATTAGAAGGGTTTGGAGAACTATGTCCAAGTAAGAGAAGGCAGAGTCTGGAGAACACGGTTCAGAGAAGCTTAAACGTCGAGAATCTGGAGAACTAGGTCCAGGAGATAGAAGGCAGAGAAAATCCGGAGAACTGGGTCTGAGAGAGGGTTAGACGTTGTAGCTTAAAATGACTTTTAGACGGGTAGTCTCACCATGTAATGTGCGAGAAGTCACACAATAAGAGAATATGAATAGAACAAATATGAAGATAAAGATAATGTTTATTTGTTGGAATATTTGAGATATTTATATGTTTTGGGATATATAATATAATTGGTGAATGACTAAGAGACGATATTTGCTAAGTAGTTAGTACTAAGTGATTTGTTACTAACTACTTCTTTGTCATTGCTTAGTCTACTAATCATTGCTTATTAACATTCTTAATAAGGCAATGCCTTATGATTGGATAATACTGGGACTGAGTGTCAATTACAATCCAGTCCTGGCACATTTGGTCCTTCTATATTTTAAAACAAGTACATGAATTACTCTCACACATGTAATCCACGATCGTAATTGTGTGCCCAATTGAAATTAACAATAGAGACAAGTAATCATTTAAATGTGAAGGGAATATCTGAATCTCGCACATATAATCCACGATCGTAATTGTGTGCTCAATTAAGATGAACAATAGGGACAAGTAGGTAAATTTAGGGATTAAATGACACACCATATAGCAATTGAATTTATACAAGAAAACTTCTGGCTATCAAGACAACTATAGAAATTTGAAAGGCTTTCAAAAATTTAGACAAGTGGGTAGAATAAACGGGTAGAATAAATGGGTAGAAAAAACGGGTAAAATAAACAGGTAACATAAACGGGTAGTATAAATGGGCAGAATAAACAGGTAGTATGAATGGGTAGTAAATACCTAAAATTGATAACAGTATAAATAGCACATAAGAGACTTTAGGAAGAAGTGTTATCATAAATATTAGAGGATAAGTATATACAAATTATAAAAAAAAAAAGAAACTAAATCACAAGAGTGCTATTATTGCCACTTTGCTTTAATCAAAGTTTTCAATTTTTGCATGGATCATTTTCGATTTTTCCTTTAATACAAAATCTTTACAAGAATAAAATATTGAAATAAACTTAGACGAACGGGGTTTTCTTTCTTTTCATAGTATGGTTATTGCTTCTTAAACTGTCCCAATGGGGACAACCGGTCTACCTCGTATATATATATATTTAGGTTATTATTTTTATTATTATTTTACAAAGAGGCTCCAATCATAAAAGCTCCAGCTGCACCGGCATCCGCACCAGAATCATTGCCACTGTGACTTGGTGCAAATACACCTGTTCCTTCGCCGCCACCTCCTCCAGACCTTGACTCTTCACAATCATCTTTGTAATTGTATCCTCTCCTTAACTGCATACCTTCCAGACCATAGGATGTCTTAGAACCCATGTTGTTCAACTCTGGTGGCACCTCATCCTTTTTGAGATCGACAGGCTGGTTAGGCATTGTGTAACTAATACCGAGTCGTTCACAGGTTTCTTTGAGCTCCATCATGTAATTGTTGTGTCTCATCCAGCGACCACCGGCATCTTGCCAGTTCTGAGTGTGTTCAAAGTAAAAAGATATCGTAATTCGGTTGAGGTTCTCAAATGAGATGATGTTGGCAGAGGTAGAATCTGGAGTATAGAGCTTTGGAAACTTGTTACTCCACTCAAACATCTCGTCTCTCAAACGATTGATCTTCCATCCCGGAGTAGAAAAGTGAACGTGAATATCTACAAGAGAATATATTATATATAATAAAATCAGTAACCTTTTATCCACAACCAATTCAACCACTCTTTAAAAGAAATCCCCCGCCTCTGTTTTATATATAAATATTATTTAATACCTAGAGCCTTTTTTTTTACAAGCAGTGTATGCTGTCTACATGTACTTGCTTATAACCTTGATTTCCCCCCTCTTCTTCTTTCTTTTCCTTTTCTTTTCTTTGCTTACCGATTCCTTCACAGGTTCTTCCTGTACGGCGACAATTGATGATGTATTGAGTAGCCAGAATAGAGTTTTTGGCGTAAACAATAGAACCATCCCATTTACTGTTAGAAATAAATAAATATATATATATATAGAAAAATAATAGCTTAGTAATTGCTCATATTTTTTCTTTAAAAAAAACCAAAATCTTAAGGCTACTATATGCAATTGACTTACTTGAACGTTGTCACCAGTAGACCAACGTTATTTACCACCCAATTTTCTGAACCAATAAAGACTCGATCTCCAGCATCAAAAGGATGCTATAAGACATATATATATATGTCATAATACAAGAAATTAACCACAAAATTCACTACTCGTTTAATTTGATTTAATTAATTTAAGAAATCATCTTACCGTTACAAATACAAAAATGATGGCTTCAAATGCATCTTTGGCACTGTTGCCAAATACAAAACTGAATGCAATAAATGCTGTCCAGAGTGGCATTAATTCTGTACCGACATTAACACCAAATGACGCACACACAATAATAACCTTTTAAGAAACAAACAAATAAAACGTATAAGCATATAATACCCAAAAACTCGCACACTAAAAAAAAAACAAAAAAAAGGAATATATTTTAAGCTTACCCAGATGGCTGTAAAGATAACCAAAAGAATCAGGTCAAGTTTTCCTGTTGCCTGAGACAAATCTCGCATTGATCGTGCAAGATTCTTGCGCTCCTTGTAGATCCGGATGCAACCCGACCGAAGTTCCCGTTTACTGATGTCACCATTTCCATCTGTGTCAAACAAGCTAAACGCATCCGCGGCCTCTTCGTGGGTCCTGAAGAACGGATACATGTCAGCCTCGACTACACTCTGGCGCACCGAATCTGGGCCCATCAGGTTATGGAAGATCCGTTTGGCGAGCGCCTTGGCCTGATGAGAAGATGTCTGGGTCTGGGATGGCTGGGTTGACCGGAACTTCTTGTAGCCACCCTTCAACAGTCGTCCGGGTGCAGTTGCGGTGCTCAAGCCAAAGTCCTTGGCACCGTTAAAGAAAGATCGGTCGTCGTGGCTGAATCTCGAGAAGCCGGTGAATTCACGAGTAAGTGGAGGTGGACGGGGGTGACGGATCGGATTGCCGTCTTCATCAGACATGGTCATTTGGTTGTGTTGGTCCCGTTTGTTCAACCGAAGTTTCTTTGACAGGTTGGTGAATACGTTCTCTGGGTGTCTTTCGGTATCAGAGTATATTTCATTTCCACTTTCTGCTATTGTGGTTGATGTTCTTAATGGTGGTCTTTGTTGTTGATTCTGTTGATGTTCTATGTGTGCTACATTATCGGTTTTTTCCATTTCAATTTCTGAAAAATCAGACTTGACATCTTCGTTTGGAAATCTTTCTTCGATTGGGGGTATGGCTATAAGGGTATCCATGTTCTGAGCTGGAGGGAACCGAACATTGCCCCTCGGGATTTCGTCCATGGATGTTGCGCGGGATGACACGGTGGTCATGATTGATTTCTTTGCCTTGTCAAACCTACCATTCCCCATCCTCTGCTGCTGCTGCTGCTGTTGTTGTTGTGGTTGGGAATGATCGGTTGGGATATCATAAAGTGATGCTGCCCGACTCTGTTGTCCATCTGTCTTTGGTTTGCGTCGGATGTGTTTGAACAGGAATTCTTGGGGAGTCTTTCGTTTTACTCTCTTGAGACGATCGAGAATCTTGAGGGCTTTGTCGTTAGTTTTGATACGATCGCCATATGCTTTCCTGTCAAGGTTTATACATGTATAGTGTTTTATAGGATAAAAAAAAATTAGTAAGTTAATTAGTTGCAAAATTTTGAAGTTGAGTTTGGGATTTTTGGTGTGATTGAGATGGAGCTAATAATAAACCCCCCCTCCAGCCGTCTCTATCTCTCTTTTTCATTATTTATTCCTCTAAGCTACGATATTATAGTCACGGTCCTCTTTACAATTTAAAGATAATCTTATATACAATAGTAATCCTTGGGTGCTGTTTATGTTTGGATTATAACTTACTTGTGGAAACTGGTAACTGTTTTATATATATATATATATATATATATAAATTGATGCGGAAATTGTATAAAGTTTTTTTTTGGGTACACAAGAAAAAAGGGTTAGTTCAATGTAGGGATCTGTTTCTTATTTTATCTCGCAATATATATATATGTATACATATATGGGTTTATGGTATTTATGTCCGTGTGTGTGTATGTGTGCAGGTAGATTATACGATGCGCTCAGAATCAAATTCCCATTAATGAACTAAAATAAGATATATATAAATATTTACCGATGAGTTGCAGAATAAACTTTTCGATGAATAATAGAAATGCAGCAAAGAAGCAGCATTCTAGAATATTGTAGATAATTCCAAGGTAAGACGGGATCGTATTAGTGCCTGGCAGAGGTATGTGTGCTTGAATAAATGCCCAGGAACCCCATCCCCATGCGGTGATCAGCCACAACTTGATGAATCCACGAAGAGCCATATAATACTAAAGTGTAGAATAGAAAGGAAAAAAAAAACAAAAAAACGGAGTATGAGTTTAGATCGTGTAACCACTTGTTATGTGTATCTAAATTGATGTTAATTATCGCACTGACCGACAATCGCATGCGAAGAACCTCGCTATTGTTGGGGTGTATGTAGGCCGCACCCTTCTTGATGATCCAGGGAAGAAGCTCGACGGCCAGCTGAGACAAGAACCCGATGCACCACATGAAAGTGATCCATGTAAACCAGATCTCGAGGTTGTAGGACACCATGGATTCCTTGTTTTGGTTGCGATAGACAACAAAGATCGACACATCTATTGTAATGAAAATTGCAGCAAACAAGACGATACAGAACCAGGCAATTGATGATGCATTTTTGGACAGGCAGATGATCACACCTTGGGTTGCCAGGGCTCGCTTGTTCCTTTTTTCCTCTTGGTTCTTTTTTTCGGCTTCATCGTCGTCGTCGTCTCCGCCACCCCAGTCAAATTCTTCTGTCAGGGTGTGGCCGTCTAGATCAGGTGCAGACACAAGTGCAGGCCCAGCCAAGGATGATAAAGGCAGGTTCATCGGCAGACCTTCCTCAATCATGTCCTGGCCCTCGTCGTCTGTGGTTGTGGTTGTAGACATACCCGAGTGATGGTTGTTAGGGTTGTTGTTAGGGCCATTAAGATCGGTGTCTTGTTTCGCTTGAACCAATGTTGGTTCACTGTTTGCTCTTCCCTGCGCCCGAGACATCTTTTTTGGTTGTTGTTGTTTTTTGGAGGGTATTTACTTATTTTGACAGAAATTAAGATTTATAGTTTTGTATAAATCAAGGATTAAAAAAAAAAGAAACAAAAAAGAATGGGCAAAAATAAATAATTTTAATAATTAAAGTGTTGGATAAAGTAGTAAAAGATTAAAGATAAAATGAAATAAAATAAAATGAAATAAAGCAAAATAGTAATAGTAATAGTAATAGTAATAGTAATTAGATAGATAGATAGATAGACGGGCAAAACACACAAAGCAGGGGATAGAGAAGGAGAGAAGAAAAAAACCGAAAAATATGAAAAAAAAATAAAGGAAACAAGCAAAACAGCAACAACAAGAGGTTGAATCAATTCGTTGATTAGCCTTATATATATGTATTTAAGAGAGAGAGAAATGTATTTGAATGAGTGTGTATACAAAGGAAAAAAAAAGTCTTGATCGCGTCTAGCTTATGTTGGCGGAAAGTGCGGATACTCAATGCTTACTACAACTGTCATACACACACTTTATACATATATATTATATCTTTTTTCTTTGCCTGAGATAATTTACAATAAGATACAATGCAATTAGATGTAGTAAAGTATAGTCGGGTGCGGTGCAGTGCAGTGGGGTGTAATAGAATGTAGTTAATCGCAGTACTATATATATATATAGAATTATATCTATATGAAATAAAATGTAATAAAAAAAAAGGTACCGAGTATATACATACAGTATATACAGTACGTATTGTATTATATAATGTTCTTTAAAAGATCGAGCAAAAAAAAAATTATTTGGATTTTAAAAAAATAAGTTTTTTTTTATTAGACTAGTAACGTTGTGTGAATGTTATTTTCCTAGCAAGGTAACTCACAAGGTTGTGTTTCTTTTCTTTCTGTTCTTGGTACTTGTTATTATCCTTCTTCTGTTGTAAAAGCCAGCTAATTTACTTTACCCACGAAGATTATATAAATATAAAAATATAAATATGTTTTACCTGGGTTTTTTATGTACACTGATGTTCCGCCAGATATATAGTTATTATATAAAATTCTTTTTTTTTGGGTTTTCTCATAGATTTGTACGACTGTCCTGATAAAGCAGTCTGTCCTAATTTATACCTATTCTTCTTTCTGGATTGTGAAAGCAAAAAAAAAAGAAATACAAAACGTAATAACAACAGTAATAGTAAAGAAATAACCATAGCAACAACATTAAACAATAATGATGAATTGTTTGTTGCTATGGCTATTAATTAATTGTATCTTTTTGTAGGTTTTGATTACCTGTTTAGGTAACAGATGACTATACCTTTTTTTTTCTCTCTTTTTTTAACCAAAAAAAAAAGATGTAAATCTCTCTACTTGTGTACTTGTGTACTTGTGCGCTTCAAGTGTATGTTTCAGGGACCGAGTACGTCATATATGTTCACCCGGTACAAGGAAGACCAGAATGCCAAGAAAAATAAGCACAATAGAAACGACTACATAGAATACTGCACACTATACAATCGGAATTATCGTATTGTTGAACAAAGGAAATATATACGTATAAAATAATAGAGATTTTCCTTTGTATATAAGATAAAATTGCTCAGTGTCACAGCAACAAAATGAGGGGACATTCCTATTTGATTTCCAGAAAGCCAGAAAAAAAAATTTACTCTTTGTACATTCATACTACACACACAAAACAAGATTTTTTTTGATATATATATAAAAACATTTTATGCCTTTATACTTATTCGTCTTCTAATTTCGATATATCCAAAACAATAAATAAAAGGTTTCTTTTCCGTACTTTCTGAATGATACACATAGTAGGTATATGACCTGCCCTGAATGGAATAGACTCAAACATAGTCACAAGCCCTTGATAGAAAGAGATTCACTCAATCAAAGAAGCAGTGCATGTGACATTAAAAGATTAATAGATAGATAAATAGCTATGCAAAAAGTAAAGACAAAATGAAAGGGAGACCAAAAAAAATATATTTACAGATATAATCTAGTGCCATTTTCTTTTGGTGTTTTTTTTTACTTGTTAGACTTTAAAGAATGTTCAAACCCTACATAAAGTCAATCTTTGCACTATACTCACGTAAATGTATATATATATATATATATATATATTAATAACTAAATAAATATGAGAATATAACATCATATTCATTTGAGCTCACTACCAATCTCTCCCATTAACATCAACTCACTGGCCGCCTATCGATATATATGCATATATATATATATATAAACACAAACAAAACTACACACACACACACACATATATATATATATATATACAAAATATGTATGTATATATCAATTGTTCTATATTATGTCTTCATATATTCAAAGAAAAGCTATGAACTTCTCTTTTTTGTAGCCTGAGTGTCTACTGTTTGCAAATTAACCTTTGCATCCTTCAAGATAAACTGGTAGAAAAGCGGGATAACCGGAATAGTAGCCGCATGCCAAAGTGCGTGGGCATCCACGGCTCCAAGCCAAGGTGGAAAATCAAAGACCTCGAGACCCATTGCACAGCTAAGAAGCACGACCGACAGACCGGCCATCCAGGCATACGACCGCCTCGAAGGGTTAGAAGTCAGAGGACTGTACTGAACCACGGTCCAGATGAGCCAGAGCTGTGTCTGGAGAGCACCGATCACAATGCAGGCCAGCATATTGTACCCATAGTCAAACCGAGAGCCCATAGACAGATAAGTAACATGGGCACAATAAAGCATCCCACAGAGTACCCCGAATGCCTTCTTTGGTAATCCGGTCAGCCAAAACACCCTGATGACGGCAATATAAAAGCCATAAAAAATATAGAGTCCTGCGCTGAAATAGTCCAGCCGCTCGGTCATCTCAAAGTCGCGCGTGTGAAAGACCGTACTCCAGACCCAGGCATTCATTGCAGTGATTGCCATGACCAAGTAACCATTCTTCAGGCTGTAATTGTCAGGTAACTGTTTCTGCATCTTCTTGTAATAATGGTAATGAAACAGGCCATTGCCGATAGAGAACAACACTGCCGCGGGTTCCTGAATCCCAAACACACGATTGAATGGCCACTTGCCATGGAATTGATGGACCGTTTGACCATTCTCAATAGCCTTGCTGGTCAGGGCATGCATGCATTGGTACCGACACTCTTGGGCATCGGTCCAGAAAAGGAGCCGTAAGTACAGGGGTAATTTGACATGTTCACTAGAATTAAGGCCAGAAGACTCGACACAGCTCTCGACACAATTTTTGTATTCTGGCAGGTTGTCACCACTTGATGCAGCGCAAAAGTTGAGGCAACCCAACAGTAATAAGACAAATAATGATAAAGATACAGGACCAGGTAGTTTTCTTCTTTGCCAAAAAATCATCTTAATGGCTCTAAAATAAATAAATATAAAAAAAAGAGGGTATTTAAATATACAATAATTCTACCTAATTATTTAACAGAAAAAAGGAAGAATATTTTTTTTTGCTGTGGAGAATTCGATAAGGGCCACCTTTTCTATATTGTTCTTTTATGGCATGAAATATACTTTAATACTTTATAGGTTTTCCTTTATTTATTTAATGGTGTTTATATATATATATATATATATTTAAACAAGTCTTTAGTGTTGTAGTACTGTAAGAAGGTGTGTAAAGGTAAAAAGGTATGTTGAAAAATTAATTCTTACTAATAGGAAAAATAAAATAAAAAAATAAGATTAAACAAAAAAGGAAAACCGAAAACCAAAGGAAAGACAGACTTCTAAACGCGGTTCTTTGTCACACTGGGACTGTCCATCCAGGGACTGCACAAGTTAATGATTAATATATAAGAGAAAGAAAGAAAGAAAAAAGAGTAAGAAGAAGTAAGAAAATGATGAAGAAGATGATTATAATGGTAATGGTAATGATAATGATAATGAACAATTATTTTTTTAAAAAAAAGATAAAGATAAAAGATTCTTGTATTTATCTTTTATCCTTTATATTTTTTTTTACCAGACAGGGTCCAGAGACACGCCTTCTAAAGAAGCAATTCCTTCCCGAACAACCATCTCAGCACTGGCCACACATCCTTCCAAGAGCGGAATTCCCTTCCAGCAATACGAGCCGACAAACCAGAATCCATTCTTGCCCTGACACTGCCCAAGACGGGTGACGTTGTGGTCATCTTCAATCGGCTCAAAAAGATATTTCTGTACAGCCTTTTTTGAAGCAATCGTCACGGTCGCCCTCTCAAACCAAGAGCAGGACAAGATCTGGCTTTCGTTGGGAGGGATGCAGGGGTTGGTGGTCTGGAGGTACAGGGTCTCTTCACTGTCGACTGTTTTGGCTGCAGTGTGGGTCATGTTGAGGATATGGGTGGTCATGGTGGTCTGGTGAGGAAAAGGAATAACATAGCGGCTCTTGGGGGTAGGGATGATAGTTGATGCTGATGATGAGTTTGATGACATTGGGACGGATACAGAAAGATCTACTGTGGCAAGGTTGAGAGCTTTCCAATCTCTGGGGTACTGGGGTAAGAGAGAAGTGTCGGTGTGGTTAATTACGATCGAGGTGTCATAGCTAAACTGCTCGAGCATGTGGATCTGATTTGCCAGATCTTCCTGAAAATCGCTGTGGGCCTTCCAGGTACTATAGTGGTCTGCAGCTGCCTTTTGGGTCAGCAGATGGCGCTCCATTTCCTGGAGGATGGGTAGGGCCTGGTTGCCCTGAGTGGCGAATATTACGTGGTCGAATTCATGGGTCTGGCCGTGATTGTCGGCCAGGGAAAGACGTTTGATGGTCCCAGGGCGGATGTTGGTTATGTGGGTATTGAGATGGATGTGCTCCAGTGGGCCTGAGAGACGGTCGACGACCTGCTTGACACCCGAGTTGACGACATAAGATTCTTCAAAGAGTCCCATGGCCATGTACTCGAGGATGTCGGCTGCAGGATAGTCGAGCATCGATCTCCAGGAGTTTGTGCAGACTGCGGCAAAGAGTGGTACGAATACAGAGTGGACAAAGTATGGGTGGATGGCGTGGTTGTCGAGCCAGGTCTCTAGAGTCTGGTTTGCGATAGGGTGCTTAGGGTTTCGTAAGTGACCGCGGTAGTGGTACCAGAGTGAGAGGATCATAAGCCAGGTATAGGACATACCGACAATCAGACCTGTCCAGCAGAGCTCGAACAAGTGCTTCCAGTAATCACCGGTTGCTTTGGAGGTGTGTTTGTTAGGTAGATCGAGGGTTCCTACGGTTCGTGAGCCGGTGTACGTCATGTATGATCTGTTTGTTGGTTTGATTTGGCAGGGATCGGGCGATTCGATCTTGTACCATCCAAAGCTGAATTTTGCCGGTTTGATGTCGATTCCCAAGTGCTGATAGAGTCTAAATAAATGCGAATAGTAACCTGTGATAATTTATAATTGATATACACAATAAATTCGTTAAATGAATATCCTTATTTTATAATTTATTTTAATTATCATCATTTTACCAGACATAAAAGATCGCATAGGAACCTTGATTTGGAATTGAAAATAAAAATAATAATGAATGTTACTTAAAGCTCTACGGAACCACCATTAATTTTCATAGTCTCTCCACTTACATCGATTCTAAATTGATCATCTTTTCCTACTGATATGGATGCGGCGTCCATTCCTAGTGAAGTGTTCTTTTCGAATATGTGAACCTGAAAACGCACGTCTGTACAAGGGGTTGCTTTTGTGAGCATATATGCTGATGAAAGACCAGCCAGACCTGAGCCTATGACTGCAACCTTGACAGTTCGTTGATCTTCTTCTGGCATTCTACAGCTGAATATAATAAATATATATGTATTTAAAGAAGATGAGGGGAAGACAGAGGATTAATGTTTTGATGTAAAAATAAAGAGAGAAAGAGAGAAAGAGAAAGAAAGAAAGAAAGAGAGAAAAAGAGAGATGATCTCTGACTAAAATAGAAAGTACAAGTTACGAGTTGGATTACAAACCGTTATATTTATTACAGTTTGATTGAAATACCGCACATCCTTCTCTCTCCCTCTCTTTGTTTGCTGCCTTGTTGCCTTTCTTCTTTTTATCTTTCATTACCAACTCACTGGTGTGACAGCGAAATATTGTCTATTACTATTCTTTACCTACAATATTGATTTATTTTTATTAATGTGAGCTGATAAAAGATAAACGCCATCATATACCTTTTAATCACAACAAAGACAGCAGCAGCCAGTGTTTCAATTTGACAATGTTAGAAAGAATAGGAAGCAAATTTGATCCCTGTAAAGATGTGGTTTGATTAATAGATTTATAGATTAAATTATTATAAAATATGATAAAATAAAACAAAAATTTGTTGTACGACTGAATTTGCATAAAGGATTATTCGATTGCAACCTGGATAACGCACCCAATTACAAAACCCACAGACAATATTATATTTTTGGCTTTACCGAGGATCGAACCTTTTTTCGATCCTATTTTATTTTATTTTATTTTATTTTATTTTAAGGCTTATTAAGCTTAAACTCATACAAGTATATAAAACTATACGTACAAGTATCCGCTTCCAAATCAAGAACATCTAAACTTCTTTCTTCTATAGGTTGGTAGTCATGGATACACTATATTATTAATTTTGTCTTGATAAATTAATATATATATATATATAACAACTTATTCTATTTTATGCGTACAACAGATATGCAGAATATATACCTTTTTTATGGGGGTGTTGGAAGATGGAATTGTAAAGGGGATGGCAAAGGAAACAGAAACAAAACTGAGAATATTTTCTGTGGGTGTAAAGTTGAAATAGACATTCCACACAACAAGTAACCTTGTAAGCAATGTGATTAAAACATTGATCATAATGCTAATGCTAATATCAATAATATTGTTAATGCAATGAAATGCATGATATTATATTTCATCTAAGTTTTACGTTGGTAATACACTTGTCTTATTGTGAACCATACATCTCTTTCTATATCTTATATATGTATATGGAATAATATTAGCATAAAATATACATTTCAATTCTTTCTCTTTCTTCTTCTTCTTCTTCTTTTATTGTATTTTTATATATACATTTTCTTTTAAATACATATTGGTACCAGACATGCAAACACACTTTTATATATATATAAAGACACTAATATAAGCATAATCATAAACATGAACATGAACATGACTGTCAATGTGAATGTAAATATTTTACACATAAACATAGAGTAGAGATATCACTTTGGTGCCTTAAATATTTTATTACTAATTTTCTTATGTTTCATCTGCTGTGTAACAGGTGTACAAACACCAATAAAAAAAATATTAAAAAAAAATTAATGCTCAATGAAAAATAATCAAATTAATGCTTGACGTCACAAAATGTGACCACTTTTGATTCCCCCAATGGTTGTGGTGTATTTAGCGTACCTAAAGCTACTGATTTCCAAAAAAAGAAAAGAAAAGAAAAGAAAAGAAATAATGATGTACATCATTTAAAAAAAAAAAAACTTCTTATACACTTTATACACACAATTTAAATTTTTATAAAAAGAACAATGCTTGTCTCGCCAATTTTTAATGCAGATCACAAAGGCATACATTTTGACTTTGAAGATTTTATCAAGAATGAACTAGGACTTGACCTAAATAACCAAGTCAAACGAGAAGGTATAACATTGATATATAGAAACAAATGACAATACTTGACACCCATTTATATATATATATATATATATGAGTGTGTGTGTATGTGTGTGTGTGTGTGTATGCTTACTTGCCAAAATTGTAAACTAATGGCTAATGGTTATTAATATACGACTACTTCTTTTATTATTATTCTTGTGTAGATGAACCAATATGTAAATACTATCTCAAGGGAGCATGTACAAAAGGTGCGAATTGTCAATTTAGACACAAGGGTTACGACAGAGACAAGTCGGTAGTCTGCAAGCATTGGTTGCGTGGTCTGTGTAAAAAAGGTGATAGCTGCGAGTTTCTCCATGTGTTCAACATGAAGAAGATGCCCGAATGCTGGTTTTACTCCAAATATGGTGAATGTTGTAATGGGGATGAGTGCATGTATCTACACATTGATCCCGAGAGTAGACAAAAGGAATGTCCATGGTATGCGCGAGGATTTTGTAAACATGGTAAGCTTTGATTATATACTTTGGTATTAAAAGGTTAATTGATTCTTTATATATATATTCAATGTGTGTGTAATATAGGTCCAAATTGTAGAAACAAACATGTGCGAAAACTGGTGTGTCAAAACTACCTCACCGGATTTTGCCCGGATGGTCTCAATTGTACAAACGGCCATCCTAAATATGAATTACCTGCAATTCATATGGGAGACAACTTTGATGATAGACAAATGTCACAACAAATGATGCAGCAACAACAACAGCAGCAACAGCAGCAGCAACAGCAGCAACAGCAGCAGCAGGGTCAGCAAGGTCAACAGGGCCAACAATCCCGTCAGCAACAGCAATCCCGTCAGCAACAACAAAGCCAACAAAGTCAACATAGCCAACATTCTCAAGACGATGATGACTCTCCACAGAAATCTCATTCAAACAACAGACCTCCGAATGGATTCTACAGACGTATTGAGGATGTGACGTGTTACAAGTGTGGACAGCAAGGTCATTATGCCAATAAGTGTGTTCAAGGAAGAGGAACCAAATGATAATAATAATATATACATACATACAAATATACATACATACATACATTCACTTACATATACACACACATATATATATATATATATATATATATATATATATACATGTATACCTTTATTTTTTTCTTAATATATAAAGATCATGTTGCAAATAAGATCTACAAAGTAGGCTAACTAGGCTACACAGACAAATACTTTATTCAATTCAATTCAATGCAATGCAATGCATTTCAATATATCATGTATTATTGAGGGTAATTGCCCTTGTTTTGAAACAACTCTTCTTCTCAAATGTTTGGCAAGTATTTTTGTCTTGTGAATATACGGGAAAGGTCTTAAAAATAAATAAATAATATATGTATATAAACGTTATCGATGTAATTGTTTTTGTGTTTGTTCAATGTGTATTGGTTGGTTGGGAATTTTGTGTAGCCAAATGTCAAGTAAACAATCAATGAATTTTAATCAAATCTTTCAACTTCCAAGATTCATCCCACCACTCGGCTATTTATTGACTTTATGTGTTTTTTTTTACTGTAATAAACAAAAATAATATCATTAGCAATTAAATAAATTTAAGGTCTATCATCCAACAATCACGTATTGTCCCTAACAAAAATTATAGAAACCCTTTTCTTCTTAATAAATCTTGTCCTTGAGAATGATAGTAAATGTTTTTTATATATATTAAATTTTGTTTTTGTTTCATAGAAAAGTGTTACTAGTCTTCTTGGTATTCTTCAATAATCTGTTCTTTAAAACAAGAGCAACCAAACTAAAGAAAAGGATCGGGATACTAGATAAATAAGTAATGGATATCTTTATATAGAATATTCATAGGTATTATCTATATGAATCACTTGAAAAAAAAAGAATCTTCATGACAGAATCATCGATTAAAGAATATATATAATATAATATATATATATTGATGTTGAAAAGCTTGATCTTTGCATTATGTATTTTAAATAGACATCTATTATTTATGGACTTGGCTAGCATGAAATTAAGCATTTTGTTCATCTCTTTCTTTGTCTGTCTTGTTGATTATTATTATGTTAGTGAAATATGCACACTGGTATCACAAGAAAAGAAGTATATCTATTATATATTGAGGCTGAACAAAACCTTCTTTTTATTATTATTTTTTGAATATTAATTTTAGAACTGACTTGTGTAAATATATATACTTGGTACACTGCTTTGAAACACTTTCCATTTGCACAAGATCATTTGTATAGATATATAAACTCGATATTGCATATTTTAATTGTTACTGATATCAAAAAAAATGAAAAAAAAGAAAGAAAGCGTTATTGATAATCACCTTTGATGGCGTAAATTAGGTTGTGAGTCGGTAACACTACAACCCCAATGGTACCTGCATTTCGGTTCATGCTCTTGTAATAGTGATTCTTTTATATATATACTTTTAATAACTTCATACTCCCTAATATTGCAATCGCGTACGGCTCTAGAAGAAGAAATGCTTTATCTAATTGTTTTAATAGTGTTGTATTTGAGTATTCCAAAAAAAAATTAGAAATGATCAAGCAATTATATATTAATTGATAAAAAAAATCTTACAAAAAACAAGGATTTGTGTAAGACAAGGCTCCTTATTTAATCTACATACAAATAAAGATGTTAAAGAGTATTATCATACATGTATATACACAAATGAGATACATGGACAAGCAATGAAGGAATGAATGCTTATAGTATATGATATGATATGATATGATATGATGTGATGTGACGTGATGATGTAGATTATATTATATTGCATTATATAAACTGTATTGTATTTATACAACAGAAAATTACAAGTCTTACGCTAAATAGACTCATAGTAAAATCAAGTGGGAAAGTTCCGTAGCGGCCTATCTTGAAAGTCCAATAAGCGAAAGATATATATATACAAAGTAGACGGGAGGTCCGATTTTGATCACCGAGTTCCAGTAGTAGATAGTCTTGTATACCAGAGTCAATTCATGTGAGTTTGAGTTTGAGGCTTGTATTTTGTTGTTAATGTATGTAAAAGAATGATAGAAGAATGATAGTGATGGCTTTTATCAAGCTTTTCTTCGCAATCTACCCCAATTGAGCCATGAAAGAGAACTAGGAATAATCCAAATATATATATATGCTTGATAGCAATTATTTAGACCAAATTCTTCTTCTTATTCTTTCATTGATTTCATGAAGTATTTTGAACACAAAGTCTAATATAGTCTTGTCCAACTCGGGTGTATATTTTATAATATATCTATATGTATTAGGAATTGACCAAAAAAAAAGTGATCAAGTTTATTCATGAGTCCCCCCTCTTTATCTCTCTTCCACTCACTCACTCCCTCACACACGCACACACACATATATATATATACTTTTGTTTAACCGGTATATAATGTAGTATAAAAATAATGTATATATTAACCCATCATAATAATCATCATAATCATCATAAGTCTATCTAGAGAAAATATATGTATGCAGTGAAATCAGTGCCAAATATCGGCATGTGAAATTAAGGAGCGGAAAATAAAATACCAATTGATACTTTTTTTTTAAGGTTGTCAAAAGGCGGATTTTCTATTTTCAAAGGTCGGCTTATTTACGCCCAAAGTGCGTTTTTTTTTTCGATTTTCAAAGGGCGCTTTTATTATCAAATATATTTTGACGTATTTCTAGAAAACAGATTTGGAAAATTACAATGCCTTCAGAGTTAATTTGGTGCCAAGTGTTAGTACTTCTCCATTTTGTTTTTAAATTCTGAAAATATACATGCGAGCAAGAATTAATTCGTTAGTTCAACAGTTATCAGAAGGCAAAGTGTGCGTGTGTGTTTTTTTTTTTTGGTAAAAAGAGGTATCAAATGAAGAACAGTAACTTTGTGATATATAATAGGAGGATGAAGATAAAATCACAAAAGGTTTAACAGAGGTAAAGAATGTATATATATATATATATTGCTTATTTGTAAGGAGCATTTTATTAAGCTTGGTAGGTCTGGTGACAAAGTCTAGGTCAAGATTGGACATTTTGAGTTATAAAAATGAAAAACTTACGATTGATGCCATTAATATTTCAAACGTTTCAGCAAAAGAAACTAGTAAACAAATATTGGATGGAATACCAAGCTTGGCATTAGGAACCGTAACATACGTTTTTGGCTTGTAAAGATGTAAATTCAACGTTTGACCAGTCAATCCTAAATGTGAGCAATAAATCAGGAAAGTTGCTTGATAAAAATAAAAATAAAAAGATGATGATGATGATCTTACCTCCCACTTGAATACCAGCACCAGAAATTTCACGAACATCTTTGATGTCATGAATACTATTAAACAACCCATTAAAAATGTTCTTTGCCTCCACAAGCAATTTTCTTGCATCTTGTAGTATCTTTTTTTTTGTTAGTGGGAAGCTCGTTTGCAGTTTCTAATGCACCAATATCCATGTCAATACGAGTGAGAGTTAGAACAAATCGCATATCAATCTTCAATCCAAACACTTTTTTGTTGCTTTTATATTGCATTTGTCTCATAAATTGGGTGTATGGGTTCGTGGATTCACCACTATCGGCATTGAAAAAAAAAATTAGGGTAACAAGATGGATCAAAAAAGTATTATCTTTTGACTTTGATAATGTTGTCATGAATATGTACCATCTTCCGCAACAAAGGGAGCCTAAATAATTAACGTCAAATTCAGTTTTCTTTGTTTTTCATCAAACAGCCAACTATTTTCGTCATATAAATCAAGCCTAGAAATATATAATCGAGTTATTTATCAGTCAAAAATAATAGAGAGAAAAAGGTATGGAATACGAAAGTCCAAGCTTTCACTATCTGATTGGCTTTTTCTTAATTACAAATTCTTGTCATACATAAAATTGAAAATACCCAATATCCTATAAGTCTCTGAGTGTAAGCTTTTTTATTCAGCTTCTATCATTTTCTTTAGATACCCTTTTGATTTTGAAGTGGTGTTTTTTTTTTAGAATTGGTGGCTGAGGTATACGAATAAGACTTGAAAAGGAAACAATAAGTACTGTGAGAGTGTTATTTACTCAAGAAAGAAGACCATAGCTGTTTATATAGATATCTGGTTCCCTGATTTAAGATCCCTGTCAGTTAATGATTGACTATCACTGAAGATGTGTGAAGTGTATGAGTGCCTGGTGTGTTACGTTCCTGAGATGTGACCCTGCCAGGTAGGTTCATCAGCAACTGTTGTATTTGTTCTAGATTGTGGAGTTTGTATTTCCCTCAATTGTGGTGTGTATACCACAGGGACAATGAATATTGGTGTCTCTTGTAAATGTGAGTAAAATACTGATTGATGGCTCTTTATTCCAGTGGCGAGAACAGCTTGCGTTGATAGTCTTCACTTAGATCAACGAGATCAATTATTGAGGAAAGACCAGTGCTACAATAGATATGACTCAACAGAATTTTTATGTTTTCAAAATCTCTGTGTTAACGTATTACCTCATTCTTTTAAATTCATGCAGTTCGATATTGGCTCCTTCCACGAATCATTGATGGATGTATTTAGCTTCACTCAACAATGTCTGTTTCACTTGATTAATATTTATATGTGGTTCCGTTGGTAAATTAATAAAATTTGATAATGATGGTCGTCTTAATGGATTGATAAGTATAGAAACTGGTGGTACAGAAGTAGATGATACAGTTGAAGAAGCTGATATTGAAGTAAACGTAACCTGTGAATGGGTTGGTGTAGAGTTAGCCAGCGATTATGAAATTGTTTTTGATTCTAATGAAGGAGTCGATTTGAGAGATTTGGCTGGCAGTTTGATTGTTAATTTCGGTGGTATAGGTGTGGTTCCAACAGGCATTGCTACGGATGCCTTGGATGTCGCGCTGCCATCTCTGTGCTTGAGTCTTTTTTTTTGTTTTTGTTTTCTTTTGAAGTACATTTTTCATTCGTCTCTTTCCTTTTTTCACACCCTGCATAATTACTCCGGCTCCTGCTTTATCTCATTCATGCTGCGTACGCTGATCTAATTCCAACAATTCCAGTTTTTGATGGTATATTTTGATAAACTTTTGTTTTGCGCTAGAAATAATACTCTTTCAAAAAGGTTAATAAAGTTTTGACTGCAACGTTTTGATGTTTTGTTGATAGTGTTTTGGAAATGTTTGTCAGATTTTCCAAGCAATTCCTGTAGTATGTCCATCCTCATAACAGTCAAGATACTCGTCGAGCACTAATTCCATTTCACATTATTTTACTACATAAAGGTTTTGAAGAGCTGCATCAACATTAAGCGCATTAAAAGTCTCTTCGGATATGAAACGATGGTTTCCTATCTTATGTGGAACAAGTTTATTTATATTGAACAAAAAGGCTCATGTTTTAGTTAAAAAATGTTTTTTTTTCAGGGAAGCAAGTAAAACCTGCTTCAATTTACTTATAGCGTCACTGGGACGGTGGTTAAAAAAGTCTAATAAATCGACCTATAAACATAGCTGAGGCCGAAAAATCCGTCATACAGGCTACGTCATATATTGTAGTTATTGAGATTCTCTATTATTCTGATATTTTTGCTTTTACAATGCAGCATATTATATTATGGTTGCTAAATAGAGATAACAGCATTTCGTGGCAGGCATGTCTGTTGTCTATGGTTACTACCTGGGCGTCAACTTGATTTGCAGTCTCGTGTAATTTAGCATTAGTACCGGCTATGACTTCCAGGAAGGTATGTCCGTCTTGATCAAAGTTATCAAGGATGGTGGTTACATTCAGGGCTAGAAGGTGTTTTATCGAGTAGTATTATGTTCTAGGCAGATGAGCTGTTAGTGAGTGATTCACTCCGAACTGATATGTGCAAGATGTAGTGGGTACTATGAATGTTTTCGTTCTGGAGCTTTGGTTTGGTGATACTTATGAATGAAGCCCTTATTGTAAGCAAAATTCAGCCTGACTCTCACTCGCTCTTTAAGGGTATTACTCTATATTTGTGGCATATATTTACTTCATTTACTTTATAGAATCTTGTGCTGCCTTTCATCCAGACTAGAGCAATGTTGGATACTATCCTGGGAGAAATTAGCGCTAAGTTTGCCATAGTGATGAAATTCAGAAACTCCCAGGCATCCAAAAGAATAAAAAATTGATCGTTTAGGTCATAAAATAAAAGCCCTTGCCAATTCTCCAAAAGGGACTGTCACTGGACACGATCTGCAGTTTATCCATATAACGTCGAACTTAACCCATTTTTGGTCCCTAGTCAAAGCACATTCAACGACACCAGCGATTTAATCACTAGAATAAAGGAGGCTTGCAACTACGTTTCTTCTAACCATCTCAGAGCATTTGTTTAATACTTCAGGTGCTTTTGAAAAGTATAAAAGAAATGATCCTATTCAAATACTATAATAAGAGCACCCTTTGATATTACAAAAAAAACGCGCTTTGGGCGTAAATAAGCCGCCCTTTGAAAATAAAAAAAAAACCGCTTTTTTGACAATCTTAAAAAAAAAAAAGTATCAATTGGTATTTTATTTCCCGCCGAACGGTTTCAAAAACCGCATTTGGCACTGTTTTCACTGTGTATGATGTAAATAGTAGCTACTTTCTTTTTTTTTTTTTTATTTAGAAGCTAAAAATCGAACAAATTTTATTTTAGTATCTTCTTTGCTTCTTTACCTTTTACTTTTTTTTATACTTCAATTAATATACACAGACATCTATTGTATATAACTACTTCTCCTAAATCCTCTTACTACTGTTCTTGCTTTTGATTTTTATTTTGAAAATAAAAATAAAGCCAAACCAATGCATACTATTGACCACCCCAACTCTGCTAAGCAACTACAAGCTATTGCAAACCTTGGTCAATCACCAATTACTGATGATTTATTAGGTAAATGATATATATATATGATAAAAATAAAAGAATTTCAATTTATTAACCAAGAAGAAAACATATATAGAATTGATTGCCTGTGAATTCGAATCAATTATCCCATGTACTGTCGATAGTGGATTCTTACAAGACAATCAAGCACCTGAAACAAAACCATATATTCAATACAAAGTACACCACGATCTTCCTTCTCCTCCACTCTCATCATCCGATAAACAACATTATCCTTCTGATTTCCGAAAGTTTCAAACATTGCAACCGACAACACAGACACAGATAGAAGTAGAAACCGAAGCAACACCGCAGTCTCAATCATTACCAGGAGCAGCAGCAGCACTACCACCACCACCGCTTCGTGCATTTATTTCGTCTGTTGTGAAACGTTCTCAGACGACTACTGGCACATTACTGAGTTCATTAGTTTACGCCCAAAGACTTCGATCAAAGTTGGCAGGAACATCAAAAGGTTAATATCAATTAATTAATTAATTAATCATTCAATTGGTTTAATACAAGCATACTGATATTCAAATTTACTTTTAGGCATGAAATGCACTCACCATAGGATCTTTTTGGCTACACTGATAACCGTAACAAAATATCTTCATGATACTGCGCCTCGAAACAAGTACTGGGTCTGGTACGCTCAATTGTTCTCTGCATCCGAAATCAGTCTGATGGAACGCCAATTACTCCAACTACTGGTAAGCAACCAAAAGACTTGCGTCTTTATTTATTTACTTGCTTATTTCGTGTTGATACTAACTAACAAACAAACAAACAAACAAATAGGAGTATGATCTGGCTGTTCCTATCGATTGTTTCAACCAGGTATCCCTCTCCATTCTACAATCTACAAATCATGGCCAATCAAGGAACACAAAGTACCATGACTATCACCAGCAACAACAACAACAACAACCTTTGATTTCGTCCTCCCAACGCCGTGGTGGTAATAGCAATACCAGTAGTCGGCTACCATCTTTTTCAACCCTATTTCAAATGAGCAATCAGATTGACTATAGCAATACGATGAGTAATACAAGCACAAGCACTGGTAGTAATACTACTGGTAATCGTAGTCAGAGTCAGAGTCGTACCGAAGCCCCACAATCATCCCAATCAGCATCGTATTGGCAGACTTTTAGTGGCCCCGAAAAATCTTCCTCCCTTTCGTCATCGTCATCGTCATTATCCTCAACACGGTCTTTGTCGTTCACAAGCCAACAACTTCAATCTCAACCTCAATATCAATATCAATACTCGCAGCTGGACTACACTAGTAACGATAATTACATCAATTATGATAACTACACCAACAATTATAACAAACATTACGCAGATTCTCCAATCGATATCTGGCAGAAACCGTTCCCACATGTGGCTAATGTTGACTGTGAATCAAATGTGGACAGATTGTGTGATTTCACCCAAAAGGAACAACATAGTTGGCTAGTCGAAGGAGGAGAAAGAGGAAGAGGAGGCCAAAGAAAAGGAGAAGAGGCCAATCGATTCGGTCAGGATGATTCGGTTGATTATCGTCGTCGTCACAGTCATCAAAAGGAACTTATTGACACAACTGGCTTTTCTTCAGAAGACTATTGCTATCCATTTCAACAGATCGTCCTTTCTCCTTTCCAAAGTCTTTCTACCTTTTAGATAATCCTATCGCTCTCTCACTATATATATATATATTATATTTCTTGTATATTAATCATTTCTTCTATATTTTTCTTTCTTTATATATATATATTATACTTTCTTTTCTCTCTCTATTTATCTATCTATCTCTTGTGTCTTGTATAATTAAATATTATTTATTTATATAGGCACATATTATATTATATTATATTATATATATTTTCTCTCAATCAATCAAATCAAATCAAATCAAATCAAATCAATGGATACTATTTATTATATACTAACTCAATCACTCAATATATATTATATATATTTGTATGTAAAAAAAAAATGAGGAATAAATGGAGCAAATGGGTCTTTTTTATATGTACAAAAAATATAATAGAAGATAAAGAATACATGTATATATGTATATGTATATATATATATATATATATATAGTGTGTGTGTGTATGTATGTGAAGCTGTACAAAAATAATAATAATATATATTAGAAACCCCAATCAAGCGACCCAATAAGACTAGCCGTGGCAGTGCCCAGACCAAGTAAACAAGGTTCGTTGTTATTATTTTTATCATCACCACCATCATCATTAGTATTGGTATTGGTATTGGTATTAATATTGGTGGTGTTGTCATACGCATAATTGAGCGACGAAGATCCGCGGACATTGACAAATTGTGCCTGTGCGGGAGACCAACTCAAAGTTGTATGGTCCAATAACAAATGGCGGCGGGATATATGAGAAGTACCTGGTGAAGTAGTCGTCGGGTAGCCGCTCAAAGAAGACGAAGAGGAATCACAAAAGGTCTCGTCTCTTTGTTGTTGAAAGAATGGAGGGATATGATCCAGAATCATACTTGTATCGGAGCCACCAAAAGATCCAGAAGACACAGAAGAAGATGAAGATGAAGATGAAGATGAAAATGATGGTGAAGAGGAAAATGGCAGGTCAAAAGGACTAGATCTAAGTAGGGTTGGAAGACAGCCGCCGCCAGATGACCAAGACTGATGAGGATGATAGTGTTCTCGAGATTGGATCCAATTGCTGCTTTCGGAAGCAGAGTTCTTTTTTGATACGAATGATACTGAGGATTTGGCTGAATAGGGTAGGGAAGCATTCCGGAAATCTACACCACTGTCACAGTCTGAATCATTTTCGTTTTCATGTCTCTTGTCTTGGCTTTCTTTGTCATCCGGCCGTCTATTCCACCGAGATTGTTGAGATATAGAGCCAGCATTTTCAACGTTTGTATCTTTTGTAGTAGTTGCAGTAAAAAGAAGAAGAGGTCTCAATTGTTCTGATTGCGAATGTAGTTTTACGTTTACGTTTACGTTTGGCTTTGGCTTTGGCTTTGGCTTTGGCTTTGGCGTTGATTTTACGTTTAGTTGGAGTACTTGAGATTCTATTGATTGTGCTTTTGTGCGTTTGATTTTCTTGGTCTTTTGAATGGGAGACATCCGAAAGGTGGTAAAGAGAGGAAAGTTGTTGGCCACTCGGTGGACGGTATCTTTGTCCGAGTCTGGGTACCTTCGCGAACGACGATGTGATACGGCCCGGTCCATGGCAACTGATTGTTTTCTTGTTGGCCCACGACGCTTGACAAGGTTTTCGATAAAAGGTTTTTCGCTTCCTAATTGGATCGTCCAAAAGCTACCCTTGCCACACAACGTGGTTTTTGATGAAGTCCGGTCTAGTTTCACAAACGCTTTGTTCAAGGAAAGATTGTGACGAATTGAATTCTATATACAATAAATGTTAATATATTTAAATATAAATTGTAAATTATAAATATAAATGTAAATTACCTGCCAACCATGTTCTCCTGCTGAGTAGTAAGGGTAGTGGGTAGTAATCCAGCTGTAGATCTCACTTAGTGTCAATCGCCGGTTGGTACTGGAAAGAATGGCGTGTGCAATCAGAGTTGCATAGGAATATGGTGGCTTGTCTTGTGGATCGACGGGTTGCCATGATGCCACTAGATGTAACAGAGCCTGGGGCGTTTGTGTTGAATCATGCATACTGGGACCGGAATCGGCGGAATCGGTAGAATCGGTGGAATTGAGGGATTTTAAAATCGACTGGTCCTGTAATTCATTTATCTTTCTTGGTGTTGCTGTTGCTAAGGGTGATATTGGTGGTGTTGTTGGTATTGTACTAGCAGTACTGCTAACATTGGAATTATGATTATAATTGGCAGAAGAGGTAGGAGCAGGAGGAATACAGGCATTGGAGTAATGGTGATCGATATCCATCAACGTGTTCTGACTTTTGTGGAGTTCGGCATTGATTATGAAAGTAAAGAGGGGTTTTGAGACTTCATTCACTGAGATTGATTGTTCAGGAGAGGAGGTTTGGAAGGTGAGATAATCAGTCATAAAGCACAACGATACTATTATTATTATTATTATTATTATTATTGTTGTTGTTCTTCTTCTTCTTCTTGTTTGTTGTTACAATTGCTGCTTTTTAAAATATATATATATATATATATATAGAAATATAAAGGAGTATAAGATATAAAAGAACAATAGGGTAATATGATGTTGGTTATGTTAAAATTAACGAAAAAATAAAATAAATTAGAGAAAAGAATAAAGGGGATTTTTATACTAAATCTCCACTTTTTTTTTCTTTCTCTTTTTCTTTATTTCTTTCGCACACACAATTATATATTATTTTTCTTTCCTGCTTTTACAGTTGTGAACCCGCGATGTTGGCTATATTACAGATAAGTAACAACCCAGAAAAGAATAAAGAACTCCCCCCAAAAAGAAAAGAAAAAGAAAAAGAAAAAGAAAAAGAAAAAGGCCAAAGGAATTGTGCAGTGTTGCACCACATTGACCGCAGTGGTGCATTACACCTGGTCAAAGTGTGGACACAGCGTGATAATCTGACATGAAGTGTGTTCTGTTCTGTCCTAATTCTCTCTCTTTACCTTGTATTGTACATGTCATACAAAGCGGATTATAAATACAATACAATACATTGCATATAGTGTAGAGAAATAAAGAGAGAGAGAAAAAAAGAGAGACTCCACCCCCTCAAAATTATAATTTTTTTTTTTTGGTTGGCATGATATTTACATAAATTGCCTGATATTTTATATACTTGTTAATGTGTTTCATTTCTAGCTTGGCTTTGTATACAATTCTGATAATAAAAATAAAAACCTTGTGAAAAATACAAAGGCATTTGGGTTTTTATTGGTCTTTAATCATTTTGGTATAGTTTCTTTTTTTTTTTTTATTAAAAAAAAACAAAAAAAAAACAAAAAAAGTATCAATTTAAAAGACTCAAATTTTGTAGATAGAACAGCAGCAAATAAGTACTTGTCTCATTTCTAGTACACAAAATAATATTGATATAAAGGCAAACAGATCAAGAGATCGAGAGGTAGATAGATAGGTTAGAGGGAATAAAATTTATTATAATATTAAATAAATAAAAAAGGGGGAGGAAGGGCCAGACATTTGAATCCAAAAATCAAGATTCAAGATTCACAGTTTTGGAGTCGGGGTATATCTGTCCCGGGATACCAAAAACAGATTCTAATGAGTTGCATGGATCTCTATGATATTTATTTATTTATTTATATATAAAAGAGTCTTTTGACATACTAATACTAGTGATAATAGCAATAAAAGGATAGTATTTCTCATTGTCAATACTATGCCTAAAGAACAAACCAACAAAATGATTGGAGAAGTTGAGATTCAGTATATATAATTTGCTAGCCAGCTGACTGGTTGGTTAGTAATTTCATTTCAATATATAGAATATACCAAAAGGATTCATAACCCAAAATTCTTATTATTAAAGAAAGTAAAAAAAAAAAAAAGATTTGTACTAATAAAGCACAGAAAAGAAACTATCCGAGGAAAGCTCCAGTTTCGGATGAAACCAAATAAAGAACAGGCAGTAAGCAAATGAATGAATGAATATGTGAGAGAGAGAGATGGAGATCGCCACAGAGAGAATGGGCCACAAGATGAAAAATAAAAGTAAAAATAAAAATGATGTGATAAGTGTGTGAGAATGTGTGTGTGTGTGAGAGAGAGAGAGTGGAAAGTAGGAGATATCAAAAGACACAAGTTAAAATCTAATGTATAAAAAGGGAGTTTTAATAAGAAAGAAAGAAAGAAACTATAAAAGCTGTATGAAAGGTCTCATCACAGCGTACAACGATACACGACGATCAAATACAGGTCCAATTTGATGTTTGATACTTCAAATTACCCGATATAAAGCATTACAGTTTACCGGCCATAGAAAAGACCATCATATCGCATAGAAAATATCGATCAAGATCAAGGTCAAGATCCTTATATAAGCCTTTTCTATACATAAAAAAAAACAAAGTAAATGGAGTTTTTTTTGTCTTCTTTTCATAATAAGATTCTCGTCTTTCTCGATTTTTTTGAATTTACCTATCATTATTATTTTTAAGGGAATAAAATGGAGTAGAACCGATAGGGTAGAATGAGTATTTGTAGCACAGAAAAAAAAAGGACGAGCCATGTAACATTTGTACTATGGAATACAAGCAATCAAACATACATACAAGCCAAAGAAAGAAAAAGTAAAAAAAAAAAAAAAAAAAAAAAAAAAAAACTTGCTAGTACACATGCAAGTCGTGTGTATTGATTAAAGTAATAGGAAATTATCAAAAAGGAGTAGGATAATCAAGGTACCCAAGATTAAATTATTATTATTATTATTTTTGCAAGGTGTTCAAGATGGGGCTACTTGTAATATTGATCTCTATTTCTCTCGGCCTGTGTGTGCGCAACTGGGAAATACAAGTGAGCTAATTACAGAGATCGGATTGGTCTAGATACTCGGAACACAGTATACAACAGTTGATAGTTTGTACCATAGATTTTAAATACATAAGCCTTCAAAGTTTGTCTTGTACGGTGTGTATTTTTTTATATATAAATAAAAATAATTGATCATGAAACTCATCAATTAATCTATCCAAATAGCCTTTAATTTGTATCTAATTTGTAATGGGCTTTGAGCTTCAAGTACACCATTTGCTATCTTACTCTTATCGCCCTATTCTTTATTCACGCACATGCATAAAGAGGGGAATACAAGCCGAGGTCAATGCGTGGGATATCAGATATCCATACAACCATTTTACTCACTTGACCTTTTCTTTATTCATTTGCATATCTAACAATCTAAAATACTTGAATATGTAGATATTTGACTATCTATTTAATGCCTTGAAGATTATTGCTTATATACATATGTATTAAGGTATTACTTTTTTTTTTTAAAAAAAAAAAAAGGGGCACAACAAGTATAAATAACCTGTTACAAATATATACATATATCAAAGTATACGAACAATCTTGGCCTCTTTAAACTCTTATCGTTCAAGGGAACTAGGACAAAAAAAAAAGCTTATAAACGCCCATTGACGAAACACCGAGTCTAATTCAAAAATAATAACACCAAAAGTATAAATAAAGAGCGCTCTAGAAATAATGGAATTTCAAAACGGTAACTTTTGTCCTCTCACAAATCGGCCATCGGATTTAATCATTAACTAACTGAGGATCATATATATATATATATAGATGTAGTTTTTGTATTGAGTATAGAGACACATGCTTTTATTACATAAAAAAATTACGTTAAGCACTTGATCAAAAGGCAATATATATATATAACTTTTGTACATAAATTTGTATGCACCATATCTATCAAAGAAGTCAAACAGGCCTTTAATTTCTCGACCTTGCCTGTCTTTAATAATCTAAAAAAATATATCAGAGAATCTCCGCTAATATGACATCACAATTGAAAACGATCAAGACATGAACAAGTTTTGGGCGAGGGGGGGGGGCTGGAATGTAAAATAATGAGAGAAGGGAAGGCCGGGGGATAAAGGGATATGATGGTGTACCAAGATTTGGCCTTTCCCAGGCACACAATTGTACAGCTTGATATTGTTATTTTTTTTGTGGTACTGTATTTATCCGATTAAACCACACTATCGCCTCTCTCTCTTTTTTATATTTATTTATTTCACCTATACTTGTTTCTTAGTCTGTCTTTGTGTGAGTATATAAAAATATTTATATGGGATTGCCATTTACACCAGATAGTGTGAACATGGGGAAAATGGCGGCTTGAGCGTACTTGTCCCGTGCACACAAACAAATACATATTTTTTGTTTATACATGTATACAATCCACAAGTAAAAAGGCCCATCTAAAGTTCATCAGTATTACCAAGATGTCCTCTATTTGATCATCGTGTATCGTTGTACGTCAAGACGAGAAAGATGGAATAATACTAAATACTAAGGAGTAATCATCATAACGCAGAATAATAATTACTGCCAGTTAATCTGTCCAGACAACCTTTTCTGCTTGGTTTTAAATTTACCACTATGGATCTTGCTTCTCTTACAGTCCTTGCTTGAACACTCAAGCATTTAGAAGCAACCCCCAGACTACTTGTACCTTTCTTTCTTTATTTATTTATTTATTTTTTAATTTAATAACATTTATGATACTTCATACAAGCTCAAAAATATAAAACATCTTGTCACTAATACAATCCTGTTGTATTTTTCTCCGCTTACCCTTACCCTTCACTAGAACTTATCCCTCTATCAGTTTGTAGTGAAATATAACATTCTCAAGATAATTAGTTGATATACACCCCCCACAAGTCCAATCTACACATTCACATTCATATGCACAACAAGCAAGAAAAAAAAAAGTATCAATACAAGAAGGCTTGGGATATACACAGCTTGTCCTTGGTATTATATAAAGTAAAGCAAAGAAAAATAAAGAGGCCATTCCAAAATACTTTCCATTGTTTTCTTTGCAACCTCTTTTCTTTTATAGATATTCATACATACAATTTATGTATTTACATGGTTCTTTTTTCTCTCTTGTTGTTGTTGTTGTTGTTGCAGTTGATATTGATATTGGAGTTTGTGATATCATTTTTTCTCTCTCTTTTCTTTGGTTTATTTCTTGGTTTTTGATTTTATTGTTAATTTTAACTTCTATTTTATGCCTGGGAAGCAGTGGAGTTGGAGTCGCTGTGGGCATTGACGTTAAGCAAAAGAGTGTCGGAATCGAGCATGACTCTGTTTCCGGAGCGAGAGATGACGGTAGCAATCTCGCGTGCGGCTTCGATACGCTTGAGCTCAAGGAACCCGGGCTTGTTCTTGATGGCATCACTGATGAGTTCGGCGGACTTGGCCTCACCCTGGGCGCGGACAATGACTGACTGCTTCTCCTGACGAGCCTTGTCGACAATAAAGGCAGCACGCTGAGCATCCTGCTGAGCAATCTGCTTGGCCTCGACGGCGCTCTCGAAAACGGGAGAGAAACCGACGTGGGTGATCGAAACATCGTCGAGGATGATGTTGAAGCGCAGGGCACGGCGGACGAGGTTCTCGCGCACAAGGCGGGAAACACGCTCACGCTGGGTGATCAGCTGCGAGGCAGTGAACTGAGCAACGACGGACTTGAGGACTTCGTTAACAATCGAAGGCAAGATACGCTCGTCATAGTCCTGACCAAGGGTTCTGTAGACAGTGGCAAGGTCATCAACACGGGGCTTGGAAAGCACACGGCAAGTGATGTTGACCATTTGAAGATCTAAATAGAGATATAGAGAAAATGTTATACACAAAGAGATCTCTAGAAATCCAAAAAAAAAACCACTCACACTACACTACACACAAACACTAAGCAGGTTCACACAATGCACAATCCCACACAATAGATAGGCGAACATAATAACCCAGGTACATTTAGTACACACAGGTACATACACATAATCCTATCCTATGTACATGCTCCTATGCATGTATGTGTATGTATGTGTTTGCATATTCTTTGCTTTTTCTTGTAATTGTAATTGTAATTGTGGTTGTGGTTGTGGTCTTTGCAGTGGTGATAGTGGTAGTGGTGGTGATTTTGTTGGTGGTGGTCTGTGTTTTAAAAAAACATACCCTTGGTGCCTGTCAAGGAGGCAACGTTGCGGGGCTTGGCACGAACGTCGTAGATAATGGGGGTTTCGAACCAGGGCACAACGAAGTGAGTACCTTCGTTGTAGACTGTGTTCTGGACACCAAATAGACGGGTGTACTTGATAGCTCTGTGACCACCATCAACTATTATTAAAAATTTAATGAGTATACATTATTCATTCATTCATTCATTTATTTATTCAGTCATTCAGTCAGTCATTGGATTGCTTTTATATATATATATAATTATATTCTTTTTTTTTCTGTCTTTTGTTGGTAACTTGTCAAATTCATACTATTATTGTTATTGTTATTGTTATTGTTGTCACTATTGACTCACCGTTGAAGAGGGAAGCGTTTACACCGTAACCCAATGCGCCCAAGACGATAAGAGCACCAGTGGCAGAGCCGAGACCCTTTCCTGCACCATTAGGGAACATTCCACCCAATTTTTGGGCCGCTTGCTTTGCTTGCTGTGCCATGACGAAGCGTTTATTTGACGTTTGTGTTTGTTAGAACAGCTTTCTCCATGAACAAAAAAAAATAAGAATGTCGAAAAACATGACTGCTGCTTGCGTCATCAGTCGCGTACGCAAACTGATATTGAACTCTTTTTTTTTTGTAATTGAGAATTAAAAAAAAAAAAGAACATCAATTTTTTAAGGGCACAACGTTTTGACCTTTTTTTTTTTTCTTTCTTTGTTTATTTAAATTCAGAAATGCAAGGATTGATGTTTAAGCAGACAGGTCACGACGTTTTATCGTTTATTGTTTATTTGTTATATAGATATATATGTTTATGATTTACAATAACTATTACAAATACATATCCAAGTTTTCAGAATATTCCATACTACTGAAAATCTATAAGATTAATTATTGAATTCAATAGATACTCCCATTGTGTTAAAAGAGGGATTTAATTTATAGAAAAAAAAACAATTGTGATTATTATTATTATGTTTTATAGGGACCAGGTGCAAATATATATATACAGAATTAATTGATTGATTCCAGAAATCAGGACTACATTTGTAGAGTGTGAGTTCTATTGAAATTGAAAAGTCGGTTCCCCATATAAATAAAAATAAAAATACATCAAGGGGGTGTTGAGTTATGGCAATAAAAATTAACCCCCCTCTCTCTAATTTTGCGGTGTTTATAATTCCCAAGAAAAGATTCAAAGGTTCGAATTGCCTTATTTGGGTGTTATGCCAAATAATTCACATTAATTTTGCCACAAGTCAACACCCTTCTCCTTAATCTCAAGTAGAATACACTCTAATTGTATGAAATTCTGCTTAAACCTTCTCCCCCTCCTTCCCCTAATATGAATAACCTGCTTAGTGTCTTTAACATTATAATATATACATATAGGTAAAAGCCTAGTTTAGATGTTTAGAAGCGGGTTTCTCAACCATATGTAAATGCAGAGAACCCTCCTTCCCCTTCCTCCATATTTCTGTTAATTTATACTGTTGAGCCGAATATTGGTATAAATCAACGAACAGTAATTTTTATTAGCACATTGTAATGTTGTTGCTCTTGTTTTTTTTGAGTTAGAATGAATAGCCCTTTGTTCCTTCACTACTCTTACTATTAACCTTTTCTTCTTCTTCTTATATATATATATATATTGCATAGTAATTATAGGAAGCAAGATAAGTTTATATAGAAATAAAGGTTTTGGTAAATGTTCCTAAAAATAATAATAACAGAAAGTCGAAAAAGAAAGAGTATTTATGAAACCTCAAGTCCACTCAATAAATTACTACATTTAACTGTACATACATACACAAACAATGTGTACTTTTGTTTGATTTCAATTACACGCCATGCTTTAAATACGCCTTCCAGACTTCTTTATCTTTCCTTGTTTGTTTGTTTCTGTAGGAAAAAATAATAATAATGAGATAGTAGCCATGTACAAATAATGTATCAATTCATGCAATACAGAAAATTAAATGAAGTTAAATAAAATGATATCATACACACACACACAGATAGAGAGAGAGAGAGATAGAAAGGCGCACATTCTTTCTATTCATATATCCCAAACCTTGAGGGTGACTGTGTAATCTCTACAGCCCACCCACATTTTTTTTGAAGAAGCGCGAACCCAGGAACTTCATCTCCCCAGAAGATGTCTACCCTAATTCCATTCGGGGATGCCTTTGTCACCCAACTCTTTACACAAGATTCATCTAATCCTCTCCTAGACACACCTGTCGATTCGTCTTCTCTTTCTGCCGTTCTCGATTCACTCTACAAGACCACAGACGCGCTTCATGAGCAACTATTCAATAATATCTGCGACAATGTCGACATCTTCTCGGCATCATACGAGCAGATGAATGAACTCACCCAGCGAGTGACATCGCTAGTTGGCCAGGCCATGACCGAACAATCCAATGTCATAGACCCTACTATGGGCACTCATGCTGTCGTAAGCCATGCTCTGCGACGCTATACGGCGGCATTGGAGACATCCCAGCAGCACCAAACCCAGCTCGACAGTCTGCGTGTGTTGGTCACACTTGTAGAAGCGCTAGAAGACATCGAGTCGATTCTCGACCAACAACAGATTGTGCCAGCAACAGAAGCCTTGCTCAGACTCCAGGCCAATCTGACAGCAAATGAACCCTATCTTGCCCACACGGTCCATTGGGTGCGAGAACGAATAGAACAACAGAAGAATAGATTGGTCTGCATACTGCAGGATTTTTTGGCAGCCGCGATTACATTTGAGACCAATCGTGTGAAGATCATTACTACTGGCTGCTCTGATCCTTCTCCTTCTCTATTATTATCATTATCATCATCATCAAATGACACTAGTGGGGTGGATCTAAAAGATGTGTTTGGCTGTCTGGATCAACTGCAGCTTTTGACTACACACATGAGCACAATTAAACGCTCGATGTTCAAGCATATCATCAAGCCCTATCTTGAATTTGATGTGACAGCAGATGTCGTGGTTACTAAGGACGGCAGTAAAGGAGCCACCTTGACGCTTAGACCCACTACAGACAAACAAATCAATCCACTAAGAAAACTCAAAAACCTGGGCCAAATACTCGACTTTTGCTTCGAAAACCTATGTGGAGCTGATCTGGACCACGCAAGACTGTTTGGCAATTTAGCCCTACCGGAGCTATTTGGATTGGTGATCGAAAAGGTTCTTGGACCGGCCATTCCTACAACAAGCAAAGACCTCGGAACTTTTGGGGCAGTTTCGAGAGCAGCCGAGAGCTTGGAACAGACGAGCCGAGACCATTTTGGCTGGAGTGAGAAAGAGAACAGCCTGAAAGAATATGTGAGCCACCTTGACCGACACTTTGCAAGAAAGCGGGGAGAGAAAGTTCTGCTAGAGGGACGTAATGTAATGCTTAGAAGACTCTATGATGTTGAGGATGCAGAAGAAGAAGAAGAAAAAAAAGAGAAAGAGGGTGAGGGGATGGGAAAGGCAGGCACAGAAACGCAACATTATCGCATCACACAGACCCCGCAGCTTCTTGTCTTGCTCCTGACGGACATGATTCAAGAAGCATCCGGTCTTGTCAACACTCACCCCATTTCTGCCGCCCATCTTGTTCATGCCACAGCTGATCTGCTGGATCTGTATCGCGCCATCATGCCTAGTTATCATCGCGCACATCTCATTGCTCGTCCGGCCAATTGCCTGGTGTTCCGTAACGATTGTTTTTGGATTGCTCGCCAGTTGCAACATAAACTCGGTGCTTCTGCTGCTTCTGCTGCTGCTGCTGCTTGTAGTGCTGCTAATATTAGTGCTACTACCCAGCCAACAAACACTACCTCCAGTCTTTTCCCAGATCTTGCCAAAAGATTGTGTGATGAGGCAGAACAACTAAGACTGCTTGGCAATTGGTGGGCACAACTGGCATTTGAGCAGCAAATGCATCGGATCAATCTCTTGCTTGAGCGCCTGGATGGATTTGTGACGATTGCTGATCACCGGCAACGCCAACAGTGTGACGAGGCTATTGGTGGGATTATCGGACAAGTGAGGAACTTCTCTGATGAAGCCAGACCAGTGTTGGACAGACGGCTTTTTGTCGAGACGATGGCAAGACTGGTTGACCGCTTGCTGATTCGATTGATCCGGATGATTGAGGACATTGTGGACATTGGAGCAGAAGAGAGCGAGTTGATTTCGCGGTCGTTGAATAGTGTGGCACAATTGGTCAGTACGTTTGATCTACCTGGGCATGATGCGACTGAGCCAGAGGTGATGGCCAGGGTCGGGAGCTGGCAAAAGTTCTGGCTGCTCAAGGACATGCTTGAGATGACGATGAAAGACATTATGGAAGCCTGGCGGCGTGGATCTCTTGGGATGTTTACTGTCGAAGAGATGTGCAGTCTAGTGTGTGCTTTGTTTGCGGACACAGATCGTCGTGAGGCTGTTTTGGATGAGATCAAGTCAGGAAGAGGTAAGAATATATATGGCTATAGCTATAGATCCTACCACCAAACAGATTTGAATGCATGTCATCAAGGATTGTTGAACTTGAACGTGGATTCTTATTTATTGGTTTATTGGTTTATTGATTCATTGATTCATTGATTGTATTACTATTATTACTATTACTATTACTTTACTATTACTATTATTATTATTTTTATTTTTATGTAGTCGAGAGTGTTGTACAAGAAGTACATAGTGTTACCCCGCCGATCACTGTTGAGAGCCGTAGATGGAAAGATGAGCCTGTTAATAGTAACGATAGTAATAACAATAATAACAATAATAATAACAATAATAACAATAATAATAGCAATAGCAATAGTAGCGGCAATGGCTATGGCTATGGCAATGGTAGCAGTAATAGCAGCAGCAGCATCATCAGCAATAGTAGTAATAGTAGCAATATTAAGACTAGTATATTAGCTCCCACAGATCTTGCGGATACAGATGAACAGGATGGCTGGGGGTGGGATGAGGCGGATGAGAATATATTTGTTGAGACTGGAGAAGAAAATGTATCTGAGCCCATGCCTGATCTCGAGATAAACACAGAAGAGGGATGGGGAGACGCAGACGAAGATCTTTTTGTGGCTGACGAGATGCACAAATAATGATAATAAAAATAAAAATTAAAAAATAAAATAAAATAAAGCTAATGTATGCCTGTATGTCTGTATGTCTGTATGTAGGTATGTAAGTGTATGAGAGTATGTATGAGAGTATGTATGTATGAGAGCGTATGTGAATGTGAATGTGAATATGAATATGAATGTAGATAAAGATGTATATGTATATGTATATGTAGCTGTAACTATAGATTTGGACAAAGATGCTTGTGTGCTTGTATGTTTATAGAGTTGTATATAGCTAATAGGATAATAACCTTCATTTTGGTGACTTGTGTTTGCTTGGTGATCATGGTTGAATTCCACAAGCAGTTTGCATGCCTTGGCTATTAAAAAGAAAGGGGTGAAAAATAAAATAAAATAAAATAAAATAAAATAAAATAAAATAAAATAAAATAAAATAGAATAGAATAAGATGGCAAGCATTGCATAGAATATATAGAATTTATTATAATTATTTCATAAAAGAAGGGGGGAAATGACTATAGTAAATAATAAGAAAACAACTATGTGAAATTGTACACCAGGAGAACAAATGGCGCTAAAATTTGAAGAAAAAAAAAAGAAAAAAAAAAAGAAAGAATACTACTGTTGAAGCGCATGAAACTGAAAATGCAAAAATAAAGGAAAGTGCCATGATCCGACAACCAACCCCTACAGCAAGAGTGCCCTTTATTCTTTCTATTGCTTTGTACCTCTTTACTCATCTTCTCTACTCATCATCTCCACATTATTTTTCTTTCTTTTTGCTTTAAAATAAAAATTTTCTTTGCCTTTACCGAAAAATCAATTAATTATTATTATTATTATAAAGCAAGGTAACAGGAAACAGCAAATGGTACTGATAGAAATAATGGTGTGTAAATGATTGAATTTCATTTTTTTTTTGTTTTTTGTTTTTTTTTGGTAATTCTATTAGGTATTATGTTTATTATGGCTATTATTACTATTATTACTGTTGCTATTATAATTGGTGATGGTGATGGTGATGGTGATGGTGATGGTGGTGATGAATATAATGATGAAAAGATGAAAATGATGGTACTATTATTATTATTATTATTACTATTATTTTGTATGTGCTATCGAAGGTGGATCTTTTCGTGTCTCTTCATATCGTATTTACGCGCGAAACCCCTGTGGCAACTAGGGCAGATAAAACTACGGGGTCGATTTGGATTATGTGTTTGCATATGCTCCAGTAAGTTGTGTCGCCGACGCGATCTATACAAAAACAAAAAACAAAAAATTTAAGAAAAATTGTAGTTTGATTAGCAGATGAAATTACAACACTTAATAATAATCATAATCAAAATAGCTTATATTGTTATTGTTTTTGCTATTGCTATTGCTATTATTACGATTCTTTCGATTAAAATTACACGTATAATTATAATTGTGATTATGATTATTGCAATTATTACAATTGTTGTGATCATTGATATTGTTAACACTTCCCCCCTCCCCCTCTTCCTCTAAATAAACAATACAAAAATCTTAAATTTTTTTTTAAAAAAAAATTACCTGTGGAAGCACACAGGACAAATGTGTCTTTTCTCATTGGGGTTTGGCAATCGTGCGTCTTGGTTGGTTGTGGGTTGTGATGGTGCATATAGACTGATAAATAGGTGCTGCGAGTCGTCTGTACTCTTGGTCGAAAATGATGATTGGGGGGAGGCCCAGATGTCTTGAGGTGTTTGGGCCAAGCTGATGTCTGGCATGCTGTGATACCTCCGTGCACCGAATGTATGTGCCTGAGGAAAGATGTCGAGCTCTGGTGCGGTTGCAATAGAGAAGTTGTCGTCCTGGAGAACATTGTCTCCAGAAGGATCATAGTCTAGGGTGGGTGTGGTGGACATGTAGTAGGGATAATTGATCCTTCCTAGCTGTGCAGAGTCTGATTCACAGCAGCTGACCATGGCATCTGGTGTGGACATCATATCTTGTGTCGCTGGAGTGTGGGGTGTATAGAATGACTGAGGACATCGGTATGGTGAACACTGGTTAGGAAAGCATATTTTGGGTGATAGGATGTTAGAGGAAGAGGAGGAAGGAGAGGGAGAAGAGAGAGATGAAGATGAAGAAGATGAAGGCAGATTGGAAGTAAAAGTGGGAGGTATTGGATAACAGTAGAGATCCTTGTGAATAGATGGATCGTACTGGATCGGCCAAAGTGACTCTAGATGATTTGGTTTTGAGGGAGGGCAGTAGAGAGAAGGGTAAGCCGGTGTCATTCCTTATGATCTCGATCTAGTTCGAGGAGAAAGATGGAGAAGAGATGGGGTCTACAAAATAAAAGAATATTATTTTATACACAAAAAATTAAATAGTTTTTTGTTGTTTTTTGTTGTTTTTTTTTGTTAGCACAACATGGACAACAGCTAAAACCATAATTACATTACCTTGCCTCGCCTCGCCTTACCTTACCTTGCCTTGCCTTGCCTTAACTTACATTATATTATATGTAAGAGTATATTATCTTATTATTATTTTCTTTTAGGACATACACAAATTATTGAATATTGTTTATCGGTTGGTCTTCTTTTTGCCAGTGATCTGCAGCTGTTTATGCAAGCATCCGTGACACAGTCTTTCTTCCATCTTAATCACCTCACGGTCGTATTCCTGCACAGCTGACTCTCAAGACTATGGGAGATCGATGCAGACGATAAAGAAGGAGGCATAGAAGAGAAATATATATAATTAGATGGATATAATAAAAGAGGGGGGGTTCATAGGCCATGAAGATGTCAGTAGATATTCCGATATTTTCCCTCGTCACCCCCAACCCTATCATTTGGGCGCCCTCTCTTTCACTATTTCCCTTTACCTACAGAATCACTTATAAATCTTCACTGTTTATTTATCGGCTTATTGATTAGTTTATTGATTGGTCTATTTATTTATTTATTTATTTATTTATATTTATTTATTTATTTATTTATTTGGTCTCAAAAAATCGGTTCATTTCCGTTTCATTTTTATAGAAACAAGCTTTTTAATATATATAATATAATATACACACTCAAAATATATTACATATTTATACATTGTATGTATGTATGTTTTATGTATCTATGTATTTCTGTCTGTCTGTCTGTCTGTACGACCATGAACATTGAGCCTCACCACCACCACCATGATTATTATTATTATTATTTTGTACCATCCTTCTAGATGATGTGTGACTGTGTGAATGTTTATTTGACTCCCCCCCTCCCTCCTTGATCAGTCTCTCCTTTTCACTCTTTATTTATATTAAAGAAAGAAAAAAACAAAAACAAAAACAAAAACAAAAAATAGAAGCTATGAATGGGTTGATCAAGACTGCCAGTCTGTTGTTTTCAAGAAGCCCACTATGGCAACCAACCTTGTTGGGTTTGAAACCAGCAAAGTCTATTAGACCTGTCTGGTCTCGAACAACCCAATTATCATTTTCTTGTTCATTCAGTACTCAAACACAATCTAATATAGCTAGATTTCGACCTGTCGCATTCTACTCAATCGTTCCACTTTCTCAAGATCGTGTTCGTGAACTTCAGTCCGAGATTCATTCTCGACTTAAGCAGATTGATGTAGTAGGCAGGATCTATTTGGCACCCGAACAAGGAATTGGTGGAATCAACTGCCAAATGGCTGTACCCTTGAGCCAACTCGAAACTGTCAAAAGCTTCTTTCAAGGCATCCGAGAATTCACACAGACAGGGCCTATTGCCTTTACTGAGGGTATCCAAGACACCACTACACCAAGTTTCCGTAACTTGCGAGTGGTCACAAAAAGAAATGTAATCCAAAAATCTATAGATATATAAAAATGTATATAAAAATAAAAAAAATAATAGCAGAAAATCACTAATAATAATAATAATAATAATAATAATAACATTGGTGCTATTGTTGTTGTTTTTTTTATTATTATTATTTTACTTTATCTATAAACGGACTATATCTCTAAACTTTAATCAATACATGAGTATAGCTTGTGGCTACCAAGGTTGGTCTCCAAACAAAGGATCTAGAAATGCAACCGGATTACCTGGATCCGGCTGTCTGGCACGAGCAATTGGCTGACAAGGGTAACCAAGCGTTTGTGCTAGACATGCGCAATCATTATGAATAGTGAGTATTAATTATATATGTATTTTAACTATTAATATTATTATTTTTACTATAAATGATACTTTAGAAAATAACGATAGTTATAGTGATAAATTATATATTTTATTTTATTTATTTAAAATATTTGTATTGCATTATATTGCATTGTATTTGATTTAAATTTGAATTTTTTTTTTTTTAAAAAAAAATTAATAATAAAATAATTCCTTAAATATATATATATATATATAAATATTGATCATTAGTGATATTGGTCACTTTGAACATGCGGTCAAAATGGACGTCGATACTTTTAGAGATGGTATGGAAGTCATGGACAGTCTATTAAAAGAAAAACCAAAGAACGAGGAAATCTACATGTATTGCACCGGGGGTATTCGCTGTTCTGTTGCCGGATCCTATCTGCTCAAAAAGGGATATTCAAAAGTTAAAATGGTATATATATATTTGTTGTTGTTGTTGTTGTTGTAATCATGGCCACTTAATGTTCTCTTTTGTAGCTAAAAGGTGGTGTATCTGCCTATGGAAATTATGTCTCAAAGGGAAAAAACAAGACCTCACTGTTCCGTGGGATGAACTTTACCTTTGACGGTCGCCGTGGAGAACGTATAACGGATGATGTCTTGAGCCACTGCTTCCACTGCAATGCACCCTGTGATCGATTGTCGAACTGTAGCAATACTCTGTGCCATTTGCTCTTTACCCAGTGCGATGCATGTCAAGCCAAGATGGACAAGACATGCAGCACCAAATGCAAGGAGACTATCGAGGGAAAGATAGAGTGGACAGACGAGTACAATTATCATAACCAAATCAGACCTACTGCTCAAAAGAAGGCAGTTGCAGTTGCAGTTGCAGTTTAGTCTTTTATAGAATTCATATTCATATTAATAACAAATAATGATGCATCGGCAGCAATAAATTGAAACGTTTCATTCAAACTCTCCTAAAAAATATAAAAACAACAAACAACAAACAAAAAACAATAAATATTTACTATACATATACTTCTTTAAAATTATTTTTAACCCTGCAGTGTTGGACAAGTGAATAATAATCATAATTTTCATAACAAAAAAAAAGACAAGGAACCCTTCAACACACAGACACAGGACACGCACCTTGTCATCAAAGGAGACTTGCATGCAAAAAATAGAAATAAATAAATAAATCTCACCTGGACATTATAGTAAACAATAATAACATTAAATAGCTATAATAGTCATTTTTTATATCTATATATACAAAAATAATGGCCGTGTAGACGCTGTATAGACAACAATCAAAGAAGTATTCTTATGATTATTTTATTATATTATTATTTTTTATTTTATTTTGCCTTTGGAACATGGCCATTGTTCAACCATACCTGGCCTTGTCACACCATGTTACTCTTTAAGGCCTTTTGCCCTCACTCTTTTAATCTTAATATTAAATATTTAATATTAATCGTAATATTAATATACTAATATATTAATATCAATATATTAATATATTATAACTTTTTTTTCTTTTTCTATATCTTTTTATTATAACAAACAAATATATATATATATACAAAAGAAATTAAAGGAACCATAACCAACCTCTCGGCCTGTAGATGACTACAGTAAGCAGGAATGGTTAGATCGGCCGAGACTGAGACATAATCATCTTAGATTCCACAGAGACAGCCGCCGGATGACGATGACCGGCCTGCGGGTCTCAAGCTAGCTCGAAATCACCACGGATTCCAAAGAGACAACGTACCCACAAACCCAACCCCTTATGCTGGACGAGATGTTATGCATCGCTTACAACCACGCCCTGAAGATCCCAGAGTGTCAATGGAGAACGATGGCAATACAATGCCATCATTCAGTAATCCTCCCAGACCTTACCTTCAGGGACGTGCTCCTTCACTTTCTGGTCACTCACCTTCTGTACCTGCGAGGTCACCCTATCGAATTAGAGACTCACAGGCATCAGTAAGAATGAGTGAGAAACCACAAGGTTACAATATACATTTTTATTATTATTTATTATTTATTATTCATATGCGGCCCTTAATGTCATGATTCAATGCAACTTATAATCCGCCCCTTATTTTGTAAAAAAAAATTTACAAAATTTGTATTCTATTTTACTTTATTACATACACATATACTTACACATTTACACATTTATACATACATACAGAACGCATTATATCTCACCATGCGATTGAAGAACCAGTCAGTCGATTAAGACATCTTAGTGCTGCAGACCGGACAAGTCTATCGGTAGAACTTAGCCGTCTATGGCGATATAAACCGGATCTGACACCAAAAGTACCAAGTATCAAGTTGGCAGTGGACGGAACAGACGATCTTCTTCTTCAGCTGTTAGTTTCTCAGGCTTGTCTGGATGCCCGTGACTTTGAGATCCTTTCCTTTGAGCAATTGGACACGTTAAAACAGGTAAATAAAACTAGTTTGAATTCGGTCTGTTATAACGTATTTATTGTTATTGTTATTGTTATTGTTATTACCAATGCTATTGTTATTGTTATTGTTGTTGTTGTTATTGTAGAAGCATCACAAGGCAGCCGATCGCCTGTCAACCGCTGCATCTCGCCTTGAACTAGAAACAAAAATCAACCACGCCACTCGCTCACTTGCTTACCTAGACAGTGTCAGTAAAGAGAACGGGGCACCTACTAAGGAACAACTAGAAGCCACAGAAACGAAAACAAGTGAACTAACAGCAGAAGTGTGTCGACTGACTAAAGAAGCAGCAGAACTCCAACGAAAACTACTTTCTCACACAGCAGGCGTCTTGAATGCTGGCGTTCAACGTCTAGAAACAAAGGTTAACGAAACCCTGGTATCACAACCACAACCACAACCACAACAACAACAACAACAACAACAACAACAACAACAGTTAGTACCACAACCAGTAGCGGCATTAGTGGCTACCCCAGAGACGGAGGACCAAAGGAATGGGCAGGAGCGGATGGCGAGGACACTCGACATGCTCTTACGCCAGCATCAGACTAAATATGTGGATGCAAATGGAAACGGGGACAGGGACGGATACGGAGACTCGGATGCGACAACTGACTCGGACAGTAGTGACACATCGGCAAAAGAGCCATCCAGGGGTCGAAGATCAGTCCTTGCACGTATAGGGGATTGTCTGGAAGCCTACCGCTCGCAGACACGTGAGCTAGAACGTCGTCTAGAGAGAGCAGAAAGTCAACAGGAGATAAAGGACATGTCAGAGAAGAAGTTGGAAATCCAACTGCGCGCCATGCAAGACCGCAAAGAGGCTGCAGAGGCCCGATGCCGCACACTCGAACAGGAAGTATCCTCTCAACAGAATTTAGCCACAACAGAGCGGCTCCGTGACCAGCTCGCACAGGCGCTTCATGAGAACGCTCGGCTCCAGAATTCATTAGAGAACAGTCAGGCAGAAGCACTGTCTCTCAAGGCAGCCGTGGTCGAACTAGAAGTCCAGGCTAGTAAAGTGGCTGCACAAACCGACCATCAGTCTCAGACAGAAGCCCATCGGAAGTCAGAGCTCGACCAGTGTCGGGATGAACTGATGGTCCTTCGAAATGAGAAGGAGCGGTGGGAACGCACGATGAAACGCTCGTCTGTCTTACAGCTTATGGAAGGTGGAAGCGATAGTCTGAGAGCCAAATACGAACAGCAGCTTGAAGAGCAGGCACAAGAGTATGAAGCACAACTTAAAGAACAAGGTGCTTTATTGGACAGGACCAGTCGTACATTGGCCAAAACAGAAGAAGAACGTGACAAAAAGGCTGCGATTATCGGCGATATCGAAGAATTATTGCGAGAGAAGATTCGCACTATGGACAGTCGCGATAACAAGATCACTCTTCTCAAAGCTGAAATGCGTGCCCTTCGAGCCGAACACGCACAACAGATACAGCAAATACAGCAAGACCAACAATCTTCAGGAGGAGGAGCAGCAACAGCAGCAACTGAGGAAGCACTACGAGAAGCTCAAAGAGAATTTTCTAAACGTGAAGCAGCTTGGATGGATCAAAGCACTTCTATGGAAGCTAACTTTGAAGGTATTCTAAAAGAGTATGATCGTCTGACAGGCTCTGCGATGGAATTTGAAGGCGATCGAATGAAGTATCAGCGGCGTATAGACGATCTTTCTCGGCACATAAGTCAACTGGAACATGTCCTTGCTGAAGAACAGATCCGCAAACTGGGTCATTCTGGACCTGACCCTCCCACGACGGCCAATCTTCGCAAAGAGTTTCGCCAGATGGTTAATGATATGAAGGCAGACCACCAGCGATCCCTTGAGAAAGCAACCGAGGAGAAGCGGGGGCTTGAAACCCAGGTCAAGAATCTTAAACATGAGCGTGAGATGGTGCTCTATGAACGAGTCAATAAGGGTGTCCAAACATATTTCACTCTTGAATAATATCACCAATTTGTTTTTAATACATGTACACTTTTCTTTAATAAATTTACCCTTTTTCTTTATGTCTGGTTGTGAGATCTTTGTAGGACCTAATGGAAGTGGAAAAACACCTATGTAAGTCTAGATTAGATTCTGACAACAAAGATAATGCACAGTCAGTAAACAATCATTACCAAAACGCCGGTGTCAAAATAAACTGGTTTTTACAGCGCAGATTAATATTGTATAGAATACTATTTGATATATTTTATATCGGAGATACGTAATTAATTTTTTGTTATCTATTTTTGAAACTTGTTTTCCATAAGAGGTAACATGTTACTGCACGTACGAACAAAACTTTATGTAATTAATTCAATCAAAATTCGCCACTATTTATTTTTTAATAGAAATACAAAAGTCATATACTTATATACTTACTTGAGACAGTATGGTATCACAGCTGCTTCTTCTTATTTTCTTTAGATTACTTTACCAAATTAAAGTAAAAAGTATACATCTTTATAACCTTATACTTGAAAAATTGAATTTTTGCCTGTGGTTTAAAACGTGATATAATAATCTGGGAATTTAGTAGATAAATAACAGAGTCTTATTGGCTATAAATTTGACATTTTTTTATAAAATGTAAACCCAGACTTTATTTTTTACTTTTGAATTCCGAACATTGATTTGATCTCTTTTCACACTGGTGCTTATTTTTTTATTATTGAAGCACTCAAATACATTTAAGCTAAAGAAAATCTATTTGGTAGTAAAAATAAAAGCATATTTTAATGTCTTGATTTAATGATTTAAAAGATAATGAAAACAATTATTATTGATCAAATAACATTTCTAATGTTTCTAGGGATCCGGATTCAAACGTCAGTCAAAGCTCAAGTGCATTTCAGTTTACAAACAAGGATGGAAAGATAATTATATATTGTCATTAAAACATATATTTAGTTACGACTCTTCCCAGTTTCCATTCCTCCATGTCAAAGGCCAGATACTCATATCCCTTGTTTTGAATTCTAGCCTCCATGTGGTTTGAGCTACATATTTTTACCCAAAGGCCAAGGTTGAAATGAAATATCCAGCCTCTAGAGCACCTACAACGACGAGTATTGGTAAGATATATATATAAAAAGTAAATACTATGTTTCAAATATCTTTCTATTTTTTTTTAGTATTAGTAGCAGCAGTAGTAGTCTTGTGCTTACAACTCGCTAGATATTTCAAATCGTACGGTCTCACTGGGCGCATTAAATAGTATATAGAACAAGATGCCTTCGTTAAAAAATCTGAATCTATAGCCACCCAAATGAGGTAGCATTATTTTATTGTAGCTCGGAGGAGAAATAAAGTCGGGTTCTTTTTTCTTTTTGGATAGACGTTCCCTGAGAGTCCATGGTGAGAAGAGCGTACGGGAGAGAAAACTAAATGAGAAGAAGATTCCCTTTTTTAGTTGGGAACCGATTGTTTTTGATCAAGATAATGCGCGTATAGTAAATAAATAAAGAAGAGTAATACAACCTCACTTTACCCTTTGTAAGCAAGATTTACGCCAAGATTAAAAATATCGTTTTGAAAAGCCAGAAATTCCCAAGTAGGAGGATTCTTCCTAATCAACTTGTTTAACGCCAAAAGACTATAATCGTCAATAAGGTATTCATCAGGAGTACTTGGTTTGGGTTCCATGTTTAAAGAAGTGATAGGTTGAAAGGGGAGATTGATGTCCAAAAACAAAAAAAAATACAAAAAAAATGACCTAGAGATTTATGGTCTTTAATGAGTCTTGAGAATAAGGTCTATTTTAAAATTATATAGTTAATGTGTCCAATATTCTTTTTTTTTCATTGTTTGATATACATTCTGTAGCTATTTCCTATTTATTTTTGCTTGGTATGATATGATATTATTTATGGCTATTGGCTATTGGTTATTGACATTGACATTGACATTGGAATTGAGATTTGTATTTTGTATGTATTGGTTTCAATATTAGATATCTATGACGAAATATAGATATTCTATGACAATCATCACACAGAATATTAATAGTGTTGCGAATGTAGTATTTGTACCCAAAGCGATTCACTATTCAAACTTCATATATTTCCAAAATAATCTTGATCAATTAACGTTGGACAGACAGTAAAGTTGGCGTGTTTGTGGCTGTTGCTTTACACTGAAATTGCCTAAAACTGTGTCTTGTTGCATTTATAAAATGGTAAGAAGGAATTAAGGGGGGTATACAACATACATATACAAAATATACGATGACAAAAGATATTTTAATAAGAATATTAATACTAATCATCGTCTACTGTGTTAATATATTGAGCATAATATTCTTATATTCTTATATAAATATAAAAAGCTTAGATGCTTGTACACCTAAAGAAAATAACAAATAACCAAACTTTATTTCTTTGTATGTATTTTTCTTTCTTTCACCCTGCATCTTTGTGTGTGTGTGTGTGTGTTTCTTTCCACCCCCTCGTGGACCCCTAAGACCCCCATTTTTTTTTTGGCTTTCATTCCCTCACAAAAAAAGTCCCTTAAGAGCTTAATGCTTGTTTTGTGGATCGACACTGGATACGGTACACTGCATTATATTTTCTATATGATTCCATTTTCATGCACTATTACTATTTCGTTTACTTACCCGCGTTTCAGATTCTCTCGGAATAAAATCCAATAACGGGTCCAATCTTCCCTCAAATCTATAGACCCTAATATATTATCTCATTTAACAAACTTCATTGACGAAGGATGAGCCAATCATGGCGCTGTTTTAAAGTGACGTTGCCTGTATTTTTTTTCCTGGGCTGTCCAGCAAGCCAGTCCACATTGTCCTTGCGATTTTTTTTTCTTCTCAACTTTGCACTCCCCTTTACTCCCACCCCTGGTCGTCACAATGTCTACTCATAGCATCTACCTCTTCCGTCACATTCAGTCCAATCAGGTTCTGGTCAGCACCCGCCAGATCCTAAAGGTACACATTCGAAATCACAACAAGATTCGCAACATTAATTCTAGTGCAGAACAAAGTTCTTGAGCAGCTTCAGCATGCCGGACGTCCTGTACGCTTGAGAAGAGATTTGTGGCGCCCTGTGGTTGCCCTGACCGGCTTCGATAGTGAAAACTCTGCTCAGGCTGTATCAGATGCTCTCTTACACCGCTCAAAGGCCCGTCAGCTCGAATTTGCCACCAAGCAGGAGCACCTTGCACGACCCAAGCGATTAAGACAGGTTGATGAAAATGATCTTCTCGAAAAGTCAGTCACATCCCTCCGTGAGGCATTGGAGGCCGTGTCACCCAAATACATTAAGGACGGTGCAAAGTTGACTGCTCTGTGGGAACAATCCCGCTTTATCGACCTCAAGGGCGATGCTGAATGGCCCGCTTTCCTTGAACACGGCGAGCTCGCTCTCAAAAACAACCGTTTCGTCTCTGCCGAATCATCTTGATCGATAACAATTCATATAACAACCAACGACAACAACAACATTGATAACAAGACAAAGACGAAGAACAAAACAATGTTGAAAGTAGAGTAGAGTAAAGTGGAGTAAAATGGAGTAGAGTAGAGTTTGAATTCATTTTTTAAGACTCTCATAAAATATATATATTCATTATATTGCACTGGTTACCATGTCAATTATGTACAGCCAAAAAAGAAAATAAAAAGAAAATAACTTAAATATACACAAAATAACTATATTTTACTTAAATAGAAATAATAATATATATAGCGAATTGAAAAGAAGGAAGGTTCAATATTATCATCATCAATTCGTTCATTTTGGAAGTTCAATAGTGTCAAATGGGATCCTCCATGTAACATCTTTGCTGCGCAATATGTTACTAGCAAATGCTGAGCATACACGTGTGTAACATTTCTACCGACTAAAAGAAGAAGAAAAACACAAGTCATACGTGCTCTTTTTCTTCTCTCATTTTTCTTGATCATTGTATTCCAATCACCTGCTAAAGAGAAAGAGAGAGAAAGCAGAAAATAGTTTGTCAAACCTTTAAGTGTAGTAGATCAAGTTGTATTCTATTCTCTTTTGGCTGCTGTTGTTGCACACAATGATAATTGAGAACAGGTACAAAGTATGGATAGATGGTTACACTTACCAGCAAGGCGGTTTAGCTTTCGAGCAGAAATCTGTATAAATACAACCTTTGTTCCTTAACCATTGTCTTTTACACAAACAATGCCATTCTATTACAAAGTCAGGTAAAGAAAAGAATAGCAAAGTTTTCTAATAACATTTATTAAATTACTGCTGTTATTATCAATACCAATGCTAATAACCTGCATTACTATAGTAACGCTAATCAATACATCGTCAAGACCGGCGTGGGTATCACCGATATCGAACTCGTCAAGAAAGGATGGGTCTTTCCAGGTCAACATGCCACCGTATTCGATGTCACCCCTCAGAACTTCTCCCTCTCGATCCATGCCATGACCATCGAAAAACTCGAGTTCCTTTTGCCCGCAGTTTTCACGATTGGTCCCAAGCTTGATATCCCCAGTCTTGAAAAGTATGCCCGCCTTCTGGCCGGTAACGCACTTACTTCGACAGCCATAACCGATCTCGTCCGGGGTGTTATTGAGGGCGAGACCCGAGTGATCGCAGCCGGTATGACGATTGAGGAAATATTCAGAGAGAGACGTACATTCAAGGACATGGTTGTTAAGAACGTTCAAAGCGAATTAGATCATTTGTAAGCATACATTTCTATATATTTACTTATTAGTTGGCTTAATTCTGTGTACGCGGGTCTGTGTGTGTATGTGTGTGGAGGACAAAAAGTTGTTTAAGAAAGAAATTGAAATCAATCATGAGACTTATTTTGTGTATCATAGCGGTGTATTCATCTACAATGCAAATATCAAGAGTCTCCAGGACACTCCCGGAAGTGAATACTTTTCTTACCTAAGACAAAAGACACAAGAAGGTGCCGTCAATCAAGCCAAAGTTGGTAAGTACAATTAAGATAAGGGGTTATCATTGTGTTATTTACTTATCTATCAATATTGGCCTTTCCACTATTTTCTTTATACAGATGTTGCTGAGGCACGTTTCCGTGGTGATGTTGGTGCCAAAGAAAAGGAAGGTTTGACTCGTCAGAATACCCAGCGTATTGAGGCAGACACGGTTGTGTATGAGAACGAGCGAAAGGCAGATATTCTCAAAGCTCAAGCTATTCTCAAAGAGAAGGCAGCAGAATATGATCGTGGTGTACAGTTGGCTCAGATCGAGGCCCAGCAACACACTGCTTCTCGTGAGCAAGAACTCAAGAGAATGGTTGAAGAAAAGAGATCTTTGGCAGAGTAAGTTACACCACTAGTAACAGTAGTAGATGCTTAATAATAGCAATGCTAAAGAGAAAGAGGTAGAAAAGATAGTATAGTCTTTTGTGTATGCGTGTGTCTGGTGAACAATTTTTTGGACTTAATTGTTTCTATCTTTAGAACTGAACGTCTACGTGCCACTGTGGTCGCAAAGGCCAAAGCAGAGTATGAAATCTCTGTTCAGAAATCCAATGCAGAACAATACAATAAGGAACGTGCTGCTGAAGCCGAACTCTTCAAACAACAAAAAGAGGCCGAGGGTATCAAGGTTTATGCGGAAGCCAAGCTTTACAAGGCCAACCGTGAAGCCGAGGGTGTGATTAATATGTTAAATGCCCAGGCTACAGGTTTGGCAGGCATTGTCAAGGCATTCAATGGCGACAATGGAGCTGCTCTTCAGTACCTCATGCTCGAGAAGAACACCTTCCAAGATCTTGCGAAGACCAATGCTGATGCCATCCGGGGACTTAATCCCAAGATCAGTGTCTGGAATACCGGGGACTCTAGTAAAGGACAACAGAACCCTTTGGCCGATATCTACAAGAACCTTGCGCCTACACTTCTTGCAGTCCAGGAGCAGACTGGCATTAGTCCCAAGTGGGGTGTTAACATGCCACAACCTCCTTCTGGCCCATCTACCTAAATGCTTGTAAAACCTGGGCGATTAAACCTTTTACTTTATTTTTATTCTTAACCTTTTCACATTCATTTTCTCTTTTTATTATATCCACACCCCTTCCTTCTTTCCTTTGCCAACGGCTTTCATTGTATCAGTATATTTATTCTTAAGCTAGCCACCTATATCACGGCAATTCTGTATATCTTATGTACTCTATATCCAATATCTGTAATTCAATAATTCAATAATTCAATAATTCTATATTCACAATAAACTATAAACTATAAATATATTTAAAAGCCTTTCTTGGATCCCATTACTTGTTTTATTATAATGCTTTACCTTTTGCGATATCTTGATACTCTATATATATATATATATATTTACAGCGCTCCTCCACGTGCGTACTCAATTTATCTCTTTTATATAAAAGACAAAAAGTAGTGAGATATATATGTATATATATTTGACTAGCCTTTGTAAGAAAGAAGTTTTGTTCAAGGTACCTGGTAATCTGATCCATTAATTTTATAGTATCAAGCACAAAATCTGGAAATACCTTGAGCCTATTCTATAATTCCCATGTCACAAAACCTCAGTCAAAGCAGAATATATATATCTATATCTATACTCTTGTAAGCAATTCTATTTATACAATAAAATAGCCAAATTTTCCTTGTAAATAAATAAATAGATAGATACACTAAAATGTGCTTAACGTTAAGATCTTTTGTTGTTTTAATTAAAAATAGAAAAGAAGTGATACTAATATATATATATATATATATAGATGTGTATATTACTATTGAATGTGAGTTGGTTGTGAAATATATATATATATAAACAAATAAATAAATATATATTTAAAAGAAGAAGAAAGAAAGAAAGAAGAGAGAATGCGATACTGTAAAGAACAATTGTTGGTTGATAGTAGGTAGGTTTGGTTGGTTGGTTGGTTGGTTGCTTTTTTTTAAAGAAAAAAATATATATAAATAAAAAAAAGAAAGGACTTGATATGCAAATGCACTTAATCCCAGTACTTGATCTTTCCATCCCAAGAACAAGTTGCCATCTTTGAGCTCTCATGTGGGTGCCATTCTGTGTTCATTACGACCTTGTCGTGAGCCTTGAACTTCTTCAGAATCTTGCATGACTTCCAGTCCCACACCCATACATTTCCATTTGAGTCACCACTGCTCACAAAGCGACCATCTGCCGAGAACCCGGGTTTACATGCGTATCCTGCAATCAAATGACCTGCGAACCGTTTCTTACGGTTGATTCTAAATCGATCGCGAGCACCGTAAACGACAATCTGGTTATCAAGAGATTGACATGCAAGCCATTTCTCTGTAGAGTATGTTGGTTAATAAGTTGATTTTTTTTTTAAAAAGAAAACTCTTTCGCCAATTATTATTATTATTATTATTATTATTATAGTTATAATAATAATAATATGAACTAACTCGAAACAAAAATCACAAAATCCAAAAAGAAAAGAAAAAGAAACTTACTGTTTGGTGACAGGGTAACGGCTGGCAAGGAATACATGTCAGGTTCGGCAATGTACTTGATCACGACTGGGATATCAAACTCCCATGCACGCATTGTCTTGTCGTCTGAGGTTGTAATGAAACGACGGTTCTCATCCACAAAAGTAATACTATTGACAGCACCCAGATGCTGGTCGTACTCTTGTGTGATCTCACCCGTGTTTATGTCAAACTGGACAATCTTCTTGTCAGAACAACCTGCCAAGAATATGTGCTGTTTATCCTCCTCGGGATTGAATGTGACGCAGTAAGGAACCTTTCCGGTAGAGAATGAACGGATACATTGTCCAGTCTCGGTATCCCACAACTTTACATAGCGATCGTAACTCGAACTCAAGAATTTTCGTCCATCGTTACTAAATGCAATATCACGCACAGCCTTGGTGTGTCCAGACATGGTACGCAAAAGTCTTCTATCGTGATAAACATCCCAGATCTAAATAGAATAATGATAATAATCGCTAGACATATTAGAATCCAAATAAGAAAAATAAAAATAAAAATAAATCCATAATTTCCCTTCCTTTCCTTTCCTTTCCTTTCCTTTCTTCTCTCTCTCTCTCTCTCTCTCTTTTAATATATATATATATAGAAAACCATAGCCTTGATTTTATACTTTACCTTGACTTTGTTATCCATACCTCCACTCAACAAGAGATGCGCAGACTTTGGTAAAAATCGAATGGCCGAGACACCCTTGGCGTGACCCTCCCATGTGTGAATACAGCGCTTTGGAATAAAACAATCCTGAGTTCCAGGCTCACCCAACAGATTTACATCCACATCCTGGGGTACGGCCATATATGTTCTTCCAAGATAATCGTGCTCGGCTTCACCATGGAATGTCGTGGTTTCGGTACCGACGACCTGTGCAGCGGCCAGTTTTTTGGCTGCCGCATTGGCCGCATTGGCTGCCTTGGTTGGGTTCATGGCGATCTGGACTTCCTCCTGTAGATCAGACTCTAGACCACTAGGTTCTCCAATACCATCACCATCATAGCCTGCCCATGGCCCCTTGTATGCATTCTCACCCTCCAGAATACCCGCATCTCCTTTCTTTTCTCTCTTTTTACGTAAGTCTTTGTTGGGTCGGTACTGTTTTGGTAAGCGATCGAGGATCGTCACGCCGCCTAATTCTGCTGCTGCTGCCAGATTGCCAACATAACCTGTGCCCATGATTCCCTGGCCGGTCTGCCCAGCAAGATTCGAGCTGCTTAGCGAAGGATCGCGTGCATAACCGTAACTCTCGAAAGTACGATGTTGTGTGCGAAAGTCCATTTCTGAGATGGCTTCTTGCTGAACATGACCTGTGAGGATGTTCTGAGTAGCGAGTTTGCGGTCTGAGAATGGATTGTCTGGACCGAGAGTTGGTCGGATCATGTCGCTGTAGGGCACATTGACTGTAAGCTCGGTTGCTGTGGGAGCTGTATAGAGTGCTGTGGGATCGACATCCTACAATGAAAATATCTATCTTAGAAAAAGAAAAAAAAAGGTTCTTTAAACGCGTATTACAACTTACATGGAAGCCTGTGTCAGGTGCTGAATTGATTTTCATTGTCTGGATGACAGCCGTAGACTGATTATCTTTAGTCCCGACATCTTCTTCATCACTCGACCCGTATTTGTCAACAAAATCCATCGTTTGTGTCAGAGGTAAAGTTGAAGTCATACAGCCGGTTCACTGGTAAAATGAGTCTGTTGATGAGGCGTCATAACAGTCACAATTATTTCTAAGAAAGGCAAGTAAGTAAAGAATGGGTGTCCGTCCTTGTCTTTTCAAAAAAAAAAAAAAAAAAAAAAAGAAAAGAAATGCTTCTGGTGGTGGCAAATTTGATTTCTTTGGGTAAGGATTAATAGAATAAATCTGATTAGAAAGATGATGTGAAATTGTAGCAACTTTCCTATCAAACTTGGCGAATATAGTAAAGGGTAAATTGCTACAAGTCCATATCCTTTCTATTGTATGTAGATTATGGTTTTATCTGTATCTGTACAGAATATATGAGTATCTTGATGTTGTTACTTGGGCGTTAGGGATCACAATCAACTTGAGATTATCTAATTTTTGAATACGAAACTCTGTATATGTTCCCTCTGGTATAATTTATATATATATGTGTGTATTTCTTTAAAAGAAAAAAAAAGTCTATGGCTTGTATGGATCAATATTTATTTATACAGATATTATTGATAATATACTAGTATATCTCCCATGCTAAGAAATCATTATTATATTTATGTATTTAGACTATATATAAAAAAAAAAGGGGGAATAAAGATATATGAAACTCAAGATGCTTAATGTTACAATCAAAGAACTGATGTACAAATCTGATATCGAATTGAATTGAATTATACTCATTGTATTTATATTTGATTTTCTTATCTTGAATTGACCTTGATTCTACTCTATTGTACGCTTTCGTCAGATCAATATATAAATATAATTATATATATATTCAAGTATGAATACTGAACAAATGAATGAATTACTGACTTGACTGAATAAATGAGAATAATCGGAATTTCTTTTGGCTCGGCACTGTTGCCATTAGACCGACTTTGCTGTGTTTTTTTTTTCTTCTTCTTCTGGCTCTGGTTTGTCCAATTCAATAGAACAGCCCGTTTTCCAGTACTTACCCGTCCAATACATCCAACTCAGAATATATATATATATATTGTTTGTTATTATCTTTGTAACTTTTGATATCCAAAAATAAATCATAAAAATCAGACAGAGAGACAGACAGACAACATGAAAATAAAGAACATGAAATTCAAGTCTAGAGTATGCCGAGCAAAATAATAATAATGAATACATGTATAATATAACAATATATAGTGATACTGAAGAAATTGCCGTTTAGATAATTTACAGTGAACAAGTTTGAAGGAGGGGGATCTAAGGGATATAGTAATAAAACAATAAAATAGAAAGAGATAGAAAAGAGTAACAAATATATAATAAGATAAAAATAAAAAAAAATGGGGATGAATGATACAAAATAGAATTAAGCAGAAACTGAATCTGCGTGTGCCTTTGCCTTTTCACCAAGACCCATGGTAGCTAAGAATGCAATGGTGTTGAGGTATTCTTCCTTCTTGCGCTCATCAGACCACTTGAGTTCCTCTGCCATGATCTCGATGATACGGGGTAAGGATTGGTAAGCGGCTTCGGCGTTCAAGAAAGCGAGACGGGTACGGCGGGCCAGAACATCCACAGCGGTTGAGGCATACTCTTGTCTGACAGAGTAGCGAACCTCGGCTTCGATGTAAGGATAGTTTGGTGAGATACGCTGGCCATAGACGGGCCAGCTCATGGCAGTGGGATCTTCGATGGCGCCAATAACCCAGGAGCGGTCACCGTAACTGTTTGCCAAATGTTGAGCTACCTCAGTGTCCATGCCAAACTCTTGTACGAGACGGATAAACATAGTCGAGGTGTACTCTTTACTACCAAGCAGCTGGACGGTTTCGGTAATGCAGGGCCCGGTGGGCTTGAGACCAAAGACCTCGATTGCGCGATCAACGGTCTCCATAGCCATGGCACGGTAGGTTGTCCACTTGCCACCAGCAATGGTGATCATGTTGTTCTCACTCACGTTAATCATATGGTTGCGCACCAAAGACTCGGTGTTCTTGGCGTTAGGGTCGCGCACAAGAGGGCGGATACCAGACCAGGCAGCCAGAACATCGCTGCGACGGACCTTGACATCGGCACTCAGATAATGGGAGACTTCATCCAGAATCCATTTGATCTCATCTTCCTTGGGCAGAGGGTTCTGAGTAACATCTGTAGGAGAATCTAACAATTATATAACAAGTTAGTTCCATTTCGCTCAAACACACTCCATCTTTTCCTTGATAATATCCGTAACACTGCACTACTCTTCAGTATCACCAATAAAAAAAATAATCTATATTTACCCGTTGTTCCAGCAATAGTGTTTCCCTGCCAGGGCAAGAAGAAGATGACTCGGCCATCACTGGTATCGGGATCCAACAAGCCCATGTTGCGAGGACTGTAGTAGTTGGGCAAGATGATATGGACACCAGCAGAAGGTGCTACAATCTCTGCGTTTTCTTTGTTATCCATCTTTCGGAGACCATCCGTGAATGGACCAGTGGCGTTGATGACACCCTTTATAAAATAAAACAAAATAAAAAGATGGCATGCAGATTTTTGTTGTTTGTTTGTTTGTGTGTTTGTTTGTTTGTTAGTAAGTTACTTTTAAGTATCTTTAGGGGGAATATTTTTTGTACCTTTGCGCGAACGTTCCATTCATCTCCAGTCAAGGTATCTCTGAGCTTAGCACCGTTGACCATACCATCTTCTCCCTTGGTGAGATCGACAACCTCACAATGGTTGGCAACTGTAGCACCATGGTAAGCAGCAGTCAGAGCAAGCGCGACGTTCATTCGTGCATCGTTGTGCTGACCTGTAAATATATATACAAAACGCACGTGTCAGAAAGGCTTTAAAATATGTGTATAAAAAAAATAAAGACTTACCATCATAGTAGACCAATGCACCCACGAGGCGGTCCTTCTTGAGCATAGGGAAGGCCTCAAGTGCCTTTGAACGTGTCAAGAAGTAACTGCTTTCCAATGCTTCTCTACCGGCAAACAAGTCGTACATCTTGCAACCTACCCAGTAGTAAGGCATCTGCCACCACCTTAAATACAACAACAATTATTATTATTAGTATAGAGACGGCGATCAGATTATTGTTCAATGAATCTTAGTAACCCCATATACTAAAAAACACACACAAACGCCGCGCCGATCCAATATATATATATGTGTGTTATATATGTATTTGACCAAGCCAGCCTAACATAAGGTCGATCCAAGTATATATATATATATATATATATATTTATATATCTTTGACCAATTCTTCTCCTTATATATATATAAAGCCGTTTTGGCCCAATCACATACACACACACATAATCCCATCAATCTAACACGTGAATTGCCCCTCCTCTTCCCCATCCCTTCTCTATTATTTTACAGATGTCACTTTTGATAACTTACTTGTAGACAGGAAGCATGATTGGCAATTGGTTGGCCAGGTAAGGAGCGATCTCCAGGAAGATCTTGCGTTCATGGAGAGCTTCGACCACAAGCTTGTACTGTTCATAGTCAAGTTCCAAAATTGCCTTTTGCAGATAACGGACACCACCGTGGACAAGTTTGGTAGAGCGTGAAGAGGTGCCTGATATAATATATATAAAGAAATTAAAATTAGAATATTAGGATAATCTACCAAAGAAGAAAGAAAAAAATACCTGAAGCAAAATCATCGCGTTCAACCAAGGCAACCTTCAGACCACGGGTTGCAGCATCAACGGCTACACCAGTTCCTGTAGCTCCACCACCGACCACCAAAAGGTCATAGATGTCTGCTGTAGCAGTCTTGCCGTCACTGTCGACGTTCTTGAGTCTGTTGAGCATCTCTTCGCGGGAAGGAGCCTGCCAGTGACCGGCAACCTTGTCAAGGTCCTTGTTTTTGTCGAGTGCTTCGGCGAGTACGATGTTGCGGGGCATCAAAGAGGTAAGCATGGACTTTCCGTTGGTGGCAAGAGATTCCTGGTTCTTCAGGGTTGAGTAGTAGATGTTGCGACCAGTGGCGTTCTTGTGCTGTTCATAGGCATAGTATGCTGAGCCAACACCGGCGGTTGTTGCGGTTGCTGCAAAGAACTTGGTCGAACGGGAAATACCTCTCCACATAATAATAACGATTTTTTTTTGATAAGGAACGAGAGAAAGAAGTTGCAGAAAAAAAAGAGAAAGGAAATCAAATTTGGCAGAACCTTAAAAAAAACAGATGAAGAATAGCGGACATTTTATTTTATTTTAGGCCTTTAGGGGCAAATCACCCTCTTGACGTAAGAATTTCTGCGCCAACTAGTTCCATTGGTCGTAATACCAAACCCGCACTTTCCCGTTTCATATATATATTTTATTTTTTTTTCGCCATTTTCCAAACCTGTCATAGTCAAGTTTTTTTTTTTTTTTTTTTTTGGTCAACATGAGGTACCAGATCCCCCATTCAATTGAATTGAATTCAATCCAGTCTCTGTCTCTTTATTTTAGCCTTCTTTTTTTTTTCTGGGTGATAAACTGTCGATCAGTGAATTAAGAATTCTATCATTTTTATAATATAAACTCTGCTTCCTGATCCATGCTTTTATTTTCGTTTGTTTTACATTTATACTATTTGTGCCTTGTGTTCATACTAGTTCCACAATATAGGATAAAAAATCAAAGAAAAAAAAATGAGAGTCACTCACTCATTTTTTAGTATCCAAATAAATAAATAACGATGTTTATCTCCTGCATAGGTTCAAAGTGTCTAGAGAAAAGGTCTTCAAGATAATTAATTAGCCGACAGTAGTATATAGTACTGTCTATAGCTTGCCAAAGTATGACGCCTGGATAACATAAAATGAGCTTTCCAGATTTACCCCGGATAGTCGTTTAATTGTCCGGTCTTTTTTAGAAGGAGAATTTCAGGTCCAGGATATTTTATTTTTATTTTTATCTTTACACAATGACAGCTGGGCTTTGTGTTATAATAATGTGTCTGGGAACAAACGGGCCTTTTTATTTTATTATTTTTTATGTAAGAGAAGTATGGTAAAAAAAAAACAAAAAAAAAGTACATGTCACCAAATCTTAATAATTAGTAACCAGGCAACCAAACATAGTCGTGCATAAATTAGGTAGTTAAAAAAGACTTGTTTGTTTTATGAGTTTGCTCACACACAAATAAAACAGGCGGTAGATACAAATCTTACTTGCAAAACAATCAATTGTAAAGAAATGATAATGATAGTAACAAACATTTGTCATTTTACCTTATCTTACTATTACTGAGTGGATTTTTCCAACCCCTGAAGTAAAATAGAAAAAAGAAAAACTTCCTCATTAAAAGTCTGTATTTTTTTTATAGGTGTAACATTTTGAGAAAAGATAAAAAAATAATATTACATAACAGCACATAACATTTGTCCCCATCGATTAAATATAGTTTAAAGAACATACATTTTAATCGATCAAATCTGTATTACAGTTTCATCGAAATATTCACACATCTTTCCCAATCAATAAATCGGTTTCTCATCCTCCCCCATTACTATAGACTATAGACAATATATGTATATTATGCATAAAAACCTGTCAAAATCAAATGCTTCTTTTGCCTTTATCTAAAATAGTATTCTCTTGCTATCTAATATGTATATGGTGCTGCCAAACTAAAATAAAAGAATAGGAAATAATGGTACATATCTCGAGATTATTCTCAATTTTTTGTAATTGTCTTGGAATATATTTTAGCACAAAATTTTATTTCTATTCTGCAAAAGGGCTTTCAGGGATCGTTGGTAGTGTAACATTTATAATTAACCCACATTTGAACAAACAAAAAAAAATTAGAATGCAAAGTAACAAAAGCAAAGATGTAGAAATAACATCATATTACTTTGGATCATTAGTGAGGTCATTTTTTTTTTATTTTATTCTAGACTTTTGTGGATTATTCTTTTTGTCTTGGAAAAAATAATTTGTTCTTCATCTTTGTTCCGTCCAATCGTTAAAGATCTAAACGTCATTTATTATTAAAAATGAATAATTGTTAGTGCAGCAGCAGCAGCAGCTAATTATTAATATTTTTGACAGGCAGTAACAGCAATATTTTTTATCATTTTTTTAAAAAAATAAAATAAAATAATAATAATACTAAATTCTATTCCTTTTATAATCAAAGCAATACCTCTTCATTCATTCATTCATTCATTCATCTACATGTCTTTAGTGTATAATATATACAATGACTTTATAATATCAATGCTGTAGAAAAATAATAATATGAACCTCTCCGCAGTATACTCCGGCTGTACCTTTTATTTTTTATTTTCTTATTTTCTTTATTACATGACAATGATAAAGCAACAGAGCTTATATCAACTAGAGAATACAGACCTTAAATTGCTTACGGCCTATTGTATCCAAAACCAGCCTTCGACATCATCTTTGTTGGGCTGGCTACTTAATTCCCCGCAATCTTGTCCAAATGAATTCTCAAACGCCATTTTTTATTGCTCGGCACCAAACCCATGGGCTCTCATTGCCCAGAATCAGACCGTTGTCTGGTTGATAGAGATTAAGGATCGCATCAGAATCTTTGTCTCATCCGAACCATTCCTCGATCAGTGCCCCACGACAGATCTAGCAGTAAAATATTGTGAAGATCCAGAAACTTCTCTGCAGGGACCAATGTTCATCGCTGCTGATCATCAGGCATTATATAAAGAGAGTGAGAATTTGTTGGAACAATTATTAAAGACTTTTATGGAAAATAAAAAAGAAAGTAAGAAATTCTCTTTATTTAGGTATCTATAATTAAAAAAAAATCAATAAATCAATCAATTTAATGCATGCTACTTTTATTTTAATTAATCAATCAATTAATTAAATTGGACTAGTTCTTGTGCATGGTTGCTCTGTCATCTGGAGTCCGTTATTAAGACGACTGTTCAAAATACCTTATAATGGACCATGCAAGAGGTTCGTCAACCCAGCATCAAAGTACCCTTTACCTTGCTCTCTTCGTAATGGATATTCCATTGCCAAGGCAGAAAAGAAACATGCACCATTGGTAAGTTCAATCTACAATACAATATGTCTTTCATTTTTGGAGTAAATTCAGGAAAGCTAGTGAAAAATAAATAAATAAATTAATTAATAATAATAATAATAATAATTAAATAGATCATTGAATACAACAAGATCAAATTTGAGATGCAATATGTCATCGAGGGTCTTGAGATGTCAACTGTTATAACCACTCAAGATAATACACCTGTAGCATGGGCCATGTCCCACAGAGATCGTAAGTAAAGAAACCAAATATATATAAAGGGGCTTTTTTAATCTAGCCTTTTCATTTTTTTTAATTGGTCTTTATTAGTCTAACTGCTTTCAATTGGAATTTTCTCTTTTTCTTATAAACATCTTTAGTTACGGTTGGAGCTCTGCATGTCTTGGGAAGTCACAGAAGGCAAGGATTAGCAGAGGCAGTGGTAGCTGATATATGTGGCCAACACACTGCTTTTTATCAAAAGCACAGCCCAGATCCAACAGTGGAACATTATGCACAGGCCATTGTTGAATATCCAAACTCAACAAGTGCATCGTTCTTCAAAAAGTTAGGCTGGTACACTCATGGACCTGGAATTACTTGGGTAGTAATCGGCCCCAAAGAGAAAAGTATAGAATAACAAGGATATCAAATGAAAAAGATACATTACACTTCTTTGATATAATTTAATTGTATTATTGATAGTAAAATTAATATTAATATATATATATATATATATATATATATAAGGTAGGCCGGCGTCTCCCATTGGGGACTATTTTAAAAAGAAATAAACATGCCTGCAAAGAAAGAATAAGCCGTTTGTATATGTTTAAATGTTTTATTCTTACAAAATGAATCTTTTTTTTTTAGAAAAAATATATAAAATGATCCATATAGCAATTAAAGACTTTGACTTAGAATGAAGTAAAAGTAGTAGCACCAGTATGGTTGAGTGAACTTTTATTTATTATTTCATACTCTGTGTATTGATCTTCTAGTATATAATGTTCTCAATTTAAATATTCACTACATTTTTGGACTACTGGTTAGAGGTTGACTTTTGTAAACCCTGATTTTCTTTAATAATATTCGGTCCTTATCTTTACCTACTTTTTTTTACTGTCTATTCAAATTAGGTACACAATTACCATTTTATTCAATATGGGCGAGAGTAATTAATTGACTTGATAATCAGCTTATATATAATAATAATGTGTCAGATAATTATACAGTATGTATAAGCAACGATGTGCAAGAGAAGATTTATATATTTAATCAGTATCTTTAAGTGTAAAAAAAATATTCCAATTGATCTTTCTCTTTTGGACCAATAAGAATCAGTTCCGATTATATTGTTTTTAGACCAACCACATTATTTGGTGTGGACAGACTAAGAGATCAAAATAAAAAGTTCCAGAAAAAAGGGGCAAAAATGTAAGCTGTATTATTGGATGAGAGCTCTTTAAGAAGAATAAAAAATTCTGAACATTTTTTTTTGAAAAGTTCAAAAAAAAAAGAGCAAAATTGTTGAACGTATCTGGCTGACTAGTCTTCTTCCATTACCACTTTGATTGAGAAGAAGAACATGTTTTTGATGGAAAAAATGGGCCATAAGCTACAAGGCCTAGAAAAACCTGCAATAAAATATTTTCAGATGATGGAAGAGATGGTACCACGAGTACTTGGAGCAGCCATAGCAGTAGCATTCAAGTTCAGTTTTTTTTCCGTATTTAAATGCTTCTTGACAAATTCTGTTAAAAGAAATTCGTCCGCAGTAGTAGCATTTCCAACAGCATGTATTTCCATACTCCATGATTTTTATGGCTTTGAGCATGAAAATACATGCTCAATTTAAAAACTTGGCTTTGCATTTTAATCGTTTTTCCTTTATTTTTATTTTTCTTTAAATCGAATAGTAGTATATAACAGTGCTTAGAAAAACTCCCAAAATGTATGCTCTTTACAAAGCTGATAATATTGGGAGCGTTTAATTTGTATTTTTATATATTGAAAATAAAAGAAAGATGTCTAATAAAATGATTTTAGAACAATAATAAAAATGAATTTACTAGTGAAGAAGACTACTGTATCAGATAGCAGAGTAAGTGTTGTGCTGTGGCAAATTACCCACATCTATATTTGTCGAACTTGTACGGCTTAATTTAATTTTTTGTATTTCAGCAGATTTGCTTCCTATTTTGAAATTGCTACAGAATTTATGCCAATTCGAGTTGAATTTGATTTGATTTTGCCACAACACAACACCCACTCTCAAGGTACATATATAAAGCTATAGAAAATATAATAAAATCCACAAGTCAAAAAAAAACACAAAATATAAAATTAAAACTGAGATTTTCAAACGTGTATATAGCGTATTTCATTAAAAAATATATAAATATTTCTGAAGAGTAATGAAGTAGCATTAATAATGACCTATAAGTGTGTTTATAAGTGCAGTCAAGATGACTCTAGTGAACTATTTTTAATACCCCCTGCTCAAATACTGCATTAAATCATTCTGTAAAAAATCAAATAAAACTTGTGAATATGAATTTGCAAGGAAAACATATACATAATAGAAATATGAACCGCCCTTTAATAAAGAGGATTGGGTTACTTTTATTTTATTTTATAGAATGATTTCGAGTTAAATAAAATAAAAGGCTGTGAAGTATTATGGTTCTCTTCATGCTAAGAGCTATGCTATATATATATATATTCCTAGACTTATCTTTCTTTCTGTTCCTTTCTCCCTCGTTAAACATATGTATGAATTGTGTATTATAAATAGATATTTGAAGTCATATAGACTAATATACCATCATAAATAAAAACACAGCTAGTTTCTAACATCATATATGAGTGGTAAATAGCTTCAACGCATTAGAATTATGCTTGTATGGCTTGTGTTTTATTAAATAACCTTACATTAACTTCAATCAGGATTGGTTCAATGGCGCTTCAAAGCTCAGAATAGAATAACAGCTAATAAAACATAAAAAATAAAAACGCTCTGCAAGCCAAGTACATTGTTTGAATAACATGAGTAAATTTTTTTTTAAAAAAAATAGTCACCCAATTATCAATTTTTCATAGATTCTTACATAGCAAAACATAGAAAGGTTTGAGTAGGCTTGAATTTGTACCTTGAGAAAAAAGCAGTGTTACCGCTATTTTTTCTATAGATAAATACACTTAACAGATCTGCTACTGAACATGTATCAACTATGTTCACCTCCTCTATGTCTACAACAACAAGCGCAATTGTGGATTTGGACACGCTTCTCCTCTTCCTGAGGGAGAGCGAAGCCCTACACAGAACTAATAAGAGTTTGAGTCAAGAGGTAATGGAGTTGAAGGGGTTCCTTCGCCTTGCAGCAATTTTAATCTTGTTCGAGCAGTCGACCTCATTTTCCGAGCTGCTAAAAAATCATTTCTATAATAAATTGTTATGAGAAACTCTCAAAAAGATCTTGCCATTGTGAATGTTTTTTTTTTAAAAAAAAATGCGTGTAGATAAAAGGATCAAGATAAATTATGAGCGTAACTGTTCTTAAGTTACTTGAAATTACCTTTAGGATACTTATACAAATAAGTTCACTTCATTTTTAAATGTGTATTTTACTATGTAAATATAAGTTTTAAGGGTATTATAAAGAAAAAAGGACAAGTTTTCTATTAACACAACATCTAATAGCATTGTTATTACTTGTTTAAAAAACAAATATCAATTTAACAATACGACATTTTGTAAATATATCACAAGAGTACATATTCTATAAAGTTCAGTGTACGCAATAGTAACAATTCTACTATAAAGATCATTTAACTATTGAGTGTAACTTTTGAGCGCTTAAAAATATGTCTTCTAAATGCATGATAGACATATATCCTCTATTAAAAACATATGAAGTAGCATATGGAACCATTTTTATATCCCGAAAAAAAAAACAACGACAATGGGATTTACTACTAATAAGATCTTATTACATCTTTAAATAACAATATTTTGTAAAATAGTCCAAGGAAAAAAATCATAGAGATAAATAGAAAAACATAGCCTGAACGTACAATTTTGTAATTAGATCGTATATACGCTTTATAGATTCTATTACTCTATGTGTGCTGGAATAATATCTTTTGCTTGGTTTTCAGGAGGTCAAACATAGACCCTTGTATAAACTTTTCCCTAGCCAATAAAATACTGTACCAATAAGAAACATATAAAATCCCATAAACAGATATTTAACAAACAAGTAAAAAAAGCAACCCAGCTTGGCAGACAATGTTTTAAAATCCAGAAAGCCTGTTCCTCAACTATTTCCTCACTTATTTTTTAACAAAGAAGCTAAAAGGTATACACTTAACAACCTATTTTCTTATTGCAATAAAATAAATACCTGCTATTTTATTTGAAAGAATAACAATTACATAAATTATTAAAGTCCAAGAGAAGGGACTTGAGATAAAATCTATATTTTTCAGTGGTCGTTATTTTAGCATAAAGACTGTATTATTAAAGAGATCTCTGTAGCTGCATTTTATTTTAGAATATTTATACAGTAATATAAATTATACATTGTATATGGAGCCTTGAAGTCATGTCACTATGTAGAAAGTCATAGATAAGAGCGCAGGTAATATTTTATAGTGTGTATAAATGTAAAAAGTGCTTCAATTCATATGAACTATGTCTGTATGATCAATGTTCTACTGAAACACCCTTACACTATCTTCAATTAGGATTGGTTCGATGATACTTAACAGCTCAAATATAAAATAACCTTGTATAAAATAAAAGTAAAAAACAAAAGTGCTTCAAATCTAATGCATGATTTTGATGACATAAAAATAAGGTAGTGTTCAATCATCAATCCATCATATATTCTTCCAGATCAAAGAACAGAGAGGTATAAATAGGATTAGAATTGTCTTTTGAGAAGAAATACTTTTATCGCTATTTTTATTACAAATATGCTCAATCAAACTGCTGCCAACTTTGCAAGCTTCACCACAACCACCATCGTAGCCACAGCTACACTCCATACCATGCCTTCTACCATACCTGCCATCATACCTGCCACCATACCCGCGTCCATACCTGTCCCAATACCCGTGTCCACAAGCACAAGCACAAATGTGCACATGGACACACATTCTCTCCGGGAGGAGAGGAATCGGAAGAATCGAGCTGGTAAGGCTCAAATATTGCTACATCTATGTCTATTGTTTTCTTATATCCTATTATATTCTGTGAATAGCCGTTGCCAAATCACGGGCGAAGCAGAAAGCTTTGGCCCGCTCCTTGGAGGAAAAGCTTGGGAAGCGGGAGATTGAGAACGAGGAGCTTCGGGGAACCCTTGCGGGTTTGAAGCGAGAGGCAGAGGAGTTGAAGGAGCTCCTTTGCCTCTCGACAATGTTGTGTATTTTCGAGCACGGCCTCTAATGAGCCGCCGTGCTCGAATAAGATTTGGACAATAAATCTTGTTAAAACCCCTCCAAAATAGTTTGCCATTGTCAATTGTTCTAAAACAAAAACATGTGTGTATGTCAAAGGGAGAAGGAAACACCTATAATATAGCTTTTCTTAACTTACTTAACGATTAAATAGCAATGCTTCATAAAAATAGTTGATACTTTTATCATAAAGTAGCATATTTAAATAGGCTTATTATATCCATGAACAGATGGAGTGATAAGAAAAACAGCGTTATTCTCTAAAGTCACGAATGTATAAAATGCTCTCTACACATACTCTAATTATACGTATGTAATGCAACTATTTGTATACACCATAAAGAAATAAGCTAATTTATTAGACATTTGACACAATTATTATTAATTTTCAAAAAAAAACTTCAACAAAACAATTTTTTTTATCAAAGCCAAGAAATTTAAATTCTACAATAGTCGTTCCATGCAGCTGTAAAGGCTCTTGTATGAATGGTTTTTAGTTGTATGTTGTTACTTCGTAATGTCTATAAAGAGATTCTATGAATAAATGATAGGCATTTATCCTCCATTAAAAACATATGAATTCGCATATAAATCCATTTTGACATTCCGAAGGGAAAAACCGACTATTCTACTACTAATGCTTTCTCAACACTCTCGCATATCAGAATAGTTTATATAGTTAAAGCGAAGGATAAACAGTAAGAAAAAAAATAATAGGTTTGACATGTATTCTTGTAATTCTATTGTAGTTATGATTTATAGAATCTGCTACAATATGTGTGCTGGAAGAATATCCTTTAGCTGGTTTTTAGGAAATCAGATATAAACCCTTGTATAAAACTTTCCCTAGCCAATAATACACTGTACCAATAAAAAGATTATAAAATCCCATAAACAGATATTTAACAAACAAATAAAAAAAGAGCAATCCAGCTAGACAGACAATGTTTTAAAATCCAGAAAGCCTGTTCCTTAACTATTTCCTCACTTATTTTTTAACAAAGAAGCTAAAATGTATAGACTTAACAACCTGTTTTCTTATTGCAATAAAATAAATACCTGCTATTTTATTTGAAAGAAGAACAATTACATAAATTATTAAAGTCCAAGAGGAGGGACTTGAGATAAAATCTATATTTTTCAGTGGTCGTTACTTTAGCGTGAGGACCATGGCATTAAAGGGAACCCAAAATCTTCATTTTATAGTAAAAAAAAAGACAGCAAGATCTGCATTTTTCTGCCAATGTCTTTATTACTCTATGATATTACTAAATTTTACCTTTATTCTTACTGATATTAAAATAAAAAGTGTAGTATTTTTGTAAAAGATTGTTTTATAGTTTAGCTCTTTAAGGCTGCTATTACAAATTTATTAACTTATAGCTTGGAAGAAGGCTGTTACTTTAATAATACAAATACGTATTGTATGTATACAGCTGCACACATACACACAGAAATATGTGTTTATATATGTATGGAATGAATAAAAAGCGTTATACAAAAAAATATAAAATAAGATGTTACATATTAAAAAGAAATAAGTAATAAATTCCTAGTATGTACAATATTTGCATATTTAAAAGTCTGAATTTCTTTAAAGAGTAATAAAATATATTCTCAGAGAACATATCTTTAGTACTTCCAGATGTTTCTAGTTAACTACTGCTATAAGCCCTTTTATCTAAAAAAAATACCATAAAAATACATAGAGAAAGAAATTATTTTCTTTAGATTTTATAAGATGATTGTAGGTAAAATAACTAAGAGTATGAAATCTTGTTTTCTTTCACTAAACAATGCTTTTTATTATATGTTATATATACTAATATAATTACCCACCTTTCTCTCTTTCACATTCTTTCTATATCAAAACAAAGCATACCTTGTATATGAAGCCTTAAAATCATATCACCTTATAAATTGTGATAAGGACACAGGTAATGTTTCAAAGTATATACGAATATAAAAAGTATCTCAATCTATTTGCATAATGCTTAAAAAATGTATTCTACTTAAATACCCTTACACTATCTTCAATTAGGATTGGTTCGATGATACTTAACAGTTCAAATATAAAATAACTTTGTATAAAATAAAAGTAAAAAACAAAAGTGCTTCAAATCTAATGCATGATTTTGATGACATAAAAATAAGGTAGTGTTCAATCACCAATCCATCATATATTCTTCCAGATCAAAGAAAAGAAAGGTATAAATAGGATTAAAATTGTCTTTTGAGAAAAAATACTTTTATCGCTATTTTTATTACAAATATGCTCGACCAAACTTCTGCCAACTTTGCAAGCCTCACCATAACCGCCAACACAACCACAAGCGCAAGTACAACCACAAGCACAACCGCAAGCACAACCACAAACACAGCTGTGCATATGGACATGGATCCTCTCCAAGAGGAGAGGAATCAAAAGAACCCCGCTAGTAAGTCTCGAATATTACTACATATATGTTTATTGTTTTCTCATGTCCTATTATATTTTGTCAATAGCCGTCGCAAAAACACGTGCAAAACAGAAATCTTTGGCGAAGAAGTTGTAGGAGAGCCTTGTGGGGCGAGAGAAGGAGAACGAGGGGCTCCGGAGGACCCTTGTGGGGTTGAAGCGAGAGGCGAAGGAGTTGGAGGGGCTCCTTCGCCTCTCAACAATGTTACATTTCTTCGAGCAGACCGGCTCATTCTCGGCTCTGCTCGAATTTGATTTCGATAATAAATAAACTTAAAAACTTTCAAAAACAGTCTGTCATTGTGAATACTATTCTCTTAAAAAAACACACACAAAAAAGTGTGTATGTTGAAAGGAGCAGAAGACATTTATAATCTGATTTTCTTTGATTAATTTAAGGATAACGCTGTAATTCTTCAAAGAAATAACTACTTCTTTTATAATGTTGTAACAAGTTTAAATATGTTTATTAAAATCGAAATAGGTGTAATAATATAAAAAACAGCTTTATTCTTTAAAGTCATTAAATATACAAAGAACTCTTTACACATATCCGAATTATATATGTTTCAGAACACAACTGTATATATATATTATAAAGAGATAAACTGGTTTATAATTGATATTTGATAGCATTATTATTACTTTCTAAAAAAACAAAATTACAATTTATAAACCAACTTAAGTAGTATATGCTACATGATTGGTAATTTACACAATTGTAGAAACTCTTCTATGGATATTAGTGAATTACATACTGTTAGTTTTCAATGTCTGGAAAGAGTTTCTATGAATAAATGATAGGCATTTATTCTCCATTAAAAACATATGAATTCGCAAATAGAACCATTTCTACATTCCGAAGAGAAAAACTGACTATTCTACTACTAATGCTTTCTCAACACTCTCGCATATCAGAATAGTTTATATAGTTAAAGCGAAAGATAAACAGTAAGAATAAAAATAATAGGTTTGACATGTATTTTTGTAATTCTATTGTAGATATGATTTATAGAATCTGCTACAATATGTGTGCTGGAAGAATATCCTTTAGCTGGTTTTTAGGAAATCAGATATACACCCTTGTATAAAACTTTTCCCTAGCCAATAAAATACTGTACCAATAAGAAACATATAAAATCCCATAAACAGATATTTAACAAACAAATAAAAAAAGCAACCAAGCTAGACAGACAATGTTTTAAAATCCAGAAAGCCTGTTCCTCAACTATATCCTCACTTATTTTTTAACAAAGAAGCTAAAAGGTATAGACTTAACAACCTATTTTCTTATTGCAATAAAATAAATACCTGCTATTTTATTTGAAAGAAAACGATTACATAATTAATTAAAGTCTAAGTGGAGGGACTTGAGATAAATTCTACATTTCTTAGAGGTTGTTATTTTAGCATGACGACTGTGACATTAAAGAGAGCTCTGAGGCTGCATTATTTTTCACAATATTTATAGACTGATATACAGTATACTTTGTATATGGAGCCTTGAAGTAATGTCGCTATGTAGAAAGTCATAGATAAGAGCGCAGGTAATATTTTATAATGTGTATAAATGTAAAAAGTGTTTCGATCCATATGAACTATACCTGTATGATCTATGTCCTACTGAAATACCCTTACATTAACTTCAATTAGGATCGGTTCGATGTTACTTAACAGCTCAAATATAAAATAACTTTGTATTAAATAAAAGTAAAAAAGCGCTTCACATCTAATGCATGATTTTGATGACATAAAAATAAGGTAGTGTTCAATCATCAATCCAGCATATATTCTTCCAGATCAAAGAACAGAGAGGTATAAATAGAATTAGAATTGTCTTTTTAGAAAAAATACTTTTATCGCTATTTTTATTACAAATATGCTCGACCAAACTGCTGCCAACTTTGCAAGCTTCACCACAACCGCCATCACAGCTACACTCCATGCCATGCCTTCCACTATACCTGCCATCATACCTGCCACCATACCTGTCCCAATACCCGTGTCCACAAGCACAAGCACAAATGTGCACATGGACACAGATTTTCTCCTGGAGGAGAGGAATCGAAAGAATCGCGCTGGTAAGGCTCAAATATTGCTACATTTATGTCTATTGTTTTCTCATATCCTATTATATTCTGTGAATAGCCGTTGCCAAAACACGGGCAAAACAGAAAGCTTTGGCCCGCTCCTTGGAGGAAAAGCTTGTGGGGCGAAAGAAGGAGAACGAGGAGCTCCGAAGGACCCTTGTGGGGTTAAAGCAAGAGGCGGAGGAGCTGGAGGGGCTCCTTCGCCTCTCAGAAATATTACATCTTTGCGAGCAGTCGGGATCATTTTCTCCACTGCTCGAATTTGATTTCGAGAATAAATCAATTTGAAAACCTTCAAAAAACAGTTTGCAATTTTGAATATTTTTTTCTTAAAAACAAAACAAAACAGTGCGTATGTTGAAAGGAGCAGGATGCATTTATAATCTAATTTCCTTTGACTAGCTTAGGGTTAACGCTGTAATTCTTTAAAGAAATAACTACTTCTTTTATATTACTGTAGCAAATTTAAATAGGCTTCTTCAGATTGAAATAGGTGTAGTAATATAAAAAAATAATTTATTCTTTTGATCCTTTAAATATACAAAATACTATCTACACATATTTCAATTATATGTATTTCAGAACACAACTGTATATATGTATATTATAAAGAAATATACTGGTTTTTATTGACATTTAATAGCATTATTATCACCTTCTCAAAAAACAGACTTCAATATAACAGAATTACAATTTATAAACACACCCAAGTAGTATATGCTACATGATCAGTAATTTACACAATTGTAAAAATTCTTCTATGAATATTAGTGAATTGCGTACTGTTACTTTTCAATGTATGGAAAGAATTTTTATGAATAAATGATAGGCATTTATCCTCTATTAAAAACATATGAATTCGCATATAAAACCATTTTGACATTCCGAAGAAGAAAACTGACTATTCTACTACTAATGCTTTCTTATCACTCTCCCATATCAGAATAGTTTATATAGAAGTGAAGGATAAACGGTAAGAATAAAAATAATAGGTTTGACATGTATTTTTGTAATTCTATTGTAGTTATAATTTATAGATTCTGCTACAATATGTGTGCTGGAAGAATATCCTTTAGTTGGCTTTTAGGAAATCAGATATAGACCCTTGTATAAAACTTTTCCTAGCCAATAATACACTGTACCAATAAGAGGCTTATAAAATCCCATAAACAGATATTTAACAAACAAGTAAAAAAAAGCAACCCTGCTTGGCAGACAATGTTTTAAAATTCAGAAAGCCTGTTCCTCAACTATTTCCTGACTTTTTTTTTAACAAAGACGCTAAAACGTATATACGTTATACCTTGTTTTTTGATTACAATAAAATCATTATTTACTATTTGATTTGATGGAAGAACAATTACATAGATTGTTAAAGTTCAAGAGAAGGGACTTGAGATAAAATCTATATTTTTCAGTGGTTGTTATTTTAGCATAAAGACTGTATTATTAAAGAGATCTCTGTAGCTGCATTTTATTTTAGAATATTTATACAGTAATATAAATTATACATTGTATATGGAGCCTTGAAGTCATGTCACTATGTAGAAAGTCATAGATAAGAGCGCAGGTAATATTTTATAGTGTGTATAAATGTAAAAAGTGCTTCAATTCATATGAACTATGTCTGTATGATCAATGTTCTACTGAAACACCCTTACACTATCTTCAATTAGGATAGGTTCGATGATACTTAACAGCTCAAATATAAAATAACCTTGTATAAAATAAAAGTAAAAAACAAAAGTGCTTCAAATCTAATGCATGATTTTGATGACATAAAAATAAGGTAGTGTTCAATCATCAATCCATCATATATTCTTCTAGATCAAAGAACAGAGAGGTATAAATAGGATTAGAATTGTCTTTTGAGAAAAAATACTTTTATCGCTATTTTTATTACAAATATGCTCAACCAAACTGCTGCCAACTTTGCAAGCTTCACCACAACCACCATCGTAGCCACAGCTACACTCCATACCGTGCCTTCTACCATACCTGCCATCATACCTGCCACCATACCCGCGTCCATACCTGTCCCAATACTCGTGTCCACAAGCACAAGCACAAATGTGCACATGGACACACATTCTCTCCGGGAGGAGAGGAATCGGAAGAATCGAGCTGGTAAGGCTCAAATATTGCTACATCTATGTCTATTGTTTTCTCATATCCTATTATATTCTGTGAATAGCCGTTGCCAAATCACGGGCGAAGCAGAAAGCTTTGGCCCGCTCCTTGGAGGAAAAGCTTGGGAAGCGGGAGATTGAGAACGAGGAGCTTCGGGGAACCCTTGCGGGTTTGAAGCGAGAGGCAGAGGAGTTGAAGGAGCTCCTTTGCCTCTCGACAATGTTGTGTATTTTCGAGCACGGCCTCTAATGAGCCGCCGTGCTCGAATAAGATTTGGACAATAAATCTTGTTAAAACCCCTCCAAAATAGTTTGCCATTGTCAATTGTTCTAAAACAAAAACATGTGTGTATGTCAAAGGGAGAAGGAAACACCTATAATATAGCTTTTCTTAACTTACTTAACGATTAAATAGCAATGCTTCATAAAAATAGTTGATACTTTTATCATAAAGTAGCATATTTAAATAGGCTTATTATATCCATGAACAGATGGAGTGATAAGAAAAACAGCGTTATTCTCTAAAGTCACGAATGTATAAAATGCTCTCTACACATACTCGAATTATACGTATGTAATGCAACTATTTGTATACACCATAAAGAAATAAGCTAATTTATTAGACATTTGACACAATTATTATTAATTTTCAAAAAAAAACTTCAACAAAACAATTTTTTTTATCAAAGCCAAGAAATTTAAATTCTACAATAGTCGTTCCATGCAGCTGTAAAGGCTGTTGTATGAATGGTTTTTAGTTGTATGTTGTTACTTTGTAATGTCTATAAAGAGATTCTATAAATACATTATAGGCATTTATCCTCCATTAAAAACATATGAATTCGCATATAAAACCATTTTGACATTCCGAAGGGAAAAACCGACTATTCTACTACTAATGCTTTCTCAACACTCTCGCATATCAGAATAGTTTATATAGTTAAAGCGAAGGATAAACAGTAAGAATAAAAATAATAGGTTTGACATGTATTTTTGTAATTCTATTGTAGTTATGATTTATAGAATCTGCTACAATATGTGTGCTGGAAGAATATCCTTTAGCTGGTTTTTAGGAAATCAGATATAAACCCTTGTATAAAACTTTCCCTAGCCAATAATACACTGTACCAATAAAAATATTATAAAATCCCATAAACAGATATTTAACAAACAAATAAAAAAAGAGCAACCCAGCTAGACAGACAATGTTTTAAAATCCAGAAAGCCTGTTCCTTAACTATTTCCTGACTTCTTTTTTAACAAAGAAGCTAAAATGTATACACTTAACAACCTGTTTTCTTATTGCAATAAAATAAATACCTGCTATTTTATTTGAAAGAAGAACGATTACATAAATTATTAAAGTCCAAGAGAAGGGACTTGAGATAAAATCTATATTTTTCAGTGGTTGTTATTTTAGCATAAAGACTGTATCATTAAAGAGATCTCTGTAGCTGCATTATTTTTCACAATATTTATACACTAATATAAATTATACATTGTATATGAAGCCTTGAAGTCATGTCGCTATGTAGAAAGTCATAGATAAGATCGCAGGTAATATTTTATAGTGTGTATAAATGTAAAAAGTGCTTCGATCCATATGAACTATACCTGTATGATCTGTGTTCTACTGAAATACCCTTACATTAACTTCAATTAGGATTGGTTCGATGATACTTAACAGTTCAAATATAAAATAACTTTGTATTAAATAAAAGTAAAAAAGTGCTTCAAATCTAATGCATGATTTTGATGACATAAAAATAAGGTAGTGTTCAATCATCAGTCCATCATATATTCTTCCAGATCAAAGAACCGAGAGGTGTAAATAGAGCTGAAATTATATTTTGAGCAATAAATATTTTATTTCCATTTTTAAAAGTATGCTTGACCAAACTGCTGCCATCTTAACAATATGTACAATAGTGTCCATAGGTTCGTATCTTTTCTAGAAAGAGAAGAGCAGGAAAGACTCTGTAAGTAAATAGCAAACACTCTTATTATAAGCTTTACCTTTCTCTCGCGCTCAATTTTATTTTGCTAAAAGATGCTGAAAAAATGTTTGAAAATTTTGAATCATTGGGAAATTCTCTAACAAAGATGTTTAAGGAACGCAAGGACAAAGATGTGTACCTCCAGGAGACTGTTGCAAGACCGAGACAAGAGATAAACAAAAAGTTTGAGAAGCTCCTATATCTCTTAACAATGACATGGTATTTTGAGCAATATAATTTTTTTTTTCAAAGCTGTTTAAATTCAATTTTTGAGAATAGATTGTTTTGAAAGTTACTCCCCAAAAGAGTTTACTTCCACCAATCATTTTCTTTAAATTAGTTTTTACCAGAAAAAATTAGCACGCATTTAGAGCATTAGTTTCTTTAATTTACTTTAGATTTTTTATGCTTTATATTAGATACTGTTATTTTGTAATTCTGCATCAATATTCATAATATTTATTGTGATTTGATAAATGCTTATAAACATTAAGAAAGTTCTTTTTTCTGTTTGACTATGTATATAGGAAACATAGTATATATTTAAATTCTTTAGCTTTAAAATGCATCAAAAGATAACCATCTAAATATAACAAATAAAAGATCAATAGACATTATTACTTAAGTAGCCAATAATACTATAACGATTCTTATACAAGAAGTAAATAGCTCTATATTTAAAATTTATGAAATTTTGACTGTTGCTACAATTTACTATAGCAATGAAAGCAGTGTACCGCTGTGTGTTGAGATTAAAAATGCCCAAGACGGTGAGAAGTAGATATAGAGATAGGAATAGATAGAAAGTGTACATAGTTTAGGCACAGAATACCACTCTAATAGCCTTAGCGAACGTACATCAAGACATAGAAAGTAATTTGTTTTTCTTTCTTTGCCTCCATTTTCAGCAAAAAAAATAATGATAATAATGATATATAATACATATTTTAGAATGTAAAAAAAAAGGCACGCCAAATGTATTACAGACTGGGACTATATTTCTACTTTTCTTCTTCGCTTCCTTTGCTTACATGGCTTTAATTTAAGAGTTTGTTTTATAAATCTAATCGATTACAGTTGGAATTACATTTAAAGATCTTTTGTAGACTGATACAATTTTACACAATCTCATTTATCTAAAACTTTCTTTATAAAATAAATTAATATATGCACTTCAAAACAAATAATTGGAATTCTTAATTCTATGACATTCAATTAGAATAGTACACGTGTTACTCATTTTTAAACTGTGTTTCAAGCAAAATATTAGTAGGAAAAAGTAAAAGAAAAATGAAGTATAAATTTGTTTGAAATTTAGCAGACTGTAAAAACGTTTTATTATTATTATTCCTGGATTATCAATATTCAAGGCTGTAATTCTATTGCATTATTTATGTTTAAATACCTAGATACATATATCCACACAAAACATTTTAGCTAATTATAATTAAAAAAAAAACCTTGAGCTTATAAACTGAACATAATTTTCTGGATCTCCAGTGTTTTACTTGTGTAAGCTTAATTTTTGAAAGATGAAATGGGCTGACAAGATTAGATAATTGTAAGTCTTTCAAATATCATTAAATCATAGTAACAAATAAGCTCTACTATACAAAGCCTTTTTTTTTGGACTCTTAATAGTAGTAATAGAAATCAAACAACTTATCAAGTAGCAATATATACTTTATTAATTGTGTGACTAGAAAATACTTTACAAAAATCCTATTATTTTAAGTCTTAATTTTCTTTCTATATATATATTTCTTATAAATCTAAACATGAGATTTAGACCAAATTTGTACATTTAAAAAGAAGAGTGGAACTTTTGGGATAAGAATACATATATTTTATTATATATAGTATCAAAAAGAAATGGAGATATATCTGCACATGACTTACGTTTGGACCTTCTATATTTTTAAAGCAAGTTAATGAATTACTCTTGCACAAGTAACTCACAGTGCAATTGTGTTTCCAATTGAGATGAAAAATGGGAACAAGTAAACAATCAGCTGTGGAGAGAAGCTTTTAATCTCACACATACTATATAATAGTAATTTTGTTTTCAATTGAAATGGACAATAGTAATAAGCAAAGTGACAAGAGTCTTCTTTAAACTAGCTTGATATTTAAAAGAGAGGACTCAATGCCTTTTTGAAAGGTATAAAAAAAGTAGTTCACTAACTTAAATATCTTTTCATTCGAGAAGAATCTAATCGCATTGTCTAATAATATGGAAATTTAAAGATTTTCTAATTTTCTACTTTCTTTGTTTCTTAAATCATATTAACTAAGAGAAATGTATAATAAATCATTGAAAATCGAATTGCTATTTAATTTTTTTTAAAAAGAAAGATTTTAGATACCTTCATAGTTATAAGGACTAAAAAGATTATGAGGGGTACGAGGGGTATTAGGGCTATGAGAGATACAAGGGTTGTTAGGGTTATCCAAGTGAAATAAACAGTAGAGAAGTAACTAAAGTTAGAGATAAAATGTCATATCATACAGTAATTTAATTTACACGCAAGAACTTCTGGCTATCAAGACAGCTTTAGAAATTTGAAAAGGTTTTATAAGTTTAGACAAATAGATGGTAAAATGAGTAGTGAATGCGTAAATTAATAAAAGTATAAAAAGTGCATAAGAAACTTTAGAAAGAAGTAATATCATAAATGATAGAAGATGAGTATACAATATATGAAATAAAGGAAAAAGAAACTAAACAATTCAGTGTAACTATTGCTGTTTAATTTAACCAAGGTTTTCAATTTTTGTATAGACCATTTTCATTTTTGTTTTAGTATCAAGTATTTATAAGAATAACATATTTAAATAAATTTGAGCAAACACTTTTCTCTCTTAGAATGGTATGTCTATTGCTTCTTAAACTGTCCCAATAGAGACAAGCGGCCTACCTCGTTATTTCTTAAAATACCAAGAGGATATATAATCATAGAATTATATTGACTGTATAGGTACTAATTAGGTCGTTGTGGCATAGAGAACCATATAAAATAACTTTCTTTAATAGTATGTACATAAAGTAGTACTCGACTATTACAATATTTTTATTGTGTTAACTTTTTAAATAATATGAAAAGTAAAATATTACATCAGCTTGTATTGTTTATCTAATTGTTTAATATAATTACTAGTGAATTAAAAACTGATTAATAAGAATTGCTTAAACTGGTTTTTGATTTATTTATTTTTTCAAAAAAAAAAATCCAAAAATGCTGCTTAAATTTTTGATCATTTTCTTCTTTTGATCAATTTGATTAATTTGGTCAATTTAGTCATTTTGATCTGTCTAGGCCAAGTGAATGAAAAAATATGGCGAGATTTGAGGTAACACAAACAAGATGGTTCCTTTTGTCATTTTTCTTAAAAAAAATCTTTACTTCTCTTTCTCTTTCTCTTCTATATCTAGATATGTAACTATGGGGAACGTACAAGACTATTGGAGCACAAAATGAATAGCAGCTACAACTATCGTAAAAAGAAAGAGGTTCGCTACACACTTGATTTCTTTGATTTATTATTGAATATTGTTTTGCTTCTTAATATCCGAGCATTAAACATTAGTCAAAGGTAAAATATCTAAAACTATACTTCTTACTTCTTTGTCTATCAAACCTTTTATTTCCCCCTTATTATTATCCTTATGCTTAAACGTATTCCAACGACTTTGACTTTCTTGACAAAGTTACTTTATATGCATATTTATTTATGTACATAACTTTGCTTAAGTTGTACGTCTTTACCTTTATTTTTACTTGTAATTTTATATGTATGTACTTTAATAATAAAATATGTGTTTTTTTTTATGTATGTATGTGTGTATGGATATATATGTATATGTATATAAAAATATATATATGAGATAAATAAAAAAAAGGGAAAGTACTGACAAGTTTGGGATAGCGAGCTTGTGTGTGTTGACCTTTGTTGACATGGCCCTTTGAATGCTGCGGTAGAAACAAACTCTAAAAACTAATTAGAATCCCGGTCGATTTCTTTTTGGGACGAGGGCCGCGTCAACCCAAATCCATTTTTGGAAATCCTCTATCGCAGAAACACTGTCACTCATTTTTAAGAGCCTGATTCTGTGAGTGGTTTTTTTTTTACCATTTATTTATTATTATTATTATTATTATTTTAGACTATCATTCGGGAATTCAAATGGTACAAGTACAAGAAACCTGGTTTTGTCTTAGCTGTTGATCAAAAGTTCAAATTCTACCTCTTCCTCGAGAATTTCATTATACCTTTCTTTTTCTCTTTTATATATATCTTATTCATTTTTCATATATAATATATACATATCTACATAAATCATGGACAGAACCATTGACTTTGACTGGCTCAATACCTTGCCAATTACTGACACCAATGATGAACAAACAACAACGGCATTATCATCATCTATCTTGGACTTTAGCTCACAAACCAAGATAGATACTACCCAAACAGCACTATTTTCTGGAGAGGACAGTACCGATCTTATGAATTATTTATTTCCACCCGATCAGTTCCAATTTTCACTCCAACAACAGCACCAACACCAGCACCAACACCAGCACCAACACCAGCACCAACACCAGCACCAACACCAGCACCAACACCAGCACCAACACCAGCACCAACACCAGCACCAACAACAACAGCAACAACAACAGCAACAACAGCAACACCAGCAACAACAACAAGATTTTATTTCTCTTGCTAGCAATCTGTGTGGTGCTAATGAATACTCTCAAGGAAACACAAGCCATGTATTTGCACCTGATGTTTCGATCGATGTAACCTCATCTGCTAATAGCAATGGCCTGGCCAATCCCGCCCTCCCTGTTGTGTACAACCCACCGGTCCTTTTTAAGCAACAATGGATTAACAATACACCACCTCGCCAGTTCACCCCAGAAAAGTCTGTCAGTTTTGCAGACCAAAAGTCGTCTTTACTTCCCCCCAAGAAATTCAAGGAACCCATCTTTGTGACCGAGTCCCCTCAGAACTCTTACAAGAAAAAGAAAAGATCCAAGAAATCAAAAAGATCGGCTGGGACAAACATGAATGGTGATTCTCCAAAGAACGACGATGACAATTATAATAGCAATAGTAATAATAACGGTGACGATGATGACGACGACGAAGATGACGACGACGATGATAATGATATTGCCATGGATGAGAATGATATCCGTGCGCGCACCAAGCACCTGTCTCCCAAGGAACGCAGACAATTGCGAAACAAGATATCAGCCAGAAACTTTCGTATCAGAAGAAAAGGTAAAGCTTTGTGTATATATATATATATACATATAAAGATGTTCTTTTCTTTAAAACTAATATATAACCCTAAATGATCCGATGATTATTACGATTACAATTACAATTACGATAATAGAATATATTGGGGAATTGGAAGAAAAGATTAGTCAGCAAGACTGTGTGGTGAGGGACCTCAGGGAAGAAAACCGTCGGCTGAATGAAGTAAACATGGAACTCTTTCAAGAATTACAGCAGTGGAGACAAGGCACTATGAACATTCCTTCTCTTGCCAGTCCTCCTTCGTCCTCGTCCTCTGATAGCCACTCTCCTGTACAGGCTGGTACCAATATGGCTGATCCTGGGAATATTCTTCACATTGACTTTGATGACCTTTATGACTTTGGGCCATTCAATAACATCCTCACCAACTCCACTTACCTGTCTTACACAGTCATCCCAGACTTTGATTTCTTCCGTAACATGAGTGGGAAGGGTAGCAGGCTGAATATCTGTGACGCCAATGAGACTGGAGACAACGATGATGTTGAATTGATACGTACCTACCCTCTGCTTGCACCCGCTCTTATGTCTATTGTCATGCACCACACCTTTACTCTCAACTATGCAGCCTACCTGGCCGACTCCTTTCCTTACACACAATGTACAAATACATCAGATCCATTCAATCCAAAGTCAATGGTGACTTCTCACAAAAGTGGTGGTGTATTAAGTCCTGAAGAATGGTTTTCTGCTATGGTGGCCCTTCAGGAAGGACAGTCCATCACAGAAAACAATGCCAAGGATGATGACGGCGATTGTTTTGATGACGAGACTACTTGCTGCGATTATGACGATGAGCGATGCCAAGATTACCTGTCAAAAGGTGTCCAGGCCCTGGAGGCCAAGGCGTATGTGCTCAACAAATGGCACAGTCATTATGTGATGTGGAAGATGTGTGGGTATTCTCAAGAAAAGATCATGGAAAAGTTCGCTGCCTGTGTTGAAAAGCAGGAAGAAGATGAGCGTAGAAAGCAAGAGGCCAAGAAAGATAAGGCACAAAAGAAGGCTACCAAAAGACCTTCAGCTGTAGTAACCTCAGCTCGATCTGTGATTGCCTTTTGCTCTATAGCCAGCACGCTGTTGCGCAATCCCAATAGTACACATCAGATTGGCCGGATTGTGAACCAAAACAAGCACATCAATCCAAAACCCTGTTCAAAGAAAGGAATCACATTCTCATCCAATTCTGCTGGATGTTCCACCACCACAAAAGTCTTTCGTCCCTTTGGAATTACAATCACCAAGTAATTCCTTGGTTTCCCAGCAAAGTCTGTAGTCATTTTCTTCCCCTCCTACCTGTACATAAGTCTACATAAGTCAGTCCTTTTATTCACCCATATATTTTCATGTATCCATATATCTATACATCTCTCCGCTCTTCTACCCTTCCATACCTTCCATACCTTCCTCCTATTTTATATACACTAAGCAATATTTGTTATTCGATTATCATACATCTTGTATTTGTTTTTTTCAAATATGCTTCTTCTTCTTCTTTTGTATTCATTTTGAATTAATAATATATATATATAAGCCAAATATTAACTCAAACTGTTAGATCCATGATATGTATTATGTTGTGTATGTGTGTGTGTGTGTGTGTGTGTGTGTCTATAATTTTTGAGTTATGTGCTTATTGGTACGGAGCTTATTGGATGACTAAAAATCACTGTTATCCTCACCAGTGTGACAACATAATCACACACTCAAATTATCTAGTTCAATTTTCTTTCTTTCGTTCTTTTTCTCTCTTTCTTTTTGCCTGATGCTTCCTCTTACTCTCTTACGCTTCAGAGGCAATCGACCTTATACCCTCGAATATGCCTCACGGATAGAATCTGTAGAAGATTTCATCCGAGCTGCTTCTCTTTTATTACCAGGTAACCACAAAGAGAGAGAGAGAGATGCACAAAAGACAAGAATTACCCCACACTTATATATGATTCGCGTTTGTGTCTCTTATAATCTATATGCCGGCCTAATAAACATATAAATCTATCTATACATAGGCCGATTCGAAGACGCCGAGTTGTGTTCACAGACAAGCAAGTACAATGTTTACTAGAAAAAAATCCGACTCAACCTGTATTATTCCCATATATATATATATATATATATATATATTAAAAAAAAATCGGCCTCTCCAGTCCTGTCCATTCTCAACCTCTTTTCTCTCCACCACACCAAACTACTTGTCCGGGCTGCCAGCTCTGGATTTGAACCGGACTCCAGGCACAAGCCTGACCAACCCCGACTAGCATTCAACCGCAACATTGAAGAACATTATGATACTCGCTGGGCAACCCGAACAGTAGCCATGAGTCTGAGTGTTTTGTCTTATACCGAAGTTGTAATCGAGATGCTTATCCAGCGTCGATGCTCAAGACAAAAACGGTGGAGATGGGTGTCTTGCTTAGAGGGTATCAAGTAAATTCTTTTATTTGATTTGCTTTGATTTGATTTTTTTTTGCATATTCACAAGAATATATATATATTAATATTATAGGGCTGTACTCCGGTTGTACTTGTTTTTTCGAACAAAGCATCGAATGGTGCTACACCCCACACACTTGGTCCGCAATATAGATCCTTCTACTCTTGAAGCCTCATCTACAGATAAATTCGAGCTCACTACACTCGATCCCCGTGTAGGGACTCCTTCGACCTCTAATCCCGACCTAATACATTCAAAAGATGCTGCAGTTACTAGACCACGAAGAGGATGGGCTATATTTGGAGAAATTCTTTGGACTCTGCGCCCGTTGATTTACGGTAAGAAAAAAACCGCAAATATATTTATGTTTTTTTTTTGGAGGTTATGATTTTATATTCAACTTTTCTTCTTTTATTACATTATCTATTGTTTAATTATTTATTTATTTATTTATTTATTTATTTATTTATTTAGTACTTTTGGTTATGCGAGATCAATCTAAACACACGCCAAGTAAATCCGACAAGACCGTTGGTAGTGGAGATAATGAAAAAGAACAACAAAAAGATGATTTTGATGAAGACGAAGATGAAGACGACGATATTGAACGTAGCTGGATGCCTTGGATGGTTTCTCTTGGCGTAGATCTATTGGCACGTGTGGCAACTCGTCAACAGACAATGACTCCACTAGAAAGAGATGAGAGACGCAGAAGAGATTACTTGCTACTGTACTATTTCTTGAGAAAGCCATTCTATACAGAATTTACTCAACCCATTCTGGCCTCATTTTGTGACTCAACTGAACACAGACCTATAGTATCAATTCTAGCAGGTATGAGATGAATATGATGTTTTTGGATTGGACTAGATTTAATGTGTATTTTTTTTTGTACAGCTGCTATTAATGATTACAGACCATTCTGGGAGAGACTTTACTTTTATACAGCAGGCTCATAAAATTTGTATAGATCACAAACCTGTCAAATAAAGAAAGAATATAATAATAAATGTACTGTATTTTTTTTATTGCTGTTACTATTACTGTTGTCCCATTAAAAGCAAAATCTACTAGTAGTTTTCTGAATTTACTCTTGAAGAATACTTCTTGTTGTGAATGTATAATTTATGTAAACAATAAGTAGTGATTTGATGTCATCATGGTGCTGGTGACCCAAGACATATTTGTTTTTATCTTTTCCTTATATATTTAGTCTGACAGGATATATGTATATATATATATATATATCATTGGACTTGTTTGTAGTTGAGTGCATATGTACTGTATCAATGGGCATACAGTGATATTATAAATGTAACCCTTTTTACGCACGCACACATCCCAAGGTCCATAATTGTACTAGTGTGTATGTGTGTATGTTGCAGATAATCAACGTGAATGGATTATGTATATGTATATGTATACGCCGATGAATATTAACATAAAAACAGACAGGGATATCAAGCTATCCACAATAGTTACTTTATGAATAAACCTGCAGATAACCAACTTTGATCCATTACAGATAGACTCTTTTTTTGAAGTCGTTTTTCTTTCTCTTAGTCTTACGATCAGTCAGCCAGTCCAGTCATTGCTAACTTCTGCTATTGTTCTAATGATTTTTCAAGGGAAAAAGAAGAAAAGAGAAAGAGGATATTTGAGTAGTAGTTTCTGGAACATATCATGATTATTGTTATCAGTGTCTTCATAGTGCTTTAACAATTAAATATGATGGACTTGATGAACGCATTTGTGTAGTGTGCTCTCAAATTATGTAAAATTCTTCTGTCATTCTCTCTCTCTCTCTCACACATTGTCTATATTTACATCTATATATCTATATGGCTATATGGCTATGTATATCTCTTTCTCATGAGCTAATTGTACGTCTTTTTCTTTGCCCTTTTTTTTTCTGAGAAATCTAAAGGTCATCTATTCTCTTTCTTGGGATAGCAGGCACAAGTATGTTGTTACTCTTTGATTGTTTGGCAATATAAAATCCATAAGACACAGATTGAGCCTGTTTCAATACTGTCTTCATGGCCTGTCTCGTGTTATAATCCTCTGTATGTTTTCTTAGAACCTACAAATACATACAATATGAATATAAAGCAGTAAATAAGTAATTGAAGTTATAATTATGCTTATATAAAAATATTTACCTCATCATTTGTTTTTCCAGCAAACTCATTGTAGCTAGCGTTTAATGGTGGTCCAAATGGTTCACGATTCAATGATGTTGCAGATGACGATGGTGGTCGTCTTTATAAAAAAAAAATTCAAAAATTGCTTTAAATGACTTGGACTTTTTTCGTTTTACTTTTTTTGTTTGTTTGTTTGCATATTTGTGTATTTAATAGTAACTATAAAAGGTATCTTACATGTGCTTTGGTGGTCCATTAAAAGACAATCCAAATGAGCTTTGTTGCTGTACTGGATGACGAGGTTTTTTACTACCAATATACGGATTGCGCAAAATATAAAACAAAATAATAATAATAATAATCAAATTAGTCATTCATCCAGTATACATATGTATATATGCATATATGCAAGTACAAGTATATCATAAAAATTATACATTTTGTCTGTGTATATTATTATTGTTATTACTTTAATAAGTTTGGTGGGAGCTGATTACTAAATGCATGCTGTAAATTGTCGTGTTGACGAACGGAATTTGAGGTTCGTTTCATTTTTATTGCTCTTTTTATTGCTGTTATTGAAGGTGCTTGTTCTTCTGTTGTTGATGTTAATGATGTTAATGCTGTTTAACAATACAAAAAAAAATAGAGAAAAAGAGAGAGAGAGAGATACACTACTGAGTTTCACTTGCATTTTATTTTTCATTTTTTATTTTTTCTTAGAATATATGTATAAACACGATTTGACTATATATATATATATATGTATGTATATTTTTGAAACGTTTGAAAACTAATAAATATATATCATTATCATAATAAGTATTACTAAAATAATAGTGATAATAATAATAGTAATAGTTAAAAGAAAAAGAAAAAGGCAGTGTAATTAATTGAAACAATCAAGTGGCTATCATTGAAGAAGCAAAAAGCAGCTTTGGTCGCAACTCCGAGTTCAAGCTTTGCTTTGGATCTTATCAATAATTGTGGGATTCAATTGAGCTGAACTAAACTGAATTGGTTCCTTTTCTCCATAATGAAAACGATTTGAATATACATAGGTGTGTGTGTGTGTGTGTGTGTGTGCTTGTTTGTTAATGTAAAGGACAAAGCATTTGCCCAAAAGTAATCTAAAATTGAACTGCTTCAGTTTTATCCATTCAATTTTTGTGTTCATGTATACAAATCTGTGTGTGTGTGTGTAAATGAGAAAGAAACTGCTGTTCATGTTGCGGCCCGGACTATGTGACTTGTATTCCGGACAGTCCCGAACAATGGAGCGAGAGAGAGAGCGTGCGTGTGTGTCGGGTGGATTAGAAGATGCAGGAGACGTGGCAAGATAAGCTCTTTCTCTAACTCCATCATGGTGAGTGTGCATCCATAGATTTAACGTGAATTCGTTGTAGATATGCGTGTATATCTGTGTATCTGTGTATCTTCCGTCTCTACATATCTCTATATCTCACTCTCCCTGTGCGTGTGAGTGTATGGATATATGTTTTCTACTTCTTTGGATGGATATCAAACCAAAAAAGAAATGTTGATGGATGAAATTAAAGCGGCAACTGACAAAGAAAGAGAAGCCGGACCAAAAAATCAAGAGGGAAAAAAGACGATTTAACGAAGTTGGACAAAAACTGAAGAGTATGAAAGCACTAGTAGTATAAGAAGTAGTATGAATAGTGGTAGTGGTAGTTGGGAGTGGTAGCTTACTACAAACACACGTACACGTTAAAAGAAAAGAAAAAGAACAGCAACAAATCTTTTTATCCGTTAAGTAACATTTCAACCCATCTACAATGAACTCCTGAAAGATTAAAAGTAATGTCTTTACAAAGTACATCTGGCAACAAAATACAGTCAACATCATTGGAACAACAATCGAAACGAGACGTATCGATTATCCAACCTGAACCTATTTTATTGTGTATTCGTATACACTGATAGAACACACGCATACTCACCGTACATATTATACGCCCTCCGTATCTGACGCATACATTATACACATACTACGCAAATCCGCAAAGACGCAAAGATACAGATACACATCATATACACGCATATCAACATACACGACTCTTATTTTAAAAAATAAAATAAAGAAAAAGGACAAAAGGACAAAATACTTAATTATGCTTTTTTCTTATGTTTATGTTTTACTTCTTTTTCAACAACAACAACAAATTTTAAAAAAAAATTAAAAAAAAGGCTAAGAAGGACGTTGCTGCCAAACCCTCATCCTCCTCCGGAGGCAAGAAGGCTAAGAAGAAGTGGTCTGCTAAGAAGGTCAAGGACAAGTCCAACAACTTGGTTGTTCTCGACAAGCCCACCCACGAGCGTTTGTTCAAGGAGGTCCCTACCTACAAGCTCATTTCCCAGTCCGTCCTCGTCGATCGTCTCAGACTCAACGGTTCCTTGGCCCGTATTGCCATCCGTGAGCTCGAGGCCCAGGGTTTGATCAAGCCCTTGTCCCGCCACCACGCCCAGGTTATCTACACCCGTGCTACTGGTGACGAGAAGAAGCCCGAGGTCCAGGCCGAGGCTGCTTCTGATGAAGAGTAAAGATATATATTTATTCATTTATTATTATTATATCTTCATTATAATTCAATAACAAAAAAAAACAAAAAACAAAAACATGATTGTTATTATTATTGTGTTATGAACTTTGGTTATTAGTACATAACATAGTGGGCATGGTAAAGGAATGAAATGAAAGGATTATTGAGATCAAAAACAAGGTTGAATTAAATGAGAGAGAGAGATATATAGAGTGATGGTTGTTTGTATTGTATGGAAGAGGCATGATGTTTTTGTTTTTGTTTCAATTTTAAAGAATAATAATAAAAAATATCAAATATTCAGTTTCGTTTCATTTTCATTTTTTTTTATTAATATTATAATATTATAATATTATATTTAAATTTAAATAATGTTTGTGCAGATTGGATTAGCATTCAGAGCTAGACAAACAATTAATGAAAATTATCTGTAGACTCTGAGCGACTGCTTTCCAAAGCACCAGCCAGCCACAAAGGACTGGAAACTGTTTGATTAATCGTGGGGATGAGTAGCGCAACAAGGCCTATTGTGTAAGTCATGCACAAGCTACGACTCTGCTCATGCCCGTAAGTTATTAAGGGAAAAAAAAGGTGGTCAAATTTTCAGCGTCTTTTTAACTCTTTTTTTTTTGTATGTTTCGGAGTACAAAACGTGACTGCGCTATATTTAGCCAATGGTTGATGATATTTACACAAAAAAGAAAAAAAAAGATGACTGCTTTTGATCTCCGGCTTTTGTATTCGTTCAACTCAATTTAAAAGAAAAAAAAAAAAAAAAAAAAGAGCAGGGTGAGCTGATATATTATATATATATATATAATTTTTTTTGGTAAGAGGGACGAGGAATGGCATATGTAAAGAGCGTGGTTTTATTTTGGCTGTTATCTTTTTATTATTATTCTTTTGATATTTTGGCTATTTATATTTGTGCTGTGTAAAATTCAAAGAAATGGATTTGATTTGTACATTTGTTAGCAATTGAGCTACCTACAGTAATGCCATAGGGGGGATGGAAAGAGGGAGGGAGAGGTAGGAGTTGAAATTGACAAATATAAACAAGAACAAGAACAAGAGTCTTGTGTATGTATGTATATATGATTTGAACTGCATAAACCAGATAAACCAAACAAGTACAAGAAATTTATATAAAGAATCAATAGATCAATAGATCAATAGATAAATATATTTTATTATAAGAATTAATTTGGAAATATACATATAATTCTCTATCTATTTTGTCTTGTTTAGTCTGTTTGGTTACCTTTTGAAATTGGGTTGAAAATTGAATTCAAATGCTCAATATTAATATTGATAATGATGATGATGATTTTGTATTGAAACATGAGATTAGTCCCACAAGGCATACACAAATATTACTTGACAGAAAATAACAATAACAATAACAGTTTGTGCAGATTGTCTAAACTTTTTTTATACAAATTTATGATGATTAATTTTGAATTTTGAATTTTTTTGATTAGGTTCCCCCTTGTTTTTTCTTCTTCTTCTTTATGCTTTCCATTAAATTTTGAGGCATTTCTTTCCTTCTTTCCTTCTATTTATGTTGATATACATTAGCTCAATATACTTACATATTTATATAGAGCTCATTGATGACCATTTCTTTATATATCTTTTTCTTAAAATAATAAATACCTCACTACATGACTATAGGGGAAAAATAAAACTATATTTTATTTGTACCTTCTTTAAAGAAACATTTTGTAGGTGTATTATACTCACACAAACGTATATATATATATATATATATATATATTTGTGATACTGTGATGCCAAGGAAATGTTCCCCGAAAAATAAAGATAAGGCATCAGGAAAACGGTTGAAATGACCGTATTCCGGAAACGCAAAAACAAGGGTTATACATGAGCAACTAAAAAATAATAATAATAATAATAATATATACAAATATATAAAGGATGCGTTGTGTATATGTGACACCTATCCCTCCCTCCCTCCTCCTTTTATAGGAACACCCTATACCTATTACACACACAGATATATAATTATAATTATAAGACATCCGAGTCTTGCCCTTTTCTTCTTCTTCTTCTACATTTTTATATCTTCTTTTTCTCTCTTTTTTTTTTATCTTTCCATATGAAATGTCTATACGATCGAAATCTAATAAACAATCGGACGAAGAAAGTAGCCTTGGAATCGATCACCCAAACTACGGCTCTGTTCAACGCCCAGCCTCCCATCTATCATCATCCAGTACGGCCTCTAGCGACGAAAGTGGCTCTCTGAAAGCCAATAGTGATGCCGACGAACCCAGCAGGGCCACGCGAAGAAAGAAATTTCGAATTCAACAACGACACTCTCCACACCAAATAAGTCGCCTCTCGAGTGTCATTCCAGGAAGTAACTCTAATGAGGCATCGACTTCAGATCTTGTCTTGCCAGCATTAGATCCAAAGTAAAGAAAACTAAAACTAAAATCAATTAGTCATCTGTCTTACTTTTTTTTTTAAAAAAAAATAGCCTTTACGTATGTATATCTTATTTAATCTTCTTTTGTTTTTTGTTTTTAAATAATAATAATAATAATTTTAGAGCTCAAGAAGTGATTGAGGCTGTAACTCTTTCAGGACCTCTCGAACAGTTATTCATGAGACGCTCGAATATCAATCTTAGTACCGTTAGACAAAAGTATCGAAAGAGTAGAAAACTAGTTCGGTAAATATAACTTCTTTTTATATATATTAGAATGTGTAAATCGATTATTTTCCTTTTATATCATTATCATTAATTTAATTATATATATATATATATATATTTTGTTTAGTGATGAAAAGACTGAAGTATTGAGTATTATTCAGAATATTCAACTCTGTATCAAACAGTGTTTCAACTACAATACCTACATATCAGCCATAAAAGACTTTCTATTGGCGAACCAGACAATTGTTCTATTTGTATGTAACTTTAATAGATACATATATTATATATATATATATATATTTTATATTTATAATAATTTAATTAATTAATTAATTATATGTATAGGTCTGGCTAGATTTAATGGTGGATCTAATGTTCTGTATGGCATATCTTGTCGAGATGAAGCAAGAATCAGATATCAGTCTGGATCCTTACTGGCTCTACAAATGGAGATCCTATGATTTATGGTACAAATATATATATATAAAGAAGAAAAAGAAGAAGAAGCTTAATATCTTGTTTGGGAAAAAACCTTGGTCCTTGCTTTCTCTGATGCCCTTTTTATTGTTATTAATTATTGCACATGTTTATAGGTTCTTTTGTCAGATTCTTACTATGTGGAACATGTGTTCATTTGGAATACGCAAGTCACCTTCTTTTTCTTTCCTTCTTACCTAGTCCTTATCATTTGAGACTTTAATTTTTATTTATATAGATGTTTATACTAACTTTTGTTATTTTTTTATTTTTTTAAAAAAAAACCATGGCAACAACAATAATTAGGCTTCTTTATGACCGGCCACCCACTGTCTGTCTTTTTCAGTTTCCGTGCCTGTATTGAAGCAACGACTACCCTTCCATTTCTTGTCTCGAATTTTATTGAATATGGTCAATTCCTATATGGTCAGTCTATTAAGATAATATATTTATTAAATTATTTAAATATTTACATATAAATGATTTTTTTTTAGTTCCTTATTTCCTCAGAAGTTGGGTACTACTATTACGGATCAAAAGTGCCATGAAAATCCGAACCAATTTACAAATGACAGGTAAGAAAATAAAATAACACATATATACTTTATATGTCCATATATCCCTCAATGATAAGCACATGATCAAATAAAAAAAAGTATATAAAAAAAAACTCACGCTCAGCCCTTTTTTTTTTATATCATTATATGAATTTTTCCTTTGATCAATAGACAAACCCGTAGACCCCCTCAATACAAAACTTATACATTTGATTGGTACCCTGATTGTGCTCCTGTACAACGGCATGTCTGCCTTTCAGTACTGTGAAGTGACATTTGGATCTAATAACTACACAATTCTTGAATCATTGTAAGAACGACCAAAATAAGAAAAAGAAAGAAAACACCAGCTAGTAATATATGTACATAGTATTTTGGGTTAAACAAAAAAAAATGAATATTAATTTTATTATTATAGATACGTCGTCATGGTGACTTTGTCTACAGTTGGTTATGGCGGTATGTGTGTGCCTTTTACCTTTTTTTTAAAAAAAATATATTTGAAGCACAAATAGTGTCTTGAGTAGTACAATCGGTTTAACAATAACATTTTCTCTCTTTTTTTTTTAATAAAAAAAACATTACACCCACTAACACAAATAACTCACACCAAACACGTATTATAGACATCACACCAAACACTCAGGCCAGTCGTATTATTATGATGGCCCTCATTGTTATCTCACTCGCAGTTCTTCCGAGCCTTATTACCGGAGTGCTAGACACACTTCGCAAACAGAGTGGTAAGAAAAGATATTCTATTATATTATATTATCAATATCAATATTAATATTAATTTTGTTTTCTATATATATATATAAACAAAGACGGGGGAGGACATGTAGGAAGAGGTGCTATTCCATTTATTCTAATTGTTGGATCATTTACTACTGAACAAGCCATCGCAATTCTTGATGGATTTCTCAATGTGGTAAGAAATAAAGATAAAGATAAAAGCAAAAAAAATATATTTATATTTTATCTGTTTATTAGGAAAATGCAGAATCCCATCTTAGTGTCATCTTTTTGGATAATAATCCGCCCACTGAAGAACTCAAGCTTATGGAAAGAAATTCCATGTGGGGTCATCGTGTTCAATTCTTACATGGATCTGTCTTGGTATTGTAATCGGGCAATGTATACTAGACCAAAAGAATAATGCTACTACCAGTAGTAGTAGTAGTAGTACTTGATCACTAACCTTTCCTTTCTTTCTTTATTATATATAGAGTGACGATACTTTGAAACGAGTAGTAAGTACTTACTACTAACATCATTAGCTCTTTAATAATTTTCCCTACTTAATTAATCGTTTATTTATTGTAGCAAGCCCGCTATGCAAAGGCTATTTTCACTGTGTCTGGTACAAAAAAAAACAAATAAATTCTAAATGGAGGTTTAGCCGATCTTTACTTATTTTTTATATATATTATAGATCAACATGCTGCTGATCCGGGAAAGGAGGACGAAAGGAATACAGTGCGACTTTGGTCTATATTTTGCTACACCGTGAGCAACAACGTACCAATCTATACCTACAATCTTTCGCCCAGTACCGCAGTATACCAAAAAGTAGCCAAAGAGGTCATTTGTGTTCGCGAATTTAAGCAGTACTTGCTGGCTATGAACTGCCGTTGTCGTGGCGCATCTACCCTCATGACCAACCTACTTCATCAAAGAGAGCCTATGAATGTTTACGATGAACCATGGCAGGCTCAGTTTGGTAAGAACAAATATATACATATACACAAACAAAAGGCTATCATGATTATGATCATGATTATAATTATGACTGTTATCAATATCTCTTATCAACTGTACTTTTTCTGCTCAACTAAAAGATGATGGTTCGTGTAATGAGATTTATATGGAGCGTCCGATTGATTGCTTCATTGGCCGTAACTTTGGACATGTTTCTTGGGTAAGAAAAATAAATAGACAGATAAATATTATAATCTTATGATACTTATATACTTACTATTGATATCAATTGTCTCTCGCTTTTCTTCTGCATGTATAAAGCTATTGTTCAAAGAGTGTCAAATTATCCTGTTTGCCATCAAGACACGCGTTGAAGAAACCGATGACTGTGAAATTCTTTTGAATCCCTGTAACAACTATATAATCAAGCACGATGATATTTGTGTTTATATAGCCGAAAGTCCCAAAGAAGTAGCCGACATTAAATATCTTGCAAGTACATCTAATATGAAGATTATATATATATGTAAAAAGGGCAATAACTAATTATTATTATTTTGAAACATCAATAGCGCCCTGATTATGTTGCAAAGGTTATTGATTCCTTAAAGTTTAACCGAAATCGATACAAAAATGAATATGTTCCAAATGCCGACATGCAATTGCCTAATGATACCATCAAGGAAAAGGTAACCAATTCAACAAATAAGTACCACAGGTCCATTATCTAACCCCCACCTACCACCACCACCACCACCACCACCAAAACCAAAACCAAAACCAAAATCAGCAGCAACAGCAAAAGCAACAACCACCACCACCACCACCATCATCATCATTAGGAATAGCTTCTGGAGCTGTTGGAGGGTTTCAATTCCAATTGAAATTACCCAAACTTCCAGCCCGTCCTTCAATGGCCCAAAGATCAACTCCGTCTTATGATTCGTTTAGCTCATATCAATGGACAGGCGGGTCTACGCAGCAAAACTATCGTATTCTCAAACTTCCGCCAGACAGACACGCCATGATCACCGGACGACGAGCCATGATTGCTCGACTGGGTCACACATCCTCTAGCCCTACCGAAGACACGTCTTTACCCCAGTGTTATTTATTAGACGAGTCACCAAAACTGTCGGATGTAATGATCACAGACACAAACACCATCAGTGGTCATGTCTTGGTTTGTCTTCACCGCGAGGTCATCAATATCTTTAAATTTGTTTACAACATGAGGTATATAATATAATATTATACAACCCAAGGATTGGTCTTGGAAGTTATACTTATTATTTTATTGTATAGATCTCCAACTATAAAGCCAGAAGATTTGCAGGATATCGTTTTGCTTTGTCAGAAACAACCAAAAGCCAAGACATTTGACTTGATCAGTATGTTTCCCCGTGTATTCTTTATGGTGGTAAGTCAAACTTGAAAGCTTTATTATTTTCTTTCTTTTTGTATTTTACATTAATTTAAATATTATAAATTTTAAATAACTAATGACAATATTCTTTATCTTATCTTATTTTATATTTTGCTTCTTTAAAAAAAATTAATCTAGGGAAATTGCAGACATCCTGATGATCTTTTACGGGCTGGTGTCAAGAGAGCAAAACAAGTCGTTGTAATGAGGTGAGTAATAAAGAAAAAGAAAAGATAGAAAACTTGCAAAGAAATATTAATATTAATATTAATGTTTAATGTTTAATTTCTTAGTGAAAAAGAATGTCTTGATCAATACGAAAGAAATTCTGATAGTCCTGCAGTGTAAGCTTGTCTGTTTTAAATATGTGCTTATTTACTTATTTACTCTATTGATATTAGAATGACAAGCCATATTCTTGACCTCTTGTTGCAAGAAAGACCCAAAGACTCTTACACAATTGTGAATTTGGGTATGTAATATATGTATTTGATGTAAATGCACTTTGACTAATAATCACAATTTCATAGTCGAGAAATCAAATATCAAATATATGCATCTCCTCCAAGGAAAAGACGTGGCCGAAGAAATCGATGTGTTCTATACCCCAGCCTACGCAGCCGGTGATGTTGTGGCTGATAGTCTGATCAGCAATGTTCTTCTGAGCCAGACATACTATAAGCCCGACATTGTGTCTGTGTTGAAGAGTCTGTGTGGTATGCCTTGTCCAACCTATGATCCATCCCCAGGCCAGATATCCAATGATAGTACTACTACTGGTGGTGGTCCAGACGTCACTTCTTCTTCTTCTCTATCTTCTTCGTCGTCTTCAGATAGAATGAAGTCTCAGTTTTTGTCAAGTATTCTTCTTCCCCAGGTGTTTGTTGGCAAATCATTTGCCTGTCTGTTCGAGACCCTTTTGCTCGACTATGATGTATTGCCAATCGGCCTGTTGCGCGCCACAGACGAAATCTTTGGCAACGAATTGCCGTTTGTCTACGCAAATCCTGTTCCATCTCTGATTCTAAAAGAAACAGACATGGTGTATATTTTAGCCTCACCCGGATGGTCTTTTGACTAGATCCAGAAAAAGAAGAAAGCAACGAAAGAAATTAAGGAAGAGATTTTATTTAGGATGGATTTAACGTTCTTCTCTTCTTCCTTTCTTCCTTTCTTGTTATTCTTTACTATTTGATTATATTTATTTTTTTGGTTTGTTGCTTTGCTCATCTTCTTCTCTCTTTTATTCTGGTATTATAATTATTTGCTTTTATTCCTTTTGCTTGTTTGTTTGATAGACGATATACCCTCCCTCATATTCACTTTACCTTTTTTCCCTTTTTTCCCTTTTTTCCTCTTCTTCTTTTTGATTCTTTAGATTTACATTTCAAATGAAAATTTTCAAAAGAGTCAAGAAAAAAAAATTCAAATTTATTTTGAAAATAATAATAATAAAACCCTCCCATTGATTTTACTATTGTTATTGTTATTCTTTAAGCACAATACAATATATTGCCTTGGATCAATATATGTATGTATGTATTGAATATAAAAATCTCAATTGAATACACTATTCAAGTCAAAGAAACCTTTTTCTTGTTGTTTATTCAAAAGTAACAATAATAATAATAATTCATGATAAAAGGGTAGTTCGGCTAAACTAGATATGTAAATGAGAGAGAGAGAGAGAAAAGCTGAAAAACAACGGTAAAGATAATGATAAAAAAATTTAAAGAGCATCTTTAGTCTATAAAATATAATATAATATATATATATAAGAGAGAGAGGGAAATATACGATTGAACACAAAGAATAATAAATAACAAATAACAATAATCTTACACTTAGCTGCTGCTGTTCTTTTTTTTTTTAGCTTTGTGTGTGAAGTTCCATATTGATGGCTCCCAAAACCATTTTGGCAAGACTCTCGTCAACTGATTCCCATCTAATCACAATATTGACAGGATCAACGCTCACACTGACCGTCCGGGCAATGATTTTTTCGGGTGTCCGCTCGACAAGGACAGCCGACTCAAGTACATGCGTGATCTTGGACTCCAGTCTCTTGAGCATCTCACCAGGTCCAGAACTATTCGCACAGCCCCATTTCTTTTCTACATGGAACCACAGTTCATGCTGAGATTGTTTTGTTGTCTCGTGTTTGGGATCAATGATTTCAATCTGAAGCGGTTCGTTTTTGTCTGTGCCCTGAGTAACCCGAGCAAGTCCGTGGAATGGAATGTTTTGTCGAGGTTGTGGTGGTGATATAGTCGCTGACGACGATGGCGATGATAATGATAGCTGTGATGATGGTAATGCTTGGTTTGTAATAAAAGAAGAAGAAAAAGAAGAAGAAGAAGATGATGATAATGATGAAGACGTTTGTGCTAAAAGCGTCTTGAGATATGCAGAACTAATCTTGGCAGACATGGTGTGACTGGTGGGAATACTGATTGTCACACCGTTTGGCGGGTTGTAGCATTCGATTCCAAACTCATTAACAATCTTGCTCTTCAGAAACTCCATTGCCTGACGTTCGCCGTGAACAAGGACCACATTACGTGGCTCGCAGTGGCGAATCAATTGCATGATTCCTTTGGCGTCTGCATGAGCACTGAACGAGAGGTTCCTGACCTGAAGGTTGACTTCGACTTTGGTGAACCGATCGATTTCGATGAGCTTTCGACCCTGGAGCACTTGATGGCCAATGGTACCTGCAACACAGAAGCCTGGCAAGACAACCATGTTGATCGGATCTGGTGCCCACTTCTTAAAGACCTCAAGAGACGTGCCTTGATGCAGCATGCCTGGTGTTGCAAACAAAACCATCGCGCCCTTGTTGGACACAAACTGCCGATCCCATGGCTCGATGTGCTTGAATTCAAACATGTTACGCTCCACAAATGTACTCTTGATCTTCTGGTTTGTCCAGTTGATAAACAGTTTGTAATACTGGGTTGCTCGTTCGGTGAGACCTGCAGAAAAGTATATCGGCACCTTGAGACCCATGCGCTCCCAGTAGGCATCGATCAGGATGCACAGTTCCTGAGCACGTCCGAGCGCAAACACTGGAATCAGCACCTTGCCACCCTTGAGCACACACGCATGAACTTTCTTCAGAAAGTCTCTCTCACGAGATCGCTTCGAGTCACGGATTGTGGTGCCATAAGTACTCTCGGTAATTAATACGTCCGGCCTGACTTTGTCAATCCAAGCCGAGCCAAGATGTCGATCGGGTGTCATGTTGTAGTCCCCCGTATAGACCACCGACTCTTCGCCAACCCGGACATAAAACATGGCCGCACCCAGCACATGGCCAGCATAGTATGCCTTGATCTCTATATCGGCATCAACCTGAATGGTCTGGTGTAGACTGATGGGTGTCACCTTTTTCATGCATTGTTTGATCATGTCTGAAGTAAAAAAATTGGTTTCGCCCTTTTTCTCTACTGCGATCTTGCGGTAATCTTCGAGCAGGATAGGACAGATGGCTTTTGTAGGGTGTGTCATATAAATCGGGCCATCGTAACCACACATTTCTGTAAAATGAGGCAAGGCACCGCAGTGGTCAAGGTGAAAATGACTAATGATCACTGCATCCAACACTTCTGTAAATTCGGCTGTTTTTGAGATGTAACTGAAATCAGGAAATCTTCTCTCGTCATTGAAACCCATGTGCATTCCTGTCTTTTTTGTGTATATAAGTGTATGTTCTTATATATATATATATATATATATATATATATATGCATTGTTGCGCCTATGTATATGTGTATGTACGCGTATTTTTTTGTTTTTTGTTTTTTGAAAGGTCATTGAGGGATCTTATTACCGCAATCAAACATGATATTCTTCCCACCAATCGTAACTACTATACAGCTTCTGCCGACATCCTGACCTATTATTGATATTTCGTTTATAAATGTATATTTTTGTGTATTTTTTTTTCAACTAGATCAGATGAGTGTATATGTTACCTGCACCCAATGGAACTAATCGAATCGTCATTAGGACAAGATTATATATATATATATATTATTGCTGTTACTGTTACTGTTACTGTTACTGTTATCGTTCTTTGTTGCCCTGTTTTTATTTATTTTACTTTATTCAACTTTACAAACTATAAGTTAAAAAATAAGTAAGAGGGAGGAAGGTTAGTCCAACACCTTTAATAATATTTTGTAATATAGAAGCAACGCTTTAATTCTTCTTTATCGCGTTCCTGTGACTGTTGCACCCATTTCTCTATTCACAACTCCTGTATTCAATTCATGAACAAAATCAAAGGCTTCTTTCTTCTCATTTATATATATGTATATGCATTGAGATAATGTGAGATAGAGAAATGTCATATTAGACCAATGTCAATAGATAAGGAAACGATATACAAATATGCGTAATATTTATTTTGAAACATGGTGTCTCTTATTGTTTGCGCGTAAAGACTTATCTAAAGTTCTCTATTGACAGCTGAAACAAATGGAAGCTTTTCTTTCTTTAGATATACATACAAATAGAATTACAGCTTTAAAATCTGATGATTTTTTTTTCAAATAATAATAATAATAAAGATTGACAGATGTTGTGTGCTACTAAACAAGACAAAAAGAATGACTTTTACATTAAACTCTCTTTTATAGATATTTAGTAGATACCTTGCTTAAGAAAGAACCAAAAACCAAAAACCTTGTAATGTGCAACGCATTAAATGTCTTTCGGTATTTTGTACCCGATCATAATACCTCTGGTTCTATTCGGGACAAGCGGGTGGAACTTCCGAACAAGCGTAGTAATTCAAGGCCTTGTATATATATATATATATATTTACACACACATATTAATGAATAGATTAAAATAAAATTAAATAGGAAATAAAGAATAGTATATTGAAAATATGGTAACAATGCGCGTAATATGTCAATATTGGTATTATTATTTATTTTTTTTCATTATTATATTTTCATTTTTTTTTGGTACCTAGATGGGGGCTGTGTACTTCTTTAAGCTGAATATATATAAAGAAGCCAAAGAAAACTTGTCTAATATTTTTTTTGTAAGGAGATTTTTTTTTTTCCTTCTTTTCTTGAATATATGAAACACTAATTTTCTTTGTTCTTCATTTCATTTGAGATTCTTTCTTTCTTTTATTTATTTATCTATTATTATTTTTGGTTGGGTTGATTTCTTGCTTGTTTGCGTGCTTGCGGACACCAACCTTGGTTGAAGAACGTGCAACCACCAAAAGCTACAAAAGTGCTTTCTAAACGGATATCGGAAACAAGAGTGATACAAGTCATTATAATTATCACACCCAAGATTTTTCTTGTAAACCTTAACATTGTTTTCGGAATAGCGTACTATTCTATAGACAGTAATTTTTCTTGAGGGTTTACCTTCCTGATATAGAACACATAGCAACCGTGAGGACCCCCCACTCCCCACCCCCCATTCTGAAAAATGTGCAAAAAAGATTCCTTATTTGTAGAATCTGTATTACGTAAAATCTGGTCTGAAAACTTTGAAATTTTTATTTTTGAGAAATACATGGGAAACAAAAAAGCGCAAAAAAATGCAGCAGTATAATGGGAGCAAAAATACCCTTGCAATAATAAATAATAATGTAAACATTGTAAAAAAAAACTATGTAATAATAGGCCAAAAAGTGTAGTAGTAGCGGCAGTATACTGTGGTGGGAACAGAGGAAGTAAAGAAACAACAGCAGATGGAGAATATAAAAAAAATATTGAAATAAAGACAAAGATTAGTATTCATGATAAAGCATGACGTGTTCAATCATTGAAAGTTACCTCTTGAAAGTAGTAGATTATATTCCACTATGACTTACCTAAAACAAAAGGAAGAAAAGAGTCAATAATATAATAAAACTCAAACTATCAAGATAAAGACATTTACCTTTGCTACAGAACATGATGGAGTTCCTCAAAATGACTGTAATCTAGAAAAAAAAGTATTTGTAAAGTCTTTATAAACTTATAAATGTAGTCTGTTGAGAGAAATACCTTGTATCAAAGCAAAATGGCTTCTAAAAACAAAGTAAGTGCATATTATATTTACTAGTACTCACTTGAACTAAAAATGAATAGAAAGAAAAAGGGAATAAAAGGAAAATGGTAGCCCTTCACTAAAAAATGCCGAGTGCGTGGCGTCTGTTGTTATTTTTTTTTGGCGACTTAGCAATTTTTTTCTTGGTTTTTTACTTAGCATTTTTTTTTACAACACAACAAATTTTAAAATGTTCGCATAATCACGGTCTTCGCAAGTACTTTTTTGTATGTATAGGTCAGCTACGGTACAAATTACTGGGCACTTGGCATTACAATAAATATGAGAGGAAAAAAAAACATAAAATAAAGGAATAGGAAGCTATTTCCAAGAAACGTTTTATCACAACAAGTTCCTTGGCTGCTAGCATTTGCAAGTACGAAAGTCTTTGGTCAATTCTGGATATCCTTAGCGAATAAAATCTCTCACTTTTATTTTTTGCATTTGCTTTGTCGCAAAATATCTTTTTTTTCTTTCTCTGTCACAAAACTTCTTCTTTTTCTTTTTTTCTGTCGAAAAAGCGTTTTCTTTCTTTTTCTCAGTCGCAAAAACAATATTTTTGCGCAAAATCCACCCAAAACAGTCTAGGATAATTTTTTCTTCTGCTTTTCTTATTTTTATTTATTTATTTACAAGTAATTAGCCAATTGAAATACATATTTTCATTTGTGCAATCGTCTGAAATTCAAAACCTCTACATATTTTTTTATTTTTGAACTTGAACCTTATTATAGCCAATTAGCGCTCTTTATTTGAAATTTGGGAAAAAAATTACCATAAACAGGTCAAAAGTCTTTGGGTGTGATTGCAATTATTCTACCTTTAAATTTATTATTATTATTACTTCTTACTTGACTATTAATGCACAACCTTATTAAGCTTATTGTCAATCTGAATACCAAAATAAAAGAAATAAATGAAGAAACAGTCAGTTACTTGTTTTATTGTCAGTATTTCATGATTAAATACCAGCAGCTAGAAATAAAGTAGATAAATTATAGACTTCTTTATTATTGACAGGAGAGGAAGAAAACGATGGTTAATATTTTAATCGTGTAAATGAATAAAACCTAACAAAGAGTGTCATTGGTTTGGTGAACAATAACGACGTGATCTTCTATTGAGAACTTTAAAGGGTTGATTGTATGTATGTGTGATAGAGAGAGAGAGAGAGTAGAAATGTGAATAAGATTATAGGTGTATCAAGTTAATAACAATAATAATAAAAAAAAACACACACACACAAATAGAGAGAGAGAAAAATAAAATAAGATATAATCCCTTAGTTATCCTCTTTAAACTCCCCCCTCCCCCTTCTTTCTCTTTCTCTCTTCCTCTTTCTTTCTTTCTTTCTTTCTGTTCCTCTGCCTTTCTTGTTCTATACTCCTCTTCATTCTTTTGAACATCAAATGATACCTTCAATGTACACCGTCCCTTCAACAAGCAATTACACTCTTACAACAGAACCCCAAGTCCTGATCTCACTAGCTCAAAAGCACTTGTGGGGTCTTGGTGATCATCCAATTAATGCTCAACAAGCGTTCTTGCTGATCCAAAAAGCAGCAACAGCGACAGCAACAGGACTAGCGGCTGACTGCAGTGACGCTCAAACTTTGCTTGGGTTCTGTCATGAGTTTGGGATAGGATGCGACCAGAATATTGAGATTGCTGAAAAATACTACCGGAAATCAATTCGCAGCAACACATTTGACCACAAATCAACCAAATCTTCTGATGTGTCAATTCTAGCAATCCTTCGACTTTTCTCTATTCTAAAACTCAAGTATCGAGAAACCATCGAGAACCGCCGGGAGATCATACAACTAGCAGAACGCGCAAACACAAGCGCAAAATTAACCGCAACCACAACCACAATCTCAAATACAAATACAAATACAAATCCAGACATAAATATAATGTCAAAGGTACCCTTTGCATTGTCTTGGCTAATTCGAACCGCAGAAAATTACAACTGTGCGGCAAGCCAGTTCTGTCTTGCGGAAGCCTATCACGATGGCGTAGGTGTACCAAGGATCGCGGGTGAGGCGTTCAAATGGTACAGCAAGAGTGCTTGCCAGGGATTTAGCCGTGCTCAGGTTATGGTCGGTCATTTTTACAAGGAAGGCTTTGCGGTCCAGCAAGACTACCGAAAAAGCATGTCGTGGTATCAACTGGCAGTGACTCAAAACAGCCCGGACGCAATCTATAGTATCGGCTGTTGCTATTCAAATGGTATTGGAGTATCTCAAGATCCAAAGGTGGCTTTCAAATGGTTCAAAAGAGCAGCAGCATTGAATTATCCGCCGGCTCAGAGTGCAATCGGTAGCTGTTACAGCAATGGCATTGGCGTCGACCAGAACCCAGCCTTGGCTTTCGAATACTTTAGACTGGCTGCCGAACAGGGGTACGCCTGGGCTCAGTTCTATCTTGGTATGTACTATCATAATGGATCTGGCGGGATTGGCGTCAATGTGCCGATGGCCGTACACTGGTACACCAAGGCAGCCGTCCAGGGACAATCGATGGCACAGCACCATCTTGGATTCTGCTACCAAAACGGCTTGGGTGTCACACAAAATCTGACCGATGCCATCAAGTGGTATGGCCGGGCGGCAGCACAGGACAACGTTGCCGCGTTTCACTCGCTAGGCTACTGCTACGAAAACGGAATCGGGCTGGCTGTCGATAGCTTCAAGGCAGTGTATTGGTACAAGTGCTGTGCTGATCTCAACCACCCACCCGGTCTGATCTCGCTTGGGTTCTGCTATGGTGAAGGTATTGGTGTCCAGCGAGACAACAGGGAAGCCATCAGATGCTTTCGACGGGCCGCCGATCTAGGGAGTGCAACTGCGCAGAACCTGATCGGATTTGCGTACGAGAAGGGACTTGGGGTCAGTAAGGACCTCAAGAAAGCAGTCGAATGGTATCTCAAAGCAGCTCAGCAGAACTACTCAATTTCGCAATGCAATGTTGGCTACTGTTATTCTAATGGACTTGGGATCGACAAACCAGACCAAACTGAGGCTGTCTACTGGTATTCAAAATCAGCGCACCAGGGAAATGCGCGTGCCCAGTGGAAGTATGGCGTCCATCTCTTAAGTGGAAAGGGCGTCCGGAGGAACTCGAAGCTGGCCTTTGAATACTTTGTAAAGGCAGCCAAGCAAGGGCTTCTCAAAGCACAGTACCATCTTGGACTGTGTTATGAGAATGGGGTGGGCACTTCGGTTAATTACAACCAAGCCATTATTTGGTATGAACGTGCAACTCTCGTAAGTGTGTCTAGTGTAATATAATCTACATAATGTAGTGTGTTTGTCCTTTCCTTTATTTACTTACATATATTTATACTGTTATTGTTATTGTTATTGTTATTGCTATTGCTATTGTTTGGTAGGCTGGTTGTCGAGAATCAGAAATTCGATATAGACACCTTTTGTCACGTATCTTTCGTGAGGCTGGCCCTCACGTCGGTAGCGACTTTTGGGCTGAAGATGGTTCTCTTCGATGTTTAAACCATTCACTTGATATGTACAGTCACGCAGCACCGGCTGCCTAGATTTCAATAGCTTTTTCCTTTATTTATTCTTTGCTTGCCTTTGCTTTTATTTTTGTTTTTATTTTTATTTTAAAGAAATTAATCGAGTTACATTTCATTTTCACTTTACTGATTTTCAATCCCACTATTACTACTACGATTACTACTGATAACGTATAAAAGTTTCCAAAAAAAAAGCAAACAAGCAAACGAGTCTTTGTATTTGCCTTTGCCTTTGTCAGTGCCATTGTTATTTTTATTTATAGAGTCTAATAATTACAGAAGAAGAAAGAAGAAGAAGAAGAAACGACCTGTGATACCTTGGCAATATCTTCCCTACAATTGAGACACCAAAGAAGAAGAAGCAGAAGAAGAAGACAAAACTGTAATATTTTTGAGTCGTAAAGCCAATTTACATGTTATGTAAAGTGTTAAAGATGTGTGTTTTTGTTCTTTTTTTTTTTTTTTAAAAAAAAAGCACTAATAATGATGATGATAATGACGAAGATATAATGATATTTGGAATAAAGAAATAAAAGGAAAATACAACAAGAGAAAAAAAAAGCAAGTCATGTCATGCTTCAAGAGAACTACCAATACCCTTCTCTCTCTTTCTCTTTCTCTCTTTCTCTCTCTCTCTTTATTTATTTATTTAATTTCTTATTGTTGTTTCAAATTCTATTAAACTTATTATTCAATGGCTGTCGTATTGCCATTCATTCTTGTGGGTGCACCAATTGGGTACTTTACTTGGACGGGCGTGTTTGAAACAGTTGACCGTCAAGTAAGCCAACTTATCAGTCCCCAAACTCCAGGTTGGTTGGTTTCTTTGGGTTTTCTTAAAGATTAATGTCTAAAGAAGTTTTTTTTTGTATCTCTCTCTCAATATATATATATATATATATATAATTCGACTTTGTTTTGTCCAGTCAGCATAACACACCATATCACAGCACAGTACAGCATAACATAGCATAGCATAGCATAGCATAGCATAGCATAGCATAGCATAGCATAGCATAGCATAGTATAGCACATCACAGCACAGCACAGAAATATTCCTATTATGCTTTTAATGGTCTTCTTCTTATATATCTATACGTATTTCTTTTCGTTATACATAAAGATTCTTCAGTTACATCTCCGTCTGGTGTAGGAGCAGTGTGTGGCGTACTTGGTTCGAGTGTGGTTCTCACTAAGGTATTGCTGGGGTCTAGCACGCGTCATCGATTGTTCTTTGGACCTCCTCCACCAAACACTTCTTTGAGAATGGCCACCTTATACAAAGGCTTTGAATTTCTCTTGAGAAGTGCTGGTATATTTTATGGTGCTGCTGCTGTAGGAGCAACCACTGGAAGATTAGCTGTTTCTTTAAGAGACAAGAAGATAAAATAAATTAAAGTAAAATAAAATAAAATAAATATATATATATATATTTCAATATAAATTTTGACTCTTTTTTTTTCTTCTTCTTATTTTTAATGACCGACATACACTTTCCGGGTCGGAATGAAAATTGTCCGGAATGACTGGCGTGGATTTATGTGTGTGTGTTTTTTTTTTGCGCGTGTATGTGTCCGAGTGTGCGAGAGAGTGTGTGCGAGTGCGAGTGTGTGTGTGTGTGGGTTGGGTGGGAGAGAGGGAGAGAGAAAGAGCAAGAGCTGAGGGGTAAAAATTGGCCCCGTCTGGCCTACCGAGGCTCCTTCCTTTCCAATCATGTATGTATCCGTCCTAATACCCTAGAATCTTTGATAATTATTAGAACATTAGACACTTAATGATAGTCAGAAAAAGAAAAAGACAAGAATCCACCATTAGATGGATGGATGGATAGATTGATTGATGATTTTATGAATCTATGAATGAATCAATTGAAGGCCCAAAAAAAATTGTATATGTATTATCTATATACACATGAGCACACACAAACATACACACAAGTATACATACACACAAACACACAAGCACAAACGCAATCACATACATACATACATGCATACACTTATACATGCTGATGTGTCTGTGTGCGCTAAATGTGTATATAGATAATACAGGCCAAAAACTATCAATATTACTACTATTAGTGTCATTACTGCTATTCTTACTATATACTTGTATTTGTACATGTTATTTACCTTTTGCTTGTCTTTTTGCTTACAGCTGTCACTATGGCTTCTCACAAGATTGCAAAGCTCTCCGGAGCCTCGCCTGCTGATGAATTCGAGCTTTCTGTCGCTCAGGCCCTTTTGGACTTGCAGAACAACGTCCCTGAGTTGAAGAAGGACTTGGCCGGTCTCCAGATCACTGGTGCCAAGGAGGTATGAACTGCTTCCTTGTATATGTGCGCGCACACACACACACACATACATACGCGAATAATATCAAGTACATACTGTACAAATCACCATATTCATAATCATAAATCACAATCACCAACACCACCAGCATCACCAACAATTGACCCCATATCAAAAAGAGTAAAGTATAATTCACTCACTAATAATGGTTATTGTTGTGTCTTTATGTCTTAGGTCGAGCTCGGTGCTGGCAAGAAGGCTATCGTCATCTTTGTCCCCGTTCCTTCCCAGAAGGCCTTCAACAAGGTCCAGGCTAGACTTACCCGTGAGCTCGAGAAGAAGTTCTCTGACCGCCACGTCGTCTTCGTTGCCCAGCGCCGCATTCTGTCCAAGCCCACCCGCCGCCAGAACCCCAAGCAGCCCCGCCCCCGTTCCCGCACCATCAAGGCTGTTCACGAGGCCATCCTCGAGGATCTCGTCTACCCTACCGAGATCGTCGGTAAGCGCACCCGCGTTGCTGTTGACGGTTCCAAGACCATCAAGGTCTTCCTCGACACCAAGGATGCCACTTCCCTCGAGTACAAGCTTGACACCTTCTCTTCCGTCTACAAGAAGCTCACCGGCAAGAACGTCGTCTTTGAGTTCCCTGCCAACGTTGACCTTTTCTAAAGAAATAAAAGTTTAACGACCAAATAAAAAAAACGTGAATTTTGGAAGAACAATCTTACAAAAAAAAACAAAAATATTATGAAACAAAATTGAATATTTTTTTATGTATATAAAAAATGTGTGTTGCTTAATGAATGTGTTTGAAAGGGGGGGAGATGTGGATAATGTTTAATGGTGATAAATTGGTGGGTTGTTTATTATGATTATGATTGTTGGTTTTGTTAGATAAAAGTCTTTTTTGGTTTGAAAAAATAAATATTTTTAAAAAATGATGTGTAATAAATAAATAAATAAATAAATAAATAAAAATTGTATATGAAAACAGGGGGTTAAAGGGAATACTGATACATGATATATAAAAATAAACAAAAGAAAAGGTTATTTAAGGCTTGGGATAACGAAGAGGCTCTTGAGATACTACCACTGCTAATATTAATAAAGGCTTGGATATATGTATATTAGGTGTAGCCTAATTAAGATTTGGTCTTCATTATCACTCACTAACTCGCTCACTCACTTATTTTCCCTTCTTTATTTTGGTGGTGTGGGAGAGCAGTGAAGAAGAAAAATAAAAAAAAAGTGACTAGTCCTTATTTTCTGTCTTCGTTCAAGCTGTGCATACGATCCCAGACATCCACATGGCGGGGTAATGGTTGATTATCCACTGGGTTAGCATGCTGGTTACCAAGAGATCGTTCCCATTCATCATTGTCGGATGCAGTGTAAGTCCGGACGCCTGTGGTTGGGGGTGGAGTGGCCGTAGTAGTAGCAGTAGCACCAGTAGCTGGCACTGTATTATCTTCGTTGCCATTCTTTTCAACACGGTTACCATAGACAAACAATGGATAATCGTTTCGTCGCTCTTCAAAGCCAGAGGGTCTAGAGTTGGATACACCACCAGGCAACCATCTAGGGTTAAGTGTCCGAGCCTTTCGTCGCTGGCGACGCAGGTAGAAGATTCCGGCTCCCAAGATAAGCAAGAAACCGAACAGACCAAAAGAGATTCCGAAACCCTTCTTCTTTGTTTCTTCTACCTTTTCTTCGTGCGATGTGTTTTCCTGTGCAAGGAACGGGTTCAAAATTACCGAACTATCGTATGGCACAGGTGCAGTGCCGTTTGCTTGGTTGGCAAGTGGGAAAGAAGGGAAATTAAACCAGCAGGTTGGATTAGCCGCCGAGGACCCACCGTTATTGGTATCACTTGTGACAACTTGTTTGGAGATCTTGTTGACCCATTTCCAAGAAGTCATGTCAAGGATACCAACATCATCAGTATATGTAGCCGCTTCTGCGGTGGTCTCTTCACTAGTATAACCTATATAATAAAATAGTCTTTGTTTAGAAAACAAATATCTTTTATACATCTTTATGTAAGAAAATCCTTAACATACCTAGCATTACTATCATGTATTGGTTGTAAACAACTGCTTCATGTCCAGCACGGGCAATGGGTGGAGTGCCACTGACGGTAGGTTTAGACCATACTAGTTTGCAAGTATCGAGCACGTACACATCTTGACTATGAGAGAAGTCTGAATTGGAGTAACTGCTTCTACCACCAAACATAACAATCGAATGACCATCAGGACCTTTAAATATAACAGTTGTTTAGCGTTTAGTAACAATTCCCTTCCTATTAACTTTTATAATTAAATGAAATAGGTTTAATGATCCCCCCCCCCCTTTTTTTTTTACCTAGAACAGCAGAGTAGCTAATAGATAACAAGAGGATAAATCAGTTGACTGTTTGTTACATCGATGAGTGGATTTACTTACTATAGTTTTGGAGGGGGTATATCACCATATGTTGCAATGGTCAAGGACTGAGATGAATATGGATCGATCACTAATATTTGGTTATTGCTGTTAGTAAAAAGAACAAATAATAATACAAAAGATTCAAGTAGCCTGAACTTATTTGCACATGCATTTTACTTACCTAGAACGCTTCTAAAGTCGGCAAGAGAATCCGCCAAGTTTTCATTTCCTGTGGGTACAATTATTCCACCCATGATAAACAGTTTATTGTGTCTATTATATAATTAGTTTTTTTTTTGTTTTAGTAAATTTGATCCGACAATATATATATATATATATATATATATATATATGCATATTGTACATATGTCTATGTATGTAAATTATACATATGAAAAAAAAGATCAATTTAAACTTACACCATAGTAGAAGTGTGAGCATATCGATTGGGACGGGTACCATAAGGATAAATAAGGTTGTATTGTATCCAGGTCAGATCAGAAATACGTAAAGAATAAAGATCATTGTAACCACCCTAAGAAAATAAACATATGAATAAATTAATATTAATATTAATATTGTTATTGCTATTGTTATTGTTATTACAAGAGTATCATCGCTTGGAGTACGGCCACCGTAATAAAATGCATTCGATAAACTAGGATCTGTTGTTGCTGTCATTTCTGCTCTTTCTTCGAGAGGTTTTCCAGAAATTATAGCTTTAGAATAGAATACATATTAAAATAAAAAGATCATATCATTAATATCTATATATACATGTTTAATTAAATTAAATTAAATACTATATATATACCTGTAGACCATTGCCCGGTTGTATTGTATGCTACTACTGAGCTTGTCTGAGAGGTACCAGAGTCACCAGCCTGGGCATAAATAAGACCGTTCTGACCAGCAAATGCCACGCCATGAGCAAATGGTTGAAATCCTCCAGTGGGAGTTATGGCATTTGAAGGTGATTTCCAGTCAGGGCAAGTGATGTCAAGGCCATTCGAGAGGTCAAGAGACATGACATTAAGTGTTGACTGCCAACAATATGAGTACACTTTATTATTATGATTACTACTACAAATTGAGTTGCTTACTTTTGAGCCTCCAACTACATAAACTGCGTTATTAAGATATACGGCGGAGAAATCAGATCGATTTGTTGGGCCAGGGTTGCACTGTGCTTTTGTATGGTCGGGTAAGAAAGCCAAGGTGAACAGGCCAGCCTGAAACGCCCTGGTCTTCCAGGATTGTGTGGGAGCCATCGTAAGGAAGTAAAACAAAAAGGAAAGGAAAAAAGTATATGAAAAAAAAAGATATAAAAAAAAATAAAGAGTGTAAAAAGGTGAACAAGTAAAGATCGTGACGACGAAACCAAATATGAAAAAAAAGAGATCTTTGTGTATTGTGTATTGTGTGTGAAAATAAATATATAGATTTTATTTTATTTATTTTTGTTTCTCAGTAAGATGGAGTATCATAAATATCATAAAGAATTTATATTATATTATTCATTTGAGTTCTTTTCAAGCTCTTGAGTGTAACCTTCTGAATGAATGAGCCATTTGGATTTTCGTGTGAGAAATTCTTGTGGTGCCTGGAGCTAAGATCGCCTCTAATTTTTATTAATAATATTTTCCTCGCCCTTGTGTATATTTTTTATATAAAAGATATACAATTTGATTCTATTATCTTCTCCGCTCATTTGGTTTCCTTTCTTCTTTTCTTTATAGACCGTGATATTGCACCCAATTTGCTAAATGAAGACCTCTATGGAGGACAAACTCAAACTCAAAATTCAGCAGAAAGAAACCGTAATTTTTATTTATTTATTTATTTTATCTGATGTTGGCACCATTCAATAATAAGAAAGGCAAATGTCTACTATATATGTCCAAAAGTTCAATTACACTTGAAGCAGAAGAAACTATTGGTGCAATTGAATTGATCCATATAAGAAAACATAGAAAACATCTTTATGTATCTAATGCTACTTTTTTTTTTAAAAAAAAAAGAAAGACCAGATTCATATGGTTGTTTTGTGGTCCCCTCCCATTTCTTCTTCCTATTCGATATTATGTTACACTGTAATATGCAGACGTTTTGGAGCATGTGAAGCAAGTAAAGCTATAGAGTATAGTAGTTATAATTAGTATCATTCTCTTTTAAAAAAACCCCCATATCCAAGAGGGAAAATAATCAAAAATAAAGTAATTATTAATTTGATCATGGTGTGATACTCATCCCAACCTTTTATTTCCGTATTTCTAGGCTTTTAACACAACAAATTTCCTGATAGATTTGTGAAAATTCAAAATCACCTCACATACAAATATACCCAACTGATTGATAGGTTAGAAACGGTTGACCGTATCATATCAATTAATTAGTTACTTAGTTACCTTGCTGGATAAATTTTACCTGTTACAAGCTCAGTTTTTTTTCGCTTTGAAATATTTATATTTAAAGTAAAAATCCAGTTGCCTGGGAGATCGTCATTCCCTGTCACACAACTCTCATGTACTCGTGGAATTGGTCTGTTCACTGATGCTTATTTTATTTTATTTTAATAATAAAAAGTCCAAAGAAAATATACCAACATATATAAAGTGACAGGGGAACCTTTAATTCATGCTGAAAACCTCTTTCAAAATCTTACGATCTAATATGTCTCAAGTATCAGCTATAGCCCCCCTTTCTTGTGTATGTATGTGTTTTATTATTGTTTATTTGACGTTAATAATCACCGAGAAAAGAAATATACATTTCGTTCTTTAACACATCTGGCCTTTTGTTGTAAATCATTTGCCACTCAGGAATCATCGGAGAAGAGAAACTAAAACAAATAAGAGAGAGTTTTATTATTCAACCAATTCTATTCACCTTGACTACCAACCATCTTGTAAAAATGTTTCATAAATACAATACTTCTCCTCATTTGAATAAGCCAGGTTTCAATTCTCTATTATATATTACATTATATACATATTCACTACGCAAAATTTTATATGTTTTTTTTTAAACTAAAAAAAAGGCTTATTTTTATTCTTTCTCTTCCTCCATTCCTTTATTTTCTTTTGCTTTTCCCCGTCATTATTCAAGCCAAAGCCAAAAGAATAAAAGAAGCATAGGAAAAAAACATGTTATTTTCAGTTAAAAAATCCCCAATATTATGTCTTGCATTATTTCTCTCAAGCACCAGGTCTCAAGATTTGTCTGATGAACCTTCAGCAAACGGTATGTTTAATTTCACTCCACCCAAATATCAAAATCAAGGGAAAGATATATAGGAGAGAAAGAGAGATAAAGAGATATCAATAATGATGATTGGTAGTAGTAGCACCAGTAATAACAACGATCTTCTAAATGTCACAAACAAAATGGACGATATAGGTAATAGCAGTAACACAGAGAACGAGGCTACTGAGGACGCCAAGTCGTCAAACATCGATCCAACTTTGCCAGCCTCAATAACCTTTCCTTCTTCTGTTGATGGACCCTTTCCAACCTCATCGGAACCAGGATTGACACAAGCACGGGCGACTTCTCCCATTACTTCTGCTGCTGATACTTCTACTCCTATTGTCACTCCTACTGATACTGATAATTCCGCTGCTGCTACGACTGCTAGTTCTACTGATATTAATAATATCTCCCCAACCGAAGACTTAAGTACAGGCACAGGCACCACAAAATCTTCGCCTACCAGCGTTCCTACAGGAAGCTTAGGATCCTCAATTATTGCCAGTTCCAGATATCTTGGCTCAAGTAAGTTTACAAAGTCCAAATCAACACCCACCAACACTTGATTCCTTTTTTATAAATATATTCTTTTATTAGTTAACCTAGTTTTTATATCTATATGATGAACAACCCAAAAAAAAACCTATGTTATTACTATTGCATCAGTCAGCTAAATACACACCATTGTAGTGTCCTCAACTCCAACACAAACCAATGCAATTGAGGACAACACCATATACTTTGCACCCAACACAGGAAAAAACCACACTGGTGTTATTGTAGGATCAGTAGTTGGCAGTGTTGGTAAGTTTTTATATATACATATATGTACATGTATATTACACAAACACAAAAAAAAATAACTTTTTTATTATTATTATTGATTTTATTACTATAGTTGGCCTCGTTGTATTGGGTGCATTTTTTACATGGTTGAGACGACGTGGACTAAAACGAAATAAGCAGACGGTCAACAATAAAAATCAATTCTTTTTCGATTCTCAGGACAATGGCTATGACACAGACACAGGTCCACCACCATCACCACCAGTATCACCACTATCACCAACAGCAAATACTCGTGTAGATCCTGAAACATCGGCAAAGCTGCCATTTGAGAGCCCTAGACGGCTTGTACCTCCAACAACATACTCAGATATTGGAGTACATGACATCGGAAATCATGTCCCGCACCAGGTTTTGGATGAGAATCCTCATATTCCTTCCTCAAATGACCCCAGATTTTTGCATTCTACCGAAACCACCCCGTCAAGAAATACAGACAAATACCAAGTTAATGGTAGTGATAGTGGTAACTTGGCTTTAAAGCCAAATTGTCTTGTTTCAGATGTAAATGAAAAGCAATTGGTAGAAGAAGTAGAAGAACAGTACATATTACAAAAACCAAATGCTGTAGATTAAAACAAAAAAGTAAAAACAAAAAAAAAAGAAATCAGATACAAGAAACTGGAATTCTTGTAAAAAAAATGTACTTAATTTAATATACACACATCCTATAACAGCATAATAAATTCATTCATCCGCTCATTCAAACCTATATTGTTTGCTTGGGATTCTTTAAATACATGTGGATTGTCTGATTCAAACCATTTTGCTTCTTGTGTGTGGGTGTGTAACACCCTGTCCTCCTTCCACTTCCAGTTCTTGAATATGATCGAGATTTGAATTGTTTTCACAATCAAACTAGTGCCAAACTCACACACACACGCCTTTTAATACATTTAAAGTATTTTAGACAATTTGTAAAAATAAAAATAAAAAGCCAAATTTTCATTTCTCTTTATTCTCATATAAAGATCTACATAACGTCATATATTTTGATTCATGATTACGATTCCTATGGTTGAATCACAATCTGAAAACAAAAAGATCTATCCCGGGAATGTCAAAGATGTCTTATCACGATTGCTTACTAGTCTAAATGATGCATCCAAAAACCAACTCGTCATTGAAGAACAGCTCCCAATCTTTGAACCTGTGTTTGTTGATTTAACTAAGCTCATGGTGAATCCGAATACTCTTTCAATCAAAGTAAATGAGAATAGTCTTTGTTAACAATATTACATTAGTTGTTGATTCTACAGTTTAAACACAAGAGCAAACAAAACAACTTTATTATATATATATATATATATACAGATAAATACATGTATCAAATTTTGCGCTTTTACTAGAATTACTCACTTATCGGAGAGAATGCCCTCAAATCAGCAACATCTATCTACCTTGTGAAAAAACACTCTTGGGCAACCCATGCAGACTTGGAGAAAATCTTCCTTCTCATTTTTACAAACTCAAGGTTACAAACCTCAATTGGAAATAAATTCAAGCTTGACGAATTCTGTGACAACAACGACGACCAAGAACAACAATTACAACTACAAACAGACCCAGTTGTAATGATCAATAGATTTGCTGGAGTACTTTATTGTCACCATGGACTGTCTGCTCTCGAGCGTTGGGTGAAACCCTTGCTTGACCTCTTTTGCCCAGTATTACTGAAACAACTGCCCAGAGTGATGTACAACAGGCTGTTTGGGTTGGTCAACGAAGAGACAGAAAATATGGCTGCTCAACCAGCCCAGATACAGTTCACAACCTATGTCCAGCGAGCAAAGGGAGAAATCGTGATAAACAACGAGCAGAATTCACTTTTTGGACGGTCGCTTGGGTGGAACGCAGAGGTATTGTACAAGCTGAGTCCTACATCGGATTGGCACACCCATTCTCGCCACGCGATCAACAAAAGAAAGGCGCGCGATCTGGCAATGCGAGACATCCTGGCTTTCTACAAATCCAACCCCGGCCTGTTACACACCCATCGACTATCATCTGTCAACTCTGATCAAGCTAATCCTGATGTATTGAATATTCCACCGTGTGACTACGCTGAAGAAATCATTGAAGCAAGCATTCCGGAGTCATTGATTCCACCAATTTCTAGGCAAGATGATCAACAAGCCGGCGAAACACACGCACGCAAAGAGAGGGAAGGAGATGAACAAAATTGTCAAATGTTCTCAGAAACAGATCTGGATGAAGAAGAATTCTTTATCGATTTGACAGGCGATAATCCGGTGGCCGATAAACGAAAAAAACCCCTACTAGATTGTGATGATTTTGAAAATACTACCGATAGTAGTAACGGAACAAACCAAAACGTATCATTGCAGAGACCTAGTTTGATAGAAATTCTCAAAAGTCTACGGCCGCCACCAATATACGATCCTGTTGATCTCAAAGTGATAAAACAGACAATATACCAAAAGCCTAAACTGGAGATATTACTGAAACAAAAAAGCCAAGAAAGACACCCTAAAGATCAGATATATCAGATCAAGCATTACTTTGAGCATGTCCAAATCAATATGTCATATGATAAATCTGGACCTTTACATCGAATTGTATTTGATGCCATTTGCGAATTCAAATTCCAGGACCTCACAATCGTTACGAACGGAAGAGGGACAAGAAAGAGTGAGGCAGAAATTCAAGCATACCATGATTTGCTTGTTCTCTTGAGAGAATAACAAATATATATAAAGAGAAAGAAAGGGCTGTTAAACACTATATAAACTAGTTACAATAGCATTACCAAATTACCAATTAGTAATAGTAGTAGTGATATCAGTTACATACCTACATACATAAATAAAAAAGGATCATATTTTATCCAAGGGATATTTTAATAAACTTTTCTGAGGCTATCTTTAACGATTGTCTATCTTAATTCAACTTCATTATTTTCGTATATATATAAATAAATAACCATTATAATTTGTAGACAGATATATTATAATTATACCAATAATAGCTGTATATTACAGGTTTAGGGTATTTTGTCCATCTTTAGTCATTACATTTAGATTTATATTTATATTTAAAAAGGTTATTTTATTTTTCTATGTGAAGAGCGCCTTTAAAGTTACTTTCCTATCCTGTTAAAAAAAACATAGTTATGATTGCAAAAACGGAACATGCTGTTTTCATATAAATCTGTAGGAGTTTGTCGATAAATGAATATATATTTTTATATTCATAAAAGGAAAATATATATATATATCTTACGGATCAAGTCAATTCTAGAAATAATACCTGCAAGATTCTGAGTTGATTTCGTTGTATATATATATATGTATACATCCTGTAGTTAATTGATATCAACCGATATATCTTTTATTTTTGACTCCTTTAAGTCTCAGGGCTTAGGAGTTTTTTTTTACACGCCACTAACCTTGTGTTCCCAGTACAGGGTTTATAGTGCACAAAAAAAAACTAGACTAGACAAAAGGCAACTGGGCTAAATAAAGCTCTTTTATATATATATCATCTTTAACGTATTCAGCCTCCTTTACTATAATTATACACTAGATAAATAGATCAGTATGTATTTTGTGTGCAAATATTTTTTATATATTTTATGAACAAAGGCAAAATAAAGACTAGCTTTGAAAACAAATACGAATAATAGTAATAATAGTAGTAGTAATAATGATAATAATGAAAGTAATAATGAAAACAAGATGAAGAATAAATGTTAGTGTATGTGATAAATAAAGAAAGAAAGAAAGGATGTATAAGGGGAGTTTGTTCGCCTGTCCGTTCAGTCCAGTTTGGTTTGGTTTGGTTTGGTTTTGTTCGATTAGGCTAGGTAATATATATATGTTTCCTTTCTTTCGTCTGATGTTTTGCTTAAATAAAGAATTGAATATAATGAAATATACTCCTTTTTTTTGGACTATCCCTCTTTGTGTTGAGTTGCTTAGAGACCATATAGGTAAGTAGCGTAAATCACTAGAGTAGCACCCATGACAAAGGACAGAGAGATCGAGAAACTGAAAACCCAGACACTGATGATACTCGACAAAATGATGGAAATACTTGTTGCAAAGCCCTTGAGGATATTGTCGGCATACTTGACTACCACAGCTACCACAAGACCTCCGAATGCCTGGATACCAATCACCAACCAGGTCAATCCAGTGTAGTTTGCATAGAAGCCCTTTTCAGCAATAGTTGCACCATCTTGCAATAACACGACAAACAAAAGACCAAGAACGACCGAGAAGAAGGACATCTGTATGTTTCTGATCCAAAGTAAATTCTGGCTGGCCAAAGAATTACTGTCATCCACCACAGACATCGATGATCGTCTTGAGCCCTTGTTCTTGTCGTCATCGTCGTCATCGTCATGATCACGGTCGTTATCATTATCATTCACCATAACCTTGTTTTCCTCATCCTCAACCAACGAAGCTGGCTTGACAGGTGCCTTTAGGATCTTCTCAAAGTAAACGCCAGCGAGTCCAGAGAGAACACAAGCCATCAGAACAGCAGTAAAGCCCTCGATGTTGGATTGGTTGCCAATATCTTCATCCTCATTACCATTGCCATCAATGTTACCAATACTACCATCCCCAAGACCATTCTCGGCGTATTTCTCGGGATTAAAATAGGAAAGGACAGCAAGAGAAGCGTCCTTGGGCAAGACAACGAGTCCGATACCAAGGGTGAGCAAGGCCAATGCGATCCATTTGGTTCGACTAAGGCTTCGGTGAAGGATCACGACACTGAAGAAGGCAGTAGTAAGAATCTTGAGCTGGTAAGTTACTTGAAAGGTAGCAGCATCAAGGTTTGTAGCAGCAACGTATTGGAGATTGTTCTTTTAAGAAAAAAAAGTACAATTGATCATTGTTAATATTAATGTTGCTGTTGGTATTATCTTATTGGGCTTACTTGAATAAGATAGAGTATGGCTGGGAACGCGAGTTTTGCACTTTCTCTCCAGTTGACAATCAGTTCGCGATTCAGCATTTGGAACAGTCTTGATATAGAGCGTAAGTGGGGTTGTGGGGCCAAGTAGAGGACAATCATACAGGCAAGAGATTTCGCAACCTCGCTCATTACGACTGCGGTCGATGCCAGATAACGTTTATCTTCCGGGACACTTGCACGAGTGTAGCGCATTACTAGGATGAGTGCACTGTTCTGCACCACGAGTGTGAGGAGAGAGAGATACTTGAGTGGCAGACATGCCTGTAATGATTGAAGACCTAAAGAGAGAGAGAAAGAAAAAAAAAGTTCGGTAATAAGAATAATGATTATAGTTATAGTGATTAGCCATCTAGTCAAGTCTTGTCATTTGAGTATCCTTTATTCTTTCTTATTCTTTCATAAGAATCGAATGAGATGGAATCGAATCGAATCGAATCGAATCGAATGAAATGATGTCTATTGTTTGTTATTATTATTTACCCATAATTTTTTATTTTAGTTTTTTTTTCTAATTAAAATTTTTGTTTAGTTTTGGTGTCTAGAATAAAACAAAAAGAGGCAAAGCTTTGAAGTCTGCATACAATGAGAGGCTCCGTCTTTTTGATCTTTTTTTTTTTTTTTTTTCTTTTATTTAATTTATTTATATGCATATTTATTTTTAGATGATTACTGTATAAATACATCTTTGTATAAATATATAAAAAGATATATTTTATTTATTTAAAACATATAATTTATATATATATACACACCACAAATGAGTAAATGTATATTAAACTATATATATATATAGTTTATGGTTTTGTTACAGTGGAAATATCATGGGCATGATTTCTAGTAATTTGGTATTGGCTGTGTAAAAATTGACATAACGAAGGAAAAATTGACGCTTTTTCTTATTAATCCTTTATACTGCTCTTTTGCCGTATTTTTCTCGGCTACATTCTATTTAGCGTTATTCTTTTCTTTATTTCTTTTGTTTTCTCCCTTTTATATATATATATATTTGTTTCTTTTATTAATGTCGAAGTTTATTTTTCAATTAAATCACAGACTATCTCAGATTTGGCGCTTGTTTATTAATATTTATACTCCGTTTTTTGGAGCTCGTGTGGCGTTTTCACTTTTATTTTATTTTATTTCGTAGCCCAAACACTCTACATTATAGATGAACCAAAAGAAGAAAAGCAAAAGCGCATGTATTCAAATTCAATCAAGTCAAAAAATTATTGAGCTCAAGATATACTTTAAATCATGAAATAACATTTTTATATATGTCGATGCATATGTATGTATATTGAGTAAAACCAGAAACCCAAAAAAAAACAATTTTTTTGCTAAACCGTGTTTTAAATCGCCGTAAATACCGCAGTTTTAATGGTTTGTATAACGCACAGCTGCTATATCAGAATATTGAGGCTAATGTTTATCGTGTGGATGTGGGGTTATTAGTAACATTAGCGTTAACATTATAATCAGAATAGAAAAGCCATTGTTTGCGCTAGATAAATATCGTAAAAAAAAAGATGTAAAGTTTATCTACTTAAAGAAATGATAAAGAAAAACTATCTGTACAAGAATTAAGGTAAGTAAGTAGGTAGGGTAGGTAAGGTAAGGTAAATAGATAGAGAACGAGAGAAAGATGAGAAACACAAACGTATAAATTTGTACATCCTGACGTGTGACAATGTGCAAGACAGTGACTTATCTGTGCTTTTGCGTTGGGCTCATTATAAAATAATAAAAAATTATAAGAAAAAATAATAGGCTCTGGTTGTGAAACTTGTGGTCTCTATAAAAGGTATATGTGGCGCGTACGCCATAGCAGGCTAATTATGTGATATGTTTCATTACTATACGGTATGAATCCTGACAATAGTTTTTTTTTGGTTATATACATATTACTATTCATGGTTCATTAATTAAATTATTTAAAATGAATGATAACTCAATTTATACAATATTGGCTCCCAAGAAAGAAAGAAAGAAAGAAAGAAAGTAAAGAAATAAAGCAGGGGTCAAGACAAACTCTAAAGGTTGTTTCTATTGTTTGCTATAGTGTATTTATATATAAGCTATTTGCACAAAAGAAGAAGAAAAAGGTTTTACTTTAAAGATGTAAAATACTTGATCAAACTAAACATCATTGTTTTCTTTAAAGAGAAGAAGAAACTCTGATACTTGGTTTCTTTCTATTATTTCTCCTTCTCTTACATACAGAAGAGTATTTGAGTGTTTCGATCATCTTAAGATATGGTTGAGTACAAGTAATTGGGGTTTTTTAAACTATTTGTCCTTTGATTGAGATACAAAAATATAATAAGCCTCTTTAATGGGCTTATATATATTTGGGTTTTGTCAGTATTGAACCAAAGCCACCGATTGATCTTATAACTGAGTCCTTTTTTTTTTAAAAAAAAAGAGGTCTTTGGTAAAGTAATCAAGCGATCAATATTTTATTTTAAATTTAATTAATTTATATTTTTGACAAAGCTTCTTATGCACCACCTTTCTCTTCTATAAAAGAGAATACGAAGAAGATGTGTATGCCCAATTCGAATATCCGTGTTTGAAATATGCGTTGCCTTTGTCTAGTTTATTCATGAAAAAAGTTAATTTCTTCTTCTTCTTCTCTTTGTACTACTTGTAAAATTCTAAAATAAAAATAAAATAGTCTTCCATGACGGCCCAAGCTTCTTTTGTACTAATAAGTATGTATACATTTCGAAAATCCTTATACTTTTTGAGGTTGCACTGCAGTAAAACCAAAGAAATAAAAAAAAACAATATGATAATAATGCAGCTTTAAGCAAGAGATTATTGATTGGTAATTTATAAGAAAACAGTGCAGCAAGAAAATAATTAAAACATTTACATCAATGCAAATATCCGGTAAGCATTTTTTTGTTTCACTTTAATTTTTATGTATTATTTATTATTTACTTATCAGACAAAACAAACTTCATAATGATCCGAGTAAGCTGACCCTCTTATATATCTGTGACCTATATGTCTGATATAGTGCTGTTACACCTTGGTTACCTTGGTTACCTTGGTTACCTTAATACTATCATGATCTAGAAATAAAAACGAAAAATAAAATAACTTTCATTGCTAAATAAAAAGATAAAAAAAAACAAAGAAGAAGAAGAGAAAAGAAAATGTTAGACTTATGGTCTGCTCAATCTGTATTTATCTATTACCAAACCAAACCAATCTAATAAATAATATTTAATGAAAATTTTGCTTGTCGTATTGCTCCCAATAGTCATAAAGAGTATTACTATTATTATTTAAAGGGAGAATTCAGTAGACTGTTAGCCCAACATCTCAGCTTTTATTAATGTATTGTTGTATTGTACAAGTATGAAGGAGAGTTCAACTCTAAAAAAATTATATAATGAGAACAAAACTCGAAACTGGATTTTATCTGTATGTTTTTTTAAAAAACTAATTATTTAATTCCAATTATGCTGTTAATAAACATTGATCCACTACTTTATTTTCAGGAGCAAGGGAAAGAGAGAGAGGTAAATGAAGTCTGAAGAATCACCATCGCCCTTTCTTCTTTCTATATATCTATCTATCTATATCTTTAAAAAGAAAGGGAGATACTCTGCACGTGACTTATTCTCGCACTTAAAACAATCATAAAAAGAAATGGAGATATATCTGCGCATGACTTACATTTGATCCTTTTATATCTTTAAAACAAGTTCATAAATTACTCTTGCACAGATAAATCAGAGTACAGTTGTGTTCCTGATTGAGACGAACAATGAGAGCAAGTAAATAATCAGCTGTGGAGGGAAGCTTTGAAACTCGTATATACTATATATTATGGTAATTGTGCACCTAATTGAGATGAACAATAGGGACAAGCAAAGTAGCAAGAATCTTCTTTACATTAACTCGATATTTAAAAGGTATGAAGAAAGTAGTTTACTGACTAGAATATTTCTTCAATTGAGAAAACCCTTATTACATTGTCTAACAACATAGAAATTTAAAGATTCTCTAATTCTCTAATTTTCTACTTTCTTTCTTTCTTAAATCACATCAACAAAAAAAATTGATGAAAATTTTATTTTTCTACTAAATAAAGCTCTGACTGTATCAAAATCATCAGATGATTCAAAGAATTTAATAGTATTGAAAACCTTAAAAACTTAAGAGACTTTAGAGACTCGGAAAATTCTAGGTGCTTTAAGGGTTATCCAAGTGAAATAAACACTAAAGAAGTAGCTAAAGCTAGAGATAAAATGTCATATCATACAGTAATTTAATTTACACGCAAGAACTTCTGGCTATCAAGACAGCTTTAGAAAGTTGAAAAGGTTTTATAAGTTTAGACAATTAGATGGTGAAAATGAGTAGTGAATACGTAAATTGATAACAGTATAAAAAGTGCATAAGAAACTTTAGAAAGAAGTAGTATCATAAATGATAGAAGATGAGTATACATTATATGAAATAAAGAAAAAAGAAACTAAACAATTCAGTGCAATGATTGCTGTTTTATTTAAACCAAGGTTTTCAACTTTTGTATAGACCATTTTCATTTTTTTTTAGTATCAAGTATTTATAAGAATAAAATATTTGAATAAACTTGGATAAACATTTTTCTTTCTTAGAATGGTATAGCTATTGCTTCTTAAACTGTCCGAATGGGAACAACTGGTCTATCTCGTTTAATATTAAAATTGATTAAAGATATCAGTCAATAATACTATATTATATAAAAAGTCAGTATGAATCATGAGGAGAATGAGGAAAGATAATAAGAGAAGCTTAGCCTTGAGTGAATATGTTGATTTATAATTCAAACAAGAGATTCTAAATAATATCAGTAATATCAATACAAACCAAGCTACTTGATGGCTAGTTGAGTATATTAAAAATACCTCTCTTATATATACTGTTTGGGAATTTATGCCACTTGGTTCAATAGAATCCGAATAATCAATATTATTTCTTCTTCTTTATATATACAGAGATATACAGAGATATCTCTCGAGTATTTTATATAATAAGATATGCTTCATTCAGTACTGACTAGAATGCAACTTTATTATATATATTTTTAGGGTTGTAGCAAACAAAAAATGCAAAAATCTTAAATCTAACAATAGTCATCATATATACCTTGAACCCATTTATTTTACTTTTTACTTTTGTTTTTATTTTGCAAATATATATCTACAAATTTCATAAATTTACCATGTTTTAATATCTTTCCGATAATCCAAAAATCTAGATATTGATATTGATATTGATATCTTATTTTTTTTTAAAAAAAAAATACAAGTATCTTTATTGTTCATCTTATTTCAGTAGTGTAGTTTTCCAGTACAATTCTCTAAAGAGGAAAAGACAAAAAAAAACGAATCATTAAAATTCCAGTAACCGTTCTGATCTATATTTCTCTTTTCGTGTTCCCCTTAACTTTTTATTTTGTATACCACGCCGTGCGTGTGAACATGATCATTGTTTGTTAGAAAATAATAATAAACAAACCTTATTCATTTTTGTAAAGAATGAATAAGAAAAAACAGTTAGTAGCATGAATATATACATATAAAAAGAAATAAGGCGCAAACATGCATACACGCTATCTATTTATCTATGCCTTTTTTTTTTACTAAAACCTAATACTGATACTACTAATAATCTTATAGAGAAATTGGATCGATTTTTCTTTAGTTTTGATAAAGCCTATTTTAATTCATTGTCATTTTTTGGGGATAATTTCTTACATGAAAGAAACCAATGAAAAGCTGACAACGATGATGTATTTGAGTATTTGAGTATTTTGTAACTAATAGTTCTTATGCTGCTATGACTCATTTATGTTTGATTGCTTACATGTCCTGTCCTGTAGAGTGAGATATTACCATTTTCTGAATAGACAATTGACACAATCAACAAACAACTCTTGTTCTCATGGCCTATCATGGTATTGTAATTGAATTTAATTGAAACCAAACACACACACACACACACACACTTAGTTATAATTTCCCTTGAAATCATGTTATCTCTTCTAATGCATCTTATCAAGGTTTAATATTGGTACTATTACTACTAATATTCAGTTTAACTTTTCTTCTTATACCTTCACTTCTCACAATAGTACATATATAAATTTTTTTAGTATAAGGATTTATTGCTTTCAGTAAAAAAAAGCAATGCGATATGTAAATAAAAGTGAAGAGAAGGGAAAGGGGACGGGATTTTTTTTATTTGCTGTTGTGTCCAAACCTTCCGATGCCCTTTGTATTATTCTTTTTTGGTTCGATAAAAAAGATTCTAGATAGGAAACAGACCCAACAATATACTATATATCTGTGTGTGTATGACTATTGATTTTTTATTATTTTCCCTCTATTTGTATCATTCAATCTTATTTGCTAGGCCAACACAGCCATTAGTTCCACACACCCCCCTTAAATATTCAGTCATTGTTGTACTGTAGAGTACAGGCCAAAAAATAGAAGAAATAACGTGTACACAAAAATATTGCTCTCTCTCTCTCTTGAAGGTTACCAAATCCGCTGTGATTTCAAATGTTAAATAACATATACATATATAGTATATTTTTTTCGCTACCAATCAAAATATGGTATTATATCGATCCCTTGGACCTCATAGTTACCATGGATACAATGGTCACCATGGCTACTAACTACAGATTTACCATTTTGTGGTTAAATATTAAAGTCGGTTTTAACAAGATAAAATTTATATTCACTGCAAAGAGCTTTGATTTTCTTTTTAGTGAGGGTCTTAATTAATGTAACCTTCATGTTTTTCCCTGCTCTCAAAAGCTTAACAAAACACGCACACACACATAGAAGCTTGTTTTTCTCGGAACAAAAAAGAAAGATTTTCGTTGCCTATCATTCCGGTTGCTATTATCAAAAAATAAATAAATAGACTTTTTCTTTCTTTCTCTTTCTAAATAAATTATTGATATCCGGATAAATACTTGACCGTTGATTGACAAGATATCACCGTCTCTCTCTCTCTCTGTTTATCTATGTGTGTATGTGTGCGCTTTTTATCCGAGCCATTTTTGAAGCATTTTTAGTATAGCACATGAAAAAAAAACATGTGCGCGCGCACAGACTAAATAAAAATAAAAATAAAAATAAAACAAAAAAAAAGTTGAATTGAAATGAAATATGCAAAAAAAAATTGAAACATTTTTTGTTGTATTTAATTTCACAAAACATATAATGCATATGTTTGATTGCTTTCAAGGTTGGGCTTGGATCAGAAAAACACAATGAACATACTCTTGTTAATATATTTTAATTAAAGCATTATGTTGTTGATAATTGATATGATTATTTTAGATAGATAGAAAATAAAAATAGTTTGGATCAAATAGGATGTACAAAATATCAAACTTCACTGCATATTTATTTATTTGGATTCTCTTGGAAAGATTATCAAAGAATCTACATTTAAATTAAATTAGTTAATGGTTGAATGATGAAATAATTGAATAAATGATTGATTGATCTTTTTCTTTTCTATATATATATATATATATGTATATGTATATATGTATAGAGGGGGAAGTGTGTGAATGCGAATGTGAGTGTGAGAGTAAGGGGCGGAAAGTGTTAGAATGGGTGACCCGACCAATAGGATAGAAAACGAAACGAAAAAAAAAGAGAGAGTACAAAAGTTACGATACAGAAGATGCGAGAATCGTCTTTTCTTAGCAATCTAGCGAAATTATGATGCAGAAATAGAAATAGAAATATAAAATGTTTGACTTGTCAAGGTCGGGTCGATCGGGGAGTGCATGTGGATTTCAATTGAAATTCGATCCACATGCTTTTAGAGCAAGAAACTCCACACTTTTACCCATATACACACACAAAGATTTATATATAAATATATGTGTGTGTGCGCACTCTCTCTTAACAGGTAAGGGTACCATGCAAATTTGGGTGGCTAGTTTCTTCTATTCTACTTACTATTTAATCAACGTGGTGTGGAACGTGAATTTGGGGGTTTTTTTTTCTCTTCGTCTTAGCCAGGTGAAGATTGATTGCTGCATTTGGTCCAAATCTGAAGTTCAATCAAGCCTATCTTTCGTGTAATTAAGATAGGCCAAACAGAAAAGAGCAAAAAAAAAAAAGAGCAAATTACACAAGTCAAAATAAAAATAAAAATATAAAATGGCATTTTATAAAAAAAGAAATACTTGATCGGTGAATATAATTCCAATTAGCGGAGTTATAGTTACATTTTATAGCTAAATATTTTTATTTATTTTTATAATCATGTCAAAAAAATGTCGAAACTTGTGAACACCTTTGAGACATATAGAAAGCAGTTAAGTAATTAGGTAGCCAAGTAGTTATATAGCTGCATATTTATGGTCTACTAAGAATGGCTAAATTCTCGCTCTTATAACCTTTTGTTAATAAGATTTTCCTTGCAATGGATAATTCAATATATAAAAATATATATAATGGTGTTAAAGCAGAATATTATACAAACCTCCTCATCACTTCTTCTCTTCTTTAACATTTTATATGTTTGTTTATTAATTCAATGAGTGTGATTGTCACCAGAATTAACACGGCTGTTTCTTTTATAAATATAGAAAATAATAATGTATCTAAGGAATCCTAGAACTCTCTAATCTTTGCACTGTAAAAGAAATAAAGTCAAGTCTTGGCTGCATTTCTGGTGTTTGTTTTCTATTCTCTTCCTCTTAAAATATCTACGCTCTATACAACAAAGCTGATTTTTGACTCATGCTCCTATACGACTCAAACAATTATACAGTCTTATGCTGCAAAAACTCTGATGATCTAATCTTGACAGGGAATGTTGTATACACAACATTTGTTTGTTTCAGAAAAATCAATACTTTCAACTTTGGTCAAATCAATAAAGAGTCCTAAATTCTAGTTTTTAGTAAGCAAGATGAAACAAGACAAACAGTTTCATCTATAGTGAAGTGAACACTTGGTGGTTGACTTCTCATTGCTGTTAATTCTGACAAAAAAAACAAGTGTCTTGATTGAAAAACTATGTGAAATTGAAAGTGATTTATAAAATCGCACTTCAAAAGATAAAATATTTATAAGCGTTATATTCAGCGTTTACTCCCCCAGTCTTTTCTTCTTTAACTTGGGTGAGAACATTACCTGAGGAGCTTGGTATAGAGCTGTTATGGGTTCCTTGTATCGAACGATGCATCTGAGCTTGCTTCTTGTTGGCTGTGCTGCCACTTCCTCCGCAAGCTTGAGAGCATAATTCTTTCAATTACGAAAATGATGAGTAGAATAAACGACAAGGCGTCTTTACCTTTAAAACAAACAAAACATTGATTGTTGTCGAGGCATGCTCAAGGTCTGACTTTTTTATCGGAATTACAAGCTCTTCAACCAAAATTGCCACAGCAACCCCCTCTTTCTTCTCCAAGCTATACATATAGCCTTCGTATCATATGTGCCAAAGGCTGTTAATACTAGAAGATCTTGGAGACAGTAAGTAGTGCTTACAAATACTTGCCAACAAAATCAACAGCCAAGATGCTCTTGGCCTGGAAGTTGAACTTACGCTCTAACTTATTCAAAATGGACAGGTTAGAACACAAGTTCTTTGATTACTGTTTTATGGCTGTTGTTATGCGTGCATTATTCTTCTTTCATTCGTTGGTTGAGAGCTCAGTACGTTCTTTTTTGAGCTGTGTTGCAATAATAACATCAATTTTTATGATGCCACATGTTGACAACACGTTGTTTGTGGAAGAAGGGCATAAAGATTGGCCAGCAATCATTTCTTCTTTTACAGCTATACAAGCTGGCTCACCGCTAGAGCTTAGAATTTCAAAATTAATAAAGAGCACAATAGTACACTGCATATGAATGATGCTCTACATGAATCAACAACAACACTTCTACTGCTGCCTTCTGCACTAAAGCTCTCCAAAAGTCTTAACGATCTTACTGAGGCATTTGTCATGCTCTTGTTGATCAACTTCTGCCCTTCTGTTCTGCTTTTTTGTCTCACGTCTCTCTATGCCGCAAAAAACCAAAATATTAGACGTCATAACTAAGATAGTTGATTGTTTGAAACTTACTAATGGCAACAACTCTCCATAAAACTTATCCCACTTGGATAATACGAGCTTTGATTTTCTGTTAGAAAAGACATTAGATATCAATATTAAAATATTGATTAGTTAGGAATATAGTATACTTTAATGATATGTCTGTTCTTGTCTCTCGTACAGCATCATTAAACTCGGAGAGTCCATATCATGTGCAACTATCGACTATTAGAGGCATGTAACCTCAAAGATCACTCAGCGATCTGCTCTTCGTACTTGTTTATAAACGACGGAAACATCGGGTTCTCGACATTTTTTACAGTGTACAATTCTATGGAAACAAGTTTTAATATATCAGCTGGTATCATAGTTCGTTTTTATACCTTCTTTTCCAGGATAAGCAATCATAATGAAAGAACGCTAATATTAGGGGGACGACATTTTCTGGCGGGAAACGACATCTTGATTCTACTAGGCTACAAACCGTGAAATATTTGCCGGCATAGAATACCTCTATATGGTTCCTAAGGATACAGAGTATTCATAAATATTTTCTATTCTGCTTTGCAAAAAGAGTGGATGGGGACTACTTACCAGCTGGTACTTCCAGACTCTGGGAATATAAGTTGGTGAAGGAAAGATAAAGACATGATACGCGAAAGAAGGCCAATAAATAGTGAAATGTTCAACAAGATTGCATCACACTTTAATGACAACAACTCATACTGTTCGGCATAACTGGCTATTGATATAGTGCATTTGTGACTAATTATTATTTCTTTATTGTCAAGTCTAAATTCAAGACTAATTGATTATACAAAATTTGATTTTTGCATGAGACAGTACTTTATCATGAGATTGCCCAAATACAGGCTGTAAATCTTACAAGAATGAGAGTTAGGTACCTGGGGAGAGATAGATAAACACACAAAGTGTGGCGACAAGGTAGTAAGCTAATACGTACAGAGGAAGGAGTAAAAGACAAAATTACAGAGAGAGGAAGGAAACAGAATTAAAAAAAGAAACAAAGAGAAGGAATAATACAGGAGAAGGTAGAAAGCAGGAAGAGCATAAGAGTCAAAGAACTAGTCTAGGAGATTGGAGGATTGAAAGAGAAATTGAAGCAATGTGTTTCCAGAAACAACTACATTGGCAGGAACGAAAGGCACATTTTCAGGACACACTATTTTACACTGAAGGATTAAAGATGCCGGGTCCCAGACAGGTAGTCGCAATTAATGGGTCTGGTTAGATAGAAACATCGTACCCCACCAGGAAATGTCGTTCCCGTAAGATTGCTGTTTTTTATATTTAAAAAAAATACTGAATTAAGAATTTCGGGACACACCGTTTTGCTCTGAAGGATTGGAGAAAAAACATCAAACCTCGGACAAATGGTCCCAATAAACTAGTCCGGCAATAATAATACTAGTAATAATAATTAAAAAGGTAGTGTCCCAATCCTGAAAATGTCGTTCTTGTAAGATTGCTGGTTTAGCTAGCACTTGTGGACATTTGCCCACTGCCAAAAGGACAAATATTTTTTATTTTATTTTTCATTCCAACCAATCATTTTTATATTTTGGCAAATTAAATTTGAGGCTCAGTCATTCATTTTTCAAAAACGCCAAATTCTATAGGTTTGACTGTACCAATTACAATTTCCTAGAAGCAATTCAATCATAAATTCAATTCAAAATCAAATCAAATCAAATAAAATAAATAAAAAGGTACGGAACTATTCTTAAAAAGGAGGTCTCAATTAGATGGAGGAAACACGAGCGGGAATAAGGTGACCTTGCCGTGTTATCTTTAAGATAAGCAGGTATTTTCTTTTTGAATTTTTTTTGATGATAATGATGATGGTAATGATATTGTTGTTGTTGCTTATTTGCTTGTTTGTTTTTTTTTGACAAAAGAAACCATGTATTCAAGCTGTATTGTTTAGTGGAGTAAAACATCTACTTTAGTTACTAAAAAAAAAGAGAGAGAGAGAAAAGAAAAAGAGAAAAGAGATAGCCAAATATAGGGAAGAGCTTGTTACTGTCGCGTATTCTCAGAGGATTGTGACACGGGTTGCCCTGGTAACCAAAAATAAAAATAAATAAAAAAGTAAAAATAAAAAAGTGCTCCGTTGGGAAGAGGGGGAAAGGCGTGAGACACGCGCGTATCACTTTTTTTGTGAAGCATCCGGGTCTGGAAATGAATAAGACTTGTTGTTCTTGTTGTTGGTAGGTAAAGAAGTGTACATATGCCAATATATTTGTGGCATTGTAATTATAAGTCTTTATGTATATGTATGTGTTTGTGTTTATATATATTTTTTAAAATAAGTAAATAAAGAAATAAAGAAATAAATAAAGATATGCTATCTTTGGCTGTGAGTGTACTACATCTATTGTGAGTGTAGGGCATAGTCAATCGTTTGCCTTCTGGACGCTCGTGGGCAAGAGAGAAGCTTACTAGACCTGACCATTTATAGGGAAAGAAGGATCAGCAGGCCTGTAAATGAACCCCGAGCGGTGCGGTTCATGACGAACTCTCTCATTTTCTCTCATTTTCTCTCTTTCTCCCTCCCTCCCTCTCATTATTGCCGCCACGTTTAAAAACACGCCACCTTTTAAGAGGGGCAAAAGAAATGAAGGACCTGGGGGGCTCCATTTTGGCACACCCACCAATCAGCAGCCAGAGTGTCGCACAGTGCCCCACGTTCGTAAGGAACGCATGCAACCAATCCAGCCGGCTGTGCCATGTGCTACGCATTAAAAACGGGCAGGTCAGACAAAGGGCATTTCTGTTGATTAGCACGGTCATGGTTTAATATGGCTCTTGCGAACTCTGTAAACCTGGTAACACACATATAGCTACATACAGTACAGCCAAGGGACTAGCTGTATATACATATTGGGATTTATATATTAAGCCAAGACTTTGAGCAGTTAGAGTTACAAGGTAGATACAGTGGACACATAGAGATAAAATAATAATAATAAAATAAGAGAGGGCACGAAGAAAATCTTATTTTAAAGAGATATATACATATTTATAAATTATTATAAAAATAATAATAGTATTAATTAATACAATAAAAAGTACAATAAAATATAAATATAAATATTTATGTGTATCTGTAGGTGTAGGTGTATGTGTATGTATATTATTCTGTGGTTCTAGCCGTGTGTACGAAAGGTCACGATGTCAAATGAAACTGACTCGCACCCAAGCCAGCATAATAAATATATAAATATCGGGCCCTTTATGCATTTGCTCTTGCCTCCTTCTTTCTCTCCTCCTTCTTCGAAAGACAAGCTTTACTGCCCCCCTTTTTTTATTGATATAAATTGCTATTATTATTTTTAAGCTATAATTTTATTACCATGGAAATGAACATCTGTCTTTATTGTGAGAAGCGTCTTGACGATGACGTATGTATGCCAACCTATCAATATGACACCCACAATAAAATTAAAATAAAATACAATAAAGTACAGTCAAAGCAAAGCAAAGCAAAGCAAAGCAAAGCAAAGCAAAGCAAAGCAAATCAATTCAAACCAATAGGCTAACTTTCTTGTTAATCTATTCATGCTGTATTATAGAACCTCAGCTTTTGTTCTGGAGCTTGTCAGGAAAACGAGGCATCAAAGAGCACGTTCGCACATCACGCCTATCGCACATCCTCCGAACGCCACTGTCCGACGCCATCTTTTAGACTATCTTACAAGAGACGCCTTGGGTACAATTCTCTTGGCAAGAAATCAAACCGTTGCTCCTTGTCGATGCACAACACACCCTTTCTAGCGTCGTCGTCGTCATCATCATCTTCCTCCTCATCCTCCTCATCTTCATCCACCGACTCAGTCCTGTCCGTGTGTTCGTGCGACGATAAGCATGACTCACCTTTCCTTGTCTACCCGTCCTATGCTGGTTCTATGGACAATGTCGACAATCTATTCTTTGCATCATAGTCTTTTTTTCTTCTTTTTTCTATTTTACCTTTCAAGCCCCACTATCTCCATCTTAAGTTCTTATATCTATCTATCTATCTATCTATCTATCGATCTCTCTTTCATTCTATATCTTATCCTCCCAAACTCTCAATTTTTTTTGACTTTTTTTTTTAACTTGTCGTAGCACTCCAGATACTTCTTTACCCTTTGATAACCCATTTTCTTCTTATATTCTTTTGATATTTTTTTTGTATTGTCAGTACAGACATACCTTTATCTCTCTTCCTTTATTTTGTATGTATGTAATTTATGCTCATACCTGTATTATTCCTTCTTCTTATTCTTTCTTATCCCTTCTTATTTACTCTCCCATCTCTTCCCCCCATGCTCTATGCTCCTTTCAAGGACCTTGTTTTTTTTTATCAACAGAAAAAAAAAGTCTATGACATAAAGCCTTTGTGTACAAATCCAAAGTTTCAACATAAAAAAAAAACCAAAAAGAAAATGTTTGATATGTGTGTGTGTGTGTATACATAGATTAGCATTGTCAAAAGAAAAAGAAGAACTTATTTATTTATCCATCTTTGTTCTTTTTATTGTTTGTGAGCTGTTTCCCTTACTTAACAAACACTTGCTTACATTGTGGAATGTGGCATGACCAAACAGTCACATCACATCACCTTGGGATTTTTGTTCCTTCTTGGAAACCCTCTTCTTTTATATTAATTTTATTCTTTTCTATTTTGGAACTCTGAACCTTGTTTCATTGTACGTGTATATATATATATATATATATGCATATACACAAGTGTTTTATATAATACTGTTTTATCATGGCAAAATCGTCCTTTAGGACAACCACTTGGGATCCTCTTCTAATTATTGCACAGGTTTGTGGTGAACATCTACATTATTTTATAATTCATACTCTTCATCAACCCCTCGCATTCCCGTCATCTCATCTCATTTCATTAACTTTTCTTTTTTTTTTTTTTTCATAATAGATCATCTCCCTACAGTCTCTCTCATATCTCCTCGTCAGTCTCGCTCTCATAATCGCTCTTGCCCTCACAGGTTCCGAAATCACACTTGATGCCATCCTCAGCGACCAAGAAATCCGAATGGATGCAGTATCCGGCTGGACCCTGGCTCTTGTCTGGTTCCTTCACGCCTTTTTAGCAATCCCACTTTTGGTTCTTATTGTCCAGCGAGCGAAACTTATCCTCGACTTTGTCCTGACTATGCATGGCATACACCTCGTAGCAGTATGGATCTATCGAAAACAACTACCTACCGGTGGTGTATGGTGGTTACTGCAACTTGTTCATGCGCTCATTATGACGCTGGGGGGTGAGTGGGCATGTATGCGTCGGGAAATGGAACCAATCATGATGACCGCCAAACCAAAGAAATCACAATCCACATCAAACAAAAACAAAAACATATCATCATCATCAACAGCAACAGCAACAACAACTGGAGCAGGGACATCGGGATCGTCATCTTCATCAAACGTCCAACAAAACAATTATGATGACAGTAATGATTTCTCGGAAGAGTCTAATGCTGTTAGTGGTGGTGGTGAAGATGGTCAAGAAGAAGGTTCGGAATGGATCCATATCACACCAAACAAGTATAACAAGCGTAAGGTATCCGATGCTCATAATATGCTAAGGCCGATCGCAAAAGAGGAACAAGGCGAAGTCGAAAGTGAAGAATATGATGATAATGATACTGAAGAAGGACCGCTCACAAAAGCCATGGATAAGGCCAAGAAGATTATTGTACAAGGAGTCAGTAACAGTAATAGTAGGGTTACAAGGAAGAAAAACAAATCGAGACGGTATGAAGTGATTCCAATGAAGGATGTCGACGAACCAGGTCCGGGCTCAAGTCCTTCCAAATAACTTATCTTGTACATATATAAACAGCACCTAGATGACAAATCATGCAAAAAAAGACCAAAAAAAAAAGAATGGAGCACAATCTCCTTGTCAATATTTCCTTCCTCTTAGTTTATCCTATCTTATTTACTCTTTGCACACATTTACCCTCTCTCACATACATATATATACAAACAAACAAACTAGTCTTATTCTTATTCTTATCATTTTTTATCATTATCATTTTTGTCGTTGTCGTTGTTGTTGTTTATTATACATAATTATAAAGCACTCCAATTTTCAAAAAAAAAGCCTGTTATAAATCAACCTCTTTATCAAAAACAAGCCAAGAAAATAAATAAATATAATAAAATAGAAATATATAAAGATAATGCAAATTGGCGGAGAGGAAGAAAGGAAAAGAAAAAGGAAAATGAAGAGTATACTTTGAGGTTGGTGAGTTTCCCAAGCCACCTGAATCACAGTCGCGTTCTGTATGTACCATTGCTTGGACGTTCCTTTTTTTGATATATTCTTTATCTTCTACTCTTTTATTTTAATAGTAGCAGTAGTAGCAGTTACTATTACTGTAGATCATTCGATTCGATGCCAATTCCCGTTATTTCCCCCGCAGAAAAGAGTTACATTGAACAAGGTGTCGAGACCGATTGCCGTGCCGATGGTCGTGGACGTCTTGAATATCGCCATCTTGTGCTTGAAACCGGACTTTTGTCTCAAGCAAGCGGAAGTGCCCGCTGTCGTCTTGGAAACAGCGATGTCTTAGTAGGCATCAAGGTTGAAATTGGAGAGATTGAACAAGATCAACCCAACCAAGGTCGTATTTCATGCAATGTCGAATGGTAGGTAAAGGTTACAACCTTTTTATATGTACATGTCAAAAAACAAAAAGAAAAGAAAGAAAGAAAGAAAGATACTTACAATTTTTTATTATATATATATATACACGCATAAAAGTTCGCCAAGTGCCTCACAACAATTCGAAGGTCGTGGTGCTGACGACTTGAACAACACATTAACACTGGCACTTGAGAGATTATTGAGTGGACCTCAGAGTGGACTAGACCTCGACAAACTGTGTATTATTCCTGGTCAACAATGTTGGGTTATTCACATCGATGCCATGGTACGAAAATGAAAAGAAGAAGAAGAAATAGTAGATGTGATACAATGCGATGTGATACGATGAGATTGTTTTTTTTTTGAAAAAAAGACAAACGACTGATATTATTATTATTATTATGATGATGATGATGATTTATTATGATCTTAGGTTATGGATTGTGCCGGAAACCTGTTTGATTGTATTGTGATGACCACTCGCGCGGCATTATTCAACACACGTATTCCAAAGACAGAAATCCAAGACTTGGGTGATGGTGAATTTGAGTTTGAGGTTATGGATGATGTAGAAGACGCAGAAGCTATTGCCGGCTGGGAGAATCTACCAATGTCTGTTACATTATACAAGGTAAAGAGAGAAAGAAGAAAAAAAGGAGACTATCATCTGTATAGCCAAGAAAGAAAGAAAGAAAGAAAGAAAGAAGAAATTGATCCGAGAAACTGAGAAAATAAGGGGTGAAACGATCTCTCTTCATATATATATATATATATATAATTGATCTAGATTGGAGAACGTTATATTCTGGATCCTACAATTCTGGAAGAGTTGTGTTCTCAGGTCACACTTACTGTCGGTGTCAACAAAACCGGACAAGTGTGTGGTGTACAAAAGGGTGGATCAGGAAGTGTCGACCCAAGTTTACTGACTGAAATGATCCAGGCAAGTGAAATTAGCTTAGTACAAGAGCGCGGAGGTTAAGGGGAGAGAAGTTAGATTTATGTATAGATATGCTATATATGAGACGGTTGGTATAAACAATGTCTGTAAATCATGTAGACAGCCACAACATTGGCAGGTCCATTGATACAGCAATTGGATGCTAAGCTCGCAGAAGAAGAGAAAAATGTGCTGGATAAGCGAAGAAAAGGTGAACCAGTACAGAAACTTGGTTTCTTTGCAGCTGTCATCTAAGTCACTAAATTCTCCTAACCCATTCTCCAATAAACAAATTTCAATACTCTTTTCTTCATAACAATCATAATCAATTTCACGCACATATTTATTTGAACACTTTTGATTTATTCATATTTGCATTTGTATTTAAATACAATATATATTTATCATTGTTTTAAGCTCAATTCTGTAACCACTATCCATTTGTGCTATATGTTTTTTTTTTGCCCGAGACACCGACGCGGGATCGTAATTAAAAAAGAAAAGAGGCCATAGATGATGAAATGAAAACTTCCTCTTCTGGCAGGACTGAAAAAAAAATAGATATTTAAATATTTCAAATCAAAATCATAAGTATGTATCTTTTTTCTATTATCTTTGTTCTTTATCGAAAATAATAATTTATATTTCATATATCTTTTCTCACTTCTTCTTCTTCTTCTTCTTCTTCTTCTATCATATCACATACTTACTCTCAACACAAAACAAAAACAAAAGAAACATGCCTTCATCTTTATCCTCAAAACTTACTCGGCTCAAGTCTCTTCAGCTCAAACAATTCGTCCATCGAAAGAACCGTGGGCCACCTTCTCCAATAAGCCCTTCTACATGCCAACCTATCCACACATCATCCCAAATGGCAATTGTTCCTGACGATATGTACAGCCCTTCATCACCAACAAATGTCAATAGTTTTTCAGAAACTCTTCGGATTGTTTCTGAAGAAGCAAAGAATGGTAAATACGCCGATGTGTTCGATGCCTTCTTCTACACCGATCGGAGGTGTCAGAACCGGGCATTCTTTATGGCTGCCCGCCTGAAACACACCCTCTGGCCGTTGGTTTCTGAGGCCCTTGGAACTCCCCTTCGGAATCGTACTCATTCTGTCCAGGTACCCTCGAATAAAAACAGAGACAATAACAACAATCTTCCAAAAACTTCGATTTCTGAAACTACCAGCAGGAACCAAGAGGACCAGCAAATCGATGCCTTTTGGGAACTTGTGACTCACCGGCTCTACACCCTAAACTGCTTACTCTTCGTCTTCCCTTCTTCTTCTCCGTTTCACGACGAGGCAGCAATGCACTTAAATCAACGGCTGTCCAATGATAATTCAGGTGCACGAGAAACCTTATTTGCCGTCCGTTACGCTCTCTTGCGTAGCCATCATCCTAATTCGCTGAGCCGTCATCGGCACTCTGTACCTTCCGGGCGGGATCATCGTGACGACGATGCTGTGGGCGAATTTCTTCAATCAGCACAGGCCGTGATTGCAAGGTGCCTCGAAAGCGAAGAAAGACTAAGCCAAAGCGAGAGAGATGCGATGTACCTCTTCCATGGTCTTCGGATGGGGTTGTATGGTTCGTTTGTACCTCACATCGAGCTACGAGAGGCAAGCGACGGTCTTCAGGAAGCCTTGGCAGAGGCTGTCCTACATAATCAAAACAAATCAAATACGGGCCTCCTTAATAATCCCTTTGAGGACAATCAAGCAATCGTACAAGAACATAATAATGATTCCTCTTTAGAACAAAAAAATAGTACCAGTATACTGTCTGTTTAATATCCATCCCTTCAATCCTGATTTTTCTTCCCCCCCTCCCCTTTTTTTGCTCTCTTGCTCTCTCTCTCTATTCCTTCTCTCCTCCCTTTGCCCTGTATAAATATAAATATAAATAAAATTACTTAGCATTTATCTATCTATCTATCTATATATATTTGATTTATAGGTTGGCTTTTGAGGGAATGGCTAAACAAACATGTATACAGATTTGCTAAGCATTAGTGCAACCCCAGGTGTCAAAACTTCTTCCTTTGTTTTTTTATCATTCTTTAAGTTTACGTGTTTACCTGGTCCTTGTAATTTGAAAGTCTGCAATCAGTATATATATGTATATACGCGCATTCAACTTGTACGATATGATAAATAGTATTATTTTTTTAATCGAATTGAATTAAATCAACTAAAATGATCATTTATAGCATAAATCAATTTCAGGACACCAAGAAGTCAGGATTAGAGTATCCAGAATATAGTAGAAAGTATAATAGTCTCCCAAAAATCATCATCATTGTCTATTTTTTGTAAAAGAAACAGTAGCTACGAGTATTTTACATATTATTAAACCACTTTTCTCCAGCAAAGATCAAGGTTACTTGGCCACAGCCCTTGTCTTTAAACTATCACTATTAATACTATTCTTACTGTGATGTGTGTAGGGTATATATCGACTCTGGTGTATATACTACCTGTCTCATAGCAAGAAGAAGAATACAAAGATCAAAATTATAATTCTGTCACACAGATTGCGCAAAACAGCGAAACCTAATTGTGGTACAAACCGTACAAACCATACAAATGACTATTGTGCTGCCTTCTCTCTCTCTTTTTTTTTTCTTTTGGATTTTTTTCAATACTAAAAGAAGAATAAAAAGAAAAATTATGACCACATGAATTATGACCTTTTGATCCCTTTCTTCTATTGATTTGCTTTTTTTTTTGCTATGGAAACTTTTGAAAAGAAATATAATTTTAGGAGTTATACTAAAGGTAAGGCGATCATTTCAAACAACATATTTGCCTGTCTGTCTGCCTGACTGTAGACTGACATGTTTAATTTAGGAATCCGCCCAATTCAGAATTTGATTCTACAACGGGTTCATGAGGTTCGTACCTTTGAGAATGGCATGGCGACTTTTACTGGTAAGAGAAAAAAAAAATGAGATTTCACATGTTCAGATTTGACTAATATAACGATAACTGCTAGTGAAGGATAAGCCTGCATCATCGATGTTTAGAAGTAATAGGCCTTATCATGCCTACAAGAAGGAAAGCATGGAAGTTAGCGATTGTGAATTTCCTCTGAAACAGCATATAAAACAACATATTGAAAACTGTCCCGTACAAGTGGTACTATTAGTAATTGAATTTTTGCTCCTGTTTATATATATTACTCATACTATTTTATATTTGTTACTTTTTTTTTATTCTCATCATTTTAGCTTAAGGATGTCAAGGCAAACTCTCTTGGTGTACCTGTTGTTGTACCTATTGTTAATGGAAAATTCATTATGCAAAAAAAAAAACCGACAGTAAGTATCTAAATTCTAAGCAAAAGAAGAGAAAGAAGATAGACATATATTAAAATGTTATGTAGACTGTGTGTGTGTGGGTGAATGTTGTATAATTTTATAAGAGAAAGGATGATGTTGCCTGAAAGAATAATGCCAGCATCTTTGCATTGCTATATAACCATAACCATAATTGTTTTGTATAATTGGTCAAAATGATTTATATATCGTATAAAATTCTGGATCTATTTGTTATGATATTCAGCCCAGTGTTTGTTATTTCTTTTCAAAATATGGTTCATGTATTACTCTAATGACAATAAACTTAACTTCCAGTTATTTTATATACAGCGTAAATGGCATGCATTTCATTTTTCTTTTTCTATAGTGATTATATTGAGGAGTTGTGATTTCTTGAAAATCCGATTAGAATTTCTATAAATTTTAGAGAAGTCGAATACAATGTTAGATTTCAATTTATTTTAATAAACTACAAGGTAGACCGGCTGTCCCTATTGGAACAGTTTAAGAAGCAATAGCCATACTATTCTAAGAAAGAAAAATGTTTATCCAATCTTGTGTAAATTCAATTACTGTATGATGTGACATTTGATCACTATCGTTAGCTACTTCTCTACTGTTTATTTCACTTGGATAACCCTTATAACCCTAATAACCTTTCTACCCTTCATACCCCTCATAACTCTTAAAGTACCTAAGATATTCCAAGGTTTTCAATGTTACTAAGTTCTTTGAATTATCTGATATTTTTGATACAGTTAAAGATTTATTTAGTAGAAAAATAAGATTTTCACCCAATTTTTTAAATTTAAATAGTAATTCAATTTTCAATGATTTATTATACATTTTTCTTGGATAAATTTGTTGGGCTTATCTTATTTAGAAAGAGGTCAAATAAGGAATTCCTAGTGAGAAATTACCCAATTTAAACAAATAATAGTAATTGTAAATGAAAGTTCAATATATAATATTTGTAATTCGTTTCTTATTTAATTTTTTTACAGAATTAATTATGACTATAGCAGCATACTATTTGTGCTTATTATTACTTTAATTCATACAGACCAAGCTAGCAATAAATGGCTCATTCGATAAGCTTGTGCAAAATCTATGTATTGAATATGATTAGAAGTCTCTTTATTACCAAGTTCCATTTAACCTAGACATAAAACCTTTTCTTTTACTAGTAAAAGTTTATGGTACTTAAATCATAGACATATATACATACATGTGAATTTGATTTATTGTGAATTATTTATTCTATATATAAAAAACAATAATATAGGTAGTTTTCTTGTATTATTGTTATTTGCACAAAATTCAGTAGAGTCTGCCTATATGGTATGCTCAAATGACAGGTACCAGTTGTTGGCAAAGCTATTAATTTTATCATTGAATCCTTTCACATGCATGAATTTCTGTTTTAGAATTTATAATTGTCACACCATAATATTCTTTTCTTCTTCTAGATTAAAATAGTCTTATAAAACCCTGCAAATGGGGTATTCTTTTTCTAAATTGAAGTTATCGACAATATCCCTCGTGGACTTTGAGAGTTTATCATGGTACTAAACATATTTTTTTTATAATAATAATATTTCTGGAATAATTGGTTGGTAAGACACAAACACTCAATAGAAATAATAATAATAATAGTAACAATGTGTTACAGAGATTAGCACAGATCGAACAAAACACTTGTTACATTCTGTTTACTCCCAAAAACCATTCCCTTTTCTTTCTTTCATTTTGTTTTACAAGCAAAATTAAACTAGAATATTTTGTCAATGTATATTTATATTAAGCAATATAATATACTATAATTCAATTTGAATTGAATTGAATTGAATTGAAAAGCTGCTGTTTTTTTTTTATCTTTATATGTATGTGACCCCAGTTTATGGATATTTAATATGGGTTATCTGCGATGAGTAAAGCCTTTTTGTATAAAAATATTATACATAAAATAAATCAGCAAAATATATATATATATATATATATATTTTTAAGAAACAATCCTCGATTATTGATGACAGGATATCAAATTCTAAATACAATACACTAAATAAATAAATACATGAAATAATAATAATAGTAATTCTGTTGGATATATAATGTCAACTGTCTTTTTTTTTAAAGAAAAATGATGAGTATGATAGAAAAATGTCAAGACTTTGGAAGAAAGAATAAGAGTTAAAAATATTCTGCTTGTATGAAAGCCTAGGATTTGTGCTTTTTGGTTTGCTTTAGAGAAAAATAGGGAAAAGGGAAAATGGGTTTATAGGAAATTCTTGTCTGAAATAAGAAAAAAAAAGTCATGAATAAAATAGAAGAAAATAGAAAGAAGAAAGAAATATATGTATATAAAGAAGAAGAAGAAAATGGGCTCATAAGTATATATATATATATTAACAGCTCTTAACAATCACATCTAAAATATCAATTGTTTTTTTAGGGGTTTTGTTTTGTGGCATAGAAACACTGTATGATTTGTATATAGAAATTGATAGGGGTGCTTATTAGAATATAAAGATGCCCTTCATGCATAATAAAGAAAATATAAAAGAGAAAAAAAAACATTATAGTAAATGACTTGAATGTGCCCTACCATAAATATCATATATGTATAATATAATAGTGAAAGAAAAGAAAATAAAAAGAAAAACCACCTTCCGGAGATGGTAAACTGTATAACCATATGGCTCTAAAGTTGAGGCCAATTTGGTGGTGATTTGGTGGGAGGGTATCTCTAAAAGACAACAAAGAATGGGTGTCTCTTTGCTGCTGAATATCTTGACAATGATTGTTTTATCTCGGGTGTATAATCTGAGGAGGAAGACATATCCTTGTGCCGATTCTGGGTGTTGCTATCAGATGTCGTTTCATTTGATGCTTGATGTCCGTGGCCTCCTCCATTCTGTACAATTTGGATCGCAATCTTTCGGGCTTCTTCAACCTTTCCCGTCATCTTTAGTCCAACTACCTGCAGAGCAAGCTCCATGAGGGCACGGTCATTTTCGCTGTAATATTTAAACAATGTAACATCTCCTTCCAGAGGTAGTGGGTGCTCTTTGAATGACACAACTGCAGTTCCGGATTCTGCTGCGGGTGGCAGTATACATACAATCGTATTCTGAGACCAGTAATGGGTGCTAGTGGCTTCGATATCTCCAAAAAGACATGTCAATCCAGGATGGAAACCACTGCCTAGGATAGTAACCTCAATTCCTCCACAGGTTGGGCCTTCGCTTGGAATAATTCGTTTCAATTGAGGACCTTCATTGCTGGCCACAGCTGCGGTTATTTTCGGGTGAGATGTATCAGACACTAGAGAGATTTCATGGCCTTGAGAAACCACTGTGGGTAGCATAAGACGAGTGAGAGCTTTTGGTTCTACCGGAATATCATATGATTCATGTCGTACTATATTTGTTGAATGTTCTTCATTACGCGGTGGACTCAATTCAATAAAAGAGAGGGGCTGAGGGCTCTTGTGTTCGTGCAGTGCGTGTAATGTCGGGGAACTTCTGTATGCTGCACGGAATCGACGGGATCCAGAATTACTTTCATTGCTAGATAACTCCTGGTAAGGTTCATACGATTCGGCAGGCATCAAAGGAACTTTGGGTGCTTCAATATCTGCACGTTGTCTCTTCTGCCCGACTCTGGACTTATTAGACTTGTGGTCGTCTGTAATCATAATTGCTGGAGAAACACCCGTAGCAACCTGTTTACCAGTGTGATCGTGCATTTCAAAGTAGATACTATGATAGTAATAAGATCAGTATTATTGATTTTTTTTAACGAAAGAAAAAAAATTATGAAACTCACCAAAAACCTAGTCGCTCATTGTGGTGTCTACAGTAGCAAGTGATACGAGTCGGAAGTATCGTGTCCCCAGAGCTAAAGTCAACCATGTCCGGACAATTGAACAAAAGAACCTTTTCTTCTTCGAGGGCCAAGGATTCTTCGTCTTCTGTAGGACTCTTTTCATCGTCTGTATCTGTCTTGACTCTGTTCTCTTTACGCCTTTGAGACCGTTTACGCTAATGTTAAACAAATATATGTATAGGTTAATATACATATAAAAATAAAAATAAAATATCCAGAAACTTACTTCGCGTTGAATACACCCTAGACAAGTTACAACCTTTTTGGATGGGTTGCTCGCACAAATTACCCGGGCACTCAAAAATAGTGTTCTTTCTGGCTTGACCAGGAGGTCCGTGCTATCCATCTTGATATTATTGGACACGGCCGGGACCAGGCTCTGGCGCTTGAGCCTTTCTTTAGCTACCATGTGTCTAGGCAACTTTAGATGTGACCACCACTGTGATTTGTCACCGTCATCTGTCACTAGCTGTATGCACAGTTTTATTTGTGTTTCTACTCTCGATTTTGCTCCGGTCTGAGGAACACCTAAAACACGGATCTGCATGCTGTGTAAATAGAGATGTATATATGATAATTATTAAATTATTAAAATTAAAATCAATAATATTGTTTTCCGATAATTCGGATTGGTTGTATAATAAATTCTAAGCATCTTTTTCTTTTAGTCTTACCCTTTGGTTGTTGGATCAAGTGAGGGAGTAAGTGTATTATGAGAAAAGGGCGTGTCCAGTGATTCATCGCATTTTCTAGGTGATCCAACATGTGGGGTAAGTGACGACAGGGAAGTTGGTACATATCTGATTATGGAAAAAAAATTGGTGTTAATGTTATACAGGCCAGCAACAAATAATAATAAATAAAATAATACTAGGGCAGTAAGAACTTACACTGGGTTTGGTAAATGTACTGGACTATGTGATATATAATCGCTAAAGTTCTTGGCCAAACTAGGAATTGTCGGAGGGATCGAATTGTTGGTTACATTGGTGAAGATCTATTAAGTATTTTTTATATATATATGTGTATATCAGCCAATTTTGTTTTTTATATTTTTAAAAGAGAAATCAAACAATCAATGGATTAACTAATAGATAAAGAAGTTATCATTTTACGTTGTTGAATCCGGACCAAAAGGTCTGGTTAGATTCGGCCGGGGAATTGACAGGATGAAGCGATTCGATGATTCTTGACTGAGTTGCAATGGTTGGTGTAGCTAGGGATGGTGTGTGATAATTATAAGGTGAAGATTGATCCATATGTTTGGCTGATGATATATTATCGTGTCTTGTTTCATTTTTTTGATTGTGCATAAAAAACATCGGGTTCTTGGTTGATAGGTGATCGAGTTTGTAAAAGAATGAGTTATCGATGAGGGGATTTAAGATGTTTACTAAATCGTCATGTGGCTCGCTGGTAGATGAGCCCGATGGGGAATCATAAAAATCATTTGAGGCTAATGACATTGTTGTTAACGGACTAGTATTCTGCATGTTAAGTGATTGCAATCTACTTTTGACTTTTTATTAAAAAGAAAAAAGTTAAAGAAGTAAAGATAATAAAAAAATAGTAATGAAAAGAAGAAGAAGAAGAAAAGGTGAACGTTGGTTAAAGGAGACAGTTGTCAAATAGAAGCAATTTAATGTATTTTTTCCTTCTTTCTTTTTATAGTGGGGTGGACAAGACAAAAGCCAATTGCCTTTTGTACAGGATTTTTTTATTTATACGTATATATATATATTTGTTTATTAAACAAAAAAGAAAAAGAAAAGAAGAAATCCTTCAGAGCTTAAGCTTGGCTTACATGGGATTACCGGATGATTTGGTTAATGAAAGGGTTCAATACTGACTAAAGTTGTGGTATATCTTTAACACATGTGATTTGGTATGTCTTCTCTAGATTAATCGAGTACAAAGGCACAAATAATATCAGCAGGAGAGACAAGCTTTTCTGGGCTTGATCAAGTAGTCGAGAAGTATGAGGTAACCTTCACGTGAAGTATGTTCTGGTTTCGAGTGTCATCTTTTAAAGGGTGTACACACAGCATAATTCAATTTTGGATGTGTATTACCATGCTCAATTTCTATACCAAAAATACTTTTTATTTTATTTTATTCTGATCTGCGGTCCCAGGCTGTTCTATTTTTCCCCTTAAATAAAAAATAAATTGTGGAGCAGGTAACACACGCCATGAGACATAAAAAGCCAATGCGGTTGTATGTTAAAGAAGTCTTTCTTAAAAGTGATAACCTAAGTGTCCCTTACTTGATGGCCACTACTTAATGCTCGCTGCTCGCTGCTTATGGCGCAATATCTCTTATTTAAATCTCGGGAGGGATAGTATTTAATTGTCATGAAACCAACGCAATTGATACTTCTATTTATACTGTTACTGCTACCTTTAAATCATAATTCAATGACAATCTGAAAGATATTTCGTTAATGAGTCTGTACACTTTTTTGGACTTGATAAAGCCTATAATAATATTTCTCGAGAGTTTTTTTTTTGAACCAGACAGACTCTACAAGTATCACAAAATAAGTTGCGTACCATTGAAGGTGTACTCAAATAAGTGGTTTGAACACCTGTGTTACCTTTAAGCTGGTTGATTTAAGTAAAGGCAAATCTAGTATGTTATAATTTATATACCCAAGCGTAACAACGAAAACCCAGAATGTGTCTTTCTTGCTTGCATAAAGTAAACTTTTAAACTTTTTTTATTATTCCAGTAGGACAAATAAATACTCGTAAAACTCCAAGGGCTCATAATGTATAACATTATTAGTATTACTATTATTTTAATAATATGTTAAGTATAATATTAAGTTTCTTTTCTTTTAATTGATTTGAATCGAATCGAATCGATTATTTTTTTAAAAAAAAAAAGAACAGCTAATTGGGTATAAATTAAGGCTTCTATGCTGTTACTTATTTTTCTTTATTAGAAAATATATCCAAATACGATGGTTAATTCTTTCTTATACTCCATAATTGCATATAAGAATTCCTCGATTAGTATTACTTTAGAATTTAAATAGAAAACAAGTAGTATATCTATAGTATCATATAAATAAGTTCTTTTGTATTTTTAAGTGATGTTTTTAAGGAGTGCTTAAGCCCGAACGAGTGCGCTGTACAATATTCTTCGTATAATTATTATACCTAGCTGTGCTTTCAATAAAGATGAATAATATCTCATGTGGTGATAATTTTCATTTATTGGCTTTCATTAACAATTGTAGTAATCAAAAATATCAAGAAAATAATAATTACAAAGCGAAGAAAGCTTAATTCATTTATTATAGATGCTCTAAAAGTCAACCTGTCAGTAACTCGTGTCAAGTTACCGATGACTCGACACATCAAATTTCTAAATAAAAAACTATTGAACAATATACAATTGCTCAGCAACTGTTGTTAATTAACTGATCGACCATCACGCTTCTATAAATACCATATAAATATACATGTCTTGTAAGTAGCATTTATAATTTTCCAATGAGCACATGGCCTTAAAATTTAACCATTCTCAGCTGCTCAAAAGTCCTATTCACTAAATTCAAGAGCTTATACATACATATATATATATATATATATATACTCTTTTGAATTTTCAAGGTATTATTAATATCAAAAGAGCCATTAAAACAACCGATTTTGGTTGATAATGTTTTATTAGTAAACTTGCGAATACGAATTCTTTATATTTATAATGAGATTTCTCAACTTTTATATCTGCGATTATTTTTAACCACTTCACATCGAGTATTTCTCAGAATGTAAGCGTGATGTCTGTCCATGTACTCAACACCCGCTCATGAGCACTCGAGCTTTTGCCTAGTATCTATTATGGCTTTCTGTTAGAAGCTCTACTATCATTAAGCTTGATTGAATTGAAACCGAGACAAAGATAACTCACCAAATAATCATATGTTTTCTTATACTTGATACTTTGGCAAAAAGAAAGAAAGAAAGAAAGAAAGAAGTAACCTGTCTAAACCAAAGGTATCAAATGTTATGTATTTATACAAAAGATACAATATGACAAGATTTGGAAAAGTATACGTTATTTCCTTTATCTGAAATCACAAATGGAGTATTATTAACAGAGGAAGTATCAAGCTTTACGTATTTCTCAATCAAAGTGCATTCACCGCATTTTGAGTTTTGAGATTACCCATTAGATTTCCAGAGTGTGATTTATCCATATTTGACTCATATATTGCTTGTACAAAGAGATATTCTCAACTGTTTGCCTACATTATATAGCATGCGCATACTAAATATTTGTGTCAAAGAATATAAATAAGTACGCTATTTGGCCACTTTATCTACATTGCGAGTCTTCAATTTTCGATAGGTCTATATTGTCGAGAGAACATTTTTTGATATGCGCCTAATATTTGTCCACACAATCGTCTTAACGGAAGTCTATCCGAGCTTTAGTGAAATTTTTACCATAAATAAATAAAGAAAAAAACGAGGTATTGTACGTAATGGCCAGTGAATATAGAATGTGTACCTGGACGACTATTTTTCTTTTTGCAAAAGGACATTCATGGCATTTTCTGCTTATTGGTTGATAAGCCAACTCTTCTTTTTTTTCCCCTTTATCGCTTTAAAGAGTATAAAGCCAGGAAACCCTCTTTATTTATAAGGATCAATTGGAATTCTGATGATTAATAGAATTGTTATTTTGTATTATTATTTTGATAATTCTAAGCAATTAAGGTTAATATGTTATTCCGATCCAGCTTTTGTTTCTTGGACTATAACTATAGGTCAAAAATGTGGGTAGGTGTGGGTACGTGTGTGGGTCTATCTTTACAAAGCTTGGTTCCCATTATGTTTATTACCACTACGCCATGAATGAGATAAGATCCATATATATATATAAAACAGAAGCGGTATTTTATTTATGCGGCTTTATTTTTATTTTTTATAATTTAAATCTCAAAAAAAAACTATGTTAATCTGATAATTAGAAGAATCTTGAAATTTTTTTTTATTACATATAGTAAAATCAATTGATTTCTGATCTTTCTCATAGGTAAGGCATAGACTAAAAGAGCACCTTTATCATTTGCCTTACCCATACATATATACATACATACATACATATATATATATATATATGTTGTTGTTGTTTGGTGTACAGTGCGGCTGAGTCACTGTGGGAGGAAGCAGTCCTAAAAAGAGAGCTAAAGGGGATTACGAGCACAAGAATTGGGGACAATATCTCCAAAGAGAAGACGTTTTAAACAAAAATCACGCTTTAGTGCCACATGATAAAACATAGCAATAAAATGATGTAGTGAGAGATTAGCAGTATGGTGTTTAAAGCCTTGATTACCTCAAATTAGCTGCAAATCAAGTTATCCTTGTCAAGCATCTAATCATTGCAGATTTTTATGCTAAAAAAAGGGAGGGCAGCAGCAATATGTTAATACAATACAAGATCTTTTCATTTGATAATTAATAGGAAAACGTTGTTGGTTAATTAGATCTATATATTGATTCGACTCTTGTAGTTAGGGGAATTGGGTAATAGCAAAAGAAAAACTTTTGAGCTTTCTTTTTTCACATTGAATTTAGTTATGATTAGCTTGGGCAAATAGGCCAAGAGTTTTGGTTTGGATTTTTGTATTAAGCCATATCAATTAAGTGGTTGTGTATCCTTGTTATTTCATACAATTGGTGCTACTGATCCTTTAGGACATTACTTATTAAACTGTTCATGGTTGTTTTAGGAAAAGATAATCTCAAAGCTATGAAGAAGAAGACACTAGAATAAGCTTAATTGTGTTCTGCCAGATATACCGGTTATTTCAAAACTCAGAAGAATATTGTCTTTCTATAGAGGCTTGATGGCTGCGGTTTTCATTCACGATCAGACAAATTTTTTTTTTATTTAAAAAAGAAAATGGAAATAAATAGAATCGTCTTTTAGCTTTTTGGAAATCAGATTAGGCTCTGTCTGATTCTATTGAATTATAATTATAATACATTTGATATATATATACATTCTGGTACCAATTCGTACTTTTTTTTTTTCACCATGCAAGAAAAACTCGAATCAATTTCATATTTCCAAGTCACAACAAGATTTCCTTAATCTCCTACTGCAGAAGTCTATACACTGTAAGCCATCACCAGATTGGATCCCATGTGAGCAAAGGCTTGGCCATTTGTATATTTGTATTTCAAAGTGCATATGAAATACATAGGTATAAATATATAGCATTTTTATATGTACGCGCCTGAGTGTAGCCTATTTTTATTATTATTATTATTGAATTCTTTTCCTCAATTCTGCTCTGTCTCTATTTCTAATCTCCACAGAAAGAATATAAAAAAGTAACAGAGTCTGCGCGTGATACGAAGGTAGCTCAGCTTTCATTTTTATTGGCCGACAAAACAATTTTAGTCTCACTCCCAACAAAAGGGAAAACACAACAAAATCTCTCTTTTTCACACATTGAACTCAACCCTACAGGCACACATATACACACATACACACACTCTAAAAAAAAATCTCATTCACACCTCATTACGACCTTTAACTAAAGATAAATAAATACATAAAAAGATATGCAGAACGTCAGTCCACTCTTGGACATGATACTACCTACAGATGACGCTTCATGCGATTCCCCATCCGGGTCCTCAACAAGCGAACCCCATGACGAAGCAATGAACAATTCCCAGCCATTCATCGATCAGTCATTCTTTTATAAGCTCGACCAATTATCACCAGATAATCCTCTTTTCTTTATGCAACAATCTGAAAATCGTCCAAGACAATCCGAAGAACTTGACACACCAATGGACGCCCCATCCCCACTGAGCGCACAGGCATCCGTATCAATGTCTTCACCCCAATCAATGTCAACTCAAGGATTCATGTCTGCTCCTTCGAGCATTGTTGAACCACTCCAACCAGCAAACTCATTACCCGCAGAATCAAGCCAGACATTCTGGTCGGGATTCAATAACGTAAGTTAGTCATTCTCCCAATAGCTTAGTTTATGACTCACCACAAGTCCACGCTTAGTTTTTTTCCAATGTGACCCATAACCCCTTTCCACAGGCCATCCCAAACCTAGCCAGAAATTTTACAGACTATCTCTCAAACTATCCAATACAATTCTCGAGCCCTGTGTAAGTATGATCACTACCGTTACACCTCAACTTATCGTATTCTTATTTCTTGCCAACTATAGCCCTGATCAATCCTCCCAACCCTCACCTCCCCCACATGCTGTATCACCTATAAAATACGAGCCATCACTAGACACACCATTTTCTCAGAGTCCTATTACTCGGCCACTTGATATGATGAAAACCCCTGGGTAATATACTACTTTAATTTCTTTCTTAAAAAAATAATTATGTACTTACACATATCATACTAATTAATCAAATTATTAATAATCTTTTTTTTTAAAAAAAAGTATGCAAATCCGCGTCTTGGGTGTTCCTCAAACAGGGGCAAAATCAAGAGTGGAAACACAGATCAAATTATGCATACAGCTAGTGACAGATGATGGCGACAAAGCACAGTGGTGGTCGCATCTTAAATTACCAGAACATATGGTAGCTAAAGATAAACTCAAGCGCCAAGTCATGATGGCCAACGCACAAAATGGCTTAAAAGTAGATGGTGCAAATTTGCCGATTAAGCCGGAAAGAATGCTATTTTTGAGTGCCCGCGTCATTTGTGCAAGTGACCCGTCTAGAAAAGTTGTAACTTGCCTGGGTTGTATTCAACGTGAAGTAAGTTGTCAGATCCACAAAAAAAAACATTAATATTAACATTAACAAAATTATAATTTTTTTTCTAATTCTCTTCTTAATAATAATAACATTAGCGCAAACGATCCCAAAGACGTAAAGAAAATAAGATAAAAACAGATAATGAAGATGACAATCGATCAATGGAAGACGATAAATCCTTGGCTCTTGAAGAACAAAAAGTCCTTTTGTTTAATTGCTCAGAAATAGTCGATTTTAGCTCAGGAGACACCATTCTACCGACACGTATTACTTGTTACTGCAGACATCATAACGAACGTCTTGGATTCTGGTGAGTATTATACTATGATTATATATTTCTACATTTTTGATCTCATTATTACCATAGTATCTATTTTGAAATGCATGACCAAACTGGTAAACAGGTAGCCACAGGAATGTCTCCACCGATTATGATCACAGACGACCACAAATCCAATAAAATCAAAGCCGGTAGAAAGAGACCCAGAACAGATGTAGAATCGCACACCCCTCTCATATCATCCGGTGGATATGAAATGAACTCTGGTGTAACTGCACCTAATATGTTAGGACCACCTCGATTCCGTGTACCTTACGGCAGCTATCCGAATGTACAGACCTTACGCGAACAACAGTTTTCTCTCCAACCTCGCCCAGTCGATCATGTTGGAATGAATCACGACGTAAATCATTTGGCAAACCCAAACTCAAACACAATGCACCGTCAACAATTTGACGCATCTAGCGGTCCAAAAATACAACCTAACTCTATAGTGCCATCAATGGCCACCCAAACGCATCCTACTCCCATGGTTACCGAAAACACTGTCCAGCAGACTGTCACACCTACCCCTATTCTCAATGATCGCCCACAGCTACAACGCCTAATTCCGAATGAGGGCCCGACCTATGGTGGAATTGAGGTCACCATCCTTGGAAGTGGCTTCAGACCAGGTCTTACTTGTCTCTTTGGAGACGCAGCAGCATCCAGTACACATTATTGGTCTCCAAATACTCTTGTGTGTATCTTACCACCTGCAGTTGAACCGGGAACAGTTGTAGTGTCGTTCAAAGAATACCCAATGGTCATGGACAGTCAAGATGTGACGCTTTTCACGTACTTTAATGAAAACGACCGAGCACTTATGGAGCTTGCTCTTCAGGTGGTTGGGCTCAAGATGACAGGAAAAGTGGAAGACGCTCGTGCAATTGCTATGCGCATTGTTCAAGGCGGTAATCAAAACCAACAATCATCCAGTGGAACCAGCAACCAAGATAATCAACAAAACCAGAACCAGAACCAGAACCAAAATCAAACATGCCTTGAACGTCACATCATCCAAGTACTTGAAGTCATGGACATTATGGAAGACGTCGACTCAGTAGATGTCTCATTGACCAGCGGACAAGGCCACACCATGCTTCATTTGGCTGCAATTCTGAATTTCAGTAAACTTACTCGCACATTGATCGAACTTGGCTGTAATGTGGACACTATGGACCGTAACGGAAACACCGCACTTCATTATGCAGCAATGTTTGGACACGAGGACCTTGCTAAAATCCTGTTAGACGACGGAAAGGCAGACTCTGGTATCGTTAACCAGTGGAACAAACGACCCATGCACCTTTCCAAAGACAATACAATGCGTTTGATACTTCATACCTACATGCCGGTCGATGCAGACGAAGTTTCGGATTCATGTGGTGCAAGTGTTTCATCAGATATGCTGGGTGCTGATGTAGATACATCGTTTAGTGACGAGTCTTCGTATGACGATGATGTTATTTCTCTAGATGGCGACAGAGTTGACAGAAATGAGATTAATCAGCGATGGTTACAGTTCTATCAGTCAGATTCATCTGCTTCTGCACAAAGCGAATTATACGAAGAAGGACTGCGGAATCGAAGAAGACCAACACTCAACATTCAATCTATTCAATATCTTGAAGATGACGGTGACCTTCACTCACCCGATGAGATCATGGATGCTGAGGCAGTACACAACAATCATATCGATACATCATCTGATACTGACGATGATGGCGATATGTCCAAAGCTGACTTGAAGAGTACCTGGATGCAGCGCACCCTTTCACACCTTCAACAGGAAAAAGACAAGCATTTGTCGTATGTGACAGACAATACCTTTGTACAGAATATCAAAAATAACATGCCTGCCAAGCCGACTGAACTAAACTTAAAGACAATTGCAGACCATGTATTGCAATTCCCTCGCCCCACAGAAATGATTGCCAATATGTCAGTCATGTTTTCACAAGACCAGGCCAAGGGCTCTTCTACAGATGAGCCTGAGCAGACATTGGCTTGGTATATGGCATTAGCATATTCTATAGGTGCCGGTAGCAGGTCACTTCCAGAACAACCTATCCGGCCTTTGGATCAAAAACAACCAGAGATGTGGCAATTCGATAATAAAATTGCTAATGCTTCTTCCGCACAACCCAGCCGTCCACAACCATCAAGTATGGGCCCAGAAGCGATTGCAGATCAAAAAAGAAGAGACAGACGTCTGTTTTCTTTATGGGTGCCATTACTTTGTTGTAAGTGATAATAATATAATGCCAATATCGATATTGGGCTTGACTAATGATGTGTTTTGTTATTGTAGTTGCTGTTATATGGTTGATTTTCCAGTTTGTCTCTTCTCACCCAGGTGTCATTGATTTTGTGGTGGGAATCTCTGGATTCCGACATCAATACCTGCGTATCTAAAGCCCTATTTTCTGTTCTTTTTAATCCCTCCATCTCCTATCTCTTTCTCTTTCGCTATCACTCTACTTCATTTTCTCCCCCTCCCTTCCCTTCCCTAGTTCCCAATTACATGTTTATTCTCCCCTTCTTTATACAATCTATAGCATTTTGCTCCTCCCTTTTTCTTCTCTAGTATTTTTATGTGCTGTCATTTTTTTTTGAAGAAAAGCCCAAAAAAAAAGAATAATATACATCTTTGTATACCCACCAATAAGATGAGAGTGAGTTTGTGTCGACGTCATCCCATCCATTAGAATTGAACAAGTGCGCGAAAAAATATAGAAAAAAAAAGGTTGACTTTTAACGACATTCATGGTACATGCAACCAAGCTACTGAATCCAATCACATAAACTCACATCAACCAATGTTGATAGGACGACACTCCTTACGATACACCTGCTCTGAAGGTTAATCAGCCAGATCTTCCCATCGAAGAGTCTCCCGCTAGTGAGACTCAGAATGTAAACCAGGATCATGATTCGCGTGATGCAAGTCCTGATAACAAGCGCTCTGAGCGTCGTCGCAGTCGCAGCCGCAGTCGTAGCCACAGTCCCTCCCGCTCCCGTTCACGCTCTCCAACTCCCGTGCGCCGCCGACGTGATCGCACCCGCAGCCGGTCTCCTAGACGTAGTCGTTCTCCCAGACGCAGATCGCGTCGTCGGTCTGTATCGCGCTCTCGATCGAAGAGTAGAGATCGCAGAAGCAGAAAGAGGTATATCTGTAGTATTGCATCTTTGGTACATCTCTGACATCTTTAACTCTAGTCATAGCCATTCCCGTCGTCGAAGCCCGTCACCTCGTCGAAGCCCATCGCCTCGTCGCAACCGTTCGCGCTCATACGAAAGACAAAGAAGGTAAGTGCACACAAAGTCAACGAAGCATCATGTACACACATGATATTTATTTCTGTGTGTACGTATTTCTTTTTTCTTTTTTTTTCTTTCTGTTTTTTTTGTGTGATCAAGTCGTAGGGAAAAAGATTTTCATGGAACTAGAGTAAGGCAATTTCTTTGTTTCTTTATGTTATCTAGGCTTGGTAATTGTTAATCATTCAACACACGCACACACATACACACACATGTATATATTTGTGTATATATATTCTTCTGTATTTTATTTTTTTGTAGGACGCACCTGAAAAATCCAATATCCTTGGTGTATTTGGATTAAGTTTGAGAACAAATGAACGTAATTTGGAGGAAGTTTTCGAAAGGTTTGGAAAGTTGAAGAAAGTGACAGTGGTTTATGATCATAGAGTAAGTTTAACAAACAGGACATTTAATGAGAAACGAAAAGAAAAAACTAATTGAATTTATAGAGTAACAGATCGAGAGGATTTGGCTTCATTACATTTGGTTCAGTGGACGAAGCTGAGCGTGCAAGAGATGAGACAAACGGATTGGTAATAGATATCCACACATACACACAACTATTCATTGTAGACGAGAAGTAATATGTGTTAAACCTTATTCTTGGTAGGAAATTGATGAGCGTAAGATTCGCGTGGATTTCTCCATGACCCATCGCCCACACACGCCCACACCAGGAGAGTATATGGGAGAACGTCGTCAGAATGATCGCTCTAGAGAGCGACGCCCACAGCGTATGAGACGTACGCGTAGCCGTACTCCTGAAAGACGTGGACGCAGCCGTACGCCCGAGAGACGCAGACGGTATCGCTCCCGAAGCCGCAGCCGATCATGGTCTCGCTAAAATTTACTGGTGTGTGGGATGTTAATAAAACTTCACCCAATTGTGGACATATTTTACGTTTGGATTCTGGACAAAATAATAAGAATAGTAATATTGAAGAGGTAGTTAATGGAACAAAAAAAAAACAAAAAAGCAAATCAAGTTTACTGTGTATCAGTCAGTATTTTGATAATACCCACATATTAGAAGACTAGTAATTGCTGTGGCTGAGAAATCAAAGTTCATACTTGCTATATAGTCTTCAGTTCCTTTTTTTTAATTTTCTACCTTTATGATTATATCGCATTAAACACTTTTTTCTTCTTCTGTAAAATGATCAACATTTCAGTGAATGTAATACAACAGATTTTTTTAATAGAAAAAAAAAGGGAAATTTCATTCACAGGAACTGGAACTTTAACAAGGGGAATTTCGATAGTTTTGCTTGCGTTATACAACAACTATCAATTCAATTATCACATCAACCCAGCTAACAACATTATAACTAAAATATACAATAATGAAGTAGACTGTGTCTGCACGGAATGCTTATTTAGAAAGAAATGCGCACAGACCCCGACTTATTGAAAGAGAAAACGGACTTTTTTTTGTACATTTTGTTTAAGAATTACTAAAGTGGTACGTGTGTGTATATGTGTGTGCAATTAATCCCGTGACTGGTATTTCTAATTCCCGGTATTTTAAACGGGAGACACAGGATTTTTAGGCCAAGCAAAAGAAAAATGTGCACTACTAAACTGTTCTTGGGTATAGAAAATTGTAAAGGACTAATTCACAGACCTTTGCTTATAGAGTATATAGATATATATAATCAATTAAAGCCTAATTATATTAGTGGTTTTTTTAATTGACTTCAAAAGTGTAGATTGGGTAGAGCGATGGATACAGTATTAAGGTGATACTACTAGAGAACTTGGTTTTTAGTCCGAAGATTGAGAGAAAGAAAGTTTAGTGTCAATTATTTAAGTTGCATAGCTTACCCCTAAGTACGGAGTGTCTTGCTGCTATGCAAGACATAGATTAATTGAGTCATTGAGGCTATTGGTTTCACATAAAATAACACTGATTCTGGTATTAAATAATGTAATCTGTAATAACATCAATACGACTTGCCTGGCCATGTGATCTATATTCCATAGAGTATTACAAGGTTTGTAGTTGAGAACTGGATGGATCTTCACATTGGAGTCGTCAAGTTAGTTATATTTACTCTTTATATGACATCCGGAGTATATTTGACTCGCAAGATACTCATCGATCATAACGACACATTTTGCCGCGTGAGCTTGGTTGTGTCTAGTCGATTCGATGTAATTTAGCAAAGTCGCTCTGAATCTCTTTGTTGACCGAGCTATGCTCCCATAGAGTTCACTAAGACGAGCAGTACCAGACGCCACCAAAGTAGGCCTTTTGGCCTCACCATTATTGTCTCCAGGATCCAAAGGTTACCGTCTTTGATGGCTTGCTTACTGCATCTTGGCACCTCTTTCTCTCGGTATTCCCTGCTCCCTGTAAACAGCCGCTTACACATTTTATCTAGTGCCTTCTTCTTGTTTCTATAACAATGATATCTGAGCTCTCTAAAGCCGGTCGAGTAATAGCCTTTGATTGTCTTAAAGTTCCGAAGTATATATCGTAAAGCTTCATTGAATCGGTTCCAGCTACATTTCCTTGTTGACAGAGTGTTATAAATCAAGCCGCGTGCATAAGTATTGCCTTAATCATGTTTGACTTTTCTTATGATAGCAGACTTGAATCCAGAAAGCTGGTAATATTCACCTGTGGAAGCTTTACGTATTCTATATCTTTTCCTATTTTGGCCACCACCAGTTCTAAGACTGTCACAAGCAACAGAAACATCGTGAACTCCAGGATCAAGTCTATATATTGTAGCAGTACTTAAATCGATCTTTGTAGCAATACCAACAAGTGCCAAAGAGTCTTTAGCAGCACGAACAGGCCGCTCATAAATTAATTCCAATGCAGTATCAACGGTACAAACAGCGCTAGTGAAGTTCTTGTCTGATAATGATTTTCCATCAAAGCCACTTCTTGACATAAAGCCAATACAATCCATATCAAAGAGACTCCAGTATATGCCTTTCATATCTTTACTGGCCGCCACTGATGGTCTTATTCTAGATTTTTAGACTACTCTGCTAATGTCTTTAAGCTTTTTTTTTTGGATATATCGTTTCTGGAGACTGTATATTAGTAGTATATTGGAGAGGCAGACGTTACAAAGATCAGAATATAAACTTCGTGTCCAAAGACGAAGATTTGTAGCCAAAAATCAATCTTCAGACTAAGGACGAAGATTTCTAGTATCTTAGCTATCTAAGTCAAATCTAAATTGACACCACTATAGTAAATATAGTAAAGATACCGACGACTGTATAAAAATACATATCCAAATTAGACGTGAGTAGGCCTTGCTCATTGATTTGTGTAGATATAAAGCCAAAAACAAAACTCCTTGAAAAATAAAGTATCTAGTATTTTTGTTTTGCTGAATAAGCTATCGGTACTGCACTTTTACTATTGTCTTTTTACATTAGATTTGAGCTCAAACCAGATTAGACTTGACTGAATTAATAATGCCATACTCAAAAATCAAAACAAAAATGTTTTTAAATTATCAGACGAGGTAGACCGGTTGTCCCCATTGGAACAGTTTAAGAAGCAATAGCCATAATCTTCTAAGAAAGAAAAAATGTTTGTCTAAGTTTTAAATATTTTATTCTTACAAATATTTGATACTAAAACAAAAACAGACATAACCCATACAAAAGTTGAAAACCTTGGTTTAAATAAAATAGCAATAATTGCACTTGTTGTTTAATTTCTTTTTTTTTATTTAATACCCTGTATACTCATCTTCTAACATTTATGATAGTGCTTCTTCCTAAAGACTCTTGTATGTTTTTTATACTGTTATTGATTTAGGTATTCACTGCCCATTTGTCCAAAGTTATAACACCTTTTCAAAATTCTATAGTTGACTTGATATCTAGAAGTTCTCTTGTCTGAATCCAATTTCTATATGGTGTGCCATTTTATCCTTAACTTTAGATATTTCTCTGCTGTTTAGTTCAATTGGACAGACAATTGTCATCGTATACAGTATATGCATAATAAAATGGATATGGTGATAATAAGAATGTTTCTGACATCATTGAATTATTTAAAATCTCTGATGTCTTCGAAGTCTTTAAAGCACCTAGAGCCCTTAGAGCTATTAGGGCCTCTATAACCCTTATACCCATCATTACCCTAATAACCATTGTACCCCTAATAACCCTAATAACTCTCATACCCCTCATACTCCTCATACCCCTCTTACCCCTCGTACCCGTCATAACCCTTATAGCCTTTATAACTCTTAAAGCATCTAAAATCTTCCAAGTCTCTAAAGTCTATTGAGTTTCTAAGGTTTTTAATGCTGCTAAATTCTTTGAATTATCTGATATTTTTGATATATTCAAAGCTTTATTTAGTAGAAAAAGAAGATTTTCATCCATTTTTTTTAAATTTAAATAGCAATTTAATTTTCAATATTATACATTTTTCTTAGTTGATATGATTTAAGAAAAAGAAAGTAGAAAAGTAGGGTGCACCTTTTTTATAATAGACAATTTTTGAAAAGAGGACATTTTTTGGAATTTAAGTACCGATTCCAAAATAGTATTTTTAAAGTCAGAAATGTGATATTTATTGATTTAATCTCAGCTTACGATGAGATTTGTGAAGCTTTGAGAATTGTTTCACGATTTCAAATGCATGTTCAGCATCATGACCAAGACTGTAGGCATTGATGTAGGCAAAACTTTTGTGGAAGTATCTTCGAATCTTTTCAGGGACATCATCTTCTGGTGGGCAAACACTATCCAGAAATGAATTGATTTTTCTATTCAATGATTGAAAAGAATAATCACATTCACGTCGTGCTTCTTTCTTGGCTGCTTCCCAGTATCTTTCGATCCAATTACATTCACAGTGGTATTTTGGATACAGTTCAAATTTGTGTCCACTGCCTTCAACTATTTCTTCGAGTGCTGATTTTTGGTTGGCAAAGTCTGGTTGTCTCTCCATAATATGGATTGTACAACATCTAGAATCAGCTGCCGCGACATTATTGCAAGAACGTTTTAAAGAGTATCTCTCTGCTTCGTTTCTATACATAGAACGTTGCTGCAATATGCCGCGAAGGCCAATGAAATATTTTTTGTATTTTTTATTCTAATTATGAATAGTTTATAGACACGTCTTTTAGAATAAAGTGATCCCTTATTGTAATTGTATAAATTATGTTTCTATTCGGATAGGATTGTATATAAATCACTTACTTTATGGAGCCGAGACTCGATTACTTCATATTCTTTAAGTTTTTCTTCATTACTCTTTTTTTAAAAAAAAACTTTTTGCTGTTCTGCATAGTCGTATTGCTTTCTGACATAAAATGAGCTGTCACGAAATTTTCCCTGGCCTGAGTCACTGTCTTTTACTTCAATTGCACACAAGTTCATGTTTTGCTGCTTTGATCAAAAAGAAAGACAGCTACTGCATTTGGGTGTATGGCATTGAAAAGAGGTATTATATCTGTAAGCTGGGCACACATATGACTACTTTTCCAATAGCCTTCGTATTGAGCTCCAGGATAAAATACCACTCGCGAAGTTTTGTACTGGTCTCCTACATATCCTCTCATTGTTCCATGACAAGGGCATTGGAACTCGGAGATCATTATTGATCTACCCTCAGACTTTGGCAAACAATAGCTTTCACCATCTTCCACCCAGGCGTACTTTTGATAGTCATTAGCATAGAATGTACTTTCGTCATGTGTGACAAATACATGCTGTTTGACACCTTCTGGCAATTGAGGATATGACACAAGAGAAGGTGTAACATTGTCATATTTCTCAGAGTATTGATAGTATTCCATCATGCATTTGCTCCATGCATTTCTATAAGTAAGCACATCCTCGCGCTCATGCCCATCAAAGTATACAACTTTTCCTGTAAAATAAACATAAGTTATATTAATGTGACATTCTATTTTTATAGAGAAAACCGCATTCTGGTTTTCTATATTTGCCTACCTAAATGCTTAAAATGAAATCCCCAAGATATCAGCTTTCGTCTTAGGCAATCTGTAGACAACGGCTTAATTGCACTACCTTCGATCTCTAACTCATCTGATAGTAAGCTGCTACCAATGGCCTTAGGCAGAATGACTTCTTTCAAGTGGACTGAAAGTCCAGCAATACTTCTTTTAGCTCTTGGCTGACTTCTGAACCATTCGAGTATTTGCTGCTTGATGTCTTCATCATCAAGAACAGAGACACGTTTGGCATGCTTGCCTTGTGCACCAAGACTGATTCGTCTAGTCTCCAAATACTCCTTTGCATGTTGGCGAATCTTACGGGCTCTGTACCAAGTAGATTTTTGCTTGTATACAATGTCGCTTGCAAACTTAGAAGCTGCCATTTTCTTCATGTCCGTATTGATCAAAGCATATAAGTAATGATATGCTCCTTCGTACTTTCCCATCTCTGCTACACCAAGTTTTTGCTGCTCTGAAGTCGAACTGATGACAGGTACTGCGAACTTTGACAAGTCAATGATTGCGTCTTTTACTCTGCTTTTGAACTCTTCCTTTGACTCGACTTCATCCGCACTATCACTTTCTTCATCCAATCCAATTTCTGTCTCAGCAGAAGAAGAGTTTGCGATAGGCAAAAAAAAGGAGTCAACTCTAGCACTTCCTTTTGCTGCTTCTCTTTCTGCCTTTTTCAGTCTACGAACATGTCGAGATGAGTTTGATGAACGATTGCGACTGTATTTTCCATTGAGAGCATCTTCAGCTTTTTTGGTCCAAGAAAGTCCGAGATTTTTGACATCACTGCCAGAAGATTCCGAAATCTCGGGGGTAGGATCAACTTCCTTTCTAACTAACTCTACACTTTCGCTCTGAGAGTGAGAAAGACTTTTAGCAGCAGCTTTTTGAGATAAAGCTCTCATTTTAGAATTGATTTTTGGCATTGTCGATTGTGTTTTTATCAGGAACAAATTGTTTTTTTTTAAAATAGATTGTCTTATTTAGTAACGTTTTATATTATGTAAGTTGATAAAGAACTCAGTTGGTTATATTATTGGTTGAAAAATGAAGCCATCATTTTGGCCGCACTGCTTAAACACTGAGATGTTACCTTGTTTAAAAAAATATTTTTGCAGAAAAGTAGTAGATGTCTCACCGCAGAGAGTTTCTAAATAGCATTAAGAGCATATTAAAGCAAACAGAACTCAAAAATATTAAGATCCCAGAAAGCCTTTTGGCTTTCTAGTTTTATTAATAAAAAATACACACTATAAAAAGATACACTATACGTTACACAAATATCAAATTAAAACCCAGTAAGCATTATTATTGGCCAGAAAATGAGGACATTTTTTGAGCCTCCCTGCTTAAATATCGAAACTTCATCTTGCTTAAAGTTTTTTTTTGCAAAGAAGTAAAAGAAGTCTCACCGCAGAGATCTTGTAAATAGTAAAGCAAACGACTCAGCGGTAACAAAATTCAAAAAAATTAAGATCCCATAAAGCCTTATGGTTTTCTATTTTTACATATAAAAATTGTCGATTATAAAAAAGGTACACCCTACTAGCGTGGTAGATCATTTATCGTAAGTTCAATAGATAGATTATGATACTAGTTTTACGCGGCTTATAATTGATATTTTTATTAGATACTTTGATATCAACACTGGATTATGTCTATAACCATTGAATATTTTCCTACATACCGGAGTGATTATTTAAATCCGAGATATATATTTAGCCACTATTTTATCTATCCAATAAATATCTTATTTTAATACCCCCAAAAAACACAACTTGTTTAAATAACTTTTATGTATCTAAAGCTCATATCGACACTATGTATTATTTATTTCAGCACAAATAGTCACGTGCCATTTGTATAACTGACATTATTTATTTTTGCATAGCTATCTTGAACACTTATTTAAACGTTTTGTATATTATAAAATCATCGATCCAAGTAAAGAATATATCAGGCATATGTACTGATATACTATAGATTTGGGATTATGATCTATAAAATAGTCCATATTTAAACATATATATTAGATATAATAAACCCTGTTAACAAATATAACACCTCAACTTTTTTATTTATTTTCTCTACTTGTTTGTTTAAGCTTGTTGTTCGATTAAAATTCCAATATCACAACTACAAGAGAACTCTGATACAACTAAAAAAAAAGATAATGATACACTAGGGGGTAGTCGGGCAAATTGTTGGCTGGATCACCTAGCTCGGATAACAAGATCAAGTACATAAAATAACTCGAATTAGATAGTGCCTTGAATTGCGCGACCTTCTTTGCATTGTTTCCAAGAACTTGACTTTTTAGGGATTTATTATTATAGTTAAGACGATCATGTTGTATGAAAAAGAGTTATAAAAAATATCTTTTTTTTAGTAATAGGAGAAGATAGCTCTATTCACTATTTTATCAAGGTAAATATTTTTACAAGTAAGTAATAGAATGCACAGTTTTTATTTTTATATATATAGAATTATTATACAGATTGGTTTATCAAATAATTCTGTTTCGGGTATTGGTATCTTGAAATATATCTATTTTAGTTAATATCTCCTTTACATTTTATATCTAATTTTGGTGGCTCTTTATGTATATATATATATATTAACTCTTTTTTTATGGTAAAACTCACAGAATCAAAAGCATTTTATATCTCTTTATCCTTCTTAGTTTCATCCAAAGTTCTGGATTCATGTAATACAACCATTATGTGTCCAGTATTTCGACCAATAAAATTTCTAAAAAATTTGAGCAGCGAAGTATTATAAAAAAAATAACCCGAATGGCTTCTTCAAACTGGCATGTTTATGAGCAATCGATTTAATCTTTGCTGCTTATTTTTTAAAAATAGCCTCTCATATCCATAATGCTTATTTTTTTTTGAGATGTGGCTTTAAACAAGATAACAGTCGGAATATAATGAATGATATTGAATGAAGGTTTCGGATTCCAATATGAAAATTTAATATGATTATACTAGCGATAAGGGACATCTTTATATATAACCCACTTCATTTTTATCAAATTGGTACACAGCACCAACGACAAAGTACGTCAAAGTAGTACAAAGCTAACAAAACACATGTATTAAGCTGGATGTCAGAGGCTCTTGTTAACCGCTTCAATCGGACCGTCAATGGCTAACGTTAAAAAAGATCTATTGATCGTATTACTCATGTTGATTTTCTTGTTCTGAGCCGGCGTTTTTATTGTACGAGATCAGATATGCGAGATGCTGTTCAATACATTATCTTGGCTCGACTACTATCTATAGAATTCGGATATCTCGTTAGAGTCCTTTACGAAAATAAAAATTTTAGCTTTTCATTCTAACATAAAACTTAAAAATTATTATTTTTCAGCACTCTAATATAAACTGTTGCTGTTATTTTTGTCATTGTAAATAGTTTAGAGGGTATAGTCTCAGTGCAAGTCATCAAATATATTTTTCATTGACAAACCGTCGTCGTTTGAGGGTTGGTTGAGGCTGAATTCAGTTACGTTTCCACATTTCCAAGTGACATAGCCGCGATCAAGATCCAACTTCCAGTTGTCTTTGGTACTCTCTTGATTCCCGGTATAATAATCTTCAGTCTTTTCGGCTAGACTCCTTTCATACTCAAAGTTGGAAAAGTATTTCTGGGCGTGTTCTACTTCTTCTTTTGTCAGAATCCATGCTTGAGTTGAATATTTCGATTGAGATATATAGCCGTAAAACATGTAGTACCACTTTGAAGAAAGGTTACTCCCTGAGTCATTTTCATTTAGTGATACATTGTCCGTATTTGCTTCGCGAAAGATTCGATGTCGTAATAGTAACTTCGGCTTGGTTTGGTGTTTGGTGGGCTCCTCTGCTTTTTGGTGGGTCGTGTTCGATACAAACTTCAAAATGTTTATATTGGTTCTAGGATCGTTCCCATATTCTGAAGTATTAAAGCATATACTCGTCAATTGAATAATATCAAAGTCAGTGTACGACATATCGATATAGAGGTTTCCTGTCTTTGGGTCAACTGGACCCGTGATCCTTGAGCCATTCAGGCGCATGTGTTTCAACCCTTGGCACCGAAGAGATACATAGTCTAGTACATTAGCACTGATTTCCATATTTACAACATCTAATATCTGTAGATTGTGTTTAACGGGACTTGCGGGAGTACTCGGACTGAGAATGAGTGATTCGCTGGACATGTTCAATTTCTTCAGGACTGGGCAGTGATCTAGGAGAGTGTCTAATTCGATGATTGCTCGGTGTACACCAATAATTAATTCGGACAAACAAGGGTATTCTGTAAACTCTTTTGTAAGTACCCATGGATCATACGGACTGAATCTGGCATGAATATACAATTTGGCAATCGTTTTCGAGAATGCATACATACACCTTTTTATGCGATTTTCAAACGTGTTCGTGTGAGTCTCTACGATATCAAAACAGCAGTGCAGATGTGTAAGAGGAACATTCAGAGAACAAAAGAGATCCCAGAATGCGATTTGGGCAGGCTCTGCGTGACGTTCTATAAGTGCCCGCACTCTTGTCAGACATGGAAATCCAGACAAGGGATCTTTAAATATAGATGTGATTATGTCTTGGTATTCGTCTGGATTGTAGAAAGTATCAGATCTTCTGGTTCCTTCAAAAAGCATTGTTCCAATTGTATGTAAATTAGGATATTTTTTGACGAAATAGTACAACCATCTATGGTCAGAATATATCTTATTGGGTTGGAAAAGAACCAGGGAAGTTGCTGGTTTCACATTGGCAATATTTAGCAAGTCGTCTGGGGAGAGGTTTACAAGGTCGATAGATAATGATAAGTATTCGAGTTCTGGTAGGCGTTGGTGAAGAGTTTCGATCGCTTGAAATGTAAATGTTGGGGAGCCTATTGCTCTAGGTCTCGTAACCTCTAGATGTGTAAGACGTGGTAAGCACGAAAGGATCGCTAAGAATTCTTCTTCAGGGTTAGGAACAGTGATTATATCCAATCCAATCTTCAATTCTGTCAAAGATTTCCAAAGGCTCCAGTCTGTAGTATCTCCAAAGTTAAGTGAATTTAGAGTTACTCTTCGAATCGTAAGGTGTTGTATATTCTGAAAGTGTCGCTGAAGGATAGAAAGTTGTTCGTCGTTCACTTCGATCATCCCATCTAAGATCAATTTTCGTATATTCCAATTTGATTGTTCTTGATCGTCAGAAGAATATACGGAAATAAGACATATGTTATCTAATTTTGGCTGGCGGTCAATTACTATTCCGTCTGGTGCGAACAATTGGTGTAGGTCGCGCATTGTATTTGAAGGAGTCTGGCGGCTTTTATGTTTTTTGGGAAGTAGATTTGCGACATGAGCAAAGATTCTGGATGGCATGATGAAGAAAGAGATGAGCCTTGACCAAGGCAAGAAACAGAGGCTTATAAGGACATTAAACGTGTGTAAATCTCAAGGCTGTAAACGGAAATAATCTAATATATCGAAATCATATGGATACACAGCGTTGAAACAGGTGTGCATGAAAAAAAAAACATGGTCAGCCTATGTTTGGTGAGTAATCCATGGCCTGTCATTCTGCGGGGTGAAAACTTGGCTGTGGTAAATATAGCTATCATAACCAAAGCTATAATTACGCAACAAATACGATATATAGCTTTTTATGTCAATTGTTTGATACATAGCTATTAGAACTAATACTTTTACATATATTCAAGAAAATAGAGTTGAAAACACAATTTAACAAAAGCAACAATATTAATAATAGTCTATGGTGATTGTAATGTGATCTAAATTCCAAAGAAAAACTTAAATGAGGTTTCATAATGACAAGTATTGTATGCTAATCACTGTCATTCAATATGAATTCATTTGTTTTAAAAAATAGAATAAAAATAAAATATCAAATACATGTGTATTTTGAGTGGTGCTTTTGCGTCATCATGTTTACAATAACGTAATTGAATAAATCTAGACTATATAAAGTTCTCAAAGGTAGTATTTTATACTTTAATGTTAAACCTATATAATAAAAAAGGATTTCTACAATTTCAAAGAAAATTAGGCCAATGTTTTATCACCTAAAGAAGTAGTATTATTGCGCCGTTTTATAAAGAACGAAAGGGAATGAGACCCTGCTATTACCCCTTGTAAAGATTCTTTTTTCTTCCTTTTTCTTCTCATAACAATCTATTCTTATTTTGATATTCCGCTCAAATTCTCCATCTTGTACCCATAAGCTTTGACCATAGGCTTTGTGGCCAGTATTCATATGTATATAGTCCTACATGGCTACATCACAAATTATCCAAATGAAGAATATTCTAAGCAAAAATATAAAGTAAAATGTGTATATCACCATCGGAACCATCACTTTTTTCCCGCAGTATATTTATATTTGGAATTGCCAAGAACATCTGCAGTGGTTACATTATCGAAAACATTATATATAGTGTAGTATAGCCACACCGGGGATTGAATACCAGTTAAAAACAGATTGCCAAATTGTGGTTACATTACAAAGGAACAATTTGAGCCTTTTGACTGTCTAAAGTTTCCAGTTTTTCACTGATGATTTTGTTCATATTCTTTTTCTTAAAATTTATTTTATTGGCCATTTGTTCTCTATAGATACATTAAAAATATGAGTTTAATAATTTCAATATTGTCAGATTAATAGTTAGCATAATTTGTGAGAATTTCTTTGCTTATTTCTATAGACCATTGTTCGCTTTAACAAAGGATGTGAGAGGGAAGAAAACGATTCAAAAAGATAATACCGATTTATAATATAACACTACATGTATTGTTCCTGACCTTTAAAATGGACTACATTATCTATAATGTTGTCTGTAATAGGGTGTTTCAGCAGTTTTAGATGTTTGATTGTTTTTGGTTCGGGGGTTTAATGTTGAAAAATCATTGGCTCTCGTTAATCTGAAAAATAGATAAATTTTATCTCCAAACAACTATCAAAATTTTTAGTTGTTTGAATAGTTGTTTGAATAGTTGAAAAATGGAGAAATCGCGGGCGTATTTTTTTTTTTAAGAAAAAAATATAAATTTTATGTAATACTTAGAGCATCTGCAGCGGTTACATTAAACTTAATTTTTGCGACTGTTTTAATGTAGATTCCGAAATGTTCTTAAAAAATCGTCTGCAGCGGTTACATTACAGACAACATTATAGATAATGTAGTCCATTTTTAAGGTCAGGAACATTACATGTAGTGTTACATTATAAATCGATATTATCTTTTTGAATCGTTTTCTTCCCTCTCACATCCTTTGTTAAAGCGAACAATGGTCTATAGAAATAAGCAAAGAAATTCTCACAAATTATGCTAACTATTAATCTGACAATATTGAAATTATTAAATTCATATTTTTAATGTATCTATAGAGAACAAATGTTCAATAAAATAAATTTTAGAAAAAAGAATATGAACATAATCATCAGTGAAAAACTGGAAACTTTAGACAGTCAAAAGGCTCAAATTGTTCCTTTGTAATGTAACCACAATTTGGCAATCTGTTTTTAACTGGTATTCAATCCCCGGTGTGGCTATACTACACTATATATAATGTTTTCGATAATGTAACCGCTGCAGATGCTCTTAGGGCACTCAGTTGATTTTTTATAGGTTAATTATTATTGGCTTACATATTTAATTCACGAAATCAGAACAATCAAACATCTAAAACTGCTGAAACACCTTAATGTAACCACTGCAGACGATTTTTTTGAGAACATTTCGGAATCTACATTAAAACAGTCGCAAAAATTAATTTTAATGTAACCGCTGTAGATGCTCTAATGCACAGAGTACGCTGGAGAACATATTTAACAAAATAATAATACTAGGGTGAATGCTGTTAATGCTATATGCTCATAGAGATAAGGTATTAGAAGCCGAGAGCATCAATAGTGGTTTGTTTAAAGTTAATGCTTTCTGGTTTCTCTAAATCTGAATTTTTCTTATTGCTGACCATATTAAAGAAACAGTATTTAGAGTATCAACAGCGGTTTGTTTAAGGTTAATACTTTCTGGTTTATCCAAATTAGAAGTTATATTTTTTATTGGTAATTATATTAAAGAATCAGTCTATTTTTCATTGCTTAAATGTTTTTAGTGAAGTAATGAATTTGGATATCCATTAAATATCGGTAGACAGATGGATTTTTTTAGTAAGTATTGCTGTTAGCCAACATACGCGGTTAAATATCAGGCTAATTCAACCAGATAATTACACTGTGCCATATACAAACCCGAATGTTACTAAGCTTCTGCACCTTATTATTTTACTAAAATACCCCAGCGGTTTTTATTTTTTTGGTAGTAGCTTGTTTTATATCTTCTATAGAAAATGGGCCTTATAACAACCGTTGTTTAACATATGCTTTTTTTTTGTAATCAGATTCCTTGTTTTAGAAAATGTGTCGATTCCCTCGATGATCCCCTTGTACTCTGGCAAACAGCATAAATCAATATTATATGATGTGTCCAAGGTCCCTATTACTATTCAATAATATTATCCAAAAAGAAACCCTTCTTTTTTAAAATATCAATAAATATTTACGGATAACGCCCCCTAATTTTTTTCATTCAATCTCTTAAAACAATAAAAAAAAACTACAGCTTTACTAGATTGTGACACTGTTGTTTTGGTTCCGCTCAGACCACGAATATCCTGCAAAGAAGTATGACGCTCTTTGCAGGATTTCCTTCAATCCCCTTGCACAAGGCGTACCCTTGTGCATTGTATTTCATCATTGGTACTGCTTTAATAGAGCTTTATAACAAAGTAGTATAGATTGTTCACATATAAAAGTCTTCAGATGAAGCAATAATAAAACAGAATCCTTATCTATCTTTATTTTATTGATCAAATCCTTTATTTTACTTTTGTTTATACATTTATTTCATCGTCACTGACTTATAACAACTCTTCGCGATAGTTATAAGCATACTTCTTGTTATATTTGTCCTTTTCTATACACATTTTATTACATCTCCTTACTGTTGGATAGACCCGAGCGTTATCACAGTAATTGATCTCTATATCTCTATATATTTGCCTTCTGAACTCGTTGGCAACCCTATTCTCATTTATTATTTTTCTGACAACGTTGCACCACACCAACTCAACACTTGTCAATTGCGTGACTTTTATTACGATTTTAAAGATAGAGAAGTCTACACTTGATGAGTAAGCAACACTAAAGAAAATTGCTATGAGCGGAATAAGAGCTAAAAAAAATTCTGTCCATGTTCTGTATATTATACAGTGTGGAATTTGATGTGTTAGAGCATAGCAACATAATGGTTAAATCTAGAGATCTCCTTTCTGACATGCAGTGCTATATCCAGCCTCTTTCTTCCTAAATTTAGTTTTGGTTTGCTGGTTATTTTCTATGTATTCGAATTTATTAAGGTCAGAAAATCCTTCTACTCACCTTCGATGTAAAGTTCATTTTCCTTTAGGGTCATAGGTACCACATTTTTAATTTTCTTATCTAAGCTTAAAAATGTAAAATTGGCTGTCATAGCCTCTGCACCGCCAAAAGTTCCGTTACAATCAGAAAGACTATAAACCACTTTGACTTGGAACATGTTATCATCTTCTGATGAATATATAACCTGGGCAGTTAGCTTAACGGTAGAACCCACATTCACTTTAGAATGAAACTTGGCTTCATCCAAAGAGTACATTCTCACATTGGATCCAGCAAACATACGGGCTGTGATTTATGCGATGTTATACACATATTTTAGGGTCTATAATTATGTGTATATTAGTATATTATACATGGCCAATAACTAATAACAAAAATTGTTACTTTTCCACCAAATAAGTATCCAAGAACACTGCGATCCTGCAAATACAAACAGTTATCAAATATTAGCCGTATTTCTCTTAGTTTAGTGGGCTGACAATATATATATATATACCAGAAAAAAAATACCTGTGGTGTTACTATGAAAGCATTTTGAAGAGCTGTATCCCTAATTAACTTGTATTCTCCCATGGAATTTTCTTTTGTATATAGTGAAAGTAAATATTAATTATTGAGCTGTTCTTTGTACATAGGCTTACTTTTCTTATCAAAGGCATTTGCTCCAATATTATTGGCACCTTTAGATGTCTCAGGTTTACCGTCTGTACTGGTCTCTATATCTTTGTTCGATATGTAACTTTTATTCTTCATAACTAAAAAGATCAATATCTAAGTACAAACGTACAATATGATTTTTGAATTTCCTACCATTTGCAAGCTCTTGCGTTCTTCTCTCTCTAAGATTTGTAGTAATAAGCGAGTTTGTTTTTACAGCCTTAGCAGTTTCAATGTTAACAGCCACCATATTGAACTTTGCAATCAAAATAGTCTTTGGAGTAGGAGCTGCAATACGATTTATCGTCGAATCTTTGAGTTTCATTCTTGTTCCCAAAGACTTATCAGCACACGATATTATCTCGGCTTTTACAAGGGCTACAGTTTTATCACAATTAGTCGTGAATTTAATAAAACGAAAAAGAAGTACTTGGATCTTGATATAATATCTACCTTCTATGCTCGATGTTCCTACATTTACAACATGCCCACTAATTTTTATATCTTGTATAGTGATTGGGTGTAGAATATGAAAATGCTCAACAGAAGCTGTCAAAATATGAGAAGGTACACGGTGTAAACAAGAAGGAATATCTAGATGCTTAGTCCCAACGACATAAGCAATTTCATCGAAGTCTAGGTTTACATATTAGCAGTCCATTTTTTCTTTTACTTCATCTTTATTGAAACTTACTTTGAAGGAGATATCCCATGTTAATTTCACCATTATGAGCTATCGTTTTTTCTAAAAACGAAGGTGAAGATTTGAAGGGCAAGACCTTCTCGGTGTAGCTATCCATCATCTGTTTTTTAATACAAAATATATATATATATATATATATATATATATGAATAAAGCATCTTAGCTTATTACTGTTAAAACTTGCCGTTTTTATAACAACATCATATTTAGGCTCAAACTTATCAAATGTTACAAGTGGCCTTTTATTTCCTTTAAGATTCATTTCCTCAGTCCAATATTCAATAGGCTCTGTCAAAATTACTCTTTCTTTATCTTTCAAACGGAAACTTATTAATATAGGTATAGACTAATATTGTATATGCTAGTTTTTGCAAACTTTTATTAGTATTTGCATAGTCTGAACCCTTACATTCGGATGAGATTCTGCACAAGCTGGTATCCAGCCAATTCTTTTTGTTTATAGAATTAAATCGATAAAATTTAATGTTTTTAGGAGTGTTTTTTAAAGAGGCTAGCATTTTGAAATATTAGAAGAAAGAAATAATTTGTTTGCATTTACAAGTATTCTCTGACTTAAAATACCGTTTTTCTTGTGCATAATATACCAGTGCTTTGCTTTTTTTATTCAATTAATTATGTAATACAATGCATTAGGCGCCTTGGTGAGACTATAAAAGACATTTATGCTATTCACCAGCGTACGAGAGAATTGTCGAGGGAATTGATCCATGTCAAATAAGATTCCAATTGTTATTCAGAATCAGTTTTTTTAATTATTTACTAAAATACCCTGCCTATTTTTTTTGTTAATGATTTGTTTCATTTTGGCTATAGAAAATGAGCCTTATAAAGTATGGTCGTTTATTATATTTTTTTTTGTAACTAGAGTTCTTATTTTAGAACTTTTGTCAATTCCCTCGACAAATATATCCATTCGGAATCGAATAAACTACTATGAAAAGTGATTTTTCTTTCAATTCCCTCAACACAATTCCCTCGATGATTCCCTCGTACGCTGGTGAACAGCATATATAGTATTCTTTTAAAAAGTTATTTTTTGGACAAAGTACAGTATTTTAATTCCTCTAATATGGAGAAAAATATGATATGGATAACAATTACAAAGCTATGAAATATGGGGTTTTGTTTTGATAATTTTGAATAATTATCAATAAGCACTAGATATATCCCAAAAGAAGTTCTACAGTGTTTTTCTGATAGCATTATGAGATTTTAAATCAATCAGTTTACAACTCTAAAATAATAATAGTTCATTTTAGAAGGATAGTGTAAAATTATAAGTATGGGCTTCTTTAATACTATTGCTTAAGTTTGCAGAATCTCTTGACTGTATTTGAAAATATAGACATGATCATATCTTTTATTAAATCGATACTATTAAAACTTGACAGTATATGTTATATACCCTGAGGATAAATACGTACATATATTAGATATGTACAATATTTAAAATGTATTGCCTTTTGCATCCTTCATTTTGTATGTTTAAAGTATACATATATTGACCTCACCCTTTAGGTACACCACAAAAACAGTGAGATTCATTTGACAATAAAATGTAAGTAACTATCAGCTACAATATAAATAGTCGTATAATATAACTATAAATATTATTATACAGAGCTACCAGTTAAATATATGACACTTGTTTCTTAAATTTTATATCAACAATATTTAGAATGGACTTTTCAAATATCCAGTGCAGCTCTCTTCTTCCTGAAGTTGAAGAGTATGTTAAAAACTTTGATTAAGCTACATACACATCTAATAAACATTCTTTTGATTAGTCTACACATTGAAGTTTTGGGTATCCCTGAAGGATATAGCTCTCGTGTTGAGACACAAATTAAATTAAATTTACGACTTCTCGATAGAGATGGCGTAAGATCGAATCTTTGGCATTTTCTCAGGGTCTCAGAGAATATTTTGGTTGAATCAGACTTTAAAAGACGCATCAATCGGTTTTACGAGTATGAAGAAACATTTTCTCTTCTATCCTACGAATATAATGTACTTGTATTGGAAGCAAATGTGATATGTGATTCAGATCCATACAAAAAAGTATCTCCATGCAGTTACTGCATAAGTCGCGAAATAAGATATGTAAGTTATGCTATAATGGTAGTAATCTTTCTTTTTTATTAAACGCATATTACTTAGAAAAATAAAGCAGATAAAAAGCGAGTTGGTAGATTCAATTCAATAAAATTTTCTAGCTTAACAAGTTTAAGAAAAGCAGAAAAAGAATTGATGAGATTCAATCATTCTTCAACAGAAAAAAAAGCCAGGGAAATTATATTAATATGCTCTAAACCGCTCATAAAGTTTGACTATGGGGAAATATCGTTGCCAGTGCGTATTACCTGTTTTTGTAGACATAAAAACGAGAATCTAGGCTTTAGGTATAAATATTTATGGTTAGATATAGTATCATATAGTATGTCTAACTATTTCTGCTTCAGGGTTCTTTTTTCAATGAAAAACTACAAGGGAGACGTGGTTGCTACAGGGATTTCTCCTGCTATTATGATTACACACAAGTACAGAGCAATCGATAAACAAGGGCCGAATAATAAAGCCAAGTATAAGCTATTACAGCTGAGGCCCAAGTATACTCAGTCAATAGAGATCAACCAGGAATATACATAATGGAACACTTCTGGCTCGACCGGCTTTTATACTAGTCAACTTTATGAGAATGGAGAACAGCTGACAACAGCGGATCTACTTGATCTCGAGCCTGAGAATTCTCATTTCATGGCTAGGCACCAACACAGCAATAATCTGACCATAAACCATTTTCAGAATTCTATCAAAGCTTTTACTGACAGTAACTATAAAACGGTCGAACCCTATACTATTACAAATACCAAAAATAATTCGACAATCATTAGTCCCGCTAACATAAAAGCAATACAAGGTTTCGTCTATCTAGATTACTTTAATACAAATACGCTTTATTCTAACAAGTTAATTGATGCGGCTACAGTTGTGGATAGCTCAAGTTCGTTTCAAGAATACTTTGGTAGAAAACCCAAATGCTGGTATACGGAAGCACCTGAAGAATATTCAAATATTTTGGGATTGAACATATTGCCAGCCATTGAAGATGCAGGACTTGAACCAAGCCAGATCCTAAATGTGGAATGCGAAGATGAAAGCCAGTTATACGATGCATTCATACATTCAATCCCCGATAAGTACGTAGGACTCGATGCTATTTCCAATTTTTTGGAGCAAGACGTGGATGCTCTGCTAGATACCCACGATATTCCGTGGCTTTAAGCTGTAATATAATAATTAGAAGTTATACCTCCATTTCATCCATTTTCTTCTACTTTCTAGCCATATCTTATTAAGACATCATATAATTACCTTTTATGAAAAAGATCAGAGTCAGTATCAGTATTATTATTATCATTATTATCTTCAGAGCAAATTACAATATATTTCGTTCACAAATAAGGTGCTCTCGGAGTGCTTTATTGATATAGAATTGCTTATTGATATTGACACGGGTGTTGTGTGTTCTCCAGCTTCGCTCACCCTGATTTATTTCCTTCTTCTCCGACCGTCTCCCCTTCTATTTTTCTCGTGTACCATTTTCATAATCACTTCTACATATGTCATAAGGGACCTTGGACACATCATATAAAATATTTTTGAAACATTATTATTAGAGAAGAGGACAACTTAGGGAAAATCTGAAAATATTGTCCTTACGGACTTTCCTGGGTTTAAATTACCCAGACTTTTACCATTTTTACTTTTGCCCGGGACAATTCTAGGGATATTCTGGCAGAAATGACCGTAAATTTGGGAAAATTCAGCAAGAATATCCCTAGCACAAAAACAATGTCCTTAGCGTCTGAAAGTGATCCGATAAATAGGATAACATATATTTTTCTCAAGTAATTGCTAAATTATCAAAGCTAACAGCATATACAAGCTATAAACTAATCATCTGTCAATGGAGTCTTGATTCATTAAAAAATCAAGGCTCTAAAATAAAAAAAAAACTGATCTTTTCAAGCTCTATACTTTACCATTCCAACAGAATAATAGTAGTCGACATAGTCTAGCTTATATAAAGTTAAAAGTCTATCTGTGATATACTTTTTTCTAATGAATCAATCAATGGCTTAATAAAATAGCAACCTCAGAAAGAGTAAACTGGGACTCTTCCTTGCATGTATTATCAAAAAAAGCTGTCAGATGAAGGTACTTATAGGTATCTCTCTTCTTAGGAGTGGTATACCGAGTGCTTTTAGGACCAAAATAATAGCCGTATATAGCAGGAGGGATAGTAAACATGGCGTTTTTCTGTCAAATGAGATAAATGAAGAGGAAAGAAGTATAAATATAATTTCTATAACGTCCTCAAAAGCGTCCCTTATTTTAACCGGAGACGTGCATTCCGATGCTGGCTTTAATTTTTTTCCATTTTTAGCAGTCATGAAAGTTCCCTACGTTGTCCCTTTCTCTATTTTAATCAACTTGTGAGAACTACTTTCGTATTGTATACTAGAATAATTGGCTTTTTCTGCTTATCATTATGATCGGGTATATGTCCAGTAGTGAGTTATAATTTGATCAAATGAATAAAATACCAGTTGCTTGTAATATAGTCTTGATACATGTATTGGATATTTATGAGAGTGGATATATGGATAAGAAATATAAATTTAGTGGCAATGATTAAATATAACTCTTAGGCTGTAAAATAATATTTTCTAGGTTCCTAACTTGGTTGTCAACTTGGCATGATGATTCTGCTAATCTTAGCGGAATCTATTTTTATTTTAATGCAAATTGTATATAAAAGCATACAAATGATCCCGAATAAGCTAATGTATGTGCAAAGATGTTTTTTGATGAAAATACTATTAATTGAAGCTGTGCTACTCTTAATTTAAGAGCAAATAAGCATTTAATCACACACAATGGCATGACAATTGATTGACAATTGATTGACTGTTGCTACAGCAATATACAAAAAATTACTCTCGTATGCCCGCATCACCCTATCTTTTTTATCAGGAGATTGTAGGTGACAGACAGTCACACAAACCACTCGTGCATTAGGGTGCCACGTTGCAGCGGGCCAATCCTTGTAGTATGCTTCAGGAAAGGGCTTTTTTTTTAGGCTGACTTTCTGCTTTTTCTCTGTTTTATCTATAAATCTATCTATAAATATATATAGTTTAGATTTCTCGACATATATTCTTTCTTCAATTAATTAAACAAGTTATCATAGCAGCTATGAAAATAAACTTGGGCCACAAGACGCATTATAATATGCGTCTATCAAAAACTGCTTTATTCGCTATATTATGCATATTCGGTCTTATTCATCTCTCCACAGCTCATGACGATCTCGCACCAAAGTTGACATTAGAAGATCCTAAACCTATTTCGTTCGTTAAGAATGTTCTTACAACGCCAAAAGACCAAAACTATTGCAATGTAAGCATTATACTACTTGCGCAATCATTTCGACATATTACTAAGCAGTGCTAGCTTAGCCTGTCGGACAAATCAAAGATACGTGCTGTGATTTTCAGAGTGTAGAAGATATGCAAAGAGGAATATTCGATAAGATCCAGGATCTTGTCAAGACAAGGTTCTTTCGCTATTACAAGGTAATTAATTAAAAATGAAGATTCAGCGTCTTTTAGCTATTTACACGATTTATCTCCAATTAGCTCAACCTCTGGAGAGAATGCCCATTTTGGGACGAGGATGGATTATGTATGAACAAGGACTGTTCAGTGGAAACCACAGATGAGGTATATACATAGTTGACTGGGAAAATAAAAGTATATATATACACTATAGGATTAATCTTATACCATAATTATTAGTCAAGACTACCAAAAGAATGGACTCAAGAGGCTCTCAGTGCAGTTCAGATGTCACCTGCTGGCTTGGTAAGTATATTTTATATCATCGATATGTTACTATTCATTTTTACATAATTTTGTTTTGTGTTACTTCATATAGGGATTTCAACCTTTCAAGGCTTGTTCGTACAAAGATCAAGACTATTGTTTAATAGAGGACCAGTCTAACGAAAGTATGTAAAGATTGTTTGGATATGAAAGAAACATAGATTTTGAATACTAATAAACTATGAATTTTTTATAGACGTTGTGTATGTAAATCTCTTGGATAACCCTGAACGGTTTACTGGCTATGCAGGTGTATCCGCCGGAAGAGTTTGGAAAGCAATCTACGAAGAGAATTGTTTCAATATTGTTCACAAAATGACAGAAGGCTGCAAGACATGTAACAATATGATGAATATAGCTGGTTCAGCCGGCAATCCTCTCAAAGTTGCTGAGAAAGTTCAGCAAACTGTTAAAGAAGTTGGACCTGGGTTCGCTCACGTACCAAAGGATACAGAAAAGCTTGACCAGCTTTTAAGTGATCTTTCAGAAACCACAGACGGTGGTGAGAATGATGAAGAAGTATGCCTTGAAAAGCGTGTTTACTATCGTCTGATCTCTGGTAATTATTACCCTTGCACAAATTAATTTTTTATACTCATCTAATACGTGGCGTTGCATAAATTATAGGCTTACATTCTTCAATTTCCCTTCACATTTGTGACGAATGGTTCAACCGAACAAGTGGTGAATGGGCAAGTACACTAGAGAAAAAAAGCAAAATGAAAAAATCAACTAACCTATCTGAGGTTTTTTAGGGACCTAACCTTGATTGTTTTGTAAACCGTATCGGATCTCACCCAGAGCGATTACAGAATGTATACTTTACTTATGCACTAGTTCTGCGTGCAGTAACAAAGGCGGGCCACTTTCTTGATCAATATGATTTCTATACTGGAGATGATAAAGAAGATATTAAAGTAAAGGTATGTCAAGTTAGACTACATAATAGGGATTACGTTAATTAATTACTATTTTTCTTTATTAGAGCATGGTCCATGATTTAATTGACAATGCTTCTTCATGTGCACCTACATTCGATGAAAAAACCATGTTCCAGGGACCCGATGCAAAGGTAGTTCAATAACTGTTTGATAGAAAAATATTTGTGTAAATATATAGTATATTCATAAATTTTGTGGAATAGGCACTTAAATTAGAATTCAGAGATCACTTCCGTAATGTATCCCGTATCATGGATTGTGTTGGATGCGAGAAATGTAGACTTTGGGGAAAGATCCAAACAACTGGTCTTGGAACAGCTCTCAAAGTCTTGTTCTCTTATGAAGACAATCAATTAAAGTAAGCATTTGTAACCAAAAGTATGTTCCCAAAACTAAATATATATTTTTTACGTTATTCTAGTCCAAAGAGAACACCTCAATTACTTCAGCGTAGTGAGATAGTAGCTATGTTCAATACACTAAATAGACTCTCTGAAAGTCTCCGTGCTATTCAGCGGTTTAGAAAGATGTATCTGGATCAGGTAGAAGAGGCAGAAAAGGTAAGAAAATGTGTGATAAAGATAGTTTGTATCCAATACTGACTAAGAATTCATTAGACAAAGCAAGCCGAGGCACATTCATTAAACAATACCAGAGCATCAGTCATAATATCTAGATTTATATCTGCCGTTGCTCACACATGCTCCCATGCTGTAGCTACCCTGGAACGGTGGGGGGTGCCTGTACCTACCTATTTCGAGACTATCTTAACACCATTAGATTAAAAATTCTACATTTTACAGCAGAAATCACTTCCATTTTACTCTTTTTCCTTTTATCCATTAATCAACCCACTCCCATCACAGTAAAGCATTTCCACAATAAGAAAACCTGCAAAATATAGTTAGACGAGCGATTCTTTCCTTTTGTATACTGGCTTATATAAACTTGGATTCTTGTGGTTACAGACTCATGCACGCAACTGACATTTTCTTCTTTATACATGCACTTTGTTTAATACGGGGTTAATATTATTGTATTTAAACCCCTTTTTTTCTGTCAGGTTGCAGAATTTTCTTGTGTATCAGGGTACTGTAACCGCTGCATATACTCTTAGAAGTATAAACACTTTCTCAATAAACTGCTTCATAACACAACCATAATTAAGCTTAACACATATGCCTTATCAAAGTAAAATAGCAAGGCTTTATTCAGTACGGTGTGTACTCGACTTTATCTTCTTTCAGAACTCGCAGTATGCAATACATTGTGAGAAAAAAGATGATGAGAATGGAAAGTACAGAAGGTTACGCCTGTAAACCCTGAGACTGGATCCTGGTAATCATCCTCTCACAGAAAATATAGTCACTTGATGTGAGCCTGAAAGATTACTTGCTTATTTTTAGTTTCACGCTAGAAAGCTAGCCGGAAAATATAGTTAGGAGCACACTTGGGACCGAGAAGATTATTAAAGTAGACGAAACATCTGTAGAAATGGTTGTTGTCAGTAGTTAGTACATTAATAGGTAGCACCAATTTTTTTTACCGCCAAGATATTGTGTAGCCATAGTAACCTCTAGAACTTGGATTAATATTAGTTTGGCAGTGGGGATTAATGATCATTTCTTCAAATGCCAAGAAAGACTACCGATCCTTTACGTTGGCAGTATTATTCACTAAATAAATAGATATACTTATATCTGTGTATTTGACAGAATTACTTAAAATACACATATAATAACTGCCTAAAATATACAATTTAAAGGCTATTACTCAATTTACAAAAATGCCTCTTAAAGAACAATATGTCAATAAAGGCCAATAGGTCTGTAATGATTTTTGTTGAAGAAAAAAAACCAAGTATCTTTTTTTTTGTTCTGTAGAGATTCCCACGTGACTTATAAACCATGTGCTCTGACACACACACACACCAATACGCACACATAACCTAGACTTTTAACTTTTTTTTGTTGCGCATAAGAATAGCTATTTTTCGGTGAAACGAGGCAGGAACTCAAACATAGCTTTGGAAATGGCCGATTCATACGCTGGCCATTACCAGCAAGATTCAGCAGCAGCAAACGTGCAGGAGCTGCCATTAAGCTCTTCGGATACCCGTGATCGCGAAACGTCCGGCATTTCGTCTTCGCACTCGTCTTCGTCTTCTATAATTATGAATACGAGCAGCATTATGAGCAATACCACCCTATCAATATCAATCCCAAACAGTACATCATTCAATGGCAATAACAGTAATGTGAATTCTCAAATAGCATTTGATCCTACAAAACAACAATCCTCTACAATCAGTCTCGCATGTATGGCCGATCTTCCCCTGACTTCTTCATTATCCCAACAATATCAAAATTATGAAGATTTAGATGAAAGGCATCATCCGAGAAACTTTGAAACAGGAATCTCGCAATATACTTCTTCAAATAGTCTCAACCAGGAAAATGCAAATCATATAGACCAGCCCAGGCGCCCTCAGACAACTATTTCGAGTGCAGACTATGCTTTAAATGTGGTCCTTGAACATTTCGAAAAACTTGCAAGCAAAAAGATGTTTTTGATTCTTAATATGGGTGTGGTAAGTTTAGGAAGGCTATATCTAAAAGACTATCTTGTTTATGCTGTTGTGTTTCAAGGATGCCGAGGTCGACTTGTGCAAACTGTTAGGAAAGGGTGCAGACCCTTCTTTTGACAAGCTTTTTATATCACTAGCCTCCCTGGCTTCTTCTCAACAAAAGGCTGTTATAGATGCAGTGATGCGCTGGAGATCAGAAATGGTGGAACCTCTGGATCCTGCCTTAATTAAACGGATAAGGTAAATCAAGACGATACGAGATATCCTAGTCTGACATTTGCCTGCATAACAAAGCGAGTCTGCGCCTTTGTCACGTACTCGAGAAGTAGAATCTGTATTAAAAGAACGACAGTCGGTAAGAATGAGAAGAAGCATTTTAAAATTTTAATCTTAAATAAATAAATGCTGATTAATTACACAAATCAAAGTTGTCATCCGTTTATATTCTCTGTAGGGCCCTGATAGAGATTGTCAGACGTTTTTCTGCTGACACTTGCCCAGAGTCTGTTGGCGAGAACCTTGAAGAAATTGTGTTCATACAGTTGAAAAAGCCTGATCCGTGAGTTTCCACAAGTCATCCGCCAAACGTTCGTCTTTTTTCTCTTATCATTGTTGCCATTAGCGATGCCATTAAACGTTCAGCAAACAGAACAGCTAGTATGAACCTCTTTGCTGAGCTTATAGGCGAGCTGTCCAACATAAGATTTGCTTCTGTAAGCGATCGTTTTATCGCTGAACTCGAGAAATATAACAGTCATACCATTATGAAAGAGAGACAGAGCCACATGGAAATGCTAATCCGCGGAATGCGATTCTTAAAGATAAAGGTAGGCATATACTTTCTTTAAAAAAATATCTTTTTCTTATTATTATTAAATACTGGAATAAAGATTTATCCTCTTGATGCATTGGAAGAAACCGCGGATTTCTTATCCAGTTGTGCCAGCTTCTTCAAAAATGCACATGGTGCAAAAGTTAAGCATGCGTATGCCAATCTTTTTGTTCAATTGCTTTTGCCTATTGCTGAGGTACGTTATTCTGTGGTCTTGCCAGATGTTGTAAACTGACTGGTGTACCATATAGGTAGCTGTTGCCGAAGTCAATTTTCCAGCTTGGGTAAAAGCTGTTGACTTAATGTATCCAAGAGCTCTAAAAATGACATTGAAACCACGCCACATTCTGGTATGATATACAAAAATCAGATACCAAAAGGATGACTATATGTATATTATGGATATTGATATATATATGTTATTAGGGTGGATATCCACTTGTTACCACATTACTATGTGTTAGCCGGAAAGAATTTTTTACTACTAACTGGCTACCGATTGTAGAAAGCTGTTATCAGAAGTTTAACAAGGTACACATACTTCCTTGACCTTTTATTCCCTAAATGCTTGTTCTAATTTGATCATTTTTTCAAGGATAAATATACAAGACAAATGGCTATTGGCTGTATATCTCGTCTAGTGTGGACCTATCTTTTTCGCTGCACCGAGAGTGTCTCTGCATCATTCAAGAAGCTCGACAATATCATAAAAAACATATTCCCTCCATTTAGACGTGCCGTATATCCATCTGAAATACCTTTGGATCACTTCATTTTGATTACATACTTCTGTCTGATGAAAGATGTAGACACAGCTATGAAAAAGGTGACATATTATTTGCTTAATACCGAAAATTCCAACTCTCTTCATTGGGAAACTATCAACCCCGAGCGAGTCATTATTGGATTACGAGCCTTTCGTATGATGCTTTCTGACCTTGAGAAAAATGTCCTTCGACCACCTTTTCCGGGCGATCCGGACATGACCGCACCTGGCATATCTATCTCATGTAGCGCTGATGTGTTCTCTGGGCCTATAAGGGCCGTAAAGGCAGAAGTCATGGAGCAGGTTGAGGAGATCATCTGTAAAGTTCTTATCAGTCTTGACCAAACCTTTGGGCGTCTACTCCTATTAGAAGAAAAAAATATTGTTCTGAGAAATATCACTGGCTCAGGTACAAATACAGGTGGCGGACTATCAGCAAATTATTCTGTTCCAATGTTTACCAATGGTGTCAGTATGTCGAGTACATCAGACGGAGGTCCACAAATACATCATCAGTATGCCACGTTCTCTGTCTCCTATACAAAAGATAAGCAGACATATTTCGATGTTCTGACCACCATTTTGGATTCGATGCCACGATTAATGCCAGCTGGAATACCATTACCACGGTTGGTAGAGATGCTATCTCGCTACACTGTACATATTGATCCTGAAGTGATTCAAGCTGCATCACAAGCTTTGCTACGTATAGCAGCACAAATCGATAGCCAGACAGTTGTGACAGGCTACTCTCGATTCGTTTATAGAATTGAAGACAGGTGCTGTGATGTTCTGACATCTCTTGCTAATGGTCCTTTAACTGGTGGAAATTATAACGGAAACAAGGGAGTCATGAAGCTGTATGTGGACTTACTGGCAATATGGGCTGAGCAAGTGGATCTTTCAGCCTTGAAAGATTTGGAAATGTCTTCTAACGAAAACCCAAACGGAACATCGAAGGCTCAGACTAACCTTATCCGACTATTCAATATGGTGGAAGAAACAGAAGCGAACGGATTACTATTCCTGTGCAGTCAATCTTCTTCGGCTCGAAGATCAGCTATTCAGATCATCAAATTTGCGGCACAGCTTGAGAATAGGCTAGAAGCACTTTTGGAAAAAGAACCCCATCATGAGCACCTTTCAACACTGATTGCCCAGCTCAACAATTTCTTTTCAAAGAGTCAAAAATATGGTCGTTTGTACGATCTTCTTGAGTCGATTGGTCAAGACCTCATCAAATTTGACAACGACAGTAACGTACTATTGGGATCAAAAATATCAATTGAAACACGCATAAGAATACAGCAGCATCAAAGAAGAGGCGTGAAGCATGTGTTAATCCAAATTGCCGAAAGTGATCATTCTGCAGACCTTGTAATTTGGAACATATGTTTCCCCAAAGTCTTTAAATTCTGTTTCGAACACTTCCCTGGTACTGTTGCACTATGCCGTCAGAATATATGTATGAGATTGGTTCAAATGTACCCTTTTATTATGGGATCCCTTGAGACCATCAAGGCTGGACCTGCAGGAACTCTCAGTATGGCCAAGAGTAGTAACTCGGGACATAAAGCAGCTAGTCCTGAAATGGTTGATCAGTGGAGAATATATCTCGTATTTGCATGTGCAACAGCCACTCTTTCTGAAGACAGGTCACCTACTGCTACATGGGCTAATAGTGGTCGCAAGGGATCAACACTGGTAGACAAGATTGCTACACCTAGAGATTTATTCCGCATGGCACTAAAATTTGTTACATGTGAACACCGCCAAATCAGAGAAGGGGCAATACAAGGTCTTGGAAATGTCAACAAAGCCACATACAAGATTCTTATGACAGATCTCCAGCCTTTTGTAAGAACTGTATTGGATGATGGTAAACAAAGAAACAACCAGAAGCCATATCAAAATAAACGTAGCAAAAAGCACGACAGACTACGAATTTCTCTTATGCACTTGCTTGAATTGACTGCCGGATGTCTATCAGAAAAGGAACACCTGGAAGACAAGGAATTAATGAACATGATGATGAGTTACATAAAGGAGACCAAGTCGTTCTTGACCGATGTAGAGGTTCAGCTGGAATGGGAATACCACAAATTGAGGATGCATCTGTGCGGTACAGTTGAAAAACTTTACGAGAATATCATGCGTTTGGAAGAACCTACCAGTGTCATGTCTTTTGAGACGCGCCTGGGCTTATACAAGATGTTTGAGGAATGGTGTGGTTACGGTATGTACGCGAATAACACTCGGGCAAGAGATGCCGCTATGATGAGAGATGTTCTGGAACAATGTAAAGATCCGCGTGAACGAGGAACTATGACACAAATATTGGAAGAGGAGAGAAAGTCTCTCGAGACGGCTGCCCTTAGTGCGATGGCAATGTTATGCGTAAGTTCAAAGTATTGCATATGTTATAGCTATGGTTGTTTACTTCCATCTTTTTAGAGAGGCCCCTTGTATGCCTTCCTTGGACAGAAGAAAGCGAGACAGGCTGTGATTCAGTTTGATTTACATAATGTATTTCGATGGATTGATGCGGTTTTTGAAAGCCATGACCCCAAGTGTCACTCCATTGCTAGGTATGCTCTCTTCCGGCTCTATGATCAAGAACTCAATTTGAACTCATTAGACGAGCACTTGAAGCCCTTCTTATCTACAATCAAGACCAATCACTGCTTCTGGACGATATTATCGAGCAGTGCTACGCAGGCAATCCAAAACTAGAATTTACCCAGGGTTATTTCTTGGCTTTTGCTGAGATTTTATGCAAAGTCGAAGATTATCCATGTCATATCCATCAAGTTATGAGTCTTGCCTTGTTTAAAGCGGGTGACTCGAAAAAAGCGATCAGAAAGTCAGCGATCGCCTTGTTGAGGACCATTGAAGAGCGTGTCTTTGCTGATTCTTGCGCAAAGGAGTATGAAATTGGAATTACGAGTAGCTTGCCAGCAATTTACAAGTATACCCAAACCTTATTGTCCGCACGTTTGGCCTTGGATCATCCAGAGCAGACTTACTCGATGCTCTCAGAGATATCTCAGCGTTTTGAGCACATTAGCCCTAATAGTCAACGAGAAGTTCTAGCTTATATGATTCCTTGGCTCCGTAAGATTGACTTGTCTGTTGGTCCTCAAGATTCTGAGCTCAGTGCCTCAGCCTACATGGTATTGTCTAACCTTTATTACATCACAATCAAGTTTGGTGATGTGTATGTAAAAGAAGTTGCAGCACTTTGGAGCCAACTCGTTGATCATGGTCGTAATGTACGCGCCATAATTATGTACCTTCTTGACATGGGATTAGAGAAAAGGAATCCATGGTTTTTGATTCATGCCAAGCGTGTCTTTGTATGTCTTGGTCGAACACCGGCTTTTAATCGTATAGTCGAAGAAGTTATTGCAGAGATTACACCGCGTTCAATGGTTCCACAACTAAAAGAAGCTAGTATCCGACACACACACGCCTTCCCATTGCTTTTTGTAGCTGATACTGAAAAAGTGCTACCGTCTTATGAAAAACGGCCTGTATTTTCACGTGGACAATTGGCTATGGTCTTTCTAGTTGATCTTGCTATTGAAGCAGGAGCTGACTTGGCACCTCATTTGCCTTTGCTTCTTCATAGCATTTTTGTTCAGCTAGACCATCTCACGAGTATCGTATGCGATCAATCACGCTGCTTGCTAATCAACCTGATTCACTCCATTGTCATCCGCCAGTCAATAGATTCTGACATACCAACAAAGGCAACCGAGGTTACTCAATGGCTTGCATCGAAAGAAGGAAAACGATTGTGGGCTTATGAAAATATTACTTCAAAGAACCCTCGACTGCAAAGCTCAGAAGAACTCAAGGATCTTCTCAACAAAGTGGTCGATGTTTTCTCACACGAAGATCCCGGGCTTCGGCAAAAATGGGGTGAAACTGCTCTCAAATGGGCCACTTGTTGTTCTGTTCGACATATCGCATGTCGGTCGTTCCAATGTTTCCGAGCTCTTATGCCAGCCTTTAACCAACACATGCTGGCTGACATGCTTGCACGCCTATCCAATACTATTGCAGACAAGTCGGACGATATTCGCGGATTCTCCCTCGAAATCATTATCACATTAACCGAAGTTACGACTGCTATGGACAAGGCACAAATGGACCAATTTCCTCAACTTTTCTGGGCAGCAGTTGCATGTTTGTACAGCCCGTACGAAGCAGAACATTCAGAAGCGTTATTACTTTTAGAAGTGGTATTAGAGAAATATGGATTTTGCAGTGAGCTTGCCGAAAGTTTTCCCAAAAATTGGTCAAGTGAATTCGATGGTCTTCAACCCCTACTACTTAAAGGACTCCAGTTTTCTTCTGCTGAAGAAAGAACGTTTTCAATTCTATCTCGAATCATGTTAATCGACAATCCGCCGCTCATCGATCCTTCTGAGACACGATTGATGTATCTCTTGCTTGGTTCTATCCCTAGACTACTGCATGCACTTGATGATGATGAGACATTGGATCCATCCACAGTTGAGCTAGCGAATAAGATGACTCAGCTATTTGAACGTTACTCGCTACCAGATGTACAGCGAATCCTAGCGACATATCCCAAGCAAAAGGCCAAATTCCAAAAAGACTATCTTGAGCAAATGCTGGGGTCTATACGCGATATTTTTTTACCAAAATACGGCAAGACAGCTCTTATGTTTTCAATCTTATTGGTGAAGAACAAGATGCCATTCTATCGAGAGAAAGGCTTGATGATGATCGAAAATCTGGTTCCATATGTTACTGGAAAGACCAATTGGCCCGGTGGCTCTAATAGCCCTATTCCAATAGATATTGCTTCACTCGAACCTCTTTTACAATTAATTCAAACAGATTTTGGGGACAAGGCTTTATCTATTCTCAACGAGCAGATTACAGCAATATATGTCGAACCCAAATCAGAGGATTCTACAGGGAGCTCCAGCGATATTCTTTGGGGATTCAGTAACTCGACCGCTGCAGCAGCACGCGCTACCCGCCACAACGTGAATGCCGTTGTATTTGAATGCTCTTCAATCACAAACGAAGCTCCTATAGAGCATAATATACAGTTCTCCATTGAGGACTTTACCATATTAACAGGCGAGAATATGGCCCGCGAGGACAATATGACGAAGCGTTACATAGAAGAACGTACAAGTAACATACACGACAACCAGCAGTATGGCGATGATTTGATGAATGCCCTCAAAGACCTCGACGACTTTTTTAATGAGGATGTCGAGGCGACACCCATGTCACCCTCCAGTTCACTTACTTCATACCATCGAGTGACACATGAATACCATCCCTCGGACACCCCTTCTGTTACTAGCAGTAGATAATCCCATTATAAGAACACACTCCAAAAGGATATAACCCGTATAGACTCGTAAATCATCAAGTTTACAATATTTTATTTTTGAAGTGAATAACAAATAATTAACACGGTTTCGACGGTTTACTCTGCTTCAGCCCCATCATTGTTATTCTTCTTCTTTATGCTTCTCCTCTCAATAAATAAGAACATAATCTATACTGTCTTTATAAATAATAATATTTAGAGTATTAAAATTTTCTATCCAACTGAGAATGAGTCGAGACAACTTTCCGGTGGTTGAATGTAATAAACGATGGTCGTGTGTCAATTTTATCAATAGTTCTAAAGACATAATATCAGCTTTAAGTGTATATGTAAATCTCGGTATACATACTGCTTGGCAATCTCGGCTTCCATCAAAATGTTCTTGAAAGAATCGGCAGATAATAAGACACCAATGAGTGTGACAATAGCTGAGACCAGGCATTCAACGATAATCTACCATGTATTAAACACTTTAATACGCTATTTGTTTTTGTTAACTCTCAGATATTTTAGTTTTGTACTTCAATTGGAATGTCAATGGAGGCTTGATCTACTGCCTTAAGATAGGCGAGATCTGTGATGATACATAAAATAAGTAAGACTATTGTAGATGATATTAACGCGCAATCTACACTGTACACTCACGCTCATAGGTAGAGTAGGCAGCATGAGCGAGAAAAAGTGTGCCAATAAGACCAATGAGTCTACCAAGCTGCTGACTACTGCTCATCAGAAAAATATTAAATACTTGTAGACTAAGTTGTGTGTGTGTGTGGGCTGTAGAGAAGTTCCCTTTTTGCAATTCTCATTTTCCAAAGACAGAGAAACTCCGCTAATTTTTTCAAAAAGGATTCCCAACCACAGCATCTTCCATTCTCTAAACTTTATTTGTTGACAATGTAGATTCTTTAATCTCTTAAGAGGATTCTGTAGCCTGTCGTACCAGACGTCTCTGCTTAACATCCCAGTTATATACGCGCGCTGTGTCTGTAATGAGGGGAAAACAAAAGTGAAGTCAAGGATATTATTTGTGTGTGAACCTGTACACACAACTTTTCGATTATATCTATTATTCAAAAGGATACTGACTTCCATTGTTGTGATCTGATCTCTCAAGAACTCAAGGTCCTCGATTGTATTTCTCAAAGATGACTTTGCAGTTTGCAACTTTGATCCCAAAAGATCAGTAGCTTCTTCAAATGTGTACTCGAGCATAACATTAGCCTTTAACAGAAGTAAAATCCCCAGTTAGCCAGGAAATAGTATTTCTTTTTTCTTTTCTTTTTCACATCCAAAATCCTTTCACTTACACCTAACCAAAGGTATACAGAGTTCGTTGCCTCCAACTTGGCCTGTGCATAAAGAGTATCATTCAACTCGAAATCGGTATAGACTGGCTCATCAGTTGCCTGTTTCTCGGTCAAAAATCCAACCATAGCCAAAGTTTTTTCAATCTCGGGGATCTTTTCTTCTAACACCTTTCTACGCTGTAGCAAGTTGACTTCCATAAATTTGTATTTGCTATTATAATGATCGTAAGATGACATTCATTTTACTTTCTCTCATAGCCAGATGACCAACCTAACTGCCTCCTGGAACTTCTTCAGGACAACCTCGACGGGTTCTGCTTCCGAGACATAGTCTTCTACGCGTTCCTGTCAACAAGATATATATAAATTAGAAGAACTGCCAAACTCGGATTTTCTGAATCAAATCATCCGCGACAAAGTAGTACACCCACCACAAAAGGAGATCGCGGGATGCCTCTAGGATTTGTTTCCATCTTATCTGTGCTGGATGCCATTGGTACAATGTCGCTTTACTTGAAGTCATTTTGAGATCCACCTGGAAAAAGTAATGATCAAGCACATCCAACGTCATCATTCGGGGGTTTAATGTGTTAGTATTCACGGTGCAATGAGCCGAAAGAGGAACAGAAAGCAAGAAGTACAAGTGGATCAAACTTCAGACTTTGTCTTCTTTATTAATCCCTGGTGTGTAATATATATGTATATTATATTTATTCATTTTTAAGCCTAATTTTACTCAATAAAGCATGGTATATAATAAAGATCATGAAAGAACAAATATTCTTATATATAAACACTGGTTACTATTGGGTCATAAAAAATACTGTCTCTTCTGGAAAATCTGTTTTTTATCGTATTGAAATAAGAATTGACTAATTTACTAGTAAACTAATAAAAAGATACAAATGCAAATTAATCTAAAACAAGACATTTTATATCACCTCTAAAATATTTTGTATCATTGGCTTTGATTCCGATTGAGTATTTGTCGATTTGCCGAAAATCAAGAGAAGTATGCCCTCTACAAAGATCTTCGCGTATTTTGTTATCCAAATGACTTTTTACAGAGAAATTGGTGCTATGATCTTGATATAAATAATCATCTGGTAGTTGACGGTTATTTCCATACACTTTGGAAAACGGTTTAAAATCAAATGGATAAAAGAACTGGTGAATCTGATCCGCATCTTTCTTTCCGAGTATTCGAAAATCTTGCTTCCATCTCCAAGGGTAGGTATATGACCAACTTAAATGAATCCAAATTGATTTTATAGTATGTTGTGTTTTGTTACTTATATCTATATTAGCTGGCTTGCTAATATTTGGATCAAAGTACTCAAGAGGATAAGACAAAACTAGTAGATTGATCGAGTCTTTGAAACCGTCATAGTTATATGAAAGTCTAAAAGAAATCCGATTTAGAATAAGAGCCTTGAAATGAGTGTGCGCCATGTCGATAAATAGATTATTTGATTTTCCAGCTGAGCCGCCATAAATACATATCTTGTCCAGTTTCATGTAGTTTAGATTTCTACAGCGATATGATATGTATTGAAATGTAGCCGAATCCAATTTCATATTCGTGAATTCAATTATCCTTAGGCCATGCGGTGCTACGTTGACACTATCCTTTAGAGTTCCTGACATTTCTCCGCCTTGGATTTTTAATCTTTTGGGTACTGCGCAACGATCCAAGAGAATATCTAAGGCAACATATGTCCCGTATAATTGTATCTTTAGATCAGTGAGGCTTGGATAACAATTAAATGAGTCGAATAGGTTGGACGTCTTTTCTGAGTGTGAGGTAATTCTCAAACATAATGTTTCGAGTGTTGAAAAACATAGAAGCGTAAATGATTTTAAGATTTTAGAAAGCACTTTGACTTCATCAAGAGAGTGTGCTAGCTTATAAGATAAATGATTTATATGGGTACCAAACGGACGCAATAACTCCCATATAACCAAGTAGCCTTGTTCGTTTTCTACACCTTGAGATATCTTGAGACGCTTCAGTCTGGGGAACGCATAAGGCAGGCTTTCGAACATCAAAACTGCTTCATTGTATTTGTTCCTTTGGTTTTCATCTTCTTCATTAGGATTCCACCGTAGAGTTTCAACTTTTGGGTATTTACGGGCAAAGTAACACAACCATCGATAATCCATCACTTTGCAAGTAACAACTAGTTTTGTTATGTTCGCAGCGGGTATTGTATTGTTGATCGTTTCAAGTTCTTTTTCAGAGAGTATTCTGAGCTCAGTATGGAGAGATAAATGAGTTAATCGCGGCAATTTGGTGTGAAGTGTATCAATATCCTTTGGCCCGAATTTTACTGCCCAGGTATCTAACTCTTGAAAATGACTAGAGCATACAAGTCGTTTGAGACGTGATAGATCCGAAAGCACGTCGAGAAAGCCCCGAGTTATATTCTCCTCCGAAAAATCCAAATATATTTCTAATTCAGACAATGCTTTCCAAGGATTCGAATACTCTGTCTGTGAAAATCCGGCTTTTCTTAAATGAAAATAGCTTATATCAAGGCGATTTATATTCTGAAATAGTTGCTGGAGAACCCTCAATTGATGGCTACTTGCATCCGTGTGTCTATCTAGATACAAGTGCCGTACATATTGACCGTTTTTCTGATATGTTGATCCTTCAATTGAATTTATGTCACACATAGCTTTCAATTTCTTTTGATTGAATATTGTGGTGTAGTTCCATAGAGCCATATTGAAAGGTGTGTACCAGGATTTGCAGACTGCAATACATCTACTTTTATCCTTTGGCGAGAGGAATTCGGCCACTTTAGAAAGTATTTCGATCGGTAATTCGAATGCCATCATGAGCAAGAGCAAGAAGAAATTGTACTTTGGAAAGAATGTGACAATGGGTCTGTTATATATACCATGGTTTCACCACGTAGCCGGAGATTGGACAAGATCTGACTCTGACAGAAGTAATAGATGGCACAGAAGAACTTCTCCAGTGAAAACTGTTATTGTGTAAGAAAGCATATTTCAAGATTTTATTAAAATAATAAGTGTTCATCAGGTAAGGCAAGGCAAGGTGAAGTAAACGAATAAAATAATTAGATTTAGCTCAAGGATAAAATGAGGCAGACAATATGTGTCTTGAATAAGTTTTGAGCGGTATAAAAGTGAGTATCCGTGAAGCTTTGATCGATTCTTTGGCCTAAGATAGTGTTGTACATGACTTTTGGCTACGTATCAAACTCAAAGTTTTGGAAGAAATACATTCCTAATATTAGAATATGTAAATATAGACTTGGCTCGATTGCGCTGACTGTATTATTAGTATAAATCATTATTGTGTATAATATTAATCGGTGAAAACTAGGCCGATGACTAAAATAATCCTCTAATTGACTTGTAAAAGTTCTCTCTTTAAATACTTTATACTATAGTAAACTATACAGGTACCAAAGATTACAAGCAGTAGACGCTATAAAGGATAAATGCTACAAAATAGTTTGCAATTGCTCACCGTACACCTGTAGGTTCAGGCTATTATATATATGGGCACAGTAATACGAAGCTTATAAAAAATAGTATAGAGCAATTATGAAACTGATCATAAGTAATAATAACTAAAGCATTCAAATTTCAAACAAAAAATGATATATATGTTTAGTATTGAAATAAAAAAATAATTACTTGGGATGGCCTTCTTTGGTCTCAATCACGGTCTGTCATCGATGTTGCATGATATATGCTAAAGTTGATGCAAGTTCGAACCCTATTCTTTGCCACTCTTGTTGCACTAAAGCCTTTAAGTCACAAATGTTGTTGGTACTGGCCATCGCATTACTCATACGCCCCTCGGTAGTCCACCAAAGATGCTCAGTAAGGTTGAGATCCAGGCTCTGAGATGCCTGGTAGTCAAGTCCCCAAATATTATGGTTATCTTTCCACCATCTCAAATATAGCTCAGTATGACAGATGATGTTGTCTTTTTGGATCATGAAGTGCCTGTTCTGTTCTCTTGAAAGGATTTTTGGAACCAAAGGAGGAGAGTTCTAAGACAGTGTTCACGTATTGGTCTAGTTTTATATTGCCAGCTAGGAACACCAAAGGTTCCTAAATACATTGTCCTAGAGCCAGCTCCAAATCATCACACTTACTCTTCCCTCATTTGGTTATCTCAATGATTCTTTCTTTCTTTATACATTTCGCCAGCTTTTCTGATAGCTTTGACTCCTCTATCATTACCTTTGACTGTAAATCTTGATTCATTGGACATTTGACAAATTAACATGAGCATGAGCCCATTCTGGTCGTCTTTTTCTTCTTGCGGTTTTCTGCCAAGGCTTGGCTTATGTGTTGCGATATATGAACCAAAGCTTAAATGCGTAAGGCGTCGAACTACTATGGCTTTCAATCCTATCTTCAATGTGTATATTCTTCCGGATTATTTTACTTGGCTCAGGCTGACTCTGTTTCTTTGACTCTCTTAATGCTGAATTTGACTATCGGCAGACTCGTGTCAACAGTGGCGTAAATGTTTGCGCCTTAATTTGCATAAATGCATACACATAATTCATCCGTGTTTGCAAGGATTGGCTTTCATGTATAGAACACAGGTGATAGTTGATGAAATTGTGTTTTGAATGTTGTAATCGATCAATAGAATGGGAATAAAGCAACGTTTTTATTTTTATTTTATAGATTTCTTTTGGCTGTTTTTGGGTGCAGGTCGATTTTTTTTTTCAGTGTGAGTGTATTATTTTATTTTATTTTATTTTATTTTTTTAATTTTTAATTTTAATTTCTTTTTATTTGATTTATTTTTTAATTTTAATTTTAATTTTTTATTTTTAATTTATAAAAAAAAATTGAAAAAACACAAAAAAAAAACACAAAACAAAAATTGAAAAAACAAAAAAAAAATCAAAATCTATATAAAATGATTTGAGAAAATCAATTTATATAAATTTTGATTGGTTCATTTTCATTTATTTTATTGAATTTATTTACCATTGGTGGCCAGCCAATGATGAATGTGGGATCTCCCTGTTGGACGAGAAAATTTTCAAAAAACTCGCAGTGGGCAACAGATAGGTTATCAGCATTCTACACCTGCATAGACATCGCGTGGTTTATATAGTTTGGTTTATAGGTCTTCAACTGTGAAAGTCTTTCGACCGGTTTACTAAGGCCACATCTATGAGCAGACTACGTAGATAACCGCCACAATAAAGATCTGAAAAATTTGCAAACTTTTGGCCCCTTTTTATAGACAAAATGGTTCAATTCTTGTACGACCTTTTGCAATTGAAAGAAAGTCACGGAACGTGAAAATTAAAATGATTGGTGTTTGAAAAATGAGTCAATGACTTTTAAATCGTTTTTATTGGCTTTTAAAATTATGACGCCATATGAAAAAAGAGTCCTTGGGGTTGAAATAAAAAAGTCACATCAGAGAGAGAAAACCGAGGCGGCTAAAAAGAAAAGTCACCGCAAAAATGGCTCATAGTGTTAGGAAGGATATTGGATACGTGACTTATTATTTCTAGGTGACGTCTATTGTTCTATAAGGTTCTATGAGAAAGAAAATATTCAGTGTGTGAGTAATTTGGTGATTGCATAGTATCTAAAGCGTACACGGCCGTTTGCTGCCCAAAGTAAAACGAACTTCTTTAAACGATTATTTTTTTAAAAAGAGAATATAAATCCAAGTATTTATGCTTTTTTAAACGGCTCCTATTTAAAATCCATTTAAAGGAGTTACACTACAAGAGGTACGCACGGCCGTTTTGGCCGTTTTTGGTTTTTTCAAGAACTGAAAATCTCAAACATTATTTTTAATATTTTTTTGTTAAATCGTAAATCATCCAATACTGGCAGGATTGTCTACAAATCAATATCTCTTCTTCTTTGGCATTAAATACATCCTCTTCAATGAGTGACGTGTGATATTCGGATTCAATAGAATTGGAACTTCACAAATTACAGCAATACATATTTGTATCTTTCTTTTTCATAAATATCAATAAACAATAATTGACCAAAAAATTGGCTTACTACGAGACTCATTTTTTAAGGACAAGACATTTTTTGTAGATAAAAGGGTATTTAAAATATAAAAAAATTGAAAAATACAAGACTTTTGCTTATATAGATATAACATTGGTTCTTATTATTAAAATCCTTTGCAAATTTTATACAGCACATACAAAATATACAACAAAGCTTCTTACTCTCAGAGGCAGATATCGTTTACAAATATATATATATATATATATATTAAAATCAATAGCTTCAAAACAGTAAACTTTATTGAATTCCAATATTTTTGTATTTTTAAGCGCAAAACTGTATTAGGCCTAAAGATTTGAACTTTGGGAATGGGCTTTACATAAAGAAATCTTTAGAAAAGTAAAATAAGAATAAGAATTACTTGACTGTATTCGTAAGCCAATTAGATATCTAAATATTTATTCAAGAATGATTGATTAACGATGATATATCCAATATTCCTTTGAAGGCCTTTTCCTAAACTAACCGCAAATTGCTTTTGTAGACTTTATTAAACTGGTTTCAATTTCACATGTTATCATCTTATTCTCTCATATTTACAATGAGTAACGCGCTACGCAGAATATTTGACACAGCCAAAAAAAAAAAAAAAGATAGTCAATAGAGTCGTTAACCTGAATAAACAATTTTCTATTTTCATAATCATAATCATAATCGTATCTGCAAGAAAGGATAAAACTCAATATGTCTGTGTCTGTGTCTGTGTTTGTGTGTATTTGATTCTTCGACTGCATACTATCCCTGCAACCCTGAATGAGTATGACGTTGGTTTACAGCAATGTAAGAAAGGACTACGCACTATCACAATGAGCCACACTCTATTATGGCGTTTATCATGCACCTAAATAACAAAAAAAAAACAGGGCATCTTGGATAAACCAGCATAAATCATTTGATCACCTCCTGAAAATCCCTTTTCTTTTTTTATTATCATTTATTATTTGATCCTCAAGAATTCCTGTGTTACTTTCCACAATTATGTGCCAAGGATCAAGTATAGTAATGGTCAAGTAATTATTGTTTGTGTAAAGGCTGAACACATTCAAAGTCGTTTGATACTATGTCTTTTCTTTATATCACAATATCAAATTAAAGTGCTACAAACAAGCAGCACACAATGGATATATTGGTAGCTTAAAAATTACATTTATTCATTCAAAGAAGAAGAAGATGAAAAAAGGTTCATTCTTGATTTTAATTTTTTTTTTAATTGACAAGAAAATCTTACTTTATTGAAATGCCCAATATATATATATGTTCCTTTAACTTTCTTGTGTTCCAAGTTCACACAATCAATATGATTTTAAGCCTTGTACTTCTTTCTTTAAATATATACAATTTTTTATTATTATTATTATTAATTTGATCAATCTGGTTAAAGCAAGTACAATATCTTTGTTTTCTGAAAGAGCATTTAATTTACTTATTTATTCCCACATGGTATATTTTATGTGTGAGAAATATATATATATAAAAAAAAGACGATGTTTTTGAAAGAGGAGAGGAGGCTTTGAAACAAATTAGATTAATGGCGGACTTGTTCTTTTTCCGTCAAAAGGAATAGCCTTATCTTGAGATCAAAATAATAATAATAATTAAAATTGAGACTTTTACAGTGTAACCTTTGGTATTGAGATATAATGTCAACTTTTGTACCTTGACGATATATAGTGTACGTTATGTATCTGTAAATTCGCTGCCTTTTTTTTTTTGGCTGATGTTCTTGTTGAGATTCTTTACCATATTTTCTGTTTATTTCTTATATAGATAAATAGATTATGTAGTTATCTATAAAATATATACATATTCCAATATGTAGAAGAAGAAAAATAAAGGTTCAAAATGGATAGTTGGTGTAGAGAAAGGTTTACTGGCAAAGAATTCTTATAGCTCCTTTTCTCTTTGTCTTTTGACAATTCTAATTGTTTTAGGCTCAGTTTCATCCCTTACAATTCCATCTTTATAGTTAGATACATAACTCTTACTTACATGGTTCACTGCAAAACATTAAGGAGGTATCCTTCTCTCTCTTGCATATATATATATATATATATACATTATTATTATTATTACTATTATTATTATTATTATTATTATTATACCATTAGATGTTTCAAAGAGTTTCAAAAAAACAAAAGTGATATTATTTTATACATGAGAAAATGTGTAAAAAGAAAAGAAAAGGCTAGATAGAGATTGATAGAGAAGAGGTAAAGAAGCATTTACAACAACAACAACAAAAAAAAGTAATCTGAAAAAAAAATAAGAGAAGAAAGAGGTAAGATGGTGGTGACAAAGTGATAATGATGGAGGCGTGGTTGTGGTTGTGAAGGTTAGAAGAAGAAGGAGAAGGAGAAGAAAAAGAAGAAGAAAATATGTAAATGATAAAAAAAAAAGAAAGGTATTTGGGATATTGAGGGAAAAAAAAAGGGTTTGGGAATCTTGGTAATAATGGTAAGTAATAGAAAAAGGTAAAGAGGTGTTTTGTTGACCCAAAAGGAGTGAAGAGGAAGAGAATATAAAAGAAATTCAATCAATAAATAAATAAAGCAAAAAAATAATAATATAAATAATATAAATAATGATAATAAAACGTCCTTTTGGTTTTAGAACGTTTCGTTCTGGTTAGGACAGTGGTCAGTGTCATGAAGGCCATTCTCATCACAGTTTTCGCAATACTATCAAAGCTAAGAGTGGTTAATCAAATGCAACCTCTCCATAAACACATACGCTTTAAAAAAATTAGACTCTATTTTAACGCTTACCAGTTGTTTACTGTCATGGTCGATATTGAGCTTGGCAGCCTCAGGCACAACAGCCTTGCAGCCCATGAGATCATGACCAGCAACTTCGCATATCTCACAGTACAGCCCACTAATGGTATCTATACTACTACTCTTATTGCGTGAATGTGATGATTTGGGTTCTGACAAAGACAAAGGTCGCTGCTGCTGCTGCTCTCTTTCCCGGAGCAGTCGTTTGACTTGATCTTTCATGTCACTCAATTCATCACGCAAACGGCTTGTCTGCTTACGCTCGTGCTCCAGCACCTCTTCAAGATCGGCCTCCTTGAAAATCTTGGACTCAATCAGACTCTCGAGTTCAGAAATATCTCTGTGCAAACCAGCCGTGTTGCGATCATGTTCCTTGCGCTGGGCTTCTTGGACCTGAGCCAGCTCGGCCTTGTGAGCAGTCTG